CGCCTCCGCCGCCCGCCGCCGCCGCCGCCGCCGCCGCCGCCGACGACGACGACGACAAGCCTCTCCCCGGGCGGCAAATCTTCCTACTCTGCTACGCGCGCACCATGGAACCCATTGCCTTTTTCAGCATCTTCCCCTACATTGCCGCCATGGTGCAGCGCAACGGCCACCTGCCGCCCTCGGACGTCGGCTTCTACAGCGGCCTCATCGAGTCGCTCTTTTCCCTCACCCAGACGGCCGTGCTCATTGTCTGGGGCCGCCTCGCCGACCGCCTCGGCCGCAAGCGCGTGCTCGTCTGGAGCCTGGCGGGCATGGCCGTCGGCCCCGCGCTGTTTGGCCTCGCCACTACCTTGCCGCAAATGATTGTCTTTCGCTGCCTCGCGGGCGTATTTTCCGGCTCCGCGCTCATTATCCGCACCATGATGTTTGATCACTGCACGCCGCGCACGCAGGCTCGTGCGTTTAGCTGGTTCGCGTTTGCAGGAAACGTGGGCATTCTTTTGGGGCCCATTATTGGCGGCGCGCTCGCGGACCCGGTCGCGCAGTATCCGGGCTTGTTTGGCAGATGGGCGTTTTTACAACGCTATCCGTATGCGGCGCCCGGGTTTGCCGTGTCGGCGATTGCGGTCACGGCTGTGCTGACGTCGGTGCTGTTTCTCGAGGAGACGCTGGATTACAAGGATGCGCACAAGACGCGGCATCAGGCCGGCGCCGGCGACAACAAGGCCGAGACATTGACGATTTGGCAGCTGCTGCGTACGCGCGGCATTCCCACGGTGCTCCTCGTCAACGGCTCCGTCATGATCATGGCCTTTGCCTTTACCGCGCTGCTGCCCGTCGTGCTCTTCACGCCCGTCGCCATCGGCGGCCTCGGGCTCTCCCCCCGCCAAATATCCACCTACATGGCCGTGCAAGGGCTCAGCCAGGCCGTTTGGCTGGTCGGCGTCTTTCCGCGGCTGCACCGGCGCCTCGGCAACAAGAAGCTGCTCACGGCCTGCGCCGTCGCCTACCCCCTTTTTTTCCTGGCCTACATTGTCCTCAACGAGCTGCTGCGCGTCGACACGCCGGCCGCGAGGGCGTGGGCGTGGGCGTTTGTGGGACCGCTGGCGGCCGTGGTCGGGCCGGGTGTGTCCATGGCCTTTACGGGCGTGCAGCTGGCGCTGAACGATGCCTCGCCGGATCCGCACGTCATGGGCACGCTCAATGGCATCGCCTTGACGCTGGCGAGCGCGCTGCGGTCGTTTGTGCCGGGCTTGACGACGGCTCTGTACGCCGTGGGCGTCAGGGAACAGATTCTCAGAGGGCACTTGGCCTGGGTCGTTCTCATTCCCGTGTCCATGCTCATGCTGATCGTGATTCCGATGCTGCCCAATGACAAGCAGCCGGCTTCGCCCGCAAACCTTGACGATGAAGCAGAGTTGTAAAATATCAATTTGGTATATACTGCATGTAGAGTGTATTGCATATGAAAAAAAAAAAAAAAACAAAAAAAAAAGAAAGAAAGTCTAGTATTTGTGAAACTCTATCCCATGTCTCTTTTAGAATGTGTCTATTTTTCATGCACCGTCTAGGCCGAGGTTGGCTTTTTTTTTTTTTCTTTAAACATTCTTGTCGCCCACAATTTTTGGCGCAGATCGCGAATTCTTCCAATCAAAAGTCACATTCGGCTTGGTCCTGATGGTATGGCGCAGCTTCTGCTCGCTACGCTGCAACCAGACGCTCGCCGGCGCGGTGCTGACCGGATACAAGGGAAAGTTGTCATCGCTGTGAAAGACGTCGCTGGTGGTCTTCTTGTCAAAGGACGCGATAATGTCGAGTTCGCTCGCAATCTGCTCGCAGAAGCTCTCCAGGGGCAAATCATTCACATCCTGCCCAAAGGGGTTCTCAATCTCGCGGCCGATGAGCAGCAGGCCCAGGATGATGTAGGCGGCGGCCATGGTGGCGGGAATGGCGACGTAGTGCAGCAGGCCGACGAGCTGAAAGGGCAGCAGCATGACGTAGACCCAGGTGGTTTGGCTAATGGCGATGCTGTAGGCAATGGGAAGCGGCGTGTTTAGGATGCGCTCGCAGCCGGCGAGGACGTCGCCGAGTATGGTGAGGTTGTTGTAAGCCAGCGTCTGCTGCATGGGCACCGTCAGTTGCTGATTGGCAACGAGCTCGTCGACGGCCAGGGCGAGGTGGCTCAAAATCTCGAGCGGCAGGTTGCCGAGCGGCTTGCTCGCGCGCTTGAGCGTCTTGCGCGGGTTGCTCGCCGCAAAGGAGACGCCGAGGTACTCGCCGACCGACTTGAAGAGGCCCTTGCCCTTTACGGTGGCGATGCTGCCGCCGGCGTCTGCGGTGGCGGCCTTGGCAAAGGTGTCGAGGTGGCCGATGAGGTGCTGCAGGTCGTCGTAGTCGGTATAAGGTTCGAAGCGCAGCGTGTGCTTGAGGGAGACGGCAAAGGCGACGAGCAGGTTCATGGCGCTGAGGCGGTTGAGTAGCGTAGCGCGGGGGTCCTGCTCGGCGCGGTCCTTGGCGTGGATCCAAAAGATGCGGCCCAGCGTCTGGGACGAGGTGATGAGGGCGGTCCAGTACTTGCGGCCCTCTTGGTAGCGTTCGTACGCCGTCGAGCTGCGAAACGAGAGGCCCATACCGACGACGAAACCGGTAATGGTGAGGAGCACAGAGTTGACGCCGAGCTTGTGGAACTCCTCAGAGATGACGGTGATGGCCGTTGCCCAGGCGCCGACGAAGAAGAGAGGCAGAATCATCTTGGGCAGGATGCTGCCGTGCATCTGCAGGAAGACGGGCCATTTCGAGTGTCGTGCGAGGTCGCGGGGACCGGTGAAGTAGTCGTCGAGGTGCTGCGGGCCGTGGCGCTGAAACGATGAGGGCGGAAACGTCGAGAACGGAAGAGTTGGTGATAGTATATCGTCGCGGCCCAGAGTGTCGCCCGTCATGGCGCGCGAGGCTGCCTCTACCTTGGGGACTAGGAGTGGCGGAGGTTGGTGGTCCATTTCGTGGACTGACATGATTGCTCACGCGATGCTGATAAACGATGCTGGTAACGCTGGTAATGATGCTGGTAAACTGGCAAGACGCTGTGCAACGAATAAAGGGCACGAATTGAAAAGAGAGAGCAAAGATGAAAAGAAGGTCTAAAAACAAATATTAATGAAAGTATGGTGATGACAAAGTGAAAGAGAAGAGAAACTTGTCCAACGTCGCTTATTAGATGTTTGTATGACACTGTCCAAGGGCTTACTGTGCCACAAGGCCCAAAGCATTCCACTCTCCTGGGCCTGTCAGGCCTTTTTTGCACGACGGTCTTTCCCTTTTTATTACGAGTACCCCGTTTTCCGTACAGCCTCGCCCAAGAGAAGAGTCGGTGACTGCCGCACATCAGAGGAAAAAAAAAAATGAATAATGACTCCAAAGCAAGCAAAGCCCCCCCTTCTATAGCCGATGACAGGGCTTGAAGACCAATCAGTCCCTGACAGCGGCGGCGGCCGCGTGTTCCAGGCCTGGGGCTCTGGACCCGCAAAATACGTGTTCGTCAATATCAGGACAAAATACTGGTGGAAAATGGGATGTCCCCCCCTGAGATCTTTGAAACAGGGCGTGAGAGAAGAAAAGAATCAGGAGTTTCTCTGACAATCGGGTGGCGATGAGGTTGTCAGAGTAGTTTTCACTGGGCCGGGAAGGCGCACACTGCCGTTGCAAGCCGCAAAAAAGGAGGGAAAAAAAAAAGACGACAAAAAGAAGGGAAAAAAACTCAGCCCAATCCATCTAGCAAGCCACTGCCGTTGTTTGCGCTTTGTTCCCTGCGGTGTGCTTTTTGACTCGAGGCTTGGCTTTTTGATGAGCCCCGGGAGCTATTTTTTAGCGCCTCCATTTCAAGACAGGGGTCTGTGGGGAGGGGGCGATGCAAGCTCGGGCGCGCGAAAAACCCGTCCCTTGTCTTCAATACTAAATAACCATTCAATTCCTTTTAAATCTTGGCCTGTCCTGTTCTTTTCGGCTTCTGGCTTGATCGTGAGACTTTGCAGTGAGACAGAATATACCCGGGGGGTGAACGCGTGTTTTGGTCTTGTCCGCAGTGGCTGTTTGTCATGTTTGTGTTGCAGCCGGCACCTCATAAAAAAAAAAAGCCACGATTCATCGCAAGTGGCATAAACGAGGCTTGGTCTGGCTCCCAAAGGAAGTACGCGCATTTTATGCATGTATTGTTTCATGACACAAATGCACATAACTTCCGAGGCAAAGCGAGATCAAAAGAAGAATCTTTGTTTATTTATCGATCCAACACAAACCGCACAGGCGGATAAATTGCGTTAGCTTTCAAACTCGCAAATTTGGTCGCGTGTCTCGTTCTTGTGCTCATGTGTTATGCATTATGCAGGTGCAACTCTCGGGCTGGCATGACGCTACATGAAATAATTCTCACTCATCCGTACAGTTTTTTCTCTCTCGATGTTTCGACTTGCCCTCCTCTCATTTTGTTTCATTCCATCTTCACTCTACAACATCTATTACATCTATCTATTACATGTGTCTACTCTATGTGTCTGTTTTTAATCTATGCCGAAGAAAGTATGCCTGTATTTCCATTCATTACTAGGCCTTGCCGTCTTTATACCGAATCCGATTCATTACCCATATGGCCGAGAAACAGACCGTCCCGGCAACATATGCAGCACCGGCGAAAATGATGAGTCCAGTGTATGAGCCATCGCTGCTTTGCAGAATTTGCCCGGCAATGGGAACGCCGGTAAGCGCACTATAAGCAATGTCAGCTTCTGACTCGTGATTATTCGAAATCAAGCAGCGAAGAAACGGGCAAAAAATCGGCGAAGCTACTCACCCAAAGCTCACAACCGTATACACGGTTGTGTAATAGCGGCCATAATTGTCCGTCGTGCAGTACTCGCCCACGCACACGGGCACCAGACTAATGTTGCTGCCGCTCGCAAAGCCAAACACGACGGAAAACAGAATAATGGCGGCCACGCTATCCTGGGCCGGCAGCCAGATGGCAAACATGGCCGTAATGCACAGCAGGTTAGTCAGAATCATCGTGTTGAGGCGGCCGAAGCGGTCGGCCAGGATGCCGGGCAGCCAGCGGCCGGGAAAGGAACCGGCGTTGAGAAACACAATCATGAGATTGGACAGCTTGCGGCCCGCGCCGTGCGCGAGCGCATACGACGCCACGTACTCGAGGCCGATGAAGAAGCCCCATTCGATAAAGAAGACGCCCGCCGTCATGAGTAGCACCGGTAGGCGCAGCAGCACGCGCAGGTCCGGGAGAAGGCTCCTGCCCGCCGTACCCGGCGCGTCCGCAAACACGTCGCGGCGCCGCACCGTCACGCAGCCCACGAGCAGCAGCACCACCGTCACCGCGCCAATCACGCGCGTCGCCCACGCGAAGCCGAACCGCTCGCAGAGGTGGGTAAACAGCAGCGGAAAGACGACGCCGCCGAGGCTACCGCCCGACATGGCGAGCCCCGTGGCCGCGGCGCGGCGCCGGCAGTAATACTGGCCAATCGTCGCGACGGGCACGACAAAGACAATCGAGGTTGCAACGCCGGCCACGACGCCGACGACGAGGATAAAGTGCCAGTACGCGCGGCAGAAGCCGAGGGCGGCAAAGGCGGCGGCGTAGAGCAACAGCGCGGCGGCCAAGAGGCCCCGCGGGCCGCGGGCGTCAAAGACGGGGCCGACCTGCAAGCCGCAAAAGAAGACGGCAAAGTTGTAGATGCCAAAGATCCAGGCGACGCGGCCGGGGCTGGCCGTGGCGGCGAGCTGGTGGGAGCCGATCCACGCGGCGTAGACGCCCATGCTGTTCATGAGCCCGAGGCCGCCGGCCAGGGCGCAGAAGCTGCCGAGGAGCACGACGGTGGCGGCGCGCCCGCCCTCGGGGTACGAGGTGTCGGGCTGGGCCTCGGCAGGACCAAAGACGGAGCTGGTCTGGCACAGGCCGTTTTCGAGCTGGGGTTCGTCGGGGTCGACGGGTGGCTTTCCCGTCGTGGACTGCGGCGGTTAGTCTCAGTGGTGGTGGTTTGGGGGGGATTGAGTTGCTTACAACTGTGTCATGGCTTTTGAGAATGGCCTTGAGCTTGTGTATCATGTTTCTCTTTGGGGCTGAAACTGGTGTATATCAAAGGCGTATATCAAAGTAGCATACAAGTTGAGATGGTAATGAGCTGCCGAGTCACCACCTTGTGCAACATGGCCAATTGGCTCGCCTTTATACACAGTATCGCCCATGTTGAGTCCAATGCTAATGAGCGATTCGCCGAGATAATGGAGAAGATTCTATCCATGAGTCTCTGCGTCAATGGGTCATGAGCTTATTTACTGCTTATTTTCCCGTGTAAGTCGTGGGAGTGGTTTGGGCGAGGATTGGGCGATGGTACCTAAGTTGGGCCACGCTCGGCGAAAGCGACCCTAGGCTGCAACTTTCGGCCATTATCGAGTCCAGTCAGGCAGTGATGAAAGTTTGATCACAGAGCTGTTGGGAAATGAGTCACGGCGCTGTCGTATATAGCAGATGATTAATGATGACGGACGACGGTTATGAAAGTGCATCATCAATGCTGAGGGCTGTGTCGGGGTAGACGCCTGTGTGACACCAATGTGCATTATCCGCCGCTGTTCTGATTTCGCGTCTGGCTAGTTTATGAAAGTCAGCTTATAGAAAGTCAGCTTGGAGAACATTCATCAATCCAATTGTTAGAAAAAGGAAAAAAGATTTTTTTTTTTCAAGAGTTTTTTTTTTTGAGCACAGCACAAGCTCGTCTCCGTAGCCGCGGCGGCCAAGTATGTCCGTGTGGCACAGCTCGTACACCCCTGAATCTCATATGCCACAAGCTCAATGAAATGCTGTGCAGCGCCAAGACTTGAGCGGAATTGGCCAGAAAAAAAGTGTAAATCAAGCAGCATCCAAAGTTAGTATCCCAAAGAGAAAAAAACCACACGCACCAAAAAAAAAAAAACAAGCTTTTCCGCGTGCGATGTTGCCCACGTTTGACCCAGCTGTCTGTGCCTGAAAAGTACAGGCCAACGGTCGGCGCCAGCAGGCACTAGCAAAGTCTAGCATAACCGGAGCCGCACGCTAATAATAAGCAGTGGCTGATTGGTGGGTGGTTTGTTTGACATTTGAAAGTGTCAAGAGATTGGGCGAGGAATTGGCAGAGCAGGTCGCACGAGGATGAAAAGCGCTAGAAGAGTATTGCAAAGAAAACTAGCGCAAAGAAGAGGCCAGCCAAGAAGTTGTTCGTGGTGATGGTGGTGATGGTGGTGATGCAAGGGCGGTGGCGGCGGCTGAGACCATAAATTTAGCTTCTTGGCCCAGTCGAAACAGCAAGAAAAGAGAGACATGCGGAAACAAGACGATGAATCCATGTCCGTGTCTGATCTCTCGCAGCTAGCGGACCGCGTAAGACAGCCCCCAAAATTGCTTGGTACTCCCAGGTTGTCCCGGTTGTCCCAGTCTCCTGAAGGTCCTGCACCTCAGTGGCCTCTTATTAGCCACTACAGCTGCAGCTTGTCGATATTTCGAAAGCCACGGCGGGTAAAAAGCTGAACCAAAGTGCCCAGTCAACGTCACCTCTTTGAGCCACTCGGCTTGCTGATCCAAGCAATACATTGCCATAATGTGCTCTTGTTAATTTTCCGAATCCTGAAATGCCCAGTCTCCTCCTTTTCCTTTTTTCCTTTTCCCCTCTCGTTCATGACCGATCCAATCTAGCCTCCTCTCTCCTTCTCCTCACTTCTTCACTTCACTTGCCCTTCTCTTGCTCTCATCATCCTTCTCCCTCCTCGTATTATAAATCCTTCTTTTTAATTTGTTAGGCCCTCCATTTCATGCCGTCGCCATGCTCTTGAGGCGCGGCCACAACCGCTGGCTCGTCTTTTGCGCCGCCTTTTTCGCCGGCCTCTTCCTCTTTGCCTACTATGGCGATAATGGGGCGTCGATACGGCGGATGACGTCGACGAGCTCCTCCCCTTGGGCGGCCGACCTGACAGCCACACCTTTGTCCAAGCTGCAACCTCAACACAATGGCGACGCCGAGCTGGAGATTATTGTTGCCGCCACCAAGGAAGAAAACGTCACCTGGCTGCACGACTACCTGCTCGACTGGCCCAAGAACATATACGTCGTCGATGATCAGCAGGCCGCGCTGACGGTTCCCGAAAACAAGGGCCGCGAGGCCATGGTTGTTCTCACGTACGTTGCCCATGTAAACGACGGACAACGAAAATCCATCACCACTCAAAACTCATACATGGCCATGTATTACCATTTGACAGCCAGAATTTCTAACCACATTCCAACGCTAACCCTTGTCTCCCCCACCCTCTGCGCAGATACATCATCGACCGCTACCACACCCTCCCCGCCAACATGCTCTTCCATCACGCCCAGCGCTTCCAGTGGCACAATGACGACCCCGACTACGACGCCCTGCAGCTGCTCAAGCGTTTTCGCGTCGCCCACCTCGCGCAGCACGGCTACGTAAACCTGCGCTGCGCCTGGATCCTCGGCTGCCCCGTCGAGATCCGGCCCCTCGTCGACGCCCAGAGCGCCCCGGAAAACGACATCCCCACCGCCAAGCACATTTACAGCGAGGCCTTTGCGGAGCTCTTTCCCGACGTCGCCGTACCAGAGGCCGTCGGCGTGCCCTGCTGTTCACAGTTTGGCGTCACGCGCGAGACGGTGCGCGCGCGGCCCCGCGACGACTATGTGCGCTTCCGCGAGTGGCTGCTGGCCTCGGAACTGGATGACGCTATTAGCGGCCGCGTCTTTGAGTATGCGTGGCATGGTACGGAACGCCCTCATCATATCCCCATTGCTGAAGAATGCGTTACTGACTTTTCTTGGGGGGTCTTCTTATTTTGGCAGTCATTTTCAACAAGGAGCCCGTGCATTGCCCGCACGCTGGTGAGTGCTACTGCAAGCAGTACGGCATGTGCGACAGGCGCGATTGCGATAATGAGGGCTGCGCAGGGCAGTATGATCTGCCAAAATACTCGAACCTACCCGAGGGCTGGCCCATGTTTGGGTGGGATGGCGAGGACAGGCACTGGAGCGGCGAACTGTAAAAGCGCCTCGCACCACAAAAGGCTGATAATTTGATAATGGTTGTTTGAAATAGGGCTGGGTAGGGACTGGGCTGAGCATTGGATTGCATTACTTGGGGCGTTTTTCGGCATTTTTTCTTTCCTGTTCGCGGCACTCTGCTGGAACCTATTAATTATACATGCAGCATTCTTTGATATGACTCCATCGCAGCAGGCGGGCGAGTTTCTCGTGACACAAACCGCACAGGGACCACGAAGAAGTGGATTCAAGACGCAAGCACAAAGCTAAACTTGAAAAGATTGTAAATCTGTAATTGCATCTATAGGTAGTTTTGTGGTGGAATTCTTTCATTCGACCTGCACCAGACCCAACCGCCCAGTCGCAATCGCGTTTGCGCTGCCCCACCAGCCTCTCCTTGGACCGCATCACCAAGTTTACTCGCTCCAGCATCAAACCCTCGGCCATTGCTCCTCCTTTATCTTGCATTGCGGTCGGCCACGCGGGGTTCATTTTTATCACATCTGCACAATGGATCGTCCACAGCCTGCGTCCTCCAATCTCATGGGTACGTCTTTCGCGCCCGCGCGCCCGCGCCCGCGCGTTACCCGCGTCAAACTCGCACTTGCTTCCCGCCATATGTCAACTAACCCGATCATGTGTTGGATTGATCTCGCAGAGACGCACAACCGCCTCGTCGCCGCCATCCTTACCCACTACCGCACGCTCATGATGCTTGCGACTGTGCAGGCCGAGGACGATCAGGAGAGCGCCACCCCCGAAGCCACGGCCGTTGCCGGCATCGCCATGAAGATGGAATTTGACGGTTTAGTAAGCCTCTCGCCGTGACGCCCTTTGATTTCCTGCCGTTTTATTTCTTCTGCGTCTCCTCCTTTAGTTTTTGTGTACTTGGCCTTCTTTTTTTTTTTTTTTTCCTTTCGTTTTCTTCACATTACGCTTCTAACCACCACGTATTTTCTTTTCCACCGCAGTACTCGTCAGTCAAGGAGCTCCTCACGCTATCGCGCAAAATCAAGGAGTTGTGGGTGTTTGGCGCCCTCGGCCAGCAGGACCCCTCGCGCGAGGCGCGAGGCGCCCAGATTGAGCGCGACGTCGCGCAGGCGGCGGAGATGCTCAACGGCATCGAGGAGACGAGGATGAGGGCACTGGCCGAGGGACACGGCGGGACGTGGAGGCCGCTGCGTAGAGAGGACGTGCAGGCGCTACAGGCGCTGGCGGGAAAGCAGTAAAGGGGCAAAATGTCGCTGGTAATGTGCGCGCGAAGCAGTTCTTTTCTTTGCCCTTTTTTTTTCCCTGGGAACACTATGGGGCGTTGCGGTGTTTCGAGTTCTTTTTACAGACGGTCGTCTTTATTTTACATCATCGTCATTTATTGTATCGTTTATAGACGGAGAAGAATGCCCGCGCATTGCGGATGAATGCTTAATGCACCACATCAACCCGTGGCAAGATGCTGTCTAGTCAAACACGCTGTGTTCTTGTTCACCAAGCAATCTACAACAGTTGCAATCCATGCTCTAGCCCTGCCCGCCGTCGGGATCCTCCTCGTCCTCGTCGCCCAGCTGCTTGTCCACATCTTCCTCCTTGCCGCTCTCCTCCTTGGCAATCTCGGCCACCTTGAGACCACCAGCCGTCAGCCACAGAAAGTGGTTCGCCTTGAACTGGTCAATCTGGTTGAAGAAGGCGTGGAAACTAAAAAAAAAAAAAAATGACACACAAACGAGTTAGCCATCGTCACGTACGCAAGTGCTATTTGCAACCCGACAAGAGCAAATTCACTCACGTATTTTCTTTTTCCTCCACGTCAAAGATGCGCTGATAAATCTCTTTATCCTTGAACGCCCCCATCTTGTCCGCGTACTTTTCAAAATCAATCTCGTCGCGCCCCAGGTTATCCGTCGCGCGGCGGTTAAAATTTGTAAACACGGGGTGCTCCAGCAGCAAGCCGAGACCGGGCGCCTTGGGAATCGCCATTTTGTGGTTCTGGTAGCTCTCATCCATGCGCTCCAGCGGCGTGCCGCAGCGCACCATGAGGCTCACCAGGCCAACCATTTTCCGGATTTGGTGCATCATGAAGCTCTGCCCGTGCACCTTGAGCGACAGCCACTCGGTGTTGTTGATGAGGACCGGCGTCGGGTTCACCTTGAACGACTTGATGGTGCGCTTGGCCGACGGGTCGCCGTATGCCTTTTGCACCGTGTAGTTGTGAAAGTTGCGCGTCCCCGTGTACTTGTCGAGCGCCTCCTGCAGCCGCTCGCGGCGCGCCGGCGTGATGCGGTACCGCCTCTTGGCGTTGATGTACGCCGCCTTGATGTCGCGGAGGGCAAAGTCGACGGGGCCCAGCTCGCGGCCTTTCGGCTTGGTGCTGGTCAGGACGACGGGGTTTGCTGCGGCGGCTTCCGGCTCGGCATCAGTAGCAGGGGCTTCTTCGGCTACTAACTCATCATTCTTGGGTTCTTCCTGAACAGCTTCTTCCTTGGCCGCCTCTTCCTTGGCCGCCTCTTCCTTGGCCGCCTCTTCTTTGGCCGCTTCGGGGTCGTCTATTGAGTGGATGCGCTCCAGCACGGCGGCACGGACTTCGGGATCCAGCTTGGCAAGAATCGGCTTAATGTCGTTTTCCTCAACCTCTGCCCAAAAGTTCTTGACATCGGCCATGCTGGCATTATATTCATCCTCGTACCCATACTCCTTGTTCAGCTCAACGAGCTTCTGGCCCAGAAATGTCTGCGGGTGCGGGGGCAGCAGGCAGTAGCTGGGCAGCAGGTATTCGTAGAAGCGAGAGTCGCAGTACTGGTAGCAGTTGAAGCTGTTGTTGGTTCGCTGGATGCCCCAGATGCGAATCTGCTCCGGCAGCGCCGCGTTGATCTTGTCCACAATGTCCTCGTCCTCGATGATGAGCTTCAGGCTGATGACGTTGCCCGCGGCGTGGACGCCCTTGTCCGTGCGCGCGCACCGGGCCAGGCTCGACTTGCGCGGGTCGTCTGCGTTGGCCTTGGAGATTGCGCCGGCCTTGATGAAGGCCTGGAACAGGTCCCTCTCGATCGTGGGCTCGTCGCCGTTGACCTGCATGCCCTTGTACCCGGTGCCGCTGTACCCAATCATGACGGCAACCTTGCGCTTCGGTCGTCGCTCCTCGGCCGCAATCTCGTCCTTGGAAAAGGGATTCTTGGCCTCGATGACCTCGCCCGCGGAATCTACCTTGCGCCGCTTGTACTCGCGCCAGTCGCTGGCTCCTTCGCGCTTCTCGCCGCGCTTGTTACTGCGACCTGTTAGTTCTCCTTGGTTGGCGCGATGCACTTTTAACAGACAGACAACAAAAGCAGGAATCGGGAGGGGGGGGGGAAAAGTTGGGTGTGGGCGGAAACCTACTCCGACGACTTGCCGCCACGGCCTTTTTTGCGCTGGTTGTTGCTGTTGAATCGAGAGCCCCCGAAGCGCTGTTTACGGTCCTGGCGAGAATCATTCCTGCCACCCGCGGGCGGGATACCCGCAGAAGACTCGCCATTTGTCGCCATGGTAGCATTGACTCTGGTTCAGCGATGCAATGGGGATTGGGAGCATGGCAGATCTAGATCATCTGAGAGAAGAGAATTTCTGAGCCCGCCGCGACTTTGTGGGGCCGTGGGGCGCTATGCCAGGGTGCTGTTCCAGCAGCGTCGCTTACAAGTCAATAATCATTATTCAATCTGGTTCAGAAGAGTATCCTGCTCTTGGCTAAATATAATAAACGCTTCATTTCATCGCAAATTTCCGTGCAGATCGTTACTCTTCAAGCCTCAACGACGGGGCCGTTGTACTGTTTCTTGGCCCGGAAAACGTAGTATATGGCACTACAACCCATGACAGCTCCTGTGCCCAAGAAAGAATAGTTCATAGTTTCAGCTCTGACAGGTGTTGCGGGAGGCCAGAAGCTGAAGAACAAGACAAAACTCAGGTATAGGCACGCAAAAACATTGTTCGCTGTGCCTAGCATGGCATTGAGACGCCACGGGCCCCATACCAGCTCGTCCGGCAAAGCAGTCTCTTGTTCATCATCGCGCGGTTCGGCGACGGCACCAGTGACTCGACGCCATAGAAATAATGAAAGTGTGATGAGGTATGAAGCGTATAGACATGAGATTGATAGAGACAGTACGTCATTCAGGGCCACCTCGGAGCCAATGTTGATGAGTGTGAGGAGACAGGTAATGATACCAGTAATGGAAACTGCCCATACTGGAACCTGGCTGCTTGGATTGACCTGTATAATGGTTAGCATGTTGAAGACACAGTCTTTTGGAGAAGATTCTCTGTTAGGGCTGTGCAGTAAACGTACCTTGGAGACAGTCTGCCAGAATGGGACGCCATGATCACGCGCAAAGGACCACAAGACGCGCGACGCCGAGACGTACAGGCCAATTAATGCACAGATGCCCATAGTGGCAATGATAGAGCCCATGGCGGCGGCGGCAGCTGCCGATTTGGTGACAGCATAGAAAACGTCCAGCATGGGAAAGATGAACTGGGGTGGGCCGTCAGGCAAGTTAACGAGACTGAAGCAGACGGCAATGAGCATTGAAAGGCCGAGGACGCCATTGATGAGCATGCCAGAGACCATCGCTCGTGGGATGTAGATGGACGGTTTTTGAATTTCTTCGGCCAACTAAAGACTGTTAGTGTCTACCCGCACTCGAGTGTAATTCCGTATCTCACGTGAAAGGCCGCATCGGCGCCTATAAACGATAGTTAGTCAAAGGCTGCGTCTCAACTTGAGAGGGGTTAACTTTACCAATAAAAGCAAAGGCGTTGCCAATCATGCCTACCAGGACGGAAAGACCCTGTGTTGGCCAGTTGCCACCATTCATAAACGTTTGAAAAACGCTCGCGGCATCGCCGTGCTCGCCCATTGTCACTAAAGTAACCAGAATGCCAACAAAGGCTGTGAGGTGCATCACCAGGATGGCAATCTCAATCTTTGGCAGCAGAAAGTTGAGGAAGATGGCAATGAACCAGCAAACCACCATCGTCCCAATGCTGAGCAGCGTGTTCTGCCAACCTGACGGCTGGTAAGACGGCGCCGAGAGAAGGGCGAGCCCCTGTGAAAGGTTACCGCAGAGATAGGCGGCCGATGCGACGCTGGCCTGCCAGCCTGCTGCGGTGAGCCAGCCCGTGACGAAACTCAGCAGATTGCGGCTCTTTTTTGGCGCGAGCATCCATACCCAGTGGTACTGTCCTGCAGACGTGGGTGCGATGGAGACCATTTCGCATAGGGCGGTGAATGTGCTCAGGTTGCCGACCCAAATTATAATGTAGGTATATACGAGGCCACCGGGGCCGCCATTCTCCAAACCCTGGGAGAAGAGAACGAGGGACGCCTCCCATGTGATGAGCACGGTGACGCTGAGACTGAGAATCGACACAAAGTTAAAATTGCGCTGCATCAGAAAACCACTCGTTAGCCATCTTCACCATCACATGTTGCACTATCTTGCATCGGGAGCTCACCTTGAGTACCGGTTTCTTTCCCAGCTTGACCAACTGATCACGGTCGTCCACAGCAGCGACGATGGAGGGTTCGATTTTGCATAGCTCGATCTCGCCCTCACCGCTGCTCTCCGCGTAAAGTATCTCGGACTTTTTGCTGTCCATTGTGTTGTTGGTGAGCAGATGGAATCCCGCAGTGGAGAGTCAAGAATGGGGAAATCGTGGGGTCAAGTACGAGGCTGCTAAGGTGGGAATGACGGGTTAAATAAGGCGGCCCGAGTTGACTCCGTGACATGAAACGGAGGAGGTTGTATTCGGGCAACGGAAAGTGACCCAATGTCCCGCTCACGGACCCTCCGATATACCGGGGCCAATCTATCTCTTCCCCAAAAAAAAGATAGAGAACCAGCGAGCCATGACCCTTGTTTTTCAATTGCAGTGTGGCAGTCCATCGGCATATGCGCAGACGCTTGAGTGGCGTAAGCCACAAATTGGAGTAAACTTCGACGGCTTTCAATTTCCGCAGCCTTCCTATTTGCTTGGTAATGTCCACCAACTCCATACTTTAGGCTGTGTATCAAGATAGCTGGCCGCTGTCACAGATAATAGCGTTTCTTTCTGCTTCTCGCTATCTTCAAGTCGCAGAATTGCCCCGTGTCCTCCTGATAAAAATCCCTGTAGGCGGGTCCTAACGCCGCGTAAAGCGTAGCAGTTTCGTTGATCATGCAGTTTTTTCGACGGGTCTAGTCAAGCTGGCCAAGAGACTACTAAACTTAATTCGCCAGCGCACTAAGAGCCTGGTCAATGGTTTTACCAGTGAGCCTAACATGATGGTTAATCAGGTGTCTAAAAAAAAAATAAAAAAAAAATAAAAAAAAGCCTCTACCGCAGAAAGGTTCGCAACTTACTTCTGAAATACTTCTCTGTACTTGCTCGTTGTCTCTGCGACAACATTTTCAGGAAGGACAACCTAGGAGTTGAAATGTCAATGTAACCGTCTCCAACACCTTGTGCGACATTGCTATGCACATACACCAGGTTTGCCTTTGAGGCCGTTGGCAGTCAGGTAGTCTCGAATGTACTGCTTGTCGTAACTCGGCTGGTCCACGCCGACCCGAACCGGGGCGGGCCAGAAACGTGAGCAGTCAGGCGTCAAGACCTCGTCGACAAGGATAATTTCATCTGTTTTTTCATCGAGACCTGGATTGTGCCCGGCAAGCGTTAGAAGAGGTGGCGGGGGCGGGGGAAGGCTAACAGCGGGCTATGCATCATGCAGGAAAGCGGCAATTTAGAGCAATTGCGGCTGCCATTTCCGTCAACCTACCAAATTCCATTTTAGTGTCAGCAATGACAACGCCGCGCTCCAGTGCGTAGGCGTGCGCAGCCTTGTAGACCTTTAGAGCGAGAGCCTCAATCTGGTTGGCATATTTGTCGCCGATAATCTTTCGGGCCTGATCAGGCGAAATGTTCTCGTCTTTTTCGCCCACAGGGGCCTTCGTCGAGGGCTGCGATAAGAATGATTGATCAGTTGACGGTTCGACAAAGTGATACTACCTGCTGAGTCAACCTACCGTGTAAATGGGCCCGCCAGGGAATTCCTGGCAGAGCTGAAGCCCCTTCGGAACATCAATTCCGTGCACCGTTCCGCTCTTCGAGTATCTGTAAGAGCATTGCGCATTAGGATGCCCAAGGGCGCCAAGCCTGTCACTGCCTGGAACGCAGCGTGGCACATTCCTGGTACTCACTCGCTCCAGGCCGAGCCTGTGATGTAACCGCGGACAATCGCCTCAATCGGAAAGACCTTGAGGGAGCGGATTTGCATGCATCGACCGCGCAGAAGGGCGTGCTCTTCGGCGGTGACGACTTCCGGGGTCGCGGGAGGGCGCATGCTAATAACGTGGTGCTTGAGCTCGGGAACACGCTCCCGGAGAACATCGAACCAATGCGCTGTCTGTGTCTTAGCCTGGGCAATCAGTCCAGAGGGCGCATCAATGCTAACAAGAGATTTGACAAAGGATGTGTCCCTTATCGGGGACTCCATTGGAGAGAATCTCGTCGTAGGCTGAGATACGGTCGGTCACAGCCATGAGCAATGACGAGTCATCAATCTTGTAGAGCTCACGTACTTTGCCGCTATACGAGCTTGTCAGCATGGCCGCATTGATTATGGATTTGATATGTATATGCTACTCACCTAGCCACGAGGGGTAGCGACTGTAGCTTTACAGTGGTGATGCCAGCAGCAGCCATTGTGATGATAGAGAGCCTTGCAGCGGGGTCGCTGGAGTGGAGGATGTCGCGCGGTCAGCAGACTTTGCCAAGTCGAAGAGTTGATTGCTGATGACGGCGTGCGTACTTGTGAATGGTTCTCAGTTTGATACAATCGATGGTATGCCGTCAGCGAGTCTGGTTTCAATGGGTATCGCGGTCAAAATTTCCTCAACGATGACTTTTTTTACTGGCGCCCGCGAGAACCCGCGCCTTCGGATCATGGCGGGGCAAGTCGAGACTCCACAAGGCTGCTAGAAGGATAACTCTTGCATGCAACTTTTTATCAATAATAATAGGAAATTTTGAGGAAAGGTCACTGAGTAGGTGCCGATTTCATTAATAATGGCGTCTTCTTTCATACTGATAGCACAAAGGGTCAATTTCGGGAGCTTCAACCGCAGCGCCATTTCCATCCGTCTTCCAGTCCGTCAATGCCCGGCCCGCCATCCTCACTGCAGGACAGTGTGCAGCGATAACTCAATCTGCTGCTCGAAACTTTGTAAGAAGTTCTGACAATGACGCAATCTCTCAAAGGATATACTGATACAGCCATGACGCTCTCTTCTTCTGTGCCATCTTGTGCCTTCCGGACAGGTGCCGTCAAGCCACATATAGACTCGCTAGCAGCTGTATCTTTTGACTTTTGTGGTACGCGAGTAGCAGAAGTTGTCACATATGGGCAGCTATAGGTCGAAATAGTTGTACCGGTTGGCCTCGCGATTCTGTGATGAGCTGGTGCTGCATGGTCTGCAGCAAAAGTTGTCGTAGTGGCCGTAGGCGTGCTCCGGGAACTCGCTCCCTCTACCATCATCGTGTATCGTATACCATTAGCGCTGCTAGACGGCATGTTAGCACAGTAAAACCAAAAATCTCCTCTATATTGTAATTTTGATTCAAAGTCCGCCGTCACTCACCCCTGTGCGGCAGATTCCTGCGCGTCTTGCTTCTTTCCCAGCTGCGTGTCATGTATCCGGCCAACTACGGCGGCGACAATGAGGCAGACGAGAAAGGCAATGAAAATAGATGTACAGAGTCGTATGACGAGCGTTTTCTTGGGTAGCTCTCCATGCTTTTTTCCCCGCCCAAGAACGTCGTCCTGATAGTAGGGCGGCGTAGTCATGGCTTCATCTCGGTAGGGCGGCGGCTGATTGCGCGGGCTCGGAGGAGTACTTTCGGCGAGTGTGGTGTCGCTCGACGCGTAATGGTGCGTGGCCACTCGAGCTTGCGGCCATGCACCCAGTCTGGTGCCAGAGACTGGGGGCGATGAGGCTGCTGAATATGATCGACCCATGGTGCAAAGAGTACTAATAGTACACTCTGTCTGGCTGTGCAGCAAATACCACGATGCAGTCGACCATCGAGTGGCTAAATTACCAGAACGTAGCCGAAAGGAGTTTTTTCGTTCAAACCTGGGCGCAGTACCTTCTTAGAGGTGTTACTTCTACTTGTCACATTTTTGAGGCCTGCCGCCTGATCGCTCCATGCCAGAGGCCTGGTGTTGGTGATCGGTGGCTGAACTGGGACTGGAATGAGTGTCGGTCATGACACTTACACCAGTGGGCACCAGAGACACTCGTAGCGCTAAACCAAGTAGAAGAGTAATTTCACCGAAACATGTCTGACTGTCTCACTCATCCCTTCCTGCGCTACGTCAAGACTTGCGCATTGCTTGATTATGTCTTTGGCGGCAGCACGCTGAGTCAGAGGACTATGATTGGCTCTCCCTCTCTACTGTCTGTTATTTCTTTCGCACATGGAAGCTGCAGATTCGACGAAAGTGAAAGTCCGAATAAGTCATTCAGCGAAGCCAGGAACGTCTCATGACGCTCAGGTTTGAGATGGACGGACAGTTGACAGTATAGGTGGGCGTTGTGCCTAGAAGTACACACGCCATGTGAGCCTATCTAATAGTCAAATCCGGATTTCAAGCTTCTCTCTGACGTAAAAGTCGCTAAACTATTTAATAAAAGTCATGGTGAGTGACTTGGCTTGTTGAGGCAGTACAGAGGCAAGAGCAGAAGCGACTCCTGGAGTGCATTCAAGGCACTTCCAATTGACAAAGCTGACGACTTAAAGCACATATTGCACGCACGCTTCTTTCTTCTTCAAAATACATAGAATTAAAAGCAAGTGCATCATAACGGCATAGCCCAGCGAAGCTGAACTGCACGCTTTCGCTCGCATTATCGAATATAACATCCTGGCCCGGCCAATTAGACAGTGCTTACCATCAATAAGACCGCGATATTATCGGTCGCGAGCAGCGCATCAGAGTGAGCGGGGATCAGGAAGACAGGATCCGAGTATTACTCCACAGAGTTCATAACAACATGACAAAAGTTCCGGTTGCTGCAGGGTACATCCACCGAGAAGAGAAGGTAAGTAATCGCAGCTAAAGGCGCAATAACACCAAATAGTGACAAAATGAGAGGACGCCACAGGGTCGGCTCGTAATGGGACCGGCAACACTCTTCAAATATTGATTCGATGTCGGAGCTTGAACGAGTTAAAGCACCTTGAGTATAGGGAGAGATTCGTCGACTGTATTTCAATGATTTTCTTTTGTTTTTGGCATAGACATCTTGGGGAATTACCCCGCGATTTTATCCACCGTTGGTGACCGACCTGTTTTTTACCTTAGAGCACGGTTGCATGAGTATCTAGACCTTTTGAAGGGCGTTTACTTGTCTCAAATAGCTCGGTCCCCATTGTCGGTCTTGCCGAGATGGAACAATGCTGTTGACGCGATGGGGATATTGCAGGGACATTGCAGATGCGTGGCTGCAGACCTACATATAGTTTCTGGGGCAAGCCGGGGTTATGCTGCATCGGCGGGGGCCCTTCCTTAGGCTTCTTCTCCGCCAAAAGGACTCTTAGCTCATCTCGGACAGCGGTAATGCATGCGACCCGTTCATTTTGGGTCTCGGGTACGGGGCTGGCGAGCCGAGTCATCTGGTAAGGCACTCTAAACCGATCACAGCCTAGATGTGGACCGGCTTCCCGGTTTGGTGTTTGCAGAACATCTGAAGTCCATCTATATGACTCCATGTTGTGTGAAAGCCCATGACTACCATGGTCAGCTGTTAAGAAGCCCGTTTCGCGCGATTGCTCGGTAGCCCTGCCAAACTCAGACCTCGCCTAGCTTGTAAGCTACTCTGCCAGATGCAGTATACGCCATCAATCGAGTTCCGTCACTTTCGTTTCAGTTTCTCCGTACCAACGCAGTTGAGTACGACGTGTTCATCTTCGATAGCGTGTCTGGTAAGCTTGAGAGTGCAGACATTGCCAATGTCGTCCCGCGGATAGACGATGCCGCCGCTAATTTAAACCAGCAATAATAGCGCCAGTGTTGGTTTCCGCATTGCAACGGACAAAATAAGACTTTCAGTCTCGTCTCTGGCAAATACAGGCATATTTACCTGTTGAAACCGAGGAGCTGCATGTCCTGAGCTCAGCATGGAGATCCATTGATCTCGAGATCAACTACGTTAATCTCGATGTGTCTGGCCGCGGCATGGCCTACTAGCCGGATAAAGTTGCGCATCTCGTTATCGATACTGGCTCAAGAATCTGGGACGCAATAGACGGAGCCTAGAAAATGTAGATGAATGAGGTATCGCGTCTGGCCACGTTCGTCGGTAAGCGAGGAGCGAGCATAGTGCGCTTCATAATCGATGTATGGCGGCCCAGGGCTTAACCCCGTCTCCCGAGAGTTGGTGATTGGTAGCGTAAATATACAAAGAACCTATGCTATGATTGATCCAAATGTTCCTCTGGCTGTCTAGTCGCCTTGTGAGTTGGCCGTCACATGCCCATGTGTCAAGGTGTGCAAGCCTAAGCAACCGTATCTAGCGGCTGGGTTTCCGCACAGTGGCACGTCTCCAGATAGATATCGCGATGAGCTTGCATTGCCGCACTGTAGCCCTGCAGAAGATTTTGTAACAGAAGACCCAGTTCGTGACAAGCACGCCACGTTCGCTAGTGCGCCTCCGCGATGCGTCAAAGGGCCCAGATGGTTGGTGGTTGGTTGGAAATGCAGAGCTGAAGAGGTCGGCAGCGACATCCGGAAAATTCTAGCGCCTTTGGGAATGGCCAGCATCTTTGGTCATCTTAGTAATAGTTGCCGCGGGGCGGCTGTCGGACAAGACACTAACAGGTTTCCGCGGGCATCTCACCCGCGGCTGTTAGCATCTCGTCGGCCTGTCGGGGTGGAGCGCAGGCAGCCCAGGGTCAACCCAGACTGATAACGCCATTTTCGCCCCAGAGCACTCAACTTTAACTTGCCCAGCCTGGGAGTCAACTCGGATGCGTCCCGTCAGCCATCAATCACGCAAGATCCCCCGTTCTCGTTTCGCCTCCCCGCCCGTGCCACGACCCTCGTATATTGCGAAGCGCATCGCCCGATTCTTCAGCATAGTCTCTCGGCGTCTGCCCTTCCCTGTCTCGTACACGCAGCCCCCGTCTCGCGTGCTTTCATTCAAAATCCGATCCTGCATTGCGACAGAGTGTGACCTCAGTCGGGCTCCCAGCACTTGTTTCAACCTCGATCAGACGCCTGCCCCTGCATCCAAGTTGCCGAGCACCAGGAAACCCCTGCTTTAGCATTGCTGAGCGTTGACGCCATCCGGCGCTGACAAGCCGCAACTCCAACATCCGCCATTTGGCTGCTCGACACACACGTAGAGCACGCCATCCCACCCTCTGTCCGCCTCAGCACCGCAGCAGCCGATGGCTGGCCCTGCTCTGCACCCACGCCATTTTTAAATATGGCTGCCCGTCCTCACCGCATCCCTTTTGACATGACACACGCAACTGACTCTGACGCTACCTTACTGGCGTCTGCTAGTCAAGACAACAATGTAGCTGTCCAACAACATAATCAGCAAACCGCACCTGCGACCTCACATAACTCTCAACACAAATCTCAACCCTCTCGAGATAATTGCGATCGAAGAAGACCTGCGGAGGAGGAACACTCCCGGCTCAAGAAGATGCCTTCGGCGCTGGTTGGTAAGACCGTCAGCCCGTTTCTGAAAGAGCACATCCCAGGCATTTACGCGCCGGTCGGTAAAGATTTCCAAGATGAATCTTCCCACACACCGCCAGTTTCTGTACCGAGGGATGCCAATACTCGATTCTGCTACCGCCATCGCCCGGACTCCAAGTGCCGGCGAACCGCCGACGAAACTAAGATGGGCATGATCCAAAGGGTACGTTAAACACCACTAAAGACTGGATTGTCATGCTAACGCGCCCGCAGGATCTCAACAGTCTCTCCGCTGCCGATCAAGAGGCCATCACGCATGTTTGGTCTCTCTTCTCAGCCGCACCTGCCAAACACCGAGAGCTTATGCTCCAGGGCATCATTACACAGTGCTGCTTCCCACAACTCTCGACCGTCTCCCGCGAAGTACAAGAGCAGCTCAAGATCGACTTTTTGACGGCTCTCCCGACAGAGCTGTCCTATAAAATCCTATGCCACCTCGATACAGTATCGCTGTGCAAGGCCGCCCAGGTCAGCCGTCGCTGGCAGAATCTTGCAGATGACGATGTAGTCTGGCACCGCATGTGCGAGCAACATATCGATAGGAAGTGCACCAAGTGCGGCTGGGGCCTGCCGCTGTTGGAAAAGAAGAAACTCAAGGCATGGAGTCGTCACCAACATACAGCGCATGGCAAAGAAAGCGAATCGAGCGAGACTGCCGACGAGGTTAATGGATCCAACAAGCGCCCCCTAGAGGATGAAAGCGCACCTTCCAAGCGACCACGTCTCGACGGTACTGGCCCGTCTTCGGCTTGTCTCGAGACGGAGCGCAAGTTTCGTCCCTGGAAAGATGTCTATCGCGATCGTTTCAAAGTCGGGTTCAACTGGAAGACAGGCCGCTGCACCATCAAGACCTTCAAGGGCCACGAGAATGGTGTCACTTGTCTCCAGTTTGATCAGAATATTCTGGCTACCGGCTCGTACGACACCACGATCAAGATATGGAACATCGAGACTGGCGAGGAGCTACGTACTTTGCGCGGACACACAGGCGCAGTACGAACATTGCAGTTTGACGACAGCAAGCTCATCAGCGGCAGCTTCGATAAGACTATCAAGATTTGGAACTGGCAGACTGGAGAGTGTCTGAGCACCCTTCAGTGTCACACTGACGGTGTATTGTCGGTACACTTTGACAAGGGAACGCTGGCGTCCGGTTCGATCGACAAGACGGTCAAAATTTTCTGCTTCGACACAAAGCAAACGTTTTATCTACGTGGCCACACTGACTGGGTCAACCATGTTAGATTAGACACTGCATCTCGAACCGTCTTTTCTGCATCTGACGATTTGTCTATCAAGTTGTGGGATTTGGACACGAAGCAGTGCATCAAAACTTATCTCGGTCACGTCGGTCAAGTTCAGCAAATTCTCCTCATGCCTCCCGATTTTGAACCAGATGAGGTTCCCAGCGAGGAGGACAACGATTCTTCCTCGGTGCATAGTGGCCGGAGCGCGACGCCGACACCGTCCGCCCATGTTGATCGGTCTGTGTTTGGCCCCGGATTCGAGTCGGAATCGCGACCACTACCGCCGCGATACATGCTCACGGGTGGACTCGACAATACGGTACGTCTGTGGGATATTGCCACTGGCAAGTGTATTCGCAGCATGTTTGGCCACGTCGAGGGCATTTGGGGTCTAGTCGGCGACACTCTGCGTGTTGTCACTGGGGCCAACGATTCGATGACCAAGATTTGGGAGCCTCGTTCTGGCAAATGCGAGCGCAGCTTCACTGGTCACGCCGGGCCGGTGCAGTGCGTTGGCCTGAGCGATAGTCGGATGGCCAGCGGAAGTGAAGACGGCGAGGTGCGCCTCTACAGCTTCGAAGGCGAGGCCAAGGAGGAGCGGGGAACGCCCTCGTAAACCTGGCCACCATTTGAGACGTGAGGCTTTTGCAAATTATTTTTTTCTTTTGGTTTGGTTTCTTTCCCTTTGTTTGGCGTCGAAACGGCATGGCACGCAAGCACTGATGGTTTATATAATGGATACCCCTGTCACGTACAACACAGATGGAAAAAAATACCGGATCTTGATTTGTGGTTGGACTTTTCGACATGGCAGGCAAGGAAAAACATATTAAAAATAAGACAAAATGTTGGGATGGACGGTGTTTGGGAAGATGATTTCTGCTCCTGGCAATGAAAGAAATGGATAAGAGACGGTGAAGGCATCAGTGCCCAAAAACATGTGCGCAAAGTAGGGACAGTGATAGAATTGAATAACGGCCTAGGATTGAGCTTTATTACTCTACATTTGGTCAGCAGTGCTTTCACATGTGAACGCTAGGCATACCACTAACTAGCTGGGCCAAGTCGCAGACTGGGGATGTTTGAGTCGCGCGTATCCAGCCCAAACTCGTAAAAAGTCGAAGCTTACCTATGGATGAATTCTCGTGTCTATCAAGACGTTATTGTATTCACCTGTGTTCGTTTGCATGTTCACTATATTACAAGAGAGAGGAGACGAGCTGCAGGGGACCACATCTCCTTGTGGTCCATGACTGTGTAGGCAATGCAGCCCCTCGACGGAGCGTCAGCCCACCATCTGTCTCGTGACGGTGTGCCATTAGAATATAAAAATAAGGCATGTCATAATTATTATGATGCGAAGCCGGCGCAAAGTCATACACAGTCGGTCATCACGCTGGGCTGGTTTTTTGGCGGCGCCTAGGAACGCGCCCCGGCGATAGAGCCCCGGATTCCGGTCGGAGCTCCGCTGAACCGGAGTTTTCAGGGCGTCTGTTGCGCTGAAGTTTGGGAGGGCCCGCTGAGACCTTTTGGGGGGGTTTTGGGGCGATGATGATGGGCTTTTGGTAAACGGGCATATGTCTCCCGAGGTTAAAGATGGGACAAAGCGGGTAAAGATCGATTCGGTAGTTAGTCGCACTTTGACTTCAACTCATAAGGTTGTTTCTTTGTTTCCCTTTTTTACAGAGTAGTAGCGCTCAATGCCTCGGCAAAAGCTGATCCCCACGGGCTGGGTCGACTTAAGCTTCATAATCTCAAGATGGCTGGTCATTTGGTGCAAACGTTTAGTTAGATTAGCGTGCATTGGAAACGGCTCGGGCGCTGTATCTTGCTGTAGTATCTTACTGTGGCAGAATCCATCTAAGCGCAGCTCGATTCATCAGTGGCTTCTGTGCACACAGCGAGACCTTCTGGAACGCCCCGGCTAACTAACCTAGGTACCTACCTAGGCCGACGTGCGTAAGTATGCAGGCGGCAACGGTCTCACAAGTAGTAATAATATAAGGGTCCTTGTATTGCAGGACCCGGAGGTAACACCGGATTATTACTCGGAATGACGGGTTTTACTCTATACTGGTACGAGAACTACAAGATTTTTTCTTTGAAGTGACATGAAGCGGTTTTCGGTGCTAGACGAAAAGGATACAACAGAAATTTAGCAACCTACCTACGGTTCGAGATGCCCAACGGCGCATCGACTCCAAGCAAAGTCTCGAGTATTTATTACCAGACCAAGAAGTGTACAACGACGACTCACCGTCTCACCGATGAAATAAGCTGCTACAACGATCAACTACCACTAAGCCCTCGCTGGAACTTTGATCAAATCTTGGCGCAGGCCTACAAAGTAGTGTGAGGTGCCGGGTGTAGTAAGCCTCTCAGCAAACTGTGGAGAGGGTGAGGTGATGTAGATGATGCTTGGTGCATTGGTCACTCTGACTGGTGATGAGGTGTGTGGGCAGCTGAAGTACCGGAAATGAAGTTGCTTTTGTTTTTCTGATCCTCTACTATGGTTTTTTTTTTTTTTTCGTTAAATTTCGACGTCGATTAGAATCTGGGTAGCTCAGAGTAGGAGTAGTTGAGTCGCTTTGGTCGTCTACATGTCCAAAGAGCCGAGCCCCTTTGGTCCGACCCGGTCTCCCCCGGAGCCAGAAAACCAAGAAGGAGAGCCAATGCGGCTCAAGTAAAATCCAACCTGTCTCTAGACCCAGTTTCTCTCCTTTCCGACCATTAATACTCCGTCCAGGGCCCGCCCCACGACAAACCCACAAGTTACAACGCTGCTGCCGGTGGGGGAAGGGAAGCGCCCCCGGGGTTTTTCTCTCGCTCTGGATCCCCCCCTCCTACCACCAACCTTACGACATGGTTTGCCCTTCGGGCTGGCGGGGGACCCAGAATCATATGCTAAAAGTAGCCCGGGGTTGTGCGTATGTGTGTGTGTGTGTGTGTGTGGTCGCCGCAAGTCTGCATGTGCTCCAAAGGTCAAAGCTATCGGCGAGCCGTGACTGTAACCTTTCTCTGGCCGGAGCCGGCTCTTGTCGCAACTCTGACTTTTTATTGATTTCTCATCCTTTTACATTCCTGCAATTCGTTTCTTTGTTCCCCTTTGCCTCTTGAAAACTCTCCGCTCTACCGGCTTCGAGAAAGCATAGCTCGTTGTTAATCATCCTTGTCGTTGCTTCTTCCTCTCCTCGTGCGCGAAAGCCTCGAAAACGAAACTCGCCTTTCCCTCCGTCCGCCAGCGTCACTGTTCCCCTTGTCGCATACCCAAAGAAGCGAGTCGCGTCTTTGCTTTGATACCATATCTTGACAGTAGAGACATTTGCGCAAGTGTTCTTCTACTCTTTTTTGCTTCGCTGCCCTCCCTGGACAACACCTAGCTCTCGTTCCCGTCGTCCCGTCCCATCTGCAACAATGCCGAGCCAAGCCGCCGACGGCAAGAAGAAGCCGCCCACGGCCGCCGTCAACCTGATTGGTATGTAATTGGCGCGCTCAGAGCGCTTCTGCAGAACACAGTATAGTCGATTGAAGCTGACGTGAATTTTTTTTCTTACAGCTGGTGGCTCTGCTGGTATGATGGAGGCCCTCGTCTGCCATCCCCTCGGTAAGTCATGGTGAAACTCCCCCCCCGAGGCGCAAAGAGAGGCTCGGCAGCTCCCCACAAGTTCGCAGCACCCGATCGCCGGGGCCGCGGCACAACGGGCAGTGACGTATCTGCCCGTGAAAACAGCCCAATTGGCCCTCTCTGTTACTGCCAAGAAGACAAAAATGACGTATTCGGGAAAAGAGAAGAGAGAAAGAGAAGAGAGGGAAAAAAAAGACAAGGGCCGTTGATTTCGCTAACATGGCCCAGATACCATCAAGGTCCGTATGCAGCTCTCGCGCCGCGCCCGCGCCCCCGGTGCCCCCCGCCGCGGCTTCGTGCGCACCGGCATCGAGATTGTGCAAAAGGAGACGCCCATGGCGCTGTACAAGGGCCTCGGCGCCGTGCTGACGGGCATCGTGCCCAAGATGGCCATTCGCTTCACCTCGTTTGAGTGGTACAAGCAGCTGCTCGGCGACAAGACGACGGGCGTGGTGTCGGGCCAGGGCATCTTTTTCGCCGGCCTGGCCGCGGGCGTCACCGAGGCCGTCGCCGTCGTCACGCCCATGGAGGTCATCAAGATTCGGCTGCAGGCCCAGAGCCACTCCATGGCCGACCCGCTCGACGTGCCCAAGTACCGCAACGCCGCCCACGCCCTCTACACCGTCGTCAAGGAGGAAGGCTTCGGCGCGCTGTACCGCGGCGTCTCCCTCACGGCCCTGCGCCAGGGCACCAACCAGGCCGTCAACTTCACCGCCTACTCGTACTTTAAGCGCTGGCTCATGGACTGGCAGCCCCAGTTTGACGGCAAGAACCTGCCCAGCTGGCAGACGACCCTGATCGGCCTCGTCTCCGGCGCCATGGGACCCCTCAGCAACGCCCCCATTGACACCATCAAGACGCGCCTGCAAAAGGCGCCTGCCCGCCCGGGCGTCAGCGCCTGGGTTCGCATCACGCAGATCGCCGCCGACATGTTCAAGCAGGAGGGCTTCCACGCCTTCTACAAGGGCATCACCCCCCGCATCATGCGCGTCGCCCCCGGTCAGGCCGTCACCTTTACCGTCTACGAGTTCCTGAGAGAGCGCCTCGAGAAGAGCAACCTTGCTTTCGTCGGTGGAACGTTTGAGGAGTAAAAATCGGGACAAACCCGCAATACCGCGGCGCCTAGTACGTTAGCACACGACAAAGTACAACACTGTTCTCTCGACTTGCACACACAAACACAACAACATACACTCGCGCCTACGTCAGACGAACATGAACTCTTGGTTATATACCCTGTCAACGAGGACCTGTGGTTTCTATACAATTGTCCAATAGTATAGAACCAATTATTATTTTCTTTTCCCTTTTCTTCCTGTTTATTTAGAGGCATCATTTGATTGGTATTATATATTACGTTGGGGTGCCGGCGTAGCTGAGGCTACGAATCATGGTGGAAAGACGCTAGACAAGATCGTGTCTTGCCGCGTTCTGTCGCATATCTTGTCTGCATTCTCTTAGATGTCAAAAATGAAATAAAATAAGAAAAAATGTCTCCAAATTTCCTTTAAAACAATCGCATAGAGTCGTATGCTTCTAAATCTGCGAAAATCTGCGGACAATTTTCCGTCCATCTTGTAAGTACTCCTATCCATCTCTCACCGGCCAGGTCGCTTCGGTCGGCTGAAACCTTGCCGCGCCGCCGGCTTTGGGTGCAGGTCATCCAAGACCAGCTGCTCTGTCACCTCGCTTGTCTCTTCCACCTCAAATTTCTTTTCAACCGTCAGGCCGGCCTCCTGGTCTGCAATGGTCAAGACCGCCCGCTTCATCAAAGGATACATCATGCGGTTTTTTATCGACTTGGCGCCTGTGGACGCTGGGCATGTGTAGAAAAAGAGCAGTGGGCTCTGCTCCTCTCCTCCATGTGTGTGCTTGTAGCGGTAAAAGGTGAAGCGCGGCTCGGTGCTAGAAATCGCTTGCGACAGCTCGGCAATCGTGCCGGGGCTGGGTGACTCGGGTACAAGTTCGATGGCCTCGGTGGCTGGGTTGATTTTCTGTTTCAATTAGCATCATTCCTTCTTCAACTGAGTTGTTCCAATTCCCTTGCACATGGCAGCACTGTCAAGAGGCTCAGACACTTACCAGCATAGTTACAGCTCGGCTGCCCTGCATGTCCTTCAAGGCGGCAATAGCCTCCTCAGACACAGGCATCGCCAGGCTCTTGCTCAAATGAATTTCTCGCGTTCCCGTACCCGCACCAGCTTCTTGTTCCGCGCGCTTGACTTCGCCCAGCGTCCGCTCTTCTTCCGTCAGGGGCGCCTCCAGCTGCGCATGGGCATCTGCCTTTTTAAAGCCAGTCTCGGTGAACTCGTCCGGCGTTGTGAAGAAGAGGCTCTCGCGAAAGTGCTCCAGGCCCAGTTCTCGTGTCAGCGTCAATCGCGTAGATGCAAAGAGCATCTTTTGCCGCACCGGGGCGGCATCGGGTACGTAGGAGACTGCCGCCAGTTTCGGCGCTGCGTCGTATCGTCGAATGATGGCGTACACCGCTGCATTGGGCTTGATGTGCGACTGCAGAGAGCTCAAGTCGCCCGAGAACGAGGATGTCGAGGCCACATTGGCAATCGGGACTAGCGACTCTTTTTCGATGCCAACCAGTAGAGCAAAGGTGGACGATGACGACAGCAGCGAGCTAAACTGCTCGTGCAGCTCCTGCGAAGCTGTATCATGTTAGGCGGCAACCTTCTCTACCAACGCTGGCACACATACCGGCAATCCCTGACTGCATGTCGCAGAGTCCGGCAACTTCAATTTAGTTTGCTTATCAAGATGGCTCAGGTCTTGTTTTTGTCAGGCTGAAATCTAGGTCGGTAGTCAACAAAGCACCTATAACTGCGCAGCGGGGTTCCCTCGTCACCGTTGCCCCGCTTCGCAGGTTCTACACAATCATACCCTGAACTCTTTTAAGGTACTTCCAATATGCGCGTTTCCAAAAAGCACTCGGAAAAGCGAGCGCAAAAATGAAGCGATAATTAACCTTGTGTATTAGACACATGTTTCGACATGCGTGTGACTTTTATGGTCCTGCTATAGGTACAATTAAGTAACGAATCTGTGTAAGATACTCCTCCACCATTACAACAACCATGAGTAACTGCGACATTTACGTCATGAGCTAATTCCTGCCAAAGATGGGACCTAAAACAAACGAATGAAAATATAACGTAGCTAAACTCGGCCCCAAATAAATGTATGAAGCACACTCCGGACTATCACATCATCATGACCGCAATGATTGCAAGACCACCAATGGAGGAGAATGAAGGAAGACAGACAGAGGCGGAATCTGACCCTGGTACCTGGGAAGGGACAGGCGACTCCCCATAAGGTTTGTTGGTGGGCGCTGTTTTGGCCGACATAGTAGTCTCGTATTGGCGGACTGCGGGTACCGATCCTGAAGGACCCGGTGCAGTGATCTGGAGAGCATCTACAGCTGAAGTGCTGTATACCTGGGGCTCTGGCGCCGGTCCTTCGGCAGTCTGGTACTGCGAGGGCTGAGATGGTTGGCAAGGCTCAGAAGACTGCGTGGCCGCGGACTGTGAAGTGGCCAGAGCACTGGATCGGCTCTGTGGTTCAGGTGCTGTTCCAGCAGGAGTAATGAGCTGCGAGCTGACAGGAGCTGCCGTTGACAGTGACGAAGATGACTTCGTAGTAGCGGCGTTGGTGGCGGCAGTATACTGTGCAAGAACAGGCTCTTTTACGTAGACATTTGCAATGCCGGGATTCTCATCTGGGCACGAGTTACCACAGCAGCCAACAATCGGGTTATTTTCGCAAAAGTGGTCACACATGCTTTCGTCCTGAGAAGAGATGGCGGTTGGATCATTTCCGCATCGGCATTCCCTAATAACATCGTTAGTTTGGAAAGATAAGCCTGAAGATAGAAAGCATACTCATTCAAAAGAGCAGCAAACTGGAAACCTTCGCATGCCTTCTGGCAAGCTTCTGGAGTAGCACAGCCATCGGGAAAGATGATAGGGTCTCCAAAGCAGGAAAGGTCAATGGAGGAGCAGCCGGTGTATTGAAATCCAGGGATACTATGAGGACTCTGAGCAAACGCCCCGAGGACCCAAGAAATGACAAGAAGGGGGATAGCGACCATAGTGAACGAATGAATAGACCGGCAGTAGGAGTGATTAATGGACCAAAGTGCTGGGATCACAACGAGCTGGTCCCGGATGAAATGAAAAGTCAAGGATTAATGATCACTGGGTGTGTAGGAAAAGAGAAGAAGACAAAACCAAGACACGGCAGAAACTGTTTACATGCCCGCAGAACAGGCACTTGCCTTGCCAGCTGGCAGCCGAACGACAGACCTGTGCAGCTGGCAAGCTGTTCCTGCCAACGAAGAACACTGCTACAGAACGTGCATTGCTGAATGTGGACCGAGAAGCATGCAAATTCAGAAAACGCGGGAACCTGACAGAACGATAATGGTCCTTGGAACCTGGGCTTGCTTCCTAGTTGTCCTCCGACTTACACGTGTAGAAGCAGCTTAGCATGTATATAAGGTGCTTGCAAACGGAGCCGCTCCCACCTCTTTTGAACCCCTACTCGAGCATAAGACGCGGCTAATCAGCTCAGAATACTGAGATGAACATAGTAATAAGCAATGTCTACAAGGTTTCTGCAACATAACTTTTCGATTCCGCTATGCGATGGCTAAGATTCGACTCTGCCTGGGACAAACCGAAGCGTACCAGCTGCAGCATCGTGCCCCACCTCGGCCGAAAAAGGCAGTCAGCAAAACTGGACTAGCGGGCCGTGCTGTCGGCTATGAGGTCACGTGAGACCACACATTTTCCAGGCGAAAAAAAGATGCGGCCCACAAGTCTTTCAGGGCAAGCGAGCCCCAATTTACAGACCACGGCCCAATTGCGCAAACTTCTGTTCAGGATCTGTCACGACTCCCATCATCGCAATTCGTTGAGCATCAAACCGTCAAAATGAGCGCCCAGGCCCAGAACAAGATCGCTGCCAACAGCCCCTCGAGGCAAAACCCCTCTGAGCTCGAGGTGTCCATTGCTCAGGCTCTCTACGACCTCGAGAGCAACACTGCCGACCTCAAGGCTGCCCTCCGCCCTCTGCAGATCGTCTCTGCCCGCGAGGTGAGATTTACCTGAAGCAATTGCTAGACCGACCATAGACTTTTCGAAATCCTGTTCCCCAAAGGCGATGCGATGTTAGAAACGAGCGTACTTCCGCGAGCGAAACTCAAACACTGATTTCTCAAGAATGGAGATTCTTGGTCATGGCTTTCGTGAAGGGGATTTGGCGCAGCGTCACCGACACTCGTTTGACTTCGTGGAACAGGACGGGAAGCGGTCCAAGGCATTATGTCCTGGAGCTCGCATGCTGACTTGTGGTCTTCTTTTAGATCGAGGTCGGCCACGGCAAGAAGGCTGTTGTCATCTTTGTCCCCGTCCCTTCCCTGCAGGGATTCCACCGCGTCCAGCAGCGGTATGTTTCTCCATGATGAAATCGACCACCGACAAGGAGTCAATTCTAACCTCACGTACAGTCTCACCCGTGAGCTCGAGAAGAAATTCTCTGACCGCCACGTCCTGATCCTCGCTTCGCGCCGCATTCTTCCCCGCCCCAAGCGCTCCGCCCGCTCTCGCAACACCCAGAAGCAGAAGCGTCCCCGCTCCCGCACCCTGACCGCCGTCCACGACGCCATCCTTGCCGATCTCTGCTACCCCGTCGAGATCGTTGGCAAGCGTGTTCGCACCAAGGAGGACGGCAGCAAGCTCCTCAAGGTCATCCTCGACGAGAAGGAGCGCGCTGGCGTCGACTACCGCGTCGACACCTACGCCGAGGTCTACCGCCGCCTGACTGGCCGCAACGTTACCTTCGAGTTCCCCCAGACCGCTGCTGAATACTAAGCAGTCGATCGCCTCAACAAAAAAATAGTCAAAATGAGACGGGGGTGAATACGGTTTTGGTTGGAATGTGCCATTTAGCATTGATGGTTGGGTCAAAGGGGCTTGGCGTCTTGCGAAAAAGTAGCCGTTGTAATGATATACGCTACATGATTTTTGATCATTCAATCGATCCTATCCTCTTTACCAACGTGACCATCGGGTATCTAGAAATGTAACATGTTCCTGCTCTTACTCCTGTGCAATTTTTCCCACACCGAGGACACACCAGTAGGCCAGCTCACGCTTCTCCCGTCCGTCCCGTTCCTTGCCCAGCGGTGTGCCCATGTCGTTTTGCACATCCGATTCCCACTCCATCCTTACAAACATGGGAATCTCGAGGACATCCTCTCCATCCTTGAGCGGCAGTTTGCTTGGGTCGCTGACCAAAGAGGCCGGGACTACTTCGAGGATAATACTTACCCAGTTTCGTCCCCTCTCCCAGATTTTACCTACCTCGACTTGATTGGAACTGTCGTTACGATCTTTGCCATCATCTTTCAATGCGTCGTCCCACATATCAGTATTGGCATCAATTTCAAACTGTGGGCACAGTACAGTGACTGTGCTGGAGAATCGACCTGGTGTTACGTTCGGGGTTGCCAATGAGACCTTGATACTCTCGAAAAGGGGGTTCTTGAACGTGACGATGTATTGGCAGGGCCGAGAAGGCTTCAATGGACCCTCTTCTGACAGGCCAGGTCGATAAATAACCGGGACGGGATTGGCTGTTGGCTGCAGAGGTCGTACCGTGATTGTTGGAATGTATGATCTAGCGACAAGTCGAATCTTGTACCTTGTTGACGTAACTTTGTTTTCTGGTTTCGAAAGAATATGTCTGCAGGCAGGACATCGCTTTGAGCGCTTGGTGCGAAGCAGATATGGAATCGGTCGTAGTTCGTCCTGGAACCGCACACCTTCCAGCTGGTTCTCCTTTTGCTCAGTCCCGACGGTGCAGTCCCAGCCTCCAGTGGTGAGCTTTTTGATTGACGAAGAGTCATTCAGATGAGCTAGCTTGAGGCCTTCATCAGTGTTCAGGGCCTCGCGCATGACGTACGGCACGCCTTGCTGCGACTTTGCCCCCCCGCGGCCAGTATACAGCGACATTATGCGCGATAGGGCGGCGGGAGAAGAAAAGCCGCCATCATGCACCGATATTCCCCCCAGCGCAGATCCCACATCCGCTAGCTGTGATTGATAGAATGACTTCAGATTTGTAAATTGTAAATCAGCGTCTACCAGATCGTCGGGGAGTGGCGTATCGTCGTGTGTCTCTTTGCGACGCTCCTTTACTTCTTTGGCGGTAATCTTTTGTTCGCCGCCGTTATTTACTCGCGATAATTGAGAGTGTATGCCGCTATGGCGGTCGAATTCGATACCGATCTCGCGTGAGGACCAGTGGCAGTATTGGCAGATGAGCGCAAACGGGCCGGTGCTGGTGCTGGAGGCGCCTTCGGGCCCGAGGAGCTTCGTCTCGCTAGCGTTTGGCACAGCAACAACTTGCACGGGGCCAATACAATTTGGACATTGATAACAGCTCCGTGTGCATCTAGCGCCCGATGATTAGAACCGCGAGAGCGTATATCATGGTCGTGGTCAAGTACCTGTTACCCTCACTCCGGAGATTGCTACTAGGAACCTCAAAAAGGCAATTGGGGCAGAAGTACGTGACAGTTTCCTCTGTCACACAGCGTGGGCACCGTATCTGCTGACAGTCTTCGCAGTACAGCAGGTATTCGAGGGGATACAGGCTATAGCTTGATCGAGGAGCTCGTGGATCGAATGTACGCTCGTCGTCTTCGGAAATAGTGGTGGCCGGCGAGCCCCTACCGGCATCAGCAGGAGGCTGATCAGAGCAAGAGCACTGAATATACGTATAAGGGGTAGCTGTAGCCATTCTCAAGCCCCATGGCAGCCAAGTGCACCATGATTCTAGCTCCAAGCTACGCGGATCATGTAGGTTGCTTGCGACCAGGAGACGTGACTGGCGGCTGGCCCCACCACGGTGAAGTCGGTATGCTCGGTGAGATTTTCTGCCAGGTGACGAAGGAGCCATTGCGATGATTGTTTCCCATCAACTTGTGTCGATCTGGGGTACATAATCACCACCGTTTCTTGCTTGTGCCCTTGGAGCATCTGGTAAAGACGGTTGAATCTGGCCCAAAAGACGACGACGAGCGGCGGGAGTCATTTCAGCAGCTAGAAGTGTGCAACACGGCCTCATCAGCCTCCCTTGACGAGACTGATCTCGCATCTCTTCGGCCAGCATTCCAAAACAAATGAGTGCAGCACCAAACGGATGTCCCTTCATGGCTTACGCTACATACCTCATTCTTCCCCGCACGCTATTCCGCGGGACTGATAAGAAGCGGTCACTTGCGCATGCAGCCTCTAAGCTGGAGACGACTACTTAGATCCATCCACTGATTCATTTCCGTACTGGTAACAGCAATCGCATGTACCCCGTACTCCGTTCGACGCCATGGCCTCAAAATCTGTCCCAAGCTCTCAACCCGCTTCTAATTACCAAAAACAATGAAAAAAAAAAAACGATTTGATCGCCTTTCTTTTTGTTTTAGATTGGGACGCTATCTCATCATTCACGCTGTTTAGGTGATCATCGTGGAATGGGGCTTTATTGGATCCCAGTCAATTTGCAGCATCACGCCATGGAACCGTAGCTGCAGTGACCAAGATAGCGCCGCTGCAGCTGCCAGCCAGACATCAGTGGCGCCTGCATAACAAGCCTGGCTAAAATACAGCACAGCGGGAGCAGACTGACAGACATGCATCGTCATGGAAGAACTGCAGCTATCATTGAGGACAGGGTTCTATCAGGTTTTCGATGACTACCTTGATGCTTGACTAGGTCAAGGTTGTTTTTACAGCCGAAAGTATTTCAGCAGTCTCTTGAAGAACGCCAAATCGATGATCACAACAACAGCAAATCCCAGACATCAGTTGCCTCAGTTTCGTCCTCTTGGGCTGTGAGGGTTCTTTTCACCCTCTCGAAACTGCCACGAGGAAGCAACCACCAAACCACCCGACCACCCACCCACACAGACGTTTCGGCGCCATCCGGGTACTATGGACGGCGCGCTGCGAGATGGTCTAGTTAGTGCATCCGTACCAACGCAAGCCAGGCTACCAGTATTGGGTGCCAGCGGGCCCCGCCCATCGTCATTACAACCACACTCCAAAATCTTATTAGATTCTGCTCGTCATTCATCATAGGCATTTTCCCCAAATGCCATGTCCACCCTCGCCAGGGCAACTGGCACTGGCATCAGCGGCGACTGACGGAGCGCTCGGGGGGTTTGGGCCTGCCCCCTGTGACCAGAAGAAGCTGGATGAAATCGTTGAGAGCGACTGTCGCAACGATTGTTCCAACCTGGCTTGACTCGGTCAAACTAGGTCAGTTTGCCGCAGCAAGATGCAACGAGCATGAAAGTACATCGCCAGCTGAAGGCCAAGGAGCTAGCCCAGCCACGCTCGGCACGTTTTGGGTTGAGGCGAAAGGCTGCATTCCGCGCAGGCCAAAGCACTTGGCCTCATTTTAGCCCAACTGTGCAAGAAAACTCGGATAAATTTCCCAATCATATGGCTGTTGTGAAGATTTGTGCCTTGACGACTGAGACATGTTCAATCGGTTGTGCAGCACTGAGACGCTGCATGCATGTTCATAGAAAGCTGAACTGATGGACAGCGACGTCGGGTGCGGTGACAACACAATTATGCAATTTTTCGACGCACGTCCTTGGTTTTGGTTGTTACAGGGATGGGTCGTCGTGGTCCGTCTGCGGCAAGTTGCAACTGGTAGTTTGTCGTCACTGAGACATGGCTTGATCGACCCATGACAACTGGACCTGGCTAGTCCCTATTCAAGCATTGCCAGCGGGTTAGGCTCCATTCCACCATATCTGCATGGATGCAGCATATTCGTTCGATAGCTAATACCCCCAAGTTGTGGGCAAGCTGTGGGCTGGTGCATGCGGCCAATCTAATTGATGCTTTGAGAGCATATTATAACTGCTCACCCCCAGGCTACGTCTATCATAGTATGCCTTTCCCCTGTGTATCCTCTCCAGCATCTGCCCTCTTTGGTGGTCAGGTTCTGGTTTCTGGCATTCTGACGGGGTCGTCGCTGGCGATGCGGCATAGCAATTGAGATTGCGTGGGTCAACGAGCCGCAGTCTACTTTTGAAAAGCCCAGAGCTGCTTTGCTACTTTTGGCCTTGCGGCCTTGTGGGAAGCACCGCATAAAGGCCATTGTACAGCAGCGCCACCGGACCGGGAACGATCAAATTGCTCGTGTAGCTGCCATATGACGACGGCGTAACGAAAAGCTCGTGTTTGGCAAATCATCCCATATTAAATCTCCCGGGCTGTGCTACGAAAGGCGCTGGTGGCGACAGCAGCCGCGCTCCAGGTTCTATTTTTGATTTCGCTTTGCACCAATTCTTTTCGACAAGGGATCTGGGGTCTCCTTCTGTTGCCCTTTTTATTCGCCAAGCTTCCATCACCAGAGAAGTCTCAAATCGCTCTTTAGTCACTAATCATGCCGTCGAATGATCCGCAACGACATCAGAATGGCGAGACGCGGGCCCATATTGCGCCTCCTGTGAATCTGTGGGACGGACAAAAGCGAACAGTAACAGAATGGAGCGGTCTGCACAGGGTAAGCAATTCGAGGACCCTATGTGGAATATCATTGACCCTGCAATACAGGAATCTGAACTATGGGCTTCGAACGGCAGTTGTCTCATTTACCTCTATGGCAAGGGACAGTGTAATGCAGGCGCATCGTTTCGCGTGGATCTTGCTGCCTTGATTGCAACAGGGTGCCATGCTTTTATCGAGAAATACATGGACAAGCAAGGACATGATTTCGACCTTCCAAAGACGGATGCTGACTGGAATCGAGTTCGCCCCAATCGAAATGTGCAGCTATACATACAAGCTGTCCCAGGCAGCACACGCTCAGAAATCGCTCGACAGCATCTTTCGATTCGCAACTTGCTGGCCTGGATGAGAGGACTTCCGCTAGTTGGAACTCACCTGGGTGGAGAAATTGTGACTCTGTTTCAAAACATGGTCACCTATCGGCCGCTTGATGCGGACTCTACTGCAGACCTGTTAGTGTATCTCGAGACTGCCGGCTACCTAGACATGGTGGCACAACCGGATCACGCGCTTGCCATTTTACACATTGCCGAATACCTCCGCCACCAAGACCTCTATACCCGAGCATTTGTCCACTGCGTGGGTATGGGGGAGCAGCTGTATCGAAGCACTGAATACACGGTAAGCATGCTGCTTGCAGTGGAAGACTGCCCGCGCTGACGAGACATTTAGAAAATAAGTCTTATCTCGAGAAAACTTATCAGAAACGCGCGACGAACATCAAAGACGAAGCTTAACAATGCAACTAAGGACCTAGCCTCATTTCTTGACGAGGAACTCTCGGAAAGCCAGATCGGCCTACCTCTTGGCGTGCGTGCCCACCTCGAGAGATTCCGCAGCGCTTTGTTGGCTTTCTACACGATCAAATTCGGCTATTTCCCACCGAGAGAGTTTGACGCAAAAGTTATCAAGGCGATGACAGAGGATTTCGAAGCCTTGTACGATCTTCTCGTAGACGATGGAGTAGAAACGTGCGGGATGTTTGGCGGTAGCAGTGGTGGTGGCTTGTGCACTTTACAGATCATTCGAAGTTTCGACAACCGAAATTCGTTCGAGTGCCGCCAGCATCCCCTGCCTCTCCTCCCCAATGTACCCGACGTGCGCAAGACGCGCCGTATGTCCTGGCTTGGTCGAAAAGAAAAAGGAAAACCAGCCGACCGGCTGGTTGCTCACACGGCGCTGATAAAAGCCTCCAACTGGCGCGAATCATCCTTCAGGAATGATCTTGTGCGAATGTATCGTGAATTCGAAGGCAAGTCATTGGAGTCGCCAGCCAACAAGGGGGACACGCCAGATGACGTGTCCATCACGGACGCTCGTAAAGTACGCTGGATCTTGATATACGCCATGTGCCAGGTTCTGCGCAGCATTTCACGACAGGCGCCGCAAGTGGCGGGAGAGAAAGCACCTTATTTTCTCAGCGCGTCCGTTACTGAGCTCCCGCCATGGAACACGGCCCTCAATACGAAGATGGATTTCCCAATTTCGAGCAGTGTGTTGCCGACAATGCCTATGTCTGCAGACGAGCCATGGCAGCCCAGATTCGCAGACGGCGTGGAAATCAAACCAGATATAAACTATCTTGCGCTGACGCACGGTCATGAACGCCGACAGGCAGTTAAGCCGCGGCGCAGGCAATCAATGCCGGCGGCTCCGTGTACAATGTCTCCAACGAGACCATCACCACCTACGCCGGTGTCGGGCAACGTCCTCGCGCGTCGACCAACGATTCGGAACTCCATCAGGCAACGGCTACGACCTGTAACCGCAAGCTCTGTCGCTGCTGTCACGTCAGCCACGAGCAACAAGAGTGCCTACCGCGAAATTGTCATAGAAGGGTATGGAAATGGTACCAATGAGGTCAAGCTAGGGCGGCGCAATACTGTGGGATGTGTCAATTCTGAGGCTATCGGAAGGCCTCTTGAAATTCCACCCAAAGACCAACGGCCCGCTGACATGACTCCACCAGTCGGCGAGCCCGAATCAACTCCAACTCAGAGCTGGAGTAGCTCAAACAGGAGCAGCAACGCCAGCTCTATTGAAACAATGGAGTCGCGGGCGGTATCGAGCCCGGCGTCGCCAGCCACCGTGGCCACTGTCGAGTTTGAGCAGACGGCCGTTGAGCCAATCATTGTCCGCAACTCCTCGCACAGGAGCCTCACCCAGCGCTACCCGATGAAGTCGGTGCTGGACACCATCAGCCGCACCTCGAGCAAGCGTCGCAATTCCATCGCCAGCAGCGGGAGCAAGGACACGCCCCCCCTGCCGCAGTCGCAGCCGCCAACAATGTCTGGTGGTGGCCTGTCGCGCGCCCCGAGCCTGCGCAAAAGCTTGCTGCCGGAGAGCTGGACGCTGGCGGGGCGCGCACCGTTTGAGCAGGACATTGACGAAGAGGACGAGGTTGTGGCGCTGCAATCGGAAGCGGATGAGTGGAGGGCGATGCAGGCGTTTCTGTGCGGCGACGAATCGAGCACAGAGATGGCGCACGAGGGAGCCACCCCTGGTTGGGAGCAGTACCATGACTTGGGCGGCTTGACGGAAGTCCGATGAGAGGCGTGCGTCATGGAACAAATGCCGGCTTGTCATATGAAGAAGGGAGGACAACAGTTTTCACTAATACGCAGCGAAGGCTGCCATTGCCCAGCGCGAGGCCATCTAGTATCGGCGCCAGATGATACTCATTGTTTTTTTTTTTTTGAATTGTTTGTCTTTTCTTATTACCCTCTATCTGATGCATTGTCATGCGGTATCGGTTGCGAATGCGTTACGAGGCGTTGTGTCTTTATGTAGGATGATACCAAAGAAGACAGGCCTCGTTGGGCAGAGAGCTATTCCATCTTTTCAAATAGGTTGATTTGAAATAGTCTAGTGTTGGTTAATGTTATAAATACCCCAAACGTGCTTTCCATGTCCGTCCTACATGTCTGACTTAATATATACGGAACGGCCGTAAGCATTGTAAAAAGACTGCTGTGAGCAGCTTGGCAAATCTGTCTCTTGTGCGCGATACGAATCAAAATATTGCTGCGTGATCTAACGAGGGATTGATTGACCAAGACTCGATGATTAAGAGGGAAAATCAAAGTGGTATATAGCGTAAAATAGTCATAACAAGGTAAAATATATTGTAGTTATTTTCATTCTTTCTACTCATCCTTGACGTGGGAGGCAGCCTCGATCCCCCGTAGAATGTCGCCCCCAAGGGAGTAAATCATCCAGGTCGAGCCGACAAGCCAAGCGCCGCTGCACAGGGAGAGTTGTTGTTAGCCAAAAGAGACAGACTTGCGCCCAGATTCAGGCGAAGATTTTTTTTTTCTTGGCAAAGACTTACTTGGGAATAATCCATAGAAAGATGAGGCTGACGAGGTCATTATGGCCAATATTGTCAAAGCCGCTATAGTATTCGTTGAGCCCTATCAAAAAGCAAGAGGTTGTCAGCGAGGCTTTTCTCGTGCCCGTAGGCTTTTTGCAATCCTCCCTCCCCCCAAAGAAAAAGAAAGGACATACAGTAAAGAATCGTCTTGGAGAGCGTCATGACGGCCGCGCTAAAGCCAATCAGGACAGCCTGGGCACCGCGGCGGCCCGTCACGGCCCTCTTGCCGCCCACGCCGGCGTCGTCGACGGCTTTTGTAAAAAACGCCCAGGCGTAGACGAGATACATGACGGTCTCGACGGCGTTGAGGGCGCCCTGGGCGGCGGTGAAGCCGCTCTTTGCGTGAAAGGCCTTCCAGCCGTAGACGTGGTCGACCTCGCCGTAGAGCTTGTACGGGGACCAAAACGGCCAGTGCAGCCAGCCGTGCTCCATGGTGTGCGGGCGGCCGAGCACGTAGACTGTGTCCCAGATGACGAGCGGCAGCGAGACGCCGAGCCAAAAGAGCGTGGGCGCGTCGGGCGCGTGCGACCAGCCGCGGGTAGTGGCGGCGGCGGTGGTGGTGGTGGTAGGTGAGGAGGAGGAGGAGGAGGAGGAGGAGGAGGAGGGAGGGGGTGGAAGGTTTGGCGAGGGACTTGCGGCCGGCCAATGTGCGTTTGCTGGCGGCGGCGGCGGCGCGCGGTGGTGGCGATGAGGGTGTCGTCGCCGGGGCGGGGGTCTCAGGGACGGCGCTGCCGGCGCGCGATGACGAGGAACGGGTGCTGACCATGATGGGGGGGAACGCGGCAAAGCGCGCGACGATGCAGAATTTTGTGGAGGGAGGAGTTGAAGCGCGTAGTGAAGTTGACAGGGAGGGTGGACCGATACGCGCAGAACAAGAAATACAAAATTGAGAAAAGAAGATGGGATGCGGTGGCAAGTGGGTTTTGTTGATGGACGGGGAGGAGGAGGGGGGAAAACGGCAGCGCGATCCCGGGGGGGTAGGTACGTTGAAAGCGGGCTTACTTAGCAGCAGCAGCAGCATCAACAAGACAGAAAGAGAGAGGTGGTGGCGAGGGCTTTTGGGCGTTCAGCTCGCCCGCACATGAAAATCTCATCGTGTTTACTTTTTTCTTTTTTTTTGCGCTTTTATTGACCCGATGCGACATTGCAATAAAGCCCGCAAGGAAGGACCTTAGCTTGGGCCCCAGGTAAACTGCGCGCGGTGTTGTTTTTTTGCGCGGTTCTTCTCATATTAAAACAAAACGTCCAATTATAACCTAGAGACGGCTAATAAGCAGCAACAACTTCTTTGGTTCTTTGACCACGACACTTGTCTCAAATCTCCAGCCAGCTATGCTTGTGCTGCCTTGTCTGTCTCTCACTAAAGATGCACAAAATCTCCAACAAGACCCAAAGGTGAGACGCGGTCGCAACCGTCCCGGTGCACTCAATGAGCACCCAAAAATGCGGGGGGAGGGGGGGTGCCCATCTTCCTTCTTTTTCGGAAGCAGGCAGGAAACTGCTGTTACCATCTTCCCTCAAGCCTAGTAGTGGCTGCGATTGGACGCGCCGTGCTATGCACATGTCTCTTTTATTATTACTGGAGAGACAAGGGAGACCGCCTGGGACGGGAAATCGACGACAATCACTCTTCAGGACTGCCCCCAGCTAGTGACGCCATGACCTGGTTGCGTTTTGGCTTGTTTACTTTTGTGTGTCTGGGCGTCCCGTCTCGTTGTCCTGGCGCCTCACTCGTCGCGTCGATAGCTGAACGCATCGCAGCGACCCTGTCATCTTACATATTATGTGTTTTATTTACTCCTTCTCGCCGCCCGAGGTTTCTCTGCGTAGTAGCTTTACTTTGGCTTCTTTTAGCAACAATAATTTATTGTTAGCGATATGTTGAACCAGATCCATTTTCCCCAGACTAGCCTCCGTTGCCCGCCGCCACTCGGCCGGGCGTCTTCTTCTCTCCGCGTCCGGTGTCCCTGTTTACATTGCGCCAAATATTCAGCCCCTCAACGTTGAATCCATTCCGTGCACTTATGACGTCCGGGAATCGGGTAGCCTGTTGCACCACATTGGGACTGAGTAGCATAATGACAGATGATTGAAAATAACATCAAATGGTCGCCATGTTATTCTATTTAGAAGAATGACTTGCGAAGCGGCTGAATGGCATCCGTCAGCTTCCTGAGCGCCGCCATAAGCTTCTCGTCCTCATCCATGCTAAGTAGGCTGATCTTGTCCTCTTCGCCATGCTTCTTCTTCTTGTCGTCTTCCGGATTGATAAAGTACGGACCCTCGGCCGGACACTTGGTGTGCTCCTTTTCTGGCAGGTCACCCGCAGCAAAAAACCTCTTTACGATGTGTGCCGTGCACGGCGACGGCATCGCCAGCGAGCAGTGCCCGTAAGTCTGCACCTCGACCAGCTTGGCGCCGACAAAGGCACTCTGAGCGACCTTGGCGTTGACGAGTGGACAGATGGGGTCATAGGTCGTCGACAACACCAGCAACGGGTGCCGCGTCTCGACATTATGCCGCGCTGCCTTGAAGTCATGCGCCTTGGGAATCGCCCACTGCGCGCGCCCAATGTAGTGCCCCGTGTTGCTAGCACTGTACGGCAAGAACTTTTTGATGTACGGCAGAATAATTTCGAGTGCGTCGCTCTTCTTGGCCGGCCAGCGAGATGGACCTGCAGGCGCGTCATTGAACTCGACAAACATGCCAGACTCACCCATGCCGGCGTCTGGGTCGCTAAAATTGCGCCCTAGTTCACCCCAAGCAATCAGCGCTCCGGTGCCGTTGCCTTGCATCAGCTGCGCAAGATTGTCGGCCAGTGAGTACCATTCCTTGGGCCGGTACATGTGGCCAAAGACGCCGCCTATAACGGTATCGTACTTGATGGTGCCGAAAAAGCTACTGTTAACGTAGACCGATACTGGTTCCTCCTTGAGGCTCTCGATGAAGTGTGTGACGTTGCGCTCTAAATCTTGCTTCTTATCGGCGACAAAGTGTAGCGGGCACTTCTCGCCGGCCTTTGTGCACTCATCAAAGAAGCCCGAAAAGGCGTTGCCAGTATCCACGAAATCAGTCTTCATGAGCAGCTCATCGTACCACAAAAAATCATCTACCACGCCATCGACAATGACACGCTCCGAGCGATTCGGAAACAGCGTCGCATATGTTTGGCCCAGCGCGGTGCCGTAGCTGAAGCCCCAGTAGTAGAGATTGTCCTGCCCGATGGCATCCAGGATCGAATTCATGTCGGCAGCCGTCTGAGGCGTATTGACGTGGGGGCCATAGTCGCCCATGTTGTCGGCGCAGGCGCGCATCAAGTTGCCCGTCTCGCTCCAGAGTTCGGCATCCTGCTTAGGATCGCCCGTCTCATGCGGTGTAAGCTCCAGCCGACGATCAAGGTTTGAGAAGCATTCGGCTCGGGGTCGCGATCCCGCAATGCCGCGAGGATCAAACGACAGCAGATGAAAGTCGTCATCGCCGACAATGGTGTGTATGGCGCCGCCTTTGCGTTGCATAAAGCCAATGCCGCTGCCGCCGGGCCCGCCCGGGTTGAGAAGGATGTTCTTGGTGGCGTTGGCGCCGCCGCGACGTCGAATCAGTGGAATGGAAAAGGTCCTGTTACCAGAGCGCTTGGAGTCAAACTGGTCCATGGGCACGTCGAGAGAGCTGCACTCGACCGGCTTGCCATCGGTCTCGCCGCAGGGTCTCCAGGCGACCGTTTCGCCTGGGTAGCGGATCTGGTCATGTCCGCTACGGCGTGTGCTACCAGGGCGAACAAGAAGTAATATGACAACAACGGCAGCAATTACGGCAACCATGGCAATGAGAGACCAGATGACAGCTCGCTTCCGCTTCCAGATGGGCGGCTGGCGGATAGCCGCGCCCGCTTCCTGGGCGTTGTTTGGAAGAAGGGGAGCTCGTTCACCGTCCATAACTGCGGGCGAGATACCGCTTCAGTAACGGAGCGACCAGCGATTTGCCTGTGCAGCGAAGGCGGGAGAAAACGGAAGTAGGGGCTCTGAGAGAATGGAGAATCTAGAATATAGGTAGCTAGAGGCAGCTGCAGCTTCTGAGGTGATGATTGTTGATGAAACGGAGCTTGTGCAATCACGCCCTGTGCCGTGTGACTGAGGTGAAAGAGGAAAGGCAGCGGGCCGCAGAGGTTCTAGGGTCCGGGTACGGTTCACGGTTCCGAGCCTTGTATTGGCCTAAAACTAGAAAAGTTGTGTCACAGGCACGTAAGACGACTCTAAATTTAAGGAAGTCTTTGAACCTCTTGTTTCTCTTTTCTTTTCCTTGAAAATAAAATACTGAGGGGGGCTGTGAGAGCCGTTGCTCCTTCCGTTTGCAACACCCGAATGCACTAACTATTTACTGAATCAAAGAATAACCAGCCTCTTGTACCGGAAACCAACGAATTCATCTGGAACATTTTTTTTCATTCGCAAAATCATTTGCTCTGAAACGTGTCGCCGCCACTCTCCAGAAATTCCTTTTCCTTTGCCGTTGTCTCTCGTCCCAGCGGCTCGTTGCGATGGGGATAGCGCCCAAACTGCTTGATAATGGCCTCGTGGCGCTCCGCAAAGTCGAGCTGCGCGCGCACAAGCGCCCGCGCGGCCTCTTCATTCCCTTGCACCACCTGCCACGCGCGCCGCTTGTACGCATCCGCATTCTTGGGCTCCTCCTTCTCAGCCAGCAGCGTTTCAACATCCCGCGCGAGCCCCTCGTACTGCCGACGGCACTCGTCGTGCATGGCTGCGTCCTCGGTGTGCTCAAACGGGAGGTAAAACCACGTCCGGAACGCAAACTGCCAACGAATCTCGGGCGCCGTGTGCGGCACCCCCGCGGCAACGGCTGCCTTCGCGACGGCAAGCGCCAGCGGATCAAACACGGTAAAGACGACGCGCGAGGCAGGCCCGCGGTAGCAGTTGCGCGGGATCTGGTCGAGCAGCAGGATGAGGCTTAGCCAGTCGCACGGCTCCGTCGGTTGAACGAGACGGAGAAGCTCGGCGCCGTCGACACCGGACGCATTGATGGCTTCGAGAGCTGGCTCAAATTGCGTCCTAAGATCAATTAGCTGGCGGTGCTGACAGAAGCCGCTGTCTTGTGTTGGTGGAAAACTCACAAGCATGCCTTATCAAATTCGGCGCCGCCGGCGTACCAGCGCTTATGCGCGACTTGGCCAGGCACGACGAGGTCATCATCGCCCGGCAAGTGCTCATACCAGAAATCGCGGATCGACTTTAAAAAGTTGGAGTTGAGCACCTTGTCGAGCGCCATGGTGCTGCTGCGCAAATTCGTCGTCTGTGTCGCTGCTGAGGCTGTTGAGGCAAACGCTCGTCGAGCTGATGGGCACTTCCGGCTGTGGCGCCGCGTAGGTAAGCGGCCTGGAGATTGGGCTACTAATAATCTGTAACAAGATCCACGAAGCGAAACACTTGGAGATTGTGCTGCTATCGCATTTGGTCAGTCAATCGCAAAATAGTGTGCCAATACCGCGCCGACGAACCGATGGACCGTCGCAAGCTTCGAGACAGGTGGGACGGGTTTCTGAGCGATGCCATGTGCAACTACTGATGAAAGGCCTACTTTTGATTTGCAAGTCGAAAGGGAAAAAAAGCCAACTATATACGAGTCGTGCTTACGGAATCTTTTAAACTTTTAGTTCCCACTGCCCCCGAGGGTGAGGCAGAGCAGTCTCATGTGGACCAGCTCCACTGACCCAACACGATGCTAGCCAGCAATCGTTGCGAATACACTTGACAAATGAGAAGTCGTAAAATACAAGTTACAATAAGACAGTAATGCTGATACTTTTCCAGTATCCCTGAGCATACTCGAAGCTCTGCAACCTTTTTTTTTTATCGCAGACCTCGGACACCATTATGCACTGTCTCATGCGGTTGACACCACTGGCCTCTTGAATGGATGGGCCTCTGTATTCAAGACGTATTGATCCAAGTCAATCAGATCAGGCGGAGAAAAGATGAGGTAAAAGTACTTGAGCGTCTCTCCAAACCAAAAGCTCTGCAGAATGTTAGCGTGAGTAAGTTTGATGGCAGGACAGCCGCGCTCACCTCCATGTAATCTTCCAGGTTCTTCTGCCTGGAAGCCTCGTCGTAGACTGTGACAACATCGAGAATGGCCGCGTGGCCGTGCGTCGTGCGCGAGTGCTTCTCGATGGATTCAAACATCTTCCACGCAGACTCCTGGTACTCGGTGTCACCCGTCATGCGGTAGAGGAGGAACAGGCTCTCAATCGCCTCGGGCCGTAGTAGGTAGCGGGGGTCCTTTGCGGTGGTGAACCCCTTTGGCAAAATCTCCTTGTACTCTCTGCGTGCCCTTGTGCCTTCCTCCCAGCGCTTCTCATCCCACGGGCACGTGTCCGTGACTTTCGGTTCGCAGGCCACCATGTTGTATCGCTCGGGCATGACGCCGCTGGCAAACGAATGGTAGACAAAGGCGCAGCCCTTGGCAAGCTTGCTCCCAACGGTGACGTCTTCGGGGTTTTCCAGCAGCTTCCCGGCCAGGGCGACGGAGCCGCCGATGAAACACGTCAGGTGTTCGCTTTCCGGGTCAAATGTCACGTCACCGTTGGAGGATACCTGGGCGTTGCCGGAAATCAAAATGTCCTCGCCGCCGGGGAGCATGGGCCGAAAGAAGAGCTCCTTCTTTGCGGCAGCCAAAAAGCCCTGTGTCATTTCAGCGTACATGGGGTTGCCGCCGCCGAGCAGGGCGTGCATCTTGGGCAGGTATTCGTATAGAGAGTCGGCGCTGCCGCCAAGGGTAAAGGCTTCGCGGCTCTTGGTGTCCTTGTTGGAGAGCGAAACCCATATCGGCCACAGTCCAGGAATCCTGGTCGAATTCTGCTGGTCTCGGAAGAGCTCCATGAGCCGATTGACAACGTCATAGTATTTGGGATCCCCAGTCACTTGTGAGAGTCTCGTCATTTCGAGCGACAGCGTGCCCGGGGAAGCAGAAACAACCCAAGATTCCAGACTCAACCCGTTACTGGACTTGGCAGATTCAAAGTTCATGAAGTCCACGGGGAGGCGAAACTCGGTATTGAACGCAGAGTAAAGCATATCGCCGAGCTCGACGGCCTTTTTCAGCAGGACCTCCCGCTTGCTCAAGTCATAGGCTGCGAGAAATCCGCCGAGATAGCGAATAGTCGTTTCAAAGACATTGACACGGTAATCGGTGGATGTACCAAAGTCGAGCTCAGCCACAACAGCAAGTGCCTCTTCGAATTCATCCTTTAATCCCAGCATCCAGAGAGCGTCAAGACCATCGACCAGGGTGGCCATCCAGCCCGAAAACTGGTTCTTGCCAGTGCCGGATTTAGGGTTCAGGGCATCCATTTTCCATGCAAACTTTTTGTAATTCTGCCAGTCGTCCTGAAATACCTTTCCGACAGCAGCCCGTCGCTTCTCACGGACTCGCGCGGCCTGCGGCGATTCCGGGCCAAAATGGTGCTGAACCTGGGGTAGAGCCCGGGCCTTGTCCGTGGGCAGTGGGGTCACGACATCGGGCGGCAAATATTTGTGCTGAACCTGGCTCCAGTCGAAGCTGCTCTTCTTGAATATGACGGGTGGTACAGAATCGCTATTCATAAAGTGGTCCAGACTGACCCGGCGCGCCGCATCGCTGGCCTGTGGCACCGTGCCAAGGACATAATAGATGATGCCAAAGATGGCCAGGCCGCCCAGGATTGAGCGAACATAGCGGCGAGGTGCCAGGAACATTGTGGGGGACGATGGAAATGAAATCAAGGAAAGAAACACAAACAAAGGAGTGTAAAGAGGCAATGGCCAGCGTTGAACTTTACATTGGCGACAGATCTTTGAGATGCGACCAGTCTGAGGGGAGGACAGCAGGGAGGATCTGAGGAGGCATGGTGCTGGGTGGGTACTTTCCTGGCAGCCGTTTTCACCGTGCTGGCATAGGTACTCGAGCCAGGTCACGCGACTAGATCGGTGCTGCCAGCCCTAAAGTTCGTGTTCGGGAATGTGTTTGAAGGTTTCAATCTCGGTCTAGTGGATTATAGCGTGCATTTAGTGGGACTTGCTGCGTTTCAGCGCTGTTGAATGGCTGCTGAGAGCCCGAAACACAGAGCCTTACCGAGCCCTACGGTACAGGGCTTGAGGGCCCAGCCGTCAACTAAAATTAGGTAGTCCTGAGTCGCTAATCCGTACAAAGCAGCGGTCCGCAGCGTGGTAGGTATCCGCAGTTTTGGTTGGCGAGTCTGGACCTGGACTGGTGCTGCTTTTAGCTCCAGGTCACCAATAGTAGGCTGTCTGCCGCCCAATAACGACTTCAGAAAGAAAAGAAGAACAAACATAAGCGTAAACACGATAATAGTAATAGAGTTTTGAAGGCTCATATACAAAGCACAAAGTTGAATGTTCTGCTTTGCTGCTCGAGTTCGCGCTGAGACGCAGCCACTGTCCGACTCATCCACTGACACCGGAATGATCGAACAACTGCATAGTCAGTCTCCTGGGAAAGACCGTATGAAAGATCAAGTCGATGACAACCTGTGAGGCTAAATAGCGCTCAACAAAGTCTGACCATTCCTTGTCCTTAACGGGAGCCAGCCGCCAACACTCATCAAGACTCCCGCGTCGTACTGCAAGCAATGAAAACATTCAGCCCGTTCCGAGTGGAACTTGCGACACCCTCAGTTGAAGTGATTCACTGAATGGCTGTTGAAAGTGCAACTTGGCATCAACGCGGTCTGCTCTGATAAGCCGATCGAAACTTGGCGCGGGGGCGGGGGAGCGGAAAATGCCCAACTACGTCTTTCAACTTTGACTAGAATGGTTTTCAGAATCATACGCCTTTGAGTTTGCAGATATTTGGTTGCCGATGCTCGATACTTTGCGAGCTAATGCAGCGATCAAACACAAATGTGAGATAGAACCTCTGCCGAAACAAAAAGATGAACGTCGAAAAGTACATGTAGTCAGACAGTTCCTGGACAAAGCCCCGATGTAGCCGAGTAAGATAGTTCTATTGCTCTAGAAACATATAGGTCATTGTTTCATGTAGAAATCTCGGGCGTGCGATGAGGGACAGACCCTGTTTGTGACAGATGCCTGCGCGCCAGGGACCAAAGGACTCCATGAGCATTTCATTGTATAGTTGGTCACACCATTGATACAGCGTCAACGCCTTCCCGAACGGAAACGTATATAAGATACAATAATCCCTCAGACCTGTGAACTAATATTCGTCATCGCAAGCCCAAACACCAACAGTCGCCTACGCGTTCACAGTAGTCCAAACGTGTCAAAGATGCTTTCTGTTTCTCGACAATTCAGCACCGCTGACGGGCACAACCCCGAAATCATCTATCACATCTTGGAAAATGAAGAGGAGTTTGGTCCCCAGCCATCTTACCAAGCCCTTGACCATGATTTGCGTCGCAGGGGAACTTCGAACCAGCGAGCCCTTGTTATGATGGAAGCAGTGAGAATCGCAGAAGATGATGCTACTAGTCGTGCCCCTGTAAGATCCTGGGAAGAACTTGTCGACTTTCCTCCCAGCAGTCCGACCGATGAATATCCAGGAGCATTGGGCACTGCAAATTTGAGCGAAGAGGAGGCTGGCATATACGGGAGGTTGATGGAGCGCCTGGCCGCCAGAAAGTCTGTTGATCTCGAGAAAGACACGGATGACTTACTCGACAGGGACTACTTTAATGGCGTCCACCAGATTTGGCGAGCCAAGGAGATTGTCAGGCACATGACCACTGAGCAGCATGGCACGCCGCAGAACTTTAGTCCACATCTCGACTCGATACGTGCCGAGTTGGAGGATGCTGAGGAACCCATGGTGGAAGGTCCCTTTGACATTCTTCTCCCAGACCCCGTCACACCGGGCAAGACGAGCCGCCAGCGCGTGACTCTTCCTCACGTGTACTTGCCAGGTTGGGCGGGCCGGCCATATGCCAATCTGCGCAATGTGGAGGAGTGGAAATTCGGGATTAGGCTAGCCGAGGGCCGCTACCATAAGCTCAGCCTGTACTATGAAGTGTTGGATATCATGCTGAGCGACATGGTAGTTGTTCTCGGGTTCCCAAGCATGCATACCTTTTCGCACTTCATCCACCGGCCTGAAATCAAGGAAGCGTTTCGCGAGCTGTGGGACGCGTCACTCAAGAATCTCCAACGTGACAAACAGCTTGCCCTGAACAAGGAAGCGCGACGACCGGTGGCACTGCGCATCCTTTACTCCCGCGGACTCAAGGGAGAAAGCGAGTTCGATGCTAGGCGTCCGGACAAGAGGGACTGGCCTCTCGACAGCCACCTTGCCCGGTTCTGCCTCAAAGTCGAAAGAGTCTGCAACCGCTGGAAGCTGCCCCCGATGCGTGGGCAGATTCCTATGCTGGCTGGAAAGGCTCCGACTTCTGTTGTGGCGTGGGGTGGCGTGGAACTGGCAAGGTTGTTGAGGCGCATGCAAAAGGGTTATGGTAGCCGGATTCGCTATCTCGACCAGGATAATAATGTGTGAGTGCTCAATGCACTGCTTGTGATTGAACCGACCTGATTCAGAAGTTTGGTGAAGCCAATTATCTTTGCTAATGTTTCGTCAATCTACATTAATTCTATGATCATGACTTTTGCTTCAACTTGGCCGCCCCAACATCTAATCGTGACTTTTCCCGAACTTCATTGTCCTGATTTCCTCTACTTTCTGCAAACATACCGTTAGTCAAACTGTGCTATTCAGATTTTTCTTTTGCTACTAACTAACTAGTTGGTGGAGAGGTTCAACTCCAGACCGTATATCTCGCGTTCAGCCTCAAGACAAGTTGCTTTCAGCCGCAGGCCCGCAGCCCACTCTGGCTTGTCTGGCCCATTTTTTAGTTGACAAGAAAGACAAGGGTATCGGCAAGAGTCCTCTGAAGGGCAGTTAAACAGGAGAAGCTTTCTTGTTGTTGTTTGAACTGCCAGAGTACAGTTGACTTTTCGTCTTGCTTTTGAACTTGCAGAGGTGGGCGTGAGCAGCAGCAGCAGCAGCAGCAGCAGCAGCATAGCATGTAGGAAAGCACAACTTGATTAATCGTAATAAATACGGGAACTGCCTTGGTCAGGGCCAAGCCACTAACACGCTTAGCTAAAAGCCATCTGGGCCGCCACTTGTTAGGAAGAGAAACATTGCGCCCGACGCAATTGGATCTGCAACCAGAACAATGCTTGCCTTCAGCCCTACTATTAGACGCGCCAGACTGCACCACATGGAGGATCCCGTGGCACCTTGAAATGACTTCTGTCAGCCTAGGAGGCTTGAGCGCCGCCGCCATACATCCATTTGATGGAGCGGCTCGCTTGTTCCTGTATATTTCCTTCTCCCGACAGCGCACACTCACCCCAGCCAAGGCCGATCGTCATCAAGGGTGGAGCTGCAACGCTGTTCCAAGATAAAATTAGTCTTGAATTTAGGCTTATTTCCCTTTCAGCTGCTGGAAATGGGTGGAAAGGAGAGCGAAAAGCAAGGCTGCCGAGGCGACAGATGTCGCGGATCTCGGGCGGTTGTGTATAAGAGGAAGCCCATAATCCGCCATTGTTCCTCTGCATCTCGCACACCGAATCGATCAAACTTGCAATTGCGCGGAAAAAAAAAAAAAGGACATAGAACCTCTACACACACACTTCTTTCTAAATCTCAAACCATCATCACCCACAACAATGCACGCCCTCGCGTTCCTCTCTCTCGTGGCCTCGACGGCCCTCGTCGCCGCCCAGGATGAATACGCCAGCTTCCAGCCCCTCAGCACGTTTAGTACCCTTCAAGCGCGTCAGCAGCAGAGCTGCGCTTCCGTCGGCGGCAAGACGTGCGGCACCAAGTGCATCCGGCTGAGCTACACGTGCTGCGGCAACGGCGCGGGCGCCTGCGAGGTGGGCTACACCTGCGGCCTCGCGGCCAACGGCATCTACGGCTGCTGCCCCTTGGGCAAGCGCTGCCGCGGCGACGCCCCTGATCCCAGCACTACCGACATTGGCGTTGCTCGCCCCACGACGGTCCGCGGTGGCGGGGCTGGCGGCGTTGACGATGATGATGATGACGAGACGACGTCGACGCGGGCCGTTGAGACGACGACACGACGTCTAACGCCCACCAACACGCCCGCCCGCACGACTGCCATCAGCAATGATGACGAGACGACTACAAGCAGCAGCACTACGACCAGCACTACGAGCAGGTCTACCTCTACTACGAGAAGCTCTGCCGTGGCTTTGGGCACCTCTAGCAGCTCTGTCAACGGCGCTGGTAGCGATAGCAACGGCAACGGCAATGCCAATGGCTCGGGCAGCAGTAGCACTGCCGGCAGCGGTGGCAGTGGATCTCAGGCGTCTTCTGCGGGCATCATCAGCGTTGGCCTTGCCAGCCTTGCGGGCGGATTCATTGCCGCCATTGCTTCTCTTCTCTGAGTGCGAGTGCAGAATCAGTTCATGGTCTGTTGGATGATGATGATTTTACTCCAAGCAAAAAACAAACAATGTACGAGCGGCTCAACTTGAAAAGTTGGCTGGTGGAGAAACATGGCAGAGAAAAAGGACCAACTAATAATATAGCCTGCATGCCTGCTTCAATTGACCTAGTTGGAACGCCGAGGTCATCACGGCTGAGAAGTTGTTGGGGATGATGGCGTTTGGTTACAGTAATTTGCACGGGGCCAATCCGAAGGGGGTATCCTTGATTTCAATATTTGTACATGAATTTGTACATGACTAGTTTTACGAGTTAATACTGAGAAGGTCAAAACTCTCGCTTAGCCAAGAACAAGTCCTTGGCAAAATGGCCAAAAACCCACAAGTTGTTGCCGAGTCAGTGGCCAATATGATATACGTATAGGGTGCCACAACGGTGATTACCTGGTACACGAGTCATTATGCCAGCTGCCATGCAGCCTCGGCACGGAATCCCGGTTGAGATTTAAACGGTTTCTCCCCGCAGCAGCGGGGGGGAAGAGGGGGGGGGGGGGGGGGCGAATTCTTGGCTCTTTAGAATATAGTTGAATTGGTGGATTTCTCTGATGTAAGGGGGAAAAACTAGACTGCCTAGGAAAAACCCCTTCATATCACACTTCTAGTTAATTACTCTTCACCCACTTTGAAATTGGTAGCTGAATGTCCATCTCCCCACCATCATAGACCCAAGTATTATCATCATATGTCTGGGTGTGAGACAGCGACGTCTTTGAGTTGGAGCACCATCCATATACCGTCGCCTCTGTAGCAGAGATTTGTGTTAGTCGCTTTTCATAGTAAATTGAGTCGTTTTTGAGTAGTTAGAGGAAAGACTTACCGCTGGGCAGGAAACCGTCATGGCCTCCTTTGCTCAAAATTGTAACCTTGTCAAACTTGTCAACGGGGACGGCCTTGGTCTTGAAGGCCTTTTTGACATCAACGTTAATGGTAAAGACCTCCCTGCGAGAAGGATGGCGAGTGATGAGAAATTCGGCCTTGCCGACCCTGGCGTAGAGATCGTTGTTGGTCCCGGCGTAGTCTGCATCAGCAATGTGAAGATTGACGTTGATATTGTAGAAATGACTGCACTGGGGCTGGCCAATCCAGTCCTTGGGGTGGATTGGGCCGGACCAGACCGGCCAGTCCCTGTAATACTGGAACCGACCCGGCTCGGTGGGCCTGGCTTGCAATTCCTTGTCCGTGGAAGCATAGTCATTAAGCGCGACAGAAATGCCTGTTCCAGCACATCGCCCTCTTAGCTTGATTCCTGTAGGTGGAAACACTCCTTGTTAGCTGTTGACTTCAGAGACCTCATGGAGAGCTTTTAGAGAGAGAGAGGGCACTGTACCAAAGAGTTCCCAGGCGTCGCCTCCAAGCCAATGGTCTGTCAGCCTGTCGAGAAGTTGGAGCCCCCTAATCTGGTCCAGTGCCACGGTTTCTGATCCGAAAATGTCCACCATGTCAATGTCCTGCGAGACTTTGTAACCAGGAGAGGGGCCCTCCACGATGACGTGCGGCTTTCGTGAGGCGCCCAAAAAGTTCAACTTGATCATGTCGTATGTTCCGGATCCGATGTGGTTGGCAAGCTCAAAGTCAATGGAAAGCTTATCCAGGCGCGTGCACAGCTGGTGATAGCTCGTCGACTTCCACTCCCAGCGCTCAGGTGTCTCGGGCAGCCTGAGCTTGTCGCAGCGCATGGACGCAACCTTGTCATTGTACCAGCCTTCTTGAGCTTGCCTGAGGTCAGCCGCGTGGTTGGTGGCTTCAAAGTGCTTGCCCTTGCAGTCCGGCTCCCTGATGTATTTTTCAAAAATCGTGGTTAGTATCCATAGTTGGGGGCTAGTAGCATACAGACAGGCATTGAGCGCTTACGCATAAAACTTGCAGATGTGGTCGGCCGCGTCAGTCTTTACGCCAGACACCTTGCCTTTGTACTCTTCGGGAACAGCGACTAACATAATCGAACAATATTAGCCAATGGGGGTCCAGGCAAATGCAGATCAAATGTAAAACTTACCACACTGGTCGCGAGGGGCCTTTACGGTAGTACAAGGCGGGTTGAGAGGGCTGTTGTCGCAAATGTCAACTACAGTGACGCCGTCTGGGAGTTGGGCAGTTAGCGACGAGTTCTAGTCTCAAGGATTCTCCCTTTTGCTGGGCGAGATTCTACTTACTGCGCTCCTTTGTCTTCTTTCTAAAGGATGATAGCGCCTTGCAGCAGCCCGAATTATCCGTCGCTGCTCGTAAAGTGTCAGCTCAGTCCTAGTTAAAGATGGGCCCTCTATCAATATCATGTACCTCTGCGAGCGTTGCTCCTCTTATGAGAGCCAAATGCACGGAAAGCGGAGCAAGCGACGGGGGGTTGCCCTTCGAAGAGTTCGCGGATTACCTGGTCGCCGTCGGGGAAGAGTTGATTAAGTGCTTGAGCGCCCATGTCGACATAGTGGTTCAGCAATCCACCGACTTTGTTGGTAAACCGTTAGCACCAAATCTCCCGCTGTGAAAGCTTCTTTGAACTTACCATGGTCATCCAGGCGTATCTGAAGCAGAGCAGCATCCGGCCCGGGGACGGCCTCGTTGGGGGGATATTGCGTCCACTCAGGCGGAAATGTGCCAAACAGCTCGTATGCGCCAAGTGTTTCACTCATATAAATATCTGCTGCATTGAAACGGCGGCGCGAAGCGTTGGAAGTGCTAGGCTCGACCTGAGTCTCGTTGCTGTCAACAGAGTCGCTGTCAGAGTCGCTGTCTTCATCATCTGCTTGGTTATTCAACGCGCCCGGAAAGACATCGTTGACGTTACCATAGCGGGCATTAGGCCCAGTCTCATAAAGCGCTTCATCGTAATCCGGGTTATTGATCCACATGGACTCATCGACTCGATTTTCGCTTCCTGGAATTCCGCTCATTCGTACGTATCTTCGGACGGCTCTCCAAGGCATTCCTCCCAGGGCCATGACTTCACCCTCGTTGTCATTGTTGTTCAGAATCGATGGCATTCTGCGCATCTCGTAAAGCCAGTAGCCATAGTTTTCTGCTGCAGGCCTTTGGAGTGCTACCGAGACATACGCAGTGCGAAAGGTATAGCCTTCTGCGCGCCATTCTGGCAGTCCGCATCCACCCGGACCGGCTAGATAGTGGCGGTCTAGGTCAAAACATTCGTCGTGATCCTGCCAGTCGTCACCTTGAGGCCGGAATCCGCCAGTGTCGCGAACCTCCGAGGGAGCCCTGCCATCTCCTCGATAGACGTAGCGATTCTGATCCGGGGGCGTTTGTCTACTGACAATGCTGTGACTCGGTAGAGCACTAGCATGCCCGGAACTGAGGCAAGAGAGCCATAGAGCCGGGCTCAATGTAACAAAGTTTAGCCAACGCATACTCGCTGTGAGCTGTTGAGAAGAGACAGAGTCTTAGAGAGTTGATGCTGCGAAATCAACATGATGGAATGCGTCCGAAGGGGTGATATAAATATTCATCACAGGTACCTGCAGTACAAACTCTGCTTGACTTGGCTTGACTCTTTTGCAAAATGGTTCCAGTTGTTCACCCATCTCATATTCCACCATGCCATGTAAAGTTCAGCTTTTTGACTGCCGGGTGCCACTTTGAAGAGTCTTGGCGCCATTATACTGTCCCTCTTGACTGTCTAGAGGGCGCTTCGGTCTCATCAGCAGGAGCGCCGTGCAAAGTAAAATTAAAAATCACAACAGGTACTATTCATGACACACAAGGCTCCAGTAGCCACAGGTACTATATTCAGCGAGCATTGATCAAGGTAAACCGCCAATTTCACTTGGAAACAATATCCTAGCAGTATACAAGAAAACAGGATGAACCAAGGTATAGCTGGATCTTGAACTATAATCCATCTATTCACTTATACCTGTTGTCAGGTGCTTCATGAATAATAGAAGGTCCAGTTATCATGTGAGGGTATCCAGATATCGCTTTTCGGAGCTTCGGCATTGCCTACGGGCGGATCGTGAGTCCCTTGCCGCGATGGATCGGGCAAACAGCTTCACGCCATGAGGACTTGAACGAGTTCTCTTTGATAGGTGCGCTCCACGACTCAGCCTCATGACCACTGGCTGATGGTCTGCCTCCCCATCCTGGCCTGGGTCAGTTTCTGGGTCTGTCGTCCATATCTGTATGAACTGGAGTAGCTTGGAGCGGTCGGCCCGGCGAACCCACACGCAATACGAGATCAAGATAAGTGCCACCTGCCAGCATCATCCCTTAACTTGGACATGTTATAGGCCTATATGGTTTGGTAAACTTTGTTCCACCGACTTTAAAGTCATGCCATTGCATATGTGCTGAGGAACATCATAATGATGCGACACTCAATTCCCAGTATACTGGCGTGTGACTGGTGAGAACAGCCCCCTTTGAAAATGTGGGATAATGGTGACCCCCGCCCGCCCTTGTTTTATGAATGGTGAAATCCTATTTTGATAGTGTAAAATATACTCTATATACTATAGGACTCGAGCTCAACAGCTGAAACAGTTAAACAGATATGTCATTTGATGTTTACACATATCAACTCGTCAGTCTCCATCTTTTTGATGCTGTATTGAATATGGTAGTTTGACTGACTCGCAAAAGTTATGAAAACCCACCTGCCAAGCTAGTGCATCGGGACATCGCGCATTTAGTATTTAGTGTGGTGCCAAATCTGGGTCAGCGCAGTCGGCAGGCGGCCAAGCTGCTGGGAGCATGAAAATCCAGGGTTGTAAATTTGATTGGTGGAGATGTTTGAAAGCACAAGCACCTCAGAGGCTCCTACTTTGAGAGCATCCGACGGGTGTTGCTGAGTCACAAGTAGAATATAATGGGCCCCTTATATGAGCCGCTCAACAACCCAGGATAAGCTGAGTTGAGTTATTCAAATGTTACGTTATCAAAACTCTGAGGGATTTATGAGCACTTGTTCACGTAATCATCTACTAGTTGTTGAGCCCCTCGAGTCTTTCAGGTGCCCGACTTGACCTTGAAATGTCTTCACAGTTCGCATTCTTTGGAATCATGCTTAGCCGCGTGTCTATGCAGACCTGGTAGCGCTCGAACCTACCATAATCAGGCACAGGGCTGAAGATAGATTTGCCGCGATAGTTTGCCGCGATATCTTCGAGGGGAAAAATGCATCTATTCAGACCATCTCCATCTCGCACTCGTATAGACAGATTACAAACTAAATATAAACATTAAGGATAGTTGCCAACTCAACTTTGAGTCGGCCATGATTAATTAATACTGAGCAGCACATCCCGAGACTGGCTTATCCAGCATTACGTGGGTGCTAGACTTGACCATCTGGGACAATTCGAATTTCGACGTCGCAGTAACAACCTCGGCCTCTTCAATATCGACCCTCAGGCCGGAAAGTTGAGTCACGTCAATGCTCGAGCCATCAGCCTAAAGAAAAAAAAAAATTTCAAACTCTGCGTTAGCGCTTGCTTGACCCCTTTTTTTACATGATGCGATAAAAAAACAATCATACCTTGCGAAGAGCCACATGCAGCCGCGACATGACTTGGCTGACCACCTCGGTATCAGAAACATCACCTAGGCCTGCGTTGGAAATGGCGTCGGAGAGCGAGATGGAGTCATAGACGATGCCCTTTTCTGGCATCTGCATAATGGCCATGTCTCCGGCGCGCCACATGTCAATGGAAATCTCAATGGCGCATGGTCGCACGGGGAGATATGCTACGTCGACTGTGATGCCAGCATAAAAGCGCTTGTTGTCGCCCGATTTCGTCGCATTGGAGTCGGATTGCGCGTCGACTTGAGCTGAAGTTGTTGGCAGAGCAGCACTGGTTGCGGATGGCGCAACTGATGTTTCATTGCCAGCGCGCGATGAAGATGAGATGGGAGAGGAGGGCTTGCTCGCTCCCGCAGTTGGCCATGCGCTAGAAGTGCGGTTGCCAGCTGTTGCAGTGGACTGTGAAGGAGAGCTCAAGACACTGGAGCTGGTTTGCTCAATGTGAGACTGTGTCGACTGGACGCTGCTAGTCTCGATTGAATGCTGGTTGTCCGTCGATACCGTGCCGCTGGACTGTGTTGTTGACTGGACGCTGCTGGTCTCCTTTGATTGCTGCTTGCTCGTCCCCGTCGATACCGTGCCGCTGGCCTGTGTCGATTGCTTGCTGATTGTCTCCGTGGAATGACTGCTGCTGCTGCTGCTGCTGCTACTGATCGTCGGTGCTGGTTGACTGCTTGCCTGTGCGCTCGATTGCGTCGACTGCTTGCTGGCGAGCTGGCTTGACTGTTCGCTGGCCGATTGGGTTGACTGCTTGCTGCTGATAGACTGCGTCGACTGCGTCAAGGTACTTTGACTCGACTGCTCTATGGTAGTCGGTGTTGACTGCTGACTGGCGGACTGGGTTGAATGCTCGCTGGTGGATTGGCTTGACTTCTTGCTGCTGCTCGTCTGCGTCGACTGCGTCAAGGTTGTCTGGCTCGACTGCTTGATGGTAGTCTGAGTCGACTCTGTGCTGGTGGTTTGGATCGACTGCTTGCTACTACTCATCTGGACCGACTGCTTGCTACTTGTCTGCGTCGACTTTGCAGACGTCGACGAAACGCTGGGCCGCTTCTTCTTCTTCTCTTCTGGTCCATACAGCGAGTTGATCAACTCGACAGCGCCCTGCTGCATCTCCGTTTCCGACTTGGTCCAGTACTCGAGGCCCTGGTACGCATACCCAAACGTCTTGATGGAGTTGACGGAGCGAGACGTGTGCCACTCGCCATTGGCCTGTCTGAATGGCTGCAACGGGGAGTCGAGACTAGTCATGGTGCCTGAGAGGGTGTTGAAGCGTGAGAGACATTGGTATCTGCCGTTAAAGGTGGACGCCTCGGGATATATAGCCTGCCAGTAGGCCCATAGTCGGTCGACGTTTGAGTGGTGTAACATGCTGGTCAAGGACTCTTTTTAGTACCAGAGCTTTTGAAAAAGCGCTTGGGGATCAATGGTGAAAAGGGTTAAACTTACAATAGAGGTTCAAAGGCAGCGTATTGGGAATCCATAAACTGGCCGCCGCAGCCGGCATCCCAGTGAATGGCATTGTGAACGGCCTCGATACTGCTACCCTTGCTTGCAGTCGTGGCAAACTCGGAAAAGGATTTCGCTCTCGAAAAGACATCATACTAAAAGGTATTGAACATTAGCGCATGCGGGGATTCTAGAATTTCGCAAGTTGTGCTGCAAAACTCACCACCCAAGACTTGTAGTTGCGGCTGTAGAGCTTTTGATTCGCATCCTGCGGGTTTTGGCACCTATACATGCGATCGTACGTATCAAACTCGCCGTACTTGCCCTGCATCACTTCTTTGGAGAATCTGTAGGTATACAGCGGATTCTCAATCTTCTTTGCCACGGTTCCCGTCTTTGTAGCAGCCTTGACCTCGATCGTTTCGGGGAGCACAACGCTGGGGAGCCAGGGCTCAAGAGCCCAGTCCCAGTACGGAGCCCGCAGATCCTCGGCCGCTCTTTGGTAAATGGAACGTAGATTATCGGGATACTGAGCGGCCAGAATCTTGGCCTCTTTGACGAGTGTTTGCTGCCAGAAAGAAATGAGGCATCAGTATAGAATGAAGCAAAGCAAATCATCCGAAAGCATACCTCAAACAGGGCGACAAAAGGTCTGTGCCAGATGATGAATAGAATTTCCTTGATTTCTTTTGTTAGCATGATGAATAGGGTATTATTTTTGCGTGGGACTTGGTTATACCCCGTGAGTGCTATAGCCACCCCAGCCATTGGTGTTCATCTTCCCCGCGTTGTTGTACTCTGTAAACGGTCGACCATGTATACCTGCATAGCGTGTAAGTTCAAGCCATGCAAACTTGGGTTGTTTGGGCACTCCTTTGGTAGCTCACCGGCAATCTGGAAGAAGGACTCTGGGTCTTTTGAATCGCGATCATACATGGCGCGCAAAGCCTGAAGGTAGAGATCCCTATTGTTTCAAAGCTGTGTAAGCTTTTTTTTTTTCTACCCTCTCTCTATCCACGCTCTCTGAACTGACCATTGTGGACCGGCTTCAGCAGCAAGCTCGGTGATGCTGCGTCTCAGAGGAATTGGGCCATTGTCGCCAATTCGTCCATCAACGCCTCCCAAAGCGCCAACGATGGCCCCAGCGACGCCCTCGGTACTCGAAACAAATGACGATGCCAGGACCGTCGAGGCCAGAGTCAGGAACAAACTCGCGGCGCGCAATTGCAGACGCATGTTGAAGAGTTCAAGGTGCCACGTCTCTGTGCTGAGCAGCACTGCAATTATTTCATGCCATAAGGGCGTCATCTACTTATAAACTTCTTTCAGAGAGCTTCTAGCTGCAAGCTACTAGAAGGTGACAGTCGGTCTCCGTGTGTACCAAAATAGCTCGCCGAATCGGCTGTTCTGGAGTAGGCCGACATGCAGTGGAGTGGTGGCTGAAACTGACAGGTGAGTAACATGCTTCCGAAATTACTACCGGACTTATTATCACCGTTCTCTCGTACAAAACTTCTGCCCGCCCGGTTATGAGAGGTAACGTTGATTGGCCAGTGCATACTGCCCGGTGTTGCCTAAACGGGGCAAACCGGAGCATTGAGGCTGTCTAGTCGCAGATCAATGAAGAGTGACATCGATGTGTTTTAAAACCTGGGATAGTAGAGATGGAGCACAAATGTTTAAATATAACATTTTCCCTTTTCTCATGATCAATCTTATTTTCATCAATGCCACACAATGGCAAAATGTCACCCAGAGACGTTACTTGGTCCCCCCTTGGAAGATGGTCGTCCCATGTCCCCGGTATCCCCGACTCACTCTTTGCCGTGGATGCACCTCAACTGAGGGTACCCTGTCAAAATCCAAAATGAGAAGAAGTGGTTCGCGTGGCTGAAATGTCGCCTGCTCCCACCGCAGCGACATCCTCCGTCATCATTTCAGGAGATTGGATGGCAGCACACTATTGGGGGCACGGCCCGCACCCGGTGGGGGAGCTGTGCATATTCTAAAACGCTCAGTCAGGTTTGTTATAAGGCTGGCTCTGGAAGATGTGGAAGATGCTTTATTAGACGGAATTAGAAACTGGGCTTGTTTGGCGAAAAAAAACGAAATAGTCACGCCATTCAAGACAATCGCGCATGTCCCTGATCCATCAACTTGCACTGCCTTGTACTAATGATGGCCAGAATGCCAAATGCCTACTTAAGACTCACTAACTTATAGTCAAAAAGGACCCAGTGATCGCCAGTCTTTGACTCGTTAAAGCTCCGTCTTGGAATAATGATCCTTGGGAATCTTGAATCCAGAGACCCGCAAGCTCTGGAAAACCCCGCTGGCATCATACTTGTCTGCCGCAGCTCGAATCATTGACACCGACCTTGTCCCGTAGCTGGCGATGGCGTCTTGTACTGCGCAAGCATAATTCAGGTATCTCCACTCCCACTTGAGCTTGAGGGAGGCAGCATACAAGTCCAAATCATCCGTGAATTTTTCCACTCTTGGCACAATGAGCCTCTCTGACTCGGCATCCTTGACAGTGACCAAGATCAGCATCAGGATGCCGTTGGACTTCTCTGTGAAGCGCTCCAGCCCAATCACGTTGCCCCCTTTTTGGATGCCCTTGTCCGTCATGGACTTTGACAGCGACTGAAAGTACAAGGCTACATTCAACCCAGACGTTGGTGATGGTGCTACTTCTTCAAGCTCTTTTTGGAGCTCGTAGAACCTTTTGACGGCGTACTGCATCGGCCGGGCGTCATTTTGGAAAGCGCTTACATACCAAGCGTTACTGTCGGGGTAGGTTGATTAGCATATTGGTACGCCTATTGTTTGTAACAAGAATAAAAAAAATTAAAAAAAAGAGAAAAAGAAAGAAAGGGAAAAAAAAGAAAGAAAGAAAATAGAAAAGGAAAAAAAAAAAGCATACTGATTACCAGCGACTTGTGTGATGCCTAGCTCTTTGACGAGGTGTGCCATGCTGGCGACTCGAGTGTCATCGCTCAGCATGCCCTCTGCTGCGTAAAAGCCATCAAATGCTGCTGGCTTCACCTTTGCCTCTGTATTGGCGAACATGGCTTGAATAAGGGTAGCATCGTCTTCCTCGGGATTGTACGCCCAAGCCAGGATGACGGAGCTATTCTCGTCCTTGTGTATATTGTCTGTGAAATCCACCATGGCGTCGATGAGACCGTTCCCGAGCGACTCTGGATAGACGACGGCTCCGCCCCAGACTACAGGCTTTGCCGGGTCCGCGTATTCGATGCCGTACATGTCAAACCGGGTGACGATGCCGAGATTGCCGCTGCTGCCCTTGAGAGCCTGCCACAGGTCCCGGTGGGAGCTTGCGTTGGCATTGACGATTTCTCCGCTGGCCAAAACAACCTCAAAATTGGCGACATTGTCGCAAGCCTGGCCATGCGATGCTTTATGGAACGACAGTCCTCCGCCCGTGAGGAACCCCCCAACACCAACAGAGTCGATGCGGGCTCCAGCCACGACGACGCCGTGAGGAGCAAGACTCTCGTACACGTGCTGCCATTGACTACCGGGTTGGATCGAGGCGAGTCCCGTTTCAGGGTTCCAAGTAGTTGTGTTCATGTGGCCTGTTTTTTTTTTTTTTAAGTAAAAGTCAGCTCTCCTGTTCTGTCGACCAAATTAGAAACCCCCCAGATGGAAGATGAAAAGCACTCACCAAGATCAATGGTCACGCCATCTTGGACACTGTTGGACAGCGGAAACCCGCCATGCCCTCCTGCTCGAATTCCAAAGTGGCAGTGGTGCTCGACCAGAAGCTTCATGATGACAGAGACGTCCTCGGCAGAGCTTGGCAGTACCATGCACCATGGTCGTAGCGCCGCGCTCAGCGACCAGTATGACTCGAGCCGCGCATCATACGGTGCTGAAGATGGCAAGTACACTTTTCCATCCAAGGCAGAGGCATCTCCAAGTATTTGGCACTAAAATCCCGATATTAGTACATTCTCAAAAGAGTTTGCATACGAATATACAGTGCGGCATGCTGCGGGCGGGCCGCAACTAAAGCAAACAAATGAATGAATGCACTGACACACGGAGCTACTGTCTCAGCAGCCAAAACGTGAGCCTTGTTGGCTACAGAAATCGCAGCGGCGATGGAAATGAGAGATTTCATGATTATTCTCATGATGATGTTTTGTCCATGATCAAGCAGCTTTGGAGGCACACCGTCTGGGTGTAAAGTGTGCCAATAAACACCCCGCACGAGCTGCTTCATGCAACCACCTATACCTCCTACATGCATCTCGGCCGATATCGCTGGAATTGCCCAGCCAGCTCTGACGTTTTCAGTATTGATTTCATCATCTTTCCTTGATACTCCACGAGATCTTTAAGCTTAAATTCAGGAAGCCCATCCAGCGAATCTCCATCAGGTACAGTACCTGCACTAGTCGAACCGCGTCTTGGTGACGCTGCGATTGGCGTGGTCCTGACGGGCGTCAATTTGGATAGGCAAAGACATTTCTGTATTCGCCCAACATATTACTTATTGTGTTTATGATTGATCAAACAAATCATTGCAAAATGCGGAAGCGACAGCCCGTTTGTGGGCGATCGCCCCCTTCACATTCGTCCATTCTCCGCCATGTCTCACTCGTGACCGTAGCTATGCGCCATGGCTCCGTGTCTTGTTTGTATCTTGGCATTCCAAGCCGTCCAGATCTGAACATCTTTCTACATGCGTTGCCAGTCAACAACAATCATGACAGCCGTGTGCCTGAATGCGCCCACTAAAAAAGCAGGCACAAGGGCCTGTCTTGGGTCCATGCAGAGTCTTTTCAAAAGAGGCCGCGATCCCACGCGTTGCTCGAGTTGAAAAAGACGTTGGTGCTTTTTACACTATCTTGTCACCGACGGACGGTGATTTTGAAGCAGACAAGAAACGCCTCTCGATATGAAGACGACAGCATTCGTTGCCTTGTTGAGCTTGGCGGCAACTGCTCATTCTGCCACGCAATGGACCGCAGCTTCCAAACTTCATGGCGCAGACGACCGGACGTTTTCTCTTCAGCAGATACACAATGAAAAGTTCAAGGGAGTCAACCCGACCGATGCTCTCTTGCGCGTCTACGCGCGATACGCAAAGTTTATACCAGACCAAGTCAAGGCCATCATCGAGGCACAGCCTGGGCTCAAGGCCAGATACCAGTCTTTAGATGCCGGTAACTATAAACTCTCCCAGATATATACTTTGACCCAGAGTCCCTTTCTAACAAATTGATTCTACAGAGGATCCCTCCATGGTGTTTGCTGAAGCTCTACCTGCGCCTGCCGACTCCGAATATGTGCTTCCAGTGGGCTTGGGCACACCGCCCCAAATACTTCCACTAAACTTGGACACTGGTTCTTCAGACTTGTAAGGCCCGCGCCTCTTTTTTTCCTTGTCGTCGCTGCAAAAATAGTGGCACTGGCTGACCGCTCCTCCTGAATAGTTGGGTCTTTTCTGATGAAACCCCCAAGGATGGGCTTCAAGCCACGCGGTTGTACTACCCCAAGAATTCCAACACCAGTAGGCTACTTCCAGGACAGAGCTGGAGAGTCAAGTACGGTGATGGTTCGGCCGCCAATGGCACCGTCTATGTTGATCGTGCAGCCATTGGCCCGCTGGGCTATGACAAGCAAGCTATCCAGGTCGCCACGGGTATTTCCAAGGAGATTGCCAGAGACGGCTTCATTTCCGGCATCCTTGGCATGGCAAGCAGCAATGCCAATACAGTCACTCCTACAAAGCAGTTGACTTTGTTAGACAACATTAAAGATTCCCTTGCCAGACCAATCTTTACGGCAAACCTGAAAAAAGGCCTGCCAGGAAACTATAATTTCGGCTACATTAACCAGTCCGAGTACACTGGCGACATTGCTTATACGCCAATCGACCAGGCAAAGCCTTATTGGCAAATCAAGCTCAGCGGCTACCAGCTAGGCCAGGACCCCTTTCAACCCCAAGAAATTTCTGGCATTGTTGACACTGGTACAACTCTGACCATGGTCCCTAAGAACATTGTGGATGACTACTACAGCAAATTGCCCGGATCATACTTTGATGAAAAGTCGGGCAACATGATGTTTCCGTGCGAGCTGCCACTGCCCGACTTTGTATTTGGCGTCGGCGAAAGCTACCGCGGCCGCGTTCCTGGGCACTACATCAACTATGCGCGTCACACGGACAAGTTTTGCTACGGCGGTCTGCAGTCGTCAGAGAACATTCCATTCGCAGTATTTGGTGACATTCTCCTCAAGGCTCAGTTTGTCGTCTTTGACCGTGGCAACATGACGGTTGGTTTCGCCAACAAGGAGACTGTCCCTCCTCCAAGCAGCTAGTCAATTTTTCGATAGTAATGAGTAAATCAACGGGCTGGTGTATAGACATGATGGCTTGACAGGATCGTGAGATGGTTATTTTGGCATGGAATGAAAAGTGAAAGGTGTACTTTACTAACAAGTAAGATGGATCAGTCATCTCACGTTTCTGTTTTTCTTCTGTTTTTCCCTCTTCAAAAAAACACGCCCCAATTCACCAGAGATATTATTATACCCGACTCCGACGCGACAAACTTTTATTCGTCTTTTTTTTTTCAGCGGTCTTATTGACAAATCGGTTAGTGAATGGAGTGCTTGTGCTCCGTGCAGGCGAGCTCGACCGTGCTGTGCTTCGGGCGCAGCCACAACACGATGATTGGGTGTTTTTTCGACCTATAGAACATAACGGCTGCTCCAAGGTTAAATTAAGCTCAAAACACGTGGGTGATTAACTCACAATTTCAAGTTCTGCCTATCCGTCAAGTCGAGCTGGTTGCTGTCGACAACTTGTCTCTCCATGGTACCGTCCACATTGATTGTCTCAATAATGCCATTGTCCTCAATGTGATTTTGCCCCTCCATCTTGTCGCGACATTTATTCTCGCGATCAAGATATATACGGAGCGTCAGGACGATGATTGCAGGGACAATTGCCGCAACGACCAGGAGGATGATCCAAGTCGGGCGGTAGCGAGGCTTCCATTGCGGGCGGAAGAGCTGGGGAGAGATGATATTCCCCAGTCCGTAAGCAACATGGTACAGGGCAATGACGGTGGTCTTTTTCGTGTGTCCAGCAGAGGCGTTGGCCGCCCAGATCATGACGACGGCATATGGCACACCGACAGCAGAACGGATCCATATGCCAGTGATGAGACCCCAGCGGTTATTCGACGGCAGATCAAGCAATAGAATACTCGATAGCGCAGTCGGTATATAGGCAAACAGGGAAATCCACGCGCGGCAGTCTTTTGTGTAATACAGTACAATGGCAGCCGACGCAAGTGAGATGAAGCTGACAGCCCCCGTCACTGTTCCGAGCAGTGTCGTCTGCAAAACTGTAAAGCCAAAGGAATTTATGAGCAGAGAGTATTGGTTTGTCGTTCCGTTGGCCATTTCCTGTGTGAGTGCATGGCCTGTAAAAAGCCACGTTTTTGGATCCTTGATGGCCTCGATAAATTGCTCTCTCTTGAAGTGCTTCTGCTCAATACCAGAGTGGTTACTCTTGATTCGAAGGATAGCTTGGGCTCGCTCCTCGGATGTCAGGAAATGAGCATACAAAGGGCTGTCTGGAAGCATCAGGTAGACAAATATACCAAATACGACGGTGACGACGCCACAGAGAACTAGGACATTGTTACCAAGGTGCTGCGTGAAGGAAGAAGGGGCTTTTTCAATTTTGTGGCGAAACTTACACATGAGCCACTGCCACGAGGCAAAATGACTGGTGTGAATGTGCAAAGCACCATACGAGAGCAGTCCAGAAGTAATTGGGCTCGAGTTACCAATCGACCACATGATGGGCATTATCACAGCCTGCTCTTGGTATGTGAAAAACATGGACAGAATGAGAAGGTAGGAGGGCACGATGCAAGCCTCGGCTAATCCCAAGAGAAATCGTACGACGAAAAGAGAAGCAAAACTTTTGCAAGGAATGTGAAGTAAAGTGATGCCACCCCTTTGAAAATCTATTGGTGAGTAATTTTACTTTTGGACCTGCCAAAATTGAGGAGGTACATACCAAATCACCAGATTGCCCGCGAGCCACTTTGCAACAGGAAATCTTTGCAAAGCCCAGTTTTGCGGGAATTCTGCAATCATGTATCCGAAATAGAATATAGACGACAGCCAGTTGTACTGGTTGGCGTTGAGGTGCGCGTCTTTCAAGATGCCAAGGATGGCAGAGCTGCCAAGCTGTAATATTGATGATTTTTCAATTAGCATCGTTTTGCAAAGACGTCGGTCGGTGCTGCAATACGTGCCGTTTGCTTGTCCAAGTACATGAGATGGTATCCTATGCAGAGAAACGGCACGATGCGCCACAGCAGCTTGTTGCGGATTCTGATGGCTTCCTCTGGCGTTGGATCCGTAACCTTGACCTCGCTGAAGAGCTTGTAGCTTTCGTCTGCATACCGATCCGGAAGCTTGGGCACATTTTCAGGAATATAACCATTGTCGTCGATGCTGGCTCTTGGCACGGCTTCTGCGACGGAATGAGCCTCTTTAGCGCGAGTTTGTACCATGGTGCGTTTCTGCGCGAATGGTGGGTGCAATGGGGTGAGGAGGTGCGGATGGTATCGTGGGCTATGCAAGAAACGGCTCGTTTAATAAATACAGAATCGACCAATCGTTTTGGGCTGATGCGTATACTTTAATCAAGAGTATCCCTGACAGCTCGAATAAACACGCAGATAGTGCAATTCTGGGGTGAAGAAGGTGTCATGGTCCACACACCGAACGAAAGAGTGCGAGGGGGGGTCAAGATGAGAGACTCTCTGGAGTCTGTAAATTTGTGTGAAGGATGATTCGCGACTTTTTGCAGAATATGAGTGGCTTGGCGTCCAAGTCTGGCGGAGACAATCATCAGCCATCGGCACATTATTCTCTGTCGAGATGTCAATTTAATACATTCGCAGAGTGGCTGTACTCGTGAGACGTATGCCGCCAGCAGCCTCACGCCATACAAAAGGCGTTGACGTGATGGGAGATCTGCTTACAAAATGGGTATGAGAATGGGTCACTTTCTTGATAACAGGCGCCGGCAATTAAAAATCGGACATCAGCGGCCAAATGCCATGAGAGTGAATTCGAACCTGACGTTTGGAATTTTGGCACATTTCATTTTCTTCTTTTTTTTTACTTGTAACTCGACGCCAATGTGAGGGGCTATCCGATGAGCTAACAAGGTAGTATCCCGCCTTTTTCTTCCCAAGCCTTATCGACAACGTACAGTTACTCGGAGCCTTTTCTACTCTGCAACATTCAATCCCAATTATCCGTTCGCCTCTTTACGAGAAAAGATGGCAGAAAATAAACAATCGTTTCGTGTTTTGATTGCTGGCGCCGGTATAGGTGGCTTGGCGACAGCCATCTCACTCGCTCGCGTCTCTGGTTTATCGAAGCTCGATATTCAAATCTACGAGCAAGCTCCAGAACTCGTAGAGATTGGCGCAAGTATCGCCCTTAGCCCAAATGTGCGCATTCTCCCCTTTTACTTTCTGATGAAGATGATAAAAAAAAAGAGCAAGAATTTTTAAAACCTGGTGACCTATAGGGCATGCGAACACTAGAGCGCCTAGGTGTACACGAGGCCCTGAGCGACCATCTTGGCTTCAGAGGCCCAAGCGGAATACCTCAAATTTTCCGGTAATAATAAACGGGATAGGCACGCCATGCTTATCTGGACAAATTTACTAATACATTTCAGGCACTGGAAGTCGAATCAAGTTGTTTCCGTCGACACTCACACCAATGTCCCTGATGGCCGCCACCAGACGACAAGGTTTCATCGCGGCCATCTGCACGCTGCGCTCCTCGCCCACGTTCCCAGATCCTCGATTCACCTCAACAAGAGCATTGTACGCGCCGAGGCTAGCGAAAAAGAAGCCGTCTTGTTCTTCTCTGACGGCACCGAGGCCCACGGCGACCTTCTAATTGCCGTTGATGGCATCCGATCGGTTTGTTACAAATCATCATGTACCACCCCCCGTTGAATATCAGTTTCTCACGTAATTCTAGAGAGTCAGGCAGTCTCTACTCCCAGACTATCATTTAAAGTTTACCGGCAAGGTTTTTGTACGGTCAACCTTTGATGCATCCTTGGTCGAGGGCAAAATACCCGACTTGCCACTCGACGCCGTTCACTGGGTACGTCTCATGCAACGCCATGTCGATTTTTTTTTCTATATCTTTTTTTTTCGTAAACTAATCAGTTGCAGTGGGGACCCAGCGATTCTTTCTTTGCCTCCAGGCTTGGCAAGGGCCAATATACTACAGTCGGTGCGTATCAAGACTCTCGAAGCGGCGAGGAGCTAGACAAGGCAATCACCTGGAACCAGACTGGCAACGTCGCGTACTTTAGAGAAAAGTACAAGGACTGGAATCCGGTAGTCAAGCGCCTCGCCGAGCTGACGCCAACCGTACGACTGTTTCCCAACTACGCCGGATCTGCCCTGTCCACCTGGCTGCCTGCGCCCCGTGTTGCCCTCCTCGGGGACGCGGCGCACACCCACGGCGGCGCATTTGCCGCCGGAGGGTCTTTGGCACTGGATGATGCGCTCGCGCTCGGTCTCGCCCTACGACATGTTTCCGAGTCGAAAGCAGCGGGCACGGTTCTGCAGCTGGGAGAGGTGCAGCATGCGTTGACGCTGTATGATAGGACGAGACAACCGCACGCCTCGAAGCTGCTGGATATTGTCCACGGCGCGCTGGCTAAGAATCAGTCGAGTCATGCTTCCGCAGAGGCAGAAGACGAGGCTCTCATTGCGCGATTGAAGAATAGACCAGATCTTACTTGGCTATCGGAACATGACGTGGAGGCTGCATTTGCAAGGACAGTCCAAGAACTGGCGGGTCAGAAAAAAGAACTTGCAGACGCAACATCTCAATTCGATAGTAAGCTCTGAATAGAATTTGTAAAAAATTTATCAGATCAAAATTTACCTAAGCAGCCTCTGTTTGTCTGCACAACAAGTTTTTAGACAAAACACACTCACTGGTGGTGTGTGGTTCTGGCCATGGGAACTGGAAGGAATTCCTAAAGATAATCAGAAACACGTCTCGGCGATGAACTGCTGCAGAATAAAACGAGCTGAGAATAGTGTTTACTGGCCCACACGACCCAGAGGAAATGGAATTGTGAGTACAATGGCCTCTTTTTTATAGACAAAAGGGTCAAGTGACTGACGCAATGTAGGAAATGGGGGCCATGGCCATCTGATTATCAATCATTTATTTCATCACGGGCCATGACACAGGTTATTACGGTTAACCTTTTTTTTTTTTTTTTTTTTTTTTTTTTTCGAAAGTTTTCTCGGCCGACATGTTTCATTCAGCCTTTCAAGCAAGATCCCATGAGCAAAGCACTGGGCCGCCGTTATCGTCGCACTGTCCCTAGTAATGTGGCGGGACAATGAGATGAGTTGAAGTATCTGACAGGCTGCGCGACATGTTTCGAAAAGCCAACAAGTACCCGAAATAGAAATATAAACTTGAAGTAACCCCGTTGCTGTTATCTAAGGTTATCAGCATTTGCTCTTTCCTATGTAGTCACCTTTTTAGTTAGTTAATCAGTGAGCGGACTAAAGTGCACCGGCGCCAAGCCATTCAGGAACCTTTCCAAGTTGGCATTATCGGTTTGCACAAAAAAACGGGCAAAGATGCCTTGGCTATCTAACTTGTTGATCATGCCTGCTACAAAAATGATAGACAGCCGTCTACGTAATTAGTATATTCATGCTGACTCGTTCACCCAACCCATCACATGTTAGCGTGCCATGTGCGACCGGGAGTGGCTTGCGAGCAACGGCACGCCCAATATTACCAGCATGTTACTCAGTCTTGTCAGTAAATAGATACCAGCTGCGTGACAGGGATGGGGTCAGCGGAACGCGCCGCAAAGCTCCGTTCGTGTTCGTGTTGGCCTTGTTGTCTCTCTTTCTTTTTTTTTTTTTTTTTTTTTTTTTGACGACGTGAGACATCTCTACATGTTCAGGCCAAGGCCTTCTCCCTGCGCGTCTCACTTTTTACTTCTTCTTTTTCAGCGCCAGGAGGGGACGAGTTTGCCTCCTTTCGATACGCGAGCCCGAACCCGTGCCCCGGCCGGACCAATAAGGCGCGCAGCATGCACGGACAAACTGTAGACTGTAGAGTTCAGCCCACAACGGGCCTTGCCAGGACGGGAAGGGGGAACGGTTCTCTTCGGAGATTGGTCGCTTGGATGGTGCGCCACCGTGCGGGGGAGGCCCAACTACGGCTGCAGGTCGAAAGAAGAAGGTATTACTGATAACTGATTATGAGATAGATGCATGAGTTGGAAAAGTGCATGCAGAAAAGGATCGACTTGCAGCTTGGATGGGGAAAATGGCTCTGCTGGCTGAAAACCCCCCTGTCAACTGTTTAGCAAGGGAGGTAAACCGAGGCCGAGGCTGCTGATGATCTGCTCAAGTTACTCCGCCATGGTGACTTCGCATCTCTACTTTTTTATTATTAGCAGCTTCGACCTATTCCTACTTTGACGCTGTTAGTTCTAGTTGAGAATCCGTCAGCTTCCTCAGTACTGCAACATGCCTCCACGGGAATACCACGACATCTTGCACCCTCCCCCAGCCAGTTCGGCGCGCAGAGACCAAACATGATGATTTTGTCGTCTGACGGGCCCTACTCGGCGTCACTTGATGCTTTGCCCGTCCGCAAGGCCCGCCCATGATGGGATATTCAGGTGGGCAAGTCTTTGCCCATTTTTTTAAACTAGCGTTACATAGTGTCCGTCCAACCAGTCACGCTCCAAGGAAGCGTCCCGACCGAAAATCGACGCTGACCGCACCCCTGACATTAGCAGCTGCCCGCAAAATCAACGCCATGAACCTGCAGGGTTGAGTGAACCCCGTCGTTGCAATGGCGCACCGCACAGGCGCCGGCCGCTGGCTGCATGCCGGTGCGTGGTGGTCGATCATGGCTGGGAAGAACCATTTCTCTCGTTCATGGGGTGGTGTCAGCCCCATGATTTTGTTGCTTGGCCGTCTGTCTTATAAGTGCTGCGCACTTTGCCGCAAAAAGGGAAAATTACTATTCTTTGGCCATGTGATGCGTACAGAATCTGAGCTGTATAGCTATATATACAGCTCAAGAATACTCTCTGTTCTTGTTTTGCGGCTTTGCTGCTTCTAGTCAGTTGCAGATTCAATCTCGGGGCATACCATCACCATGAGACACTTTGCGCTATTGGCGCTCGTCGCCAGCCTCTGCAACTTCACCCTCGTCAACGCACAGCAGAGTCTTTCTCCCAGAGACAGCAGCTGCCGGGCAGAAGACAGAACCTACAGTAACGAAGTGCCCCGAGCCGGTAGCTACCAACCATGGTCCCTCATTCCCTTTGGCAAGGTTGGCTTCCCAGCCAAGCAGTACGTCACCATCGTCAACCTCACCCCTCATCGCTTTGTCTTGGACAAAGGCGCCACCCACTCGTACCAGATGGACATTTTTGATTGGGATGATATTCCCCAGGGCCGTTCCCGCCAAAACGTGGCCAAGTATACCTCGAAGCCGGGCAAAAACCACGTCGACGACAATGGCGAGGTGTATTATACCATTCAGGGAACTAACAAGAGGTTCATGGTTCGCAAAACCACTCATATCCCTGACGACTACCCCCGCCGGACCGTTTTTGATCTGAGTGGCATGGGCCTTGGCCAGCGCGAATACTCTGATCCCGGCAAGGAGTCTTCAGTCACGCTCGTAATCACTGGCAGCGAATCGTATGGCTTCACAGCATCCCTCCGCCATGGTCCCGGAAACTGGATGAAGGGCATTTACGATGTCATCAAAGATCGACAGGTCCAGCATTTGTTCCTTCCTGGTTCGCACGACGCGGGGATGAGCCGAATCAGCGGCAATCTAGCCTCCCTTGGCTCTTCGACCAACACGCAGACTCAAGGCATCACAATCTACAATCAGCTGCGCGCTGGTTCGCGTCTTTTTGACCTTCGTGTGGGAACGATCCATAATTCAACAAACACCGGACAGTATGGCTACTGGATACTCCACGTCAACAATGAAGTTGCCGATGTCGCCATCGGCAACTCTGGAGAGGCTCTCGACGAAGTTATTCGAGAAGTCAATCAATTCACTGCAGAAAATCCCGGCGAAATTGTCATTTTCCGTGTTCGGTACCTCGTCGGCATCCGCAACATTCCGAGCTTTGGGCCCATCTACTGGACTGCTGACATGGTCAACGAGTTTTTTGGCAAGCTCAAGGGTGTCAACAACCGCTGCGGCAATCTGGACATGAACACCAAGTTCAATAAGCAAAAGGCGTCCTACTTTATGGACCAGAACGGAGGGAACGGCTGCGTTCTGTTTTTGCTCAACACTGATAACCTGAAAGACGACGTTCCTCACGACTCGATTGGGGACGGTATTTACCGGACGGAAATGCTGGATGTTTGGGACAATTGGTCCAACTTGCCCGACACCGCAAAGGTTGCCAATGATCAGACGGCCAAGTGGAAAACGGTCAGCCGATCCGGAGACTTCAACAATGATCAGTTCCTCATCGGCCAGTGGATCATCAGCGCCGACCCGTTTACGACGACGGCGCTCACCATTGAGCAGCTGGCGATTCAGCCTACGAACCCTGCGCTTTACTGGATGGGCCTGAACAACATGAGCCCCGAGGCCTTTCCGACTGTTGCGCTGGTTGATTACATTGGCGTCGTTGTCGACGGCCGCCACAACTGGGATCAGCTCAGCGCCGAAATGTACACCCTGGCCGTTGGGATGAACCTGTACATGATTAGCGAAAACTGCGGCATCAGCAAGCAGCGATCGCCGCTTCTACCCGACGAAAAGGGATTCATGTTTAGCATAAACCCCAATTTCAAGCCAAAGCAGACTGTTTCCAAGTGGAATGGCATCATTTACGAGAATGGTACAGTTGTCAACCATCCTGCCAATGGCACTCACCTCGGCCGCGTTCCAGTTTTGAAGAATGGTACAGTCTTTCTCAACGGAACAGTTGTGCCCCAAGACAGAATCAACCCTCGATTCTATGCAGTATAGCGTCCTTGCGAGGTCTCTGGACATGGCCTCGATAAATAGTGTCCATATCTCATAGGAAGATACAACAATGGCGGGCCATAGCATAAATAGATGACTGAATTTATACCCAAGCCGAGCTCGTATTGTCTCGTTTTTATATTAATATGGCTCTATTTCTAATGTAATCTATAGATCTAATTCCAGTACATAGCCCCCCGTAATTAGGGGTTTTCCTGACGTGTCTCTCTATAACTCGTCACAGCTCGCCAAAGGGAGACTGTCACTTTGGCACACCCAACTGACGGAGCAACTTGCACAGCCCTTGATCTGTCCAGTTGTCAATATCAGCTTTCGATGACACAGCTATGTATCCTAGCATCCCCATGGCATTCGCTCCAGATTCAGCACGCACAGAGGGTCTGCGACGCGGAATCACAAGGATCCATCTGGTAGTCATAATGACGTTGTGTGAGCAAACAGCTCCTGGAAAGTTATCAGTCTCGTGTCCCTGGCACGTTTCAATAGCTTTGATTGCTTTTCTCAGCAACTTTTGGTAGGTATCGACAACAGTCCCGACAGATGTCACGGTAGGATCCGAAAACCGCTGATAAAACCATTGAAAGGGAACGTCTGGCTCTGCGCCATTTGCCGAATCCAGAAATGATGCAAATGTATTGCGAGGGGTCGGTATCAATTGCATGTGCTTATGCAGCCGGCTGTATCCCGCTCCGTTGCCGCAGTTGAAAAACAAGGAAAGCTTGTCATTGCCACGGCTAGAGAGCAGGGCCCAGGCCGCAGCGAGATCCGACCTGTTGAGCGGTTCATACTGCCGCGCATAGCCGTCCTCGGTCAGCAGCAAGTAATGCGGCCGCGCGTAGCAGAATTTGTTGGCGACTAGAACGTGGGAGCTCCCGACGTGGCCAATCTCATAGCCATTCGTGTCAATGTCGCTTCCCGGGCGTACGCTCTTTTCGACGAGCTCTTTGGATTGCTCGCCCGCCGTAGCAGCGGTCGGCTTCTTGTTAAGGGCGCTCGTGAGAACGAATTGGAACTACAAAGCGTCAATCTAGTACACACACAGGCAAGTATCGAGGCTTGGAATGCGGCCAGCGTACAGTTAAGCCACCGTCCTGTTGGTGCAGGATGGTCTGTTTGTCGTCATACAAGACCACGCCCTCGCTGACGAGCCGGTCAAACTCTGAGAGCAAATAATCATGATCCATGCGGCTTGGCGGTCAATTTGACACTTGTCAGTGTTTAGTTTTCCTGGGCCTCGACGAATGAGTAATCGTGAAGCAGGGTAGACTGGCAAGACGCAATCTGCTTACGTGAATGGTGGCCCCATTGGATACCATTTGCTGGCTGGGGCGATCAGGGGGAAAAGGTACAGCCCAAGCTCATCACGAATTCATCCCAATTGGGTCTTTTTCATTTTTTTGCCGTCATCCGTCTTCCGCCTTATTTCGATACGACAGAGATGCCGCTAGATGTTTGAAGATCTTCACCGCGCAACCGTGCGACTGGCAATGGGCCTGAGACGTCACCAACAAAGTATAAACATGCGCTGTCGCGACAAGGCAGCTGGGCGGCAGTGGAGCAGCCCACAGCTGAGACATGACCATCGGGGAACTACATGAAAGGCCTGTGCAAGGCATTGGCCGAACCAAGCGGCAATGCGTAGGTAGGTAACTATCGTGCCGAAAGAAATTCATTAAAAAGAAATCAGTTCCTTGTTCTCAAAATAAAGTAGGTAACTCGAGAGAATGGGAAGCCACGTGAGATCGATCAGCGTGAAGCCACTTTGCGATGATCAAGCAAAGCCCAACCGCGCGCATCGATCGAGACAGCAAGACAACAACAACCACAGCTGAAAATTGGTACCTGTATGACCTCACCACGACCAGCCAATTTCCGGAGCCCGGCAATGCATCGCAGCGGCCCACACGGCGCTCGAGGTCAAGGCTTTACGTATAGGCTGGCCCTGCTGCAACGCCTGTTTAGGCCGATGACGCCCACCTCTGGGCCTCTTTTTTTATTGTTAGCTCGGAAGCTAGACCAGAGCTACGAAAGGCAAGCAGCCAGTGAAAGCAGCCTGCGCACTTGTTGATTTCCTTCATCAGGTCGGTTCCGGCAACTCGAGCAAGAAAGCTTTGGCAAGAAAAGAGGGCTAGAGGGACAGGGAGGGAACCGCCTCCCATGCTGAAGAGGGAAAAAAAAGTCTCAAAAAGACAGAGGGGCAAATAAATGCACGCCAAGCTAATATTCAGAGGCCCGACGCGTGAGGTTTCTGGTGACGCTAATCCTGGCATTAGCAGCTGATTGTCCCGCTGCCCGCCCAGCAACAAGCCAATTCGTGCTGCTGTTCTTGGGGGACTTGGCATTCCAGCACCGCCTCTTCCCTTTTTTCGCCGAGCATTCACTGTACCTACCTCCCCGCGCTCGCATCTCTTAACTTTCCCTCTTTATCCTTTCATTGCAGAGCTGCCATTCTTTCCTTTTTTCCACCATTCATTCTAGTGATTTTCCCTCTGGGCGCTCTTATCTCCGCCTGGCGCTCACGAGCCTCGCTCCGATTGATTATTTCCAGGCACAGCCACCACGCGCCTTCCCCCCCTGCTTCTGCTAGCGACGAACAACAACTCCAACCCCAGCAGCCATGGGTGACAAATATTATGGCGGCGCGCCGCCTCAGCAGTACAATGGAGAACAGCAGTACGGACAGCAGCAGTACGGACAGCAGCAATACGGACAGCAGCAGTATGGCCAGCCTCAATACAATCAGCAGCAATACAACCAGGGACAGTGGCAACAACAGCAGCAGCAGCCGCCTCCACCACAGCAGAATAACGGAGGCTACGATCATGGCGGCTACAACTACGGACCACCTCCAGCCTACAGCTACAATCCGCCTCAAGCAAATGATGAAAAGTACGGCTTTGATCAAGCTTTCAAGATCGAAAAACCCAAGTACAACGACTTGTGGGCCGGTATCCTCGTACGTCCTCCTCGCTGTCAACCCATTCACATAGCATCCCTGGCAATTGGTACAGGGAGATACACCTTGGCATCTGAATACTAACATTGACCCGACATCCAGCTTCTTCTTGTATTCGCCGGTTACGTCGCCGTCTCCGTCATTGCCCTGCGCGGCTACACTACTGGCCGACCCGGCAACGGCATCTATGATGACAATACCTTCTCAATCAACTCCAACACCCTGATCCTCTTCGCCTGCGCTCTCGGTTCTGCATTTGTTCTCTCGATTGCCTATCTCGGCCTTGCGCGCACATTTCCCAAGGCCTTTATCTGGGTGACTGGCATTCTCAACTTGGTCTTTGCCTTTGGTACAGCTATTTACTATCTGTACAAGAAGTACTGGTCCGCTGGCATCGTTTTTCTCATCTTTGCCGTCTTTACCGCCTTTGCTTTTTGGACGTGGATTCCTCGAATCCCCTTTTCGGCTCTCATGCTTCGCACCAGCATCGACGTCAGCAAGAGGTATGGTCATGTGTACATTGTCAGCCTCGTTGGCGGCCTTTTAGCTACTGCTCTCGCCGCCTGGTTTTCTGCCACCATGGTTGGTGTCTATGTTCGTTGGCAACCCTCGCCGAATAATCCTCACTGCGGCCCCGACGGTAGCAACTGTGGTAAGGGCACTGTCATTGGCTTGATTGTCTTCATCACCTTCGCCATGTATTGGATCACCGAGTGGCTCAAAAATACCATTCATACAATCATTTGCGGCGTCTACGGCGCTTGGTACTTTGCTGTCCACAACTTCCCCAAGGACGCCACGCGCAGCTCTGCGAAGCGTGCTCTCACCTACAGCTTTGGTTCTATTGCATTCGGCAGTCTGATTATTGCCATCATTCAATTCCTCCGCCAATTGTGCTCCGTCGCTAGGCAGCAGTCTGCCCAAGACGGCGGCGTTGGTGGCATGGTCGGCATGGCCTTCTTCTGTATCCTCGAGTGCCTTATCGGCATTATAGAGTGGGCGGTGGAATTCGTCAACAGATATGCTTACGCTCATATCGCCTTGTACGGAAAGAAGTATATCGCGGCAGCCAAGGACACATGGAAGATGATCAAGGATCGTGGCATTGATGCCCTCGTCAACGTAAGCCTATTCTTTCCCACAGCCTCCCTCTGCCTAATTGACTAATGCCCTTTGCAGGAATGTCTCATTGGTCCCGTCTTATCTTTTGGCGCTCTGTTTGTCGGTTATGCTTGCGCTCTGCTGGCATACATTTACCTCCAAGTCACCAACCCAGCCTACAACAGGGGAGGAGGCTATACGCCCGTGGTCTTGGCCTTTTCTTTCCTCATTGGCTTTCAAATTGCCAACATTTTCACGACGCCCATCTCCAGTGGTATCGAGACCATCTTTGTTGCTGCCGGCTGGGATCCGCAGGTCATGGTCCGCGACCACCCTGAGCTGTATCAGGAGATGGTCCGTCTGTACCCTCGCGTCCAGGAGGTCATCTACGACCGGTAGAGGGTGCGTGCGAGTTGTACATGAAATTTCGAAATTGAGCTCGAGTATAGCTAGACTTTGGACAACTGTGATTCTCGAGTGTGGAATTGTTAGGGTCAAAATACCCCCTCCATCCCTGGAGGACCGAACCGGCCCGAACCGCTGTGGTTATTTCTTCTTTGTTCTTTGGTGCTGTGTTTCAGCGACTAGTTCAGTAACAGTATTACTAATTATTTAATGAGTTGGTCAAACTGCCTATTTTCTCCATCTCATTCATCTTCTCTGCGTATACAGGGCCAGAACTGGCTAAATAGTATATGACATATCAAATCGTGTGGCAAATCTGAGGCATAGAACATGGCACCTCTGCGGGCGCTCCTTGCAATCACCACCATGGCTTTGTGGCACGGCAACCGCGAGAAAGCGAAAACGGCCAAGTTACGGGGGATGAAGAGCAGACGAGCACATGCGCGCTTCCTTAATTTGTATCAAATGCTCCTGCAGAATTCGGAGAGAATCGCTTCCATTAGGCTAAATAAGCTTTGCGTCAAATCATGGCTTGTTTGCTCCTTTAGATGCAAAGGACGTCAATTACGTGCCTGCAAGACAACTTGTCGAGCCTGCAGAGTCCAACTTCGACGTGAAGTTGGTCTGTCATAGAGCGTATTATGACAATGTATCAGGCCATTGGCTACCAAGTCGTTTTGCTTTGGAAAGCTACCCCGCAGACAACCATCTGACCATTCACTTATCTTATTTTATGGCCGCGGCCTTTGCAGTATGCTTCCAGGCAGACATGATATGTCGTGTCTGAAGCGGTTCAACAGCCCACGTGTGTTTGAGCATCCTGGCAGCAACAAGGCGGCATGAACACATTCACACCTTTGAACCAAATGCTCACATTAACCCGCGAATGAATTGGTCCAACCCCAGCTCAAACAGCTCATTTTGTACCCCGTCACCGCCCTTGTGCTCTACCGGCGCCAGAGGATTCTTGACCACTACACACGGGCATTCATGATTAGCAAACACACCAACTTCTCCCCACCTGCGCGAGCCCACAGACAACGAACCGTATTCGACCCAGAGGTTAATGTATATTTGATGCAGGACGTTGCGCATGCTCGCCGACGCCGTGTCGCTCAGGAGGACAAATCGCAGGTTGGCGGGCGTCTCGTAAAAGTGCAGCTTGTACTGCCCTGTGCGGTAGCTGATGAAGGCGTCGTCGTCGCCGCCGAGCTTGCGAGCCATGTTGCGCAGCGAAAACACGGTGCCAAAGATGAGCTTGGCGTCGTCTGAGGAGGGGGCATGCGCCGGCGCGAAGACGGTGGGGGCGGCGACTGTCGTTGTCGTCGTCGTCGACGACGCAGGGCCTCCGGTGCTGGAATCAGGGCGCTTGGAGGAGGCGGGGAGCCATGACTTGGAGTATATGCATTCGGCTGGGAAGAGAGAGAGAGAAAAAAAAGAGGTTTGTAATGTTAGCCGTGCGCGGCGAGGTGTTTGAGGGATGGCGGCGGCGGCGGGAGTAGAGTTTGCATACTGTGGCGGTCAAAGATGTAGAAGGAGTAGACGGTCATGATGGTGGGGAGAGAGGAGTAGGGGGGCGCCAAGCGGGCGCGGCGGTAGAAGGGTTTCGTTCGAGGTTGTGTGAGTCGGATTATCGTTTCTAGATACTGCTCGTGAAAACTGAAGAGCCAAGCGCAAATGCAATGGCTAGTTGTTGATTCGTGATGAAGGATAGAGAGTGGTCGCATGCCGGAGCTCGAGTAGCATCTTGTGGTGACAAGTTGGCTGCTGGCCGAGCTAGGTAACTGTGGGGCGTCCCTGATGGCATTGCACAACAACAGGTGGCGGAGAAGATGGAGGGGCAGATCAGACCCCGTATCTGTGCCTTTGTATTTAGTTGATCAAGAAAGCGGTATTTTTATGGTTGACATAGAGAACAGCGAGGAAAATTCTAAAGCCGATGGTTGTTACTTTTCGATACTTGTTCTCCGGATTGGGGGCGAAATCAAGCGACAAGTTTGCTTGTCGAAAGCTGATCTATCTGGCCATTATCGGGCTTGGTAAATGAATATTGATAGCACCCTGAATTGGTTCTATATATCGGCATGTGTTTGCCTAATTCTTTTTATTGTATTTTGTTTTTCTTTGATTGGCCTTTTTCTCTGAAGAACGTTTGGCAGATTCCATATACCCTTATGATTGCGTTGTAACGGTTCCTGTGCCGTCACGCCAACTGGCAAAAGACTAGGCATTAATCTCAGTGCGAGCATTAACCAGGAATCCAACTAAGGCTTATATAGCTGTACCGTTACATGCGTACTGTCAATTACAGGGTATCCGTGTAGCGCATCATCAGTAAATGCGGCTCTTGAACGCGACAAACAAAGTCTCATCTTCACACCTTTGGTTGTAGAAAAAATTTTCATTGCCCAAGAAGCATCTCGCCAACAAGCGCCCAGTGGCAAAATCTCGATGCAATTTGCTACCCCGGTACGCGGCGCCGAGGAAGCGAATGACTCTCCACCCACACAACAAAGTCGCGCCAGTCAGCCCATTGTGTGCTTGTGTGCCTGCTTGCCTGCGTGCTGCATGCGTGCTAACCAATTAACTTTTTAAACTAGTTTGTGCCTAACTAACTTATTAGGTGCGTAGTTTGCCTGACTAGACCCCTCGAATGCATCTAGATGCCAGTGCAGAAACCCATCCCACGACAAGAATTAACGGTTCAACGTCTTTTCTCTGCTCGTCGACGAGAACCCTTCTTTTCCTTGGCGCTCACCTCGTATCGATGAGGGCGCCTTTCTGCTTCACCCCGCACTCTCTTTCCAGCTGGCGATAGCGGCTCTACCTGCAACCCCTCACTGCTGACTGGGCCAAAACGGTCGCGGCTGACGCACGTTGTACACGCCACCGAATCGCAGCGCGGGACTTTTGTCGTGGTGATACACTCCTTTTCACTCATTCCTTCACCCGCGCTGCGCGCATATTGCCATAGTCGACAAGGCGCAACTCCTACCGCGGACATGGACAACAAGCCTGTCGCGGGAATGGCCTCGGCGCCCACCATTAGCACCGTCCAAAGTGAGCCGGATCTGCCGTTGAGCCATGAGACGGCTCGGGACTCGTCGTCCTCGCCGACACCCGGAAGACCAGTATTGCCAACCAACGCGTGAGTAGTCCGAGTGAGCTGTCGACGGCATCGCTGACCGGCGCCCCTCCTGCAGTTCTGATCCCCCCGGGCTGCAGAACTTTCAGAGCCCTCTAAGGCAACACAAGAGGCAGCCGAGTGCCCATCGCGAGATTAAAGTATGTACTTGTCGGAGAGCAACAGCTATGCATTCACCGCTGACCGTACAGGAAACCCTCAATGCTCGCGTCGAGTACGCAAGCGATGAGGATGATGGCAGAACCCACCACAAGATTAATCAGTACACCATTATTGAAGAAGTTGGCCGTGGCTCCTATGGCGCTGTCCATCTCGCGACTGACCAATTCGGCACCGAATATGTACGCATGCACTGTGGATGACCTTTATCATGACGACTCGCGTAAGCTAACTGCGTCTAGGCTGTCAAGGAATTCTCCAAATCGCGTCTTCGTAAGCGTGCCCAGTCCCAAATTCTACGCCGCGGACCCCAGGGTCGTCCCAGACGGCAACCCTTGCGCCTTCGCAGCAATGGCGAGGTCTTGACGCCGCAGCTTGGAGCAGAACAGCCTGGTGAAAAGGAGGATGCCCTACACCTCATTAGGGAAGAGGTGGCCATTATGAAGAAGCTGGATCATCCCAACCTTGTGCAGCTCATCGAGGTACTCGACGACCCAAACGAGGATTCGCTCTACATGGTTCTTGAAATGTGCAAAAAGGGTGTCGTCATGAAAGTTGGACTGGACGACCACGCGGATCCGTACAGCGACGACACATGCCGCTACTACTTTCGCGACCTAATCCTCGCTATCGAATACTGTAAGATTGGTTCAGCCTGCTGAAACCGAAGCTGCGATGCTAACGTGTTAGTGCACTCGCAATCCATCATTCATCGCGACATCAAGCCGGACAATCTTCTTGTGGCGGCCGATGACACTCTCAAAGTCAGCGACTTTGGCGTTTCGGAAATGTTCGAGAAACCCGACAGCATGAAGGTAAAAAAATCGGCCGGATCTCCTGCATTCCTGGCGCCGGAGCTATGCAGCTCTCACGGCGAGGTGTCGGGCACTGCCGCCGATATCTGGTCCATGGGTGTCTGCTTGTACTGTTTTCGTTACGGCAAGATTCCCTTTAATTGCGCGAGTGTACTGGAAATGTACGAGGCGATTCAGACCGAGCAGCCTAAAATCCCGGATGATGAAGATCCTGCGTTTACCGACCTATTAAGGAGGCTCCTTGAAAAAGACCCTGAGCAACGCATCACAATGGCAGAGCTTCGTGTGAGTGCTGCCCCTTATTACTCCCTAGGAGGCTACTGATTGTATTTAGGAACACGAATGGATCACCAAGAACGGTACAGACACTCTGCTTTCCAGAGAAGAAAACTGTGTACACAAGGTGGAGCCGCCTAATGAGCTGGAAATCAGTCGTGCTTTTACGAGAAAGATGGACAATGCGTTTTGCGTGCTCAAGGCCATTGCCAAATTCAAGTCGCTGCTCTCAAGACGGGCCACGCGACCCACCGTGGCGGAAAAGATTGAAGATGGCACGTTTGACCCCGCGGAGGAAAAGGCGCGCGCCGAAGAGATTGAGGCTCTCCTCGCCCAGCGGCGTGAGGTGCTGAGTAGCCGAACCCGCGACGACAGCGGCTCGAGCAACGATGAGGATGTCGGCAAGGGCCATGCCAAAGACATTGGCGATCAGGAGCCGTTGTACCTGGGCATCGGCACGAGCTCGCGGCACGCTTTTTACCTCGATGACGACTCGGCCGACGACGTGGTGGCCGACTCGCCGATCGCCGTCGACTACAACATCTACGATCAGGCCTACGAGCAGGCGATCACGGACCGTCTCGCCGCTAATCCCTCGGTGCGGCCCATCATGTACCTGACCAAGTTTGTCAACGACTCGGATCGCTTCAAGGCGTTGGGAAACATCGTCGAGGACACCACAACGGCCGTGCGCGAGCAGGTGCGCGAGGCGCGCGCCACCATTCACGAGCACTTTACCGCGCCGTCGACGGCCAAGCTCGGCAAGCTCGTCGCCAGAATGGGCCTCGCGGACCCGCCGCAGGGCGCCAAGCCGACGGCGCTGAGCGACGGCGTTGTTAGCACGCTCACGGCGCCCGAGGAGAAGGAGGGCAGCGGGCCCGGCCGCAGCAGTAGCAGCAACAGCAGCAGCGACGATACTCGCAGAGAGGAAAAGGGTGCCGTGGATGGTGGCGCTGCCGCCGATGGCCCATCAGCCAAGGACAAGGACGGCGACGCCGCGGAGCAACAAACCGCGCCAATGGCGGCCCTAGCAGCTATCAAGGCCGTTTCTTTGTCTTGAGACGAAAAAAGAAGCGATGGCAAAAGCAGGCGGCTTGAGAGAATAGGAGTGGATCAAAGAATGAATCGAAGGAAACGTGCCGAGTCGGGCAAGGCAAACGACGAAACGCCGGCACGCCTGGTTTCACGGCAGCGACACGCAGATAACAGCCAGCACCACCCGGGAGCGTGTGACTGCCAGACAAGCAGCGAAACAGCTTTTCTGAGGACACGATACTTGGCCGCAGGCCCCTTTCTTTCTCCCGCCCTCTCTTATCTTTCTTATACAGCCACCCGAGAAAACGGCGCACTGACCCTTCCGATGTGGCTTTGGGGGCCACTTCTTCGACAGACTGGCTGGCCTGCGCTGCTGTCATTGGGCCTGTCACGAACCAGAGCCGCGTCTGCACACGCATGAGGCAGGGAGCCGGTGGAAAGTAGCGGTACACTTTTTTTTTTTTTGCGCCATATCAACCAGGGCTAAAAAGAAACAGCCAAGGTCGATTGAGAAAAGAAAAACAAATCCCACCAAATAGGGGTCCGTTTTCTGGCCCCCTTTTTTTTCTTCCTTTTGCGTCGGGGAGCAAAATATTGGTTGGCCAAGCTTTTTGATATTGCTTACCGCCATCGGAGAGCCGTCCATCGGAACGGCCCATGAAACAGCAAACAGACCAGATTGTCGGTGAGGCTTTTACAACCCATTGTTCTCAAAAGGACAAAGTTTATATCTGGTATCTTCTTTTTTTCTTCTGTCGTGCTAAAAGAATCCCTGTCCTACCGGGATGTTTAGCCAACGAAGATGACCAGCGAGGCCACGGGTAAGGCTGGCACGGGTCCAGGCACCCAGGGTCCTCCACCCCCGATCCTGCGGGAGCTAAGCCAGGGATGTTTATTTTCGTGCATATTGCTTTTTTCTTTCATTTCTGTGCTTAGATACCCTGTGTCTTTTATTCATCGTTTTCATTCGGGTCACACCATGTGCGCGGTTTTCTGCATCCTCCGTGATGTATACCGTGATGAGCTATCCTGGCGTAGAATTGTGGAGAGATCTCGCCTCCTTGTCACTGCATGTCCATTCTACTAAGATTATTTTAAATCGTCTGATTTGTGGGCTTGTTGCTTTGATTCCGCTTGTCCGCTTTGCAACGATTTGTCGGCTAGAAGCCCCGGGCTCGCCTTCCCCCGCCGGTCCCGGAAGTTCACTGCCGGCTGCGCCGCTTTCCATTGATTCTTAAATATCGCGTGAGATATGTCTCCTAAGAATCCGAGATTCGAAACGCATGGCGGAGGGGTTGCTTGTGGATTTTCTTTCTTCTGACTCTCCAGCCTGGTCCGGCAGCGTATGCATCGTGCATGCATGCCAACCAGGCATCACGGTCGCCGCGCAGTCGGTAAATACTTTGTGCAGGCAGAGAGGAGAAACAAAGTGCAGCCTCGATGGTGGATCCATCTCTCCATCCCCTTTTGCTGTCGCCAAAGAGGGTCAGGAGGTGAGATGTTGGGCAGAAAAAAACATTGACTACGGAGTACTATGGCCAGGGTTCCCGGCTTTCGGCAAACATGGGCTTCAAGTTAGGAGAAAACAAGCACGGGCTTCAAATGACTTTGAATGGCGTGTTTTCGGCTGCCATGTACACCTGCGATGTCTCAATAGAGAGAGAGCCGGAGAGACTGCTTGGATATCTCGTTGCGCGTTTGATGGTAGAACTCCGCCTTGATGCGCGACTCGACGATAAAAGTAGAGAGATGTTTTGGCGACATACCCCGGAAATAAAATCCCCACAGTAAGGTCTTGGCATTTTGTGTCCTGGACGATGCGGAAGTTGAAAGCAGTGGCTTCGATAATATATGCCTGCTGCGAATGGACTTTCAATATTTTGCTTGTTTCCAGTCTTTTTTCTCACGCGGCACATCGGCCAAGTGTCGTGCAAGACCTGCTTGAAGCAACAACATACGTTTTCCCCCCGTGATGTGGGTGTGGGAGTATCCGTAGACAGCAATGGAAAGGCGGCGGCGCCGGACCGTGCTGACGATGTCGGGCAGCAACTGATAATGAGGGATGGCGGCATCGGATGCTTGAAATGGTTGGCAAACATGCCCAATTACGTGCTTTCGCGCAGCGGGCTATCAACTTGGTGTCATCGTGTGTAAGCAAGTTTGCCGGTTCCCGGACCCCCGAAAGTCCGCTAGTACCTCCGGAAATTGCGCCCGTATCCTACAACCAGATGCAGACGGCAGACTGCTGCTCACGAAAAGAAACAGGGATGTGCTTTCCCTATCCTCCCCGTGCCGTGCTTCTTTTTTCAAAAAAGTTCGGCCTGGTTTCCAAGTTGTTGTTGTCCCGTGCAGTGACGTAGTGCTCTTGGCTAACCTTGCCACGGAATGAGGGGTGCTGATGTGTTGTGCGTGCGCTTGACACGGTGCGGGGAAGACAAGACAGGCTCGGCGTCTGCTTTCCGCCGCCTGCTAACTCTTTCCGTTTGTTGGCCGAGAGGCGAAGCCTGTTGTTCTTTTGCGACAAGAAGGATTTACATTTCTGCGCGATTTTAGACTGGCGGTAGGTAAACACGTTACTCCTGCAGCACAGCAGAGAGACCCTCAACCCACCTACCGGGTCAAGCGGCCCTGGCACACTAAGGCTCATAATGAGCATACGAAGTGAACAGAGGCAGTCGAGCAATGCAGCCATATCTCTCTCTGATTTTACCATCGACTCAGGTTCCTGCGACAAGGGCGCCGTTGCGATGTGCTGCCACGTCTGCAGGCTGCGTCACTGTCATCGCCGATACAATGGGCTTACACCATACAATGGCTCATGTAATACAGTGTCACGCAGTGACGCACGTGTCTCATATGCCACGCAGACCCTGCTTCGGGCGACAGAGAAGGCGTGTCGATGATTGATCAAAATGTGACAACAGAGTCGCAATCAAGGGGTGCTTCCCGGAGCCGTTATGCCAATCTTGCGCACGGCTGTTCCGATGGGCGAGGCCGGCTGAGCAAGCTTAAACAAAACCGTAGTCAGCTTCTGGTGCAGAACTTGCGTGCATAACTCGGGAGTGTGAGATGGGTTGGACCAGGTCGCGATGCGCTTGAGTAGACGACACTTTCATCGTGGCCGGGTATGAGGCAAACGACGCCACACGTCAATTTATTCACGAGGCAACCCAAGAATCAGCCTCACAAATCTTGGCCCTCATGCTGACTGGCGCGGCGAGCCTGTCTCGATAACCCCAAAGAGCTACGCCCTGCATGAATGTGGAGGAACCAGCCCGAATTACAGCCGCGAATGCTGCAAAGACGCAGATGCCGAGGGACAAGCCCATCCCAGTAAGCCAGCAGGCCGGTGGCGTTCTGAACAGCAGTGCCTACTGCTAGTTAGTGCATCCTCTACCATAGAGCTATGCAGCAAGCCAAGACGGCAAACAAGCCGATGCGGACACGGGCTACGGCAGCGGGGGATGAACGCAGGTAGGTCGCCAGAGAGGCTAGCTGATTATGCGAAGGCTTCAGAGCAGAGGTGGACAGTCTAGCAGGAGTGGACAGCATCCATGCCAGATGGCTCTCCAGCCTGATCTCGGACAGCGATAGAGTCTAGTGCAACAAGCGTGCAGAAGAACCCAAACTGTGAGCGAAGTTGGTTGGGAGCCAAAGCGTAGTGCAACCGGTTGAAGGAATAGACGCAAATGAGGATGAGCGAAATGGCTATTCTGGCCACCCGTGATCGACGAGGAGGCGTTCAGCTAGCTGTCCCTGGTGCTGTGATGAAACGAACATCAGTGAGGAGACCTGCTGCGAAGCCCGTTCTGGAGCTAGTCAAATATGTGCACGAGGCGGTCAGTAACTTTCAATGGGGTAAGTGACGGCCTCCGTGGTAGTCGAGGCCTCCAGCAGGCTGCACATGTTGGAACGACTGAAGTTGAGCGCCTCGTTTTTCACAATTGGAGGCGAGCGCTTCACTGATTGAAACTGGTCGAAGTTTACCAGTCTGGCAGTAGGTCTGGCAGGGTTTGGTCTTGGCTCCATCTAGGATCCATCCCGTCATCTCCACAGAGCCTTGCCCTAATAAATAATTTTGCTTGACCAGAGCCGAATAGAAATCTTCACTCTAGTCAATTAGGATGGGGTGGACAAGGGGTTCGGTTTTGGCTGTCAGCTTAATATTGGTGGATGGTGCAGGGATCGTAGCAAAGGTCCCAATAGTTACCAAGCTGGCAGGCTGGATCGCGACTCGAGGCGACAAATACCGGTGTACATGTTGGGGAGAGGGATCTAATCTGCAACCCTCCAAGGTAGCTTCGTCGGAGAGCTTATGTACGCCAAGCACAATACGAAGTGAAATGAAGTGAGAAGCACCTGGAAAATGGGTGGGTGGTGGAGGATGGGCTGTTGTCATGCTTCGTGGAATCGTGGTGCCCTCTCAAAATATGCCGCATGCCCCGCGTAGTGACGTCGCTGAAAGGCTGCTAACTGACACGCAGCAATTGCAAGCGCCGCCAGCCCTCTCGTTTTGTTTGTGTTATTAGTGCGATTGGCTGTGATTGGCCTTGTTCGGGCACCCGTGTAGTGTAGGTTGATAAGTCAAAAAGGTGTGTATTGAACAGAAGTACGGATAAGTCCACGATAGATCACGAGGTCTGCGAGAACATAACACCAATGGTCCTTGCTCCGAGAGGAATTTGCTGTCGAGTGATCTAGTCGAGTCTGGGCCCCCATTGTCGCATTGCGTCAACGGAGAATCGAGTCCGCAGAAGCGTCTCATCAGCTTAGCCAAAGTGATTGTAAGAGCCTAGACTCGCCGGCGCAGGGCTTCGAGGCTGCCATGACAGGGAAGCGAGAGACATTGAGGTAACTACACCGGTGGAAACACTGGGAAAGACCCGGCTGGCCGGGTGTGAAACACCACAACTTTGATCTTGGCTGTCTTCGCGGCGTGTAAGACGGCATGTAGCTAGGAATAAAGCGTGAGATCGGTTTTTACTGCATGTCTAGGACTTTCAGCGGGTATAGGCCATGTCTGAGAAGGGATCTGTCGCAGCAAGCAGGCCATGTTGAGACAATCGTAGCTAATAATAAGTACCTGGTGAGAGTGGTCTGCTCGTACCAAGGCCGGTATGTCGGGTAACTGGCGTGATCAGTCCTGGAGATGTGCGTGTTGTCGCGAGATGTACTGGTGAGATTCAGCATAAGGCGCCGAGATTGATGGCATCCAGCACCCATGATGTGGGATTTCATGAACGTCACGAGAAGTGAACTGGGCAATTCAGATTTCTCACGATGAGAGTGTGTCGTTAGGTGCGTGGGCGTACCGCGTGCGTGCCATCTCTGGGTGTAAGCCGCGGGCACCGAGCGACAGAGACTTGGCAGAATTAGGGAGCATCGGCTTGATTCTGTGGTTGAGTTGAAATTGATTGAGTTAGCATTCATCCCTTGAGACCAAGTTTAGAGCATTGGGTCTTGGATTTTCCATCCCGATGCGACGTTGGCAAAAGTAGGATGTGGAAGCATCAGATCGAGTATGCGGCCCCCGGTGCGTTGTTGAGGAGCGATATCACGGATGGGGGCAGAGTTGTCCCGACTCAGGAAAGTAGGTGATTTGGCTACACGAGACATGCATAGAAAGGTGTCTGTGAAAGAATGAAGGTGAGAAGAAGAAGAGGGCAGTGCATGCGTTTGCTGAGCGTTTGACGATGCGCCAGAGTCTTGGCAATCGAAGCACGGGGAGCGAGGGGCAGTGCTGATTGCTGGTCAATGCCAATTGGCAGTGACCGTGGTGCAGTGGGCCTGGAGTAACCGGGAGCAAAACACCACATAGCCGCCATACACTGCTGCTGCTTGGGAATACATGTAGGTACCTGCCTGCATTGTGTTAAGTCGCCGTGCCTGCTGTTAACTGCAGCCGGTTAGCGGGCTGGCGGGGTGCCTGCCCTATCGGAGCCCGTGGCCAGCGGTGGCCGCAGGGCTTGGTGGATGCTGTAATATGCCATCTAGCCGACGTGGGCCAGTATTTACAGAGGCTGTGGCGTGGCGGTTCAAGGCACAGCAGACGGCGGTGACCCTCGGTACAGGTAGTTAGGTAGGTAGTTGACTTTTTTTGTACGGATAGGACCTGCATGTTGGTTGCCAATTTTATTACTCGTCACGTTGGATCAAGCTTTGCCAGATTCGGGCATTGCACTGCAGAACAATCAAGGGGACGACTCACGAATGACGAGCAGCGGCGCAGCGAACGAGAAGCTGGAAACGGCAAAACTCAAGCATTTCGTTGTGGTGGTCCGCAATGCTCCGGCGCCGCTCCACCAACGACGAGCAGCATCTAGCTGGAGATACCTGGGGCAGCACGAGAGAACATGTAGGGCGCGCGGTAACAGACGATAGGGGCCATCGAAAAAATGCCCTACCTTACCAATGCAGCCACTAAACTGTCTCTGCTGGCCCAGTAATCCCTCACCGCGGGCCTCCGTGAGCCTCGACTTGCCACATTTTAGGGCGCGCTAGAGCAAATCTGCGAGTTGAACGCTTTTCCACTGGATATTTCTTCCAGTGGCCTCGAGCCCCAAAAGTTCTTTTGAGCAATGCAGTCTCCCTCGGGTGCCGCCCACGACCTACCTGCCTGTAGGTACCTCGAGGTACTTTGCCTCTGATTTCAGCGAGCGACTCGCTCTCCTTGTCTACCTACCAGTTGCCAGGTGCCAGGCTACCACCAACCCGTCCAAGCCGTCTTACTTGGAGGTAGGTTGGCCCCAGAAATTGTCTTGTGAACCATCGCCCTCTTTTTTTGTCTTTCTTATTTCTTCTCTTATACCAAGCAATTCCTGCAATTTTTCCTTTTCCTCTGCACCCACCCACACCCCTCTCGCCGTCTCTGTGGTCCCCTCGGTATCACCAGCAGTCCAGCGCCGACCTTCCATACTCGCGTGTACAAGTATCCTCTTGTATCCTTGTTTCCCCCCCCCCCCCCCCCCCCGCCGGCGCCAACCCGTTGCCCCCCCCAGCCCGCCTGCCTCCACCAGCTGCCACCTGCTGCCACCTGCCACCTGCGAGCTTCTCTTAATAATTCCCTGGCGCCGCCGCTCTTCCCCCATCCTCAAAGAGCCCGCCTTTACTAAACCCTCAATCCTCACCTCCAAAGCTTCTCTATTTTCTCGTCTTTTCGTCTTCGATTGGCTCACACCTTTTGGGGCCCCTTCTCTTTCTCTCTATTCTTATATATACTCAGCAGTTCTCTGTTGTGCTCGTCGTTTTCACTCCAACGCCCGAGATCTCCAACCTCAATTCTCTATTTACAACCATCTGCAGCGCCTTCGATTCCCGCTTTCGACTCCCCTTCGTTTGTCCTTCCCCATCTTCTGTCCACCACCAGCTAGTTCTGTGGCGACAGTCAAACGCGCTGTTATTTTGTTCGCCCACGACTATTGACACGCCGACACGGCGTCCTCTGCGCCTTGCGCTGCCTTGCGCTTCTCTCCCTCTCGGCCTCTCGATTTGTCCATCTTGCGCCGCGTCCTCGTCCGCTTTACTCTGACTCTGCTTCGACAAGACTACAGCCCTTCACCGCTCAGTACAGTCGTATCTCGCGTTGCGATACTAGCCTCGCGCTTTCAGGACTCGACAAGTTCTGCCTCTTTTTCGATTGACAGATCCAGCCTTGAGGCCATTGACTTTGCCCACGACCAAAGTCGCCCATCACTGCCCATTTGGCAATCGCCTCACCTCAAACCACACCTCGAACCGAATTTTTTTCTATAGATCGAGAAAAAGATGCCCGAATCAAAACCTAGCTCTGCTCCGAGCTCTAAACCTTCCTCCATCAAGTCTTCTGATGGCGTAAAAAAGTCTCCCGGCCTCCGTCCTGAGGATGCCGAAGGCCACTCACCCGCTGGCAGTGACTCTGGCAAGCCTTCGGAAAGGTCTTCTGTTAAGGGTCGCTTTACTCGCATGTTCTCTTCCAAAGAACCATCTCGGGCTGCTACACCCAATATCGCTGCCAGTGGTGCCGCCAATGGCAACGGCGACATCCTTGGCCGCCCTCGCGGCTCCTCCGTCAACAGCTCCTCGACACCCAAGCCTGCTAAGGACGCCGCTGCCGACAAGCCTGCCGAAAAGGACAAGCCAGCTCAAGCCCTTGTAAAACCGACCACTCCCAAAGAGGGAAGCACTCGCTTCGTGTCCAATCCCGATGTCCAAGGCGCCCACGAGCACTATCTCAAGTCCAGTCGCCGTCAAGAGAAGCTTTCTGACATGTGGCGTAGCCTCATCGGAAAGAAGGCCGAGCCTACCCCTGATCACGATCTTTCTCTCGTCTCAAATTGGGTCGACTCACTCCGCCAGGAAAAGGAAGACGCTGCCAACGGCACCAAACTTGGCCCCAACACCACGACCACTACCCTCGTCGAGAAATACGGCAAGTGTCAGGAGATTGTCGGCCGCGGCGCCTTTGGCATTGTCCGCATCTCCCACAAGAAGCTTGGCGCTGGTGAGAAGCTTTTTGCCGTTAAGGAGTTCCGTCGCCGACCCGAAGAGACCGAGAAAAAGTACAGTAAGCGTCTTACGGCCGAGTTCTGCATCTCTTCCTCGCTTCGCCATCCCAATGTCATTCACACCCTTGACCTGCTTAAAGATGCCAAGGGCGACTACTGCGAAGTCATGGAATTCTGTGCCGGAGGTGATCTTTATACCCTCATCCTGTCTAGTGGCAAGCTCGAGGTCCAAGAAGCCGACTGCTTCTTCAAGCAAATGATGCGAGGCGTTGAATATCTGCATGAAATGGGCGTGGCCCACCGTGATCTCAAGCCGGAGAACCTGCTACTTACCACTCGCGGTGGCCTCAAGATTACCGATTTTGGCAACGGCGAGTGCTTCCGTATGGCCTGGGAGACAGATGCCCACATGGTCTCGGGTCTCTGTGGCTCCGCGCCCTATATTGCACCCGAAGAATATACGGACAAGGAATTCGATGCCCGCGCCGTCGACGTATGGGGCTGCGGAGTTATCTACATGGCCATGCGTACTGGCCGTCATCTCTGGCGCGTTGCCAAGAAAGACGACGACGAGTTTTACGCTCGCTATCTCGAAGGACGTCGCGACGAAGATGGCTACGGACCTATTGAGTCCCTTCACAGGGTAAGCTTCTCTTGCAGTCGATATCCACGACAATACTAATTTTGTTGGACTAGGCTCGCTGTCGCAATGTCATCTACTCTGTTCTAGACCCTCATCCCACAAGACGCCTAACGGCCGCGCAGGTGCTCAAGTCCGAATGGGTGCGCGAAGTAAAACTTTGCAAGGCCGGTGAGGAGGGTCTCTAACACACTGTCCGTCATGCTCCTTTGCATGGCGGACTGCTCTGATGGTGGTGGGCGCTACAGCTTTTTGGCGTTTCTGGCTGTGACCGCCGCACATCTTGCAGATTCTTGCTTGTACAAATCTTCACTGTGCAGCTCTAAGAAGACTTGATAGATATCAAGTCAACGATGATGAGACATGAACATGCACGCATCCACGGCATATATTGTGGAATGCTTTTTAGAGACGGCTTTTCTTTTCCTAGTCTTTTCTCCTTGTCTCTTCGTCGTGGAATCAGAGGACAGCGAGTATGGAATTGCTGGCGTCTTTGCCATTTAACAACGCTTGAGGCCTCTGACGCCACGTTCATATTTCTTTCTTTGACTGGGAGTTTTCGTTGTAATGGCTCTTTCTGTTGGAAACTATATCTACGGAGTTATACACCGCTAAGCACTGGCGTCTTGGAGCATATTCATTCACTCTTGATCACTGTATTGCGTTTTTTGTCGTTCTTTAATGAGAAGATCGGTTTTTATTGCCGTCTTGACCAATAGCATGCCTAGATGCGATGCTTGCACGTGGATGCTCTTGCGTCCAGTTGCTAATTTTCGTCGAGTGTATCTCGGGTTTGTGCGCGCTGGCTACATGGTTCGTTGTAGCGGCCATTTGAAGTCGGACTCGTGAGTTGATAGGCGAGTTCATTTGTGAAGTTGATTCGTGAGTTGAAATATGAGGTGATCCGTAAAGATATGGCAGACGGTTGAGGAAAGCAATAGTGTCGCCAATCATGTAGCTGAACATGGAAGAAGACGTGGCTGGTCCTTCAAACTGACTGTTCACTCGGTGTTCTCGTGGCCGTGTATCCTTGAACCATCAAAGGACAGGGAACTGTTTAATCATAATACGCTGTAGAAGACCATATCACATGCGTACTTGCAAGGTTTATTCTTTCGGAGTTGGAAATATTTGCATTCATCCACCAGATGACAGAACCATTAAAACATTCAGCAACAACAAACTGCCCGTCCGTACCTCTTTGCGCCAGATTCATGGATCCATGGTAAACCCTCCCATTCATATGGCATGACAAAAAAAAAGTAGTAAGAAGGACTGAAAAAAAATCATTCAAGTTTCAAACCGTTACAATGTCCAACCACGTAGATAAGTTGAAGAGAGAAGATGTTGGAAGAAGAAGAAGAAAAAAAAGCATGTGGGCAGGAAACCAAAATAAAACCCGGTGTTCCCTCCCACTTGACCCGTCACCTCATATACACAGTACCCGTCGACAAAAAAAAGAAGAGAGACAGCCGCGAGACTCAATCTCTCAGCTGAATACCCATGTCTTGCTCCATTTGAGAGAATAAGACGAATGGGTCGTAGAATATAAGAAAAAGATGTGTAAAATGCATTCGATTCGTCTTTGATTAAAAACACATGGCGGCGAGAGTGGCGTGTGTATATATGCACTCATGAAGCTGGCCCTTGCTCATGCATGCGTCGTCGTACGCTGCTGCGACTACGAGTGGAACAGGTCCCAAGCTCGCTCGCAAATTCGCAAAAACTCTTCGCGCTTTGCCCGCTGTGATTCCGGACTGTCACGGCCCGCGCCAAAGGGGCCGCGTCTGCTAGACGAAGGGCCGTGGCCGAGAGGTGGGGTCGCTCCATCCTCATACTCGGCGCGGGTTCTTCTGCGATTGCTGTTGCTACCGCTGATGCGACCACCGGCAGGCGAGGGTGGCGTGGGAGGCTGGTGTCCGCCGTAGTGCACAATCTTTGGTAAGAGTTCGGCGCGGCCGCCAGCGAGCTCTTGCTGGGCCTCCTCGGCTGACTTGTATTCTCTGGGGCGCGCAGACAAAGGAGCCTGGTACGCGGACTGCGGATGGCTAGGCGAAGCCAGCGGGGCGCGGGACGCAGAACCGTAGGCGGAAGGATGGCTGTCGGCATGTTGCGATTGCGGGAAGACATCATGAATGGGTGGCAGACGGTTGTTCGTTTGCGTGGCAGGGACGTGGTGAATGTGCGACTGGCTGCCATGGCCTGGCTGAGTGGGAACGTGTCGTGACAAAGGCGCGGGTTGGTGGCGGCCGGTGAAGCTGTGACCCAGAGGCGCGGACTGAATTACGCGCTCGTGGGCGAATTGCTCGTGAGAAGGCGCAACAATGGACAGGCCCGGGGGTGCACGTCTGCGATGAGACGACATTCCAGGAGTTCTGGCGGAAAACTGGGGCCCACCATCGCGGTCAGGGTGTGTACCGTCGCCCTTTGCTGACTGCAACTGCAGACGAGCTTCGATAATATTGCGCTGCTGTTCGCGGACACTCAGACTGCGTTGAAGCTGCTCCTTCATGACAGGGTCTTGAGTGACAAAGCCGGGGGAGAGACAAGCCAGCCCAACCTCTTGAATTCCAAGACCATCTCTAGCGGTCAAAGGAACAGCCGAGGCGGGTGAATTGCTGTTGAGAGTATTCTTGGAGAGATCGAGTTTACGGGGTCTGGGCCGCGTGTTGTTAAGACTTGGAGAGCCGGGTTCCTTCTTGATGACAACTTTGGGAGGGTTGACATCAGCCTTGGATCTGTTTCGGTTGTTAGCATCGGCTTTTCTGCTCGATACATTGTACTACTACAAGACACTTACGCGCTAGAGGGAGAGCCTTTGCCAGAGGCGGGCGCAGCTCTGGGACTGTTACTTCCAGACCTTTGAGTAGAGGCCTGTGCAGCGGCAGATTTCGAAGCTGATGATCTGCGCGAGGGCGGAGATGCGGCGCCGTTGGCTGTCGGGGCGACGGAGGCAGAAGCAGGGGAGGGCATGACCGAGGGTCTCTCGTGAGGTGCGGGAGACGGAGCCATGGCGATTGCAGCACTCATAGTTGACGCTTGGCCAGAGTGGCGAATGTCGAATGTGTGAGGTCGAATTGTGAATCTGGGAAAGGGCAGCTATGTATCTAGCTAGAGCCCGAGAGTGGATGAGGTTGGGCAGAACCGAGCGTCCAAGTGGCGCAGATGAGGACAGCACTAGAGATGGCCTCGGCGGCAATACGGGGTACAGGCCTGGTGCGAAGTTGCGATTGTCCTGAGCGAGCGCGAGTGTCGAGAGTCAAATGCGATGAGAGGGTCGTCGGAGAGGTGCCTTTGATATGCGGTTATGTTGGCGAGCAGACTGGGCGTCGAAGCGAGTGATTGGCGCGTGGGCGTCGCGTTTAAAAGAGACTGGTTCGATTTGTCTCGAGAGGGCTCTATCACAAACGGGAGATGTCTGGCGAGGCAAAGGGAGTGGCGGTTAGAGTAAAGAAGGATGCCGACAGTCAAGAAAGCAAATGTCGCATACAAAAGAACCCAGACGCTTGGTTGCAGAAGGCAAGGAAGGGGGAGAAGGAGCAAAAAAAAAGGTAGAGGCAGTAGAGGCAGAGGGGGGGTAGAAAAGTGTTGCAGAATATACGTAGTAAACGGACAGCGAAGCGAAGGGCTTCGATAGAGGGGAGGGGAAAGGATCTGGTACCTCTGCAAGCAAGTACCCAAGTCAAGACTGGCAGGTATTTTGACAAGAATACCAAGGGCGGACACACTAGAGAGAGGATCAGGATGGATGAACGGGTACCAGCCTACGGAGTACCAGGTAGGGAGGTACCACGGTACATACCTACCTAGGTAGATATGGGCGGGCGGGCGCACAGTTCCACTAAAGTACCTGGTAGTTTGTTACTGGGTGGGATCGCAAGGTCAGATATAGGGCGTTTCTAGCTGATGAAGGAGGTTTTTCTTTGATGGCGCGGGTAGTTTTGAATTTGTTCCTGACGAATCCCAAGTTTGTGTAATTTTTGTGCTCTATAATGAACCCGTTGTCTTTGTCCTGATGTCTTGCCAAATACCAGTGCACATGCAAAAGAGGAAAGGAACTACCACCACTGTCAAGTTGTCAACCACGAACCTACCTAGGTCACTTGTACCATCACGACGCACAGGGGCCGACTGACGGGCCAGGGGCTGCGTCGATGCACCAATCTGGAGCAACCAGGAGGCTGACGAGTTTTGGGTTTGGATTAGTTGGGCGTGTTAGTTTAGGACTAGTTCAGTTGAGAGCGCACAGTTGTCAGTTGAGGCCGGGCGGTGGTCCTCGCATTGGTCAACGCTGCGTCCGGGGGGGATGGGTGGGGGGCGTACAGGTTAATGGGGGGTGTGATGGAAAGGGGACTAGATTTACGAATAAATGTAGGGGCCCAGGGGGAAACCTTTCTGAATTGTGAAGCCAGATTAGGGCTCAACATGCGGAAGGGGGTTGTTTTATTTTATTTTTATTTTTTGCCAAGCATGCGCATCCTCTCAACTTTGAAATCTTGTTACTTCTGATACTTTTCATGCCGCGATGCCTCATCTACCTGCGGCAGGGGGGAGAACTGGTGGAAGCGCCAAAAGCTCATCGGTGGTTGGCTGGAGATGTGCTGGAACCGCCCAAAAGTTCAAACCGCTAGCAGGGATGGTGAAAGCCGAAGGGTGGGTGGAAGAAGGGGGGACGGGCGAATACTGGTGTCAATAATAACGAGAGGAAGGAAAAAGATTTTAATGATTCAGTTGCATCGCGTGCCTTGGCAAGTCGGCAAACAATTATCAGTAGGGATACAAGATAAAAACCATCACATAGCTCACAAGTTAGCGGCAAAGCCTGCCGAAACGAGGTCCTCTTTATTTTTGGGTAGCAGTCGGCGATAGCCGTGGTTCAACAGTAATACTAAAACATTTATTTGCCCAATTTGCCATCGTTCTGCAAAGCCACGAGTCGCGCATAATGATCACTGGTCAGCTGGAGATGAGCATTCAAAAAGAGAGAGAAAGGCCGAGCATTCATCACACTTGACACTTGATCGTCGACCCTGTGGTTGCGTGGCTGCCCCCTTGTCTCTCTACCAATCTACCTACCTAACTAGCTGGTTCCCAGTCTCACCGTCGCCACCGTCCCGCCAATTCGGTTGCTTGCTGCCCGACAACTTTATTACCCCCAGGGAAGAAATGACAACGATACGATGTGACACGGACTTTCATGTTGATATCTGCAGGCATCGGGGTGGGGTGGCCTGTGTCTCGTCCGGGGTACTCACAACATCAGTTTCTCTTGGATTTGTTGACGATTCAATTTATGCTGTTCAGTCTTAACTATCTGCAGGATCCGGTACATGGCAGCACTTGTAGCAATAACGTCTGCTCTACTATTCAAACGATGATATCCGCACACAAAAGGAACACGACAAGGAAAAAAATTCTGCTACCGAGGACCTTATGACCTTATTCCCCCCTCCTCGTCTTCATCTGGTCCGTTTCAGCAATGGCAGTAGCGCAGACCGCGGCAAATGCGCTGGCGCAGCCCGTCGTTGGGCATCGCCGGCTCTGAAACTGCTCAGCCCATTTCGGTCAGCCATGCGCTCTCTGCCTCGCTCGTTTTGCTTTGATTCTTATTTCCACGCAAACATGAACCCAGCCTTGCCCCCTTTCCTCCATCTCCCGTCAATGATACCCAAATTTTGCCATGCTCGTCCACTTCTCGCCACCCTGATCTGATCGAAGGCTACCCTTTTGGGCCGGGTGTATTTTTATGTAGATGCTCTCTCTCCGTCAATAAAAGGAACTTTTGCCTCGCATTGATCATCATGTTGGATCGGGATGGGTCTTTCCAACTTGATTCACTGTCTCGCAACAAACAGGGCATTCGTGATGGAAGCGATTGTCCGAAGCTACACAGGGTAAAAAAAAAATTATTGCTGATCAACTGGTTTAGCCTCACATGAGCATTCATGATCGCGACCCTGCAAAACTAGCGCCGTTTCATTCGTCGAGGTAATTATTTAGGAGGGGGCCAAGTGTTGCAATCAAAATCGAAAATTGACAAAAACGTTACACTAGACCCGCACAGGGCTACAAATATGATCGGCAATTTGCTTCAACTTCTCAATTTTATTGCCTGGTCATGCCCTATTGGCCTCGCAAAATTCTTCATGCGCGCCAGGTTGTAGGGTCTCAAGAGCCAACCAACCTCACAGACGCCGGTTACCGTGCGCCGCACACGGCGCTTTCTCCTTTTGCGCGCACACGGCCAACGAGCCCGGAGTGACAGACCAAGCGACAGCTGCACGGTCCTCTCGATAAACCAATACCTCTTTCCATGACGGGCAGTAAATTAACACAATTCGTAGATGCAGGAAGCAGATCTCACTGGTGCAGTTCCGGACGGAACACATTCCGGCCCAAATTGCGGGAAATCCTTTTGACGGCAACGTGCGCGTGCGTGTGCCAGCATCGCGCCCCAGTACGTCATCTGTACTGCCGTGTGCACACGGATGCAGGCTGGCACACCGATTGACTGCCTTTGCCAGTGCCAGATTCGCTAGGGAGCAGTTTGAGCAGGTTCTCTTGGCAATACTACCGCTATTTTACAGCCACGGCGGCTCGATGCATCTTTATCACATTAGCCGCTCACGTTTGTCTTATGCGCCGTGTTTGCTCCCTATGCCGGCGGTGTCTGCAGCTTTTTCGTGGCCCTCTGCCGAATGTCTTGTTCTCTTCACCGTTTCCTCTCTTCCTTTCTCTATTCGCTTGTCTTTAATCCCACTGACGACCGAAAATCATCGTCCTGTCCACCACCAACAAGCCCCCCGCCACCTGAGACGTTGACGTCTCAGGTGTTGAAGAGGGGCCCAGAACATGGATTCGGTTCTTTCGCCTCGCCCATCATGGTCGCTGGACAAGACAATTCCATCCATTCACCTTAGACATTCCATGCAGTTTGCATAGAGCCGAACAGACTTTGACACCTCCCGCCTCCAATTACGAGGCTTTGAGCAATTTGCCACTCGCATTTGGCCAACATATTGATACGAAGAGCAATAGCCAAGGGCTCATCTTCTTCAGCTCCATCGATGATGAAACATGAAAAGATGTATCTTGGTCAGCGTCCCGCTCCGCTGGTTTTCGTGAGGCGGACATGACGAATCCCTGCCCGCCAGATCCATATTAACAAGGGGTTTTTCCAAGCAAGGCGCTGGTGGGCAGAGGAAGAAAAAGCAAGGGTCTTGACAAGTCTACCTTGCAATTGCTATTTTTACCTGCAACTTTTGGCTATGTACCTGGTACCCAAGCACGTAGTATTAACTATAGTCGATCGCCACATCCTGGCATCTATTAACATGGAATCCAAGATGCTGAATTTGCTTTTCCTTGCCGAAAAAAGCTGCGCGGTGAAAAGGCAAGAAAGGGTGAAAGGGTAGGGAAAAAAAGGACGCAACACTTTCATTATCCACCTTGTCCCCATCTGCACTCCTGTCAAGACAAACCCCAAGACTCGGGACTCGTCAGACAAAGACTCCATGCAGAGTTTCAACACTTGTCTGGTGGCGTCGAACTAGGGGCTTCGTCTCAAACACCTCGACACGCCCCCCGTTGCTCTCTACCCCTCCCCGCGTGAACGAGCACGGCTGCTGAGTTGACAGACTCATGCTCAAGCCAAAAAAGGAGCCCTCTGAATAACTAAAAAGGTGCATATTCCGTCACCATATTCATTTCTGCATGCTGATGACCTGGCACTTTCAGGAAACGTCACATGTATTCGTTGTCGGTGACGTGCCACACTATCCTGCGGCACGGCGTCCAGGGGCAAGCAATGGTCATACCCTGGACAAGAGTGCTATTCTGAGAATCTCAAGGAACCAGAACACATCACCAATTCTTGTGATGCCGTCAATGATGAAAATGTGCAGTTGCATTGCCCCTCTTATAGTTGGTGAATAATACAACAAGGCCAGAGCATAGATGCCGGCTCTCGGTCGACACGGCTTTGCACGCATTGCTTACCATCAAGCTAAGATCTACACCATCTGCGAAAAAGCTTCCGCGGCTGATACTGCAGCGCATACGATCCGACAGGCTCCATGACGCGGCAGGGAAAAAAAAAAAAAAAAAAATAGGTTAAACATTCACAGCCACAGACGAAGAGGAATATAATAGTAGGCGGATTTGTCCGAACAAGAATGAAAACAATCGAAAGAAGGACGGTATACGGAACGTTCATCAATTCAGCGTGACGGTGACTGCGCAAGTAGTCGAACCGCATGCCTTGTAGTGAGCCAACTAGGCGAAAAGAGCCAAAAATAAATAAATTAGTACACTGGAAACTGTTCGAAAGCAGCGCAACTATCATATTAACTGTGCTAATTTTGCTCATGTACTCCATCTTCAGCCATGATCCACCGTGGCACTGAGTGAGGTCGACCCACTTAAAATATTCACATCGTCCTCAAAATTTGTAGATGCAAGCCTTGAATGATATCAAAATCGGTCTTCAGTACTCGTGTGTTAACGCTTCAGATGAAGTTTTATCTCAAACTGCCGACGTCGACTTGAAATCAGCAACTGCTATTCAAATATTAAGATCTACTTTGCCTCCAACTCTCAATTCATCACACAACCCTCATCATGCCCTCCAGGACCAAAAAGGACGCCCCGTCTGAGGACGCTGCCATGGAGGATGCCCCCGTTTCTGCGCAGGTCGAGGACGTGCCTGATCAGGACATGCCCGAGAATGGCGCCGCAGAGGAGGCAGAAGAAGAGGAAGAGGAAGAGGAGGAAGTTGAGGCCCAGCGCGTAAAGATTGTGAGTTTGCCTTGCCCCCCCCCAACCCCGACTGAGAGTCTCGTATGAGATGACCTCAATAGAGCTGAACCCTTTTCTGGCGTCAAACACAAGTAGCTGACCGTATCACGCAGCTTCCTGGCTCTACCGAGACGGCCGCTTCCTTTGAGTTTATCGAAGAAGGCCACACCATGGGCAACGCCCTGCGGTACATTATCATGAAAAAGTATGTTATTCCCGGCCGAGGCCAGGCCTTTGAAGCGATGCGACTAACAGAGTAATGACAGCCCCGACGTTGAATTCTGTGCCTACACGATTCCTCACCCTTCAGAGGACAAGATGAATATTAGAATACAAACATATGGTGAGTCTCATCAACGCCCCGCCATTGGCGCAAGGCTAACACTCCATCCCAGAGGGCACCGCCATTGACGCTCTCAAAAAGGGCCTTGGTGATTTGCAGCAGGTCTGCGACGTCGTTGCCGATGAGTTTATGACTAAGCGTCAGCAGTTTAACGACGAAAATGGCATCGTCAGGTAGACGCTGGCCAGAACTCAGGTCGGTTTAGTTCGTTTTAACATGGGTAATTCGGAGCGTTATAATCTTTTTTAAATTCATTCATTTTTTTGCCATCGCATACAAAGGCAATGTAACACAAGAAATTCAAAATGAGACACTGCATGTTGCGCGACATGCTGGGTAATCTGCGACGGCGCGTGATGCATTCGCTCAAGTCTAGTGGTTATATATGTACATAGCAGTCTCGATGTCGAATTCCCTCAATTGCGGCCCTGCCGAGTTGTTAGCCATCCACTGAATTGACCCGAGAGCGGGAAGGAAGGGCTTCGTACCTGCAGAAAACCAGACATGAAGTTTCTGGGCAGTCTGTCGTCTCCTCTAAAGTTCTCGTCTTTGAAGTACGACATGACGTGTGTGGTCTGCTTCCAAAAGTTCATCATTTCCTATACCGGCGTTTCGTTGTTAGAAAATTTCACAATGACATGGCGCGCCGAACTCGGTGCCCTTCGTACCTGGTACTCGGCGTGCGACTTGAACAAGAGGACGTCGACGGCCGACAGCTTGCTGACGAAGCGGTGGCGCTCAAACTCCTGCCTCATGCGGTTGCGGATGACGGAGATGGGCATGGGCATGTTGTACATGGTCTGTACCTCCGGTGCCTAATTTCGATTCCCCAAGGTCAGCATTGGTTTGGTCATATGTCGTGCGCTTCTTCAGCTTGTATGTTTCGCCATCTCTCCAGCTGTATTATCGGGGAGGCTCTCGGTCGCGCAAATCGCCCAATCCGATTTGGTCGCCGCGAGATATCGTGCTCGGAGGTAATTCAAGAAACGTACTCCTCTTATCCACTCGCGGTAGGAAGACAGAACTCGGCGCTTAGCCTCTGCCCAGTTGGCGGCTGCGATTTCATCTAGTTAGCAAGACGGCCCATTGGTTGCTGCGGTGCAGCGGCTCCGATACGGGGAGCAATACGCACACTGCGCCGTCTTCTTGGCAAATTGCGTCGGGGTAATGGCCATGGTGGGCGACTAGTCGGTTCAATTGTGCTGGACGAGACCCGGCTTCCGGAGCGTGGTTTGATGAGGTTGCTGTGCTTCGGCTGCAACCCGTATCGTCAGAATGGCTGCGGATCACGTGCAGCCACCACGCCACAGCAAAAGTAGTTGCGCGCGCGCCACACTTTTCTGCCCCGCGGAAGACATACTGGCTGGCTTGGAATTTTAGCTAATGATAAGTTAGCTTCCTACCTTAGTAAATTTACAGGGCGGCCCGTCTGATAGCAACGTACGCAATCATTGTTAATTCGCCGCCACCTTTCAACTGCGCCGAGTCAACCACCTTTCTCTCTGACAAGATATCGCGGCGCACATACAACTAGGAGGATCTACAAGGCACGGCCGCTCAATTTCAAGATGCCCGCCATACGCCACGCCTCGAAGCGCAAGCCCCCGCCAGACGGTTTCAGCGACATCGAGGACGACCTGCTCATCTTTGCCAACAAGATGAAGGACGCGCAGAACAAGCCGCCGCCGCCGGGCCCCAAGTACAAGGCGCAGTGGGAGGTTTTTCAGATTGCGCACCAGCGAAGCCGCTACGTCTACGAGCTCTACTACGACAAGGAGGCCATCAGCAAGCAGCTGTACGATTGGCTACTCAAGAATGGTTATGCGGACGCGATGCTCATTGCCAAGTGGAAGAAGCAAGGCTACGAAAAGGTACGTTGTCGAATGCTTTTAGCAAAGCCGGACTCTCTTTCTTCTGCACGCGATCATGCTAACAAGTGTTGTTCTATAGCTGTGCTGCCTTCGCTGTGTTCAGACGAAAGAAACAAATTTCAACAGCACGTGCATCTGTCGCGTGCCCCGCGCGCAACTGAAAGAAGACCAACAGGAAATAGAGTGCAATAGCTGCGGATGCCGCGGATGTTCTTCTGGCGATTGATATTCTCCTTTACTGTACTTGTTTCATTAATGTCGTGGCGCGCTTTGTTTCTTGGGCGGCAGAAGACTTTGCCGTGGAATGCATTATCACGGCGTTATCAGCGAAATCTTGTTTTAGGCGAATGGGAAAAGCAAAAGAAAAGCAGTGGATTGATCCAATGTACACAATGAATGGGACACTTTAACAATTGGCATATAGACAGTCTACAATGTCATTTTCCACACGTGCTGTTTGATTCATCAGTCATACAAGTCGTGAATATGCAAGGTGCTCCTCCCACATCTCTCATCGTTTGGCGAAACCACTCCGGTTTCTGTTACCAAATTTGACAGCCGCAGGAACAAAGCGCAACGACGCCATACTGCTGGTAATAGTGTCAACATCATCGTCGACGGTGGGGGTCTGGGAGGCCCGCCCCTTGTCCGCCGAGGATTCAGAAACCTGCTCTCCCGCGTCCGACGCCTGCCCTTCGAGAGTGGCAGCGCGCCCTCTCGCACCCTTGGTTTGCGACGTTGCCGAGGAGCGGCGGCGGTGGGGTGCGCCATCCACGAGCAGGGACCTCCGTCCGTCGATGCCGTCCCGCGTCACGGCAAAGAAGAAGTTCTTGGGATACATGTGCTTGTCAATCAAGTGCATACGACGCTTCTGAGGTGTCATGCATTTCCTGTCGCAGCCCTCGACAAAGCAAGAAAACTGTTGTCCGCGTCCGTGATTAGCCGGTGTCGTGGTACAAAGACGGTGAGCAGGAGGTTGATATGTACGGTGTGGACGCCCTGATCTCGCCGGACCCTGACAATGGGATCGTGCATCTCTTCGATGTGCACACCGAGAAGATGCTGGCTGGGAAAGTTCTTGCGGCATTGCAGACAACGATTGGTATGGAAGCTGCTGTAGTGCGCCTCGTACGCGGTGTAGGAGTCAAAAGTCATGTCAGCGTGAGGCGGCAGGGAGCAGAGCATGTGCACTGCAGAAGACAACGGCTTGCTGCGGTCGGTATCTAATGCCGTCGCGTCCAAGTCGAGCTCTGTATATTTGGCAGTGTGTTGAGGACCAGAAGGGGGCACGTCCGCGTCAGGACTGTCGGGCGATGCAGGGTTTATATCGTCTTGGGGCTCTCGCGAGCGCTTCATGCTTGTAACCGGGCAAGGTAAGGTGGTGTATTAGTGGAGAATCTCGGCAGCTGCAGCCGGCATAGGTTGTCAGGATGACACTATGCGTCGTAGCTTGTATTTTTGATTGAGATTGAAGCAAGTTTCCACGTATCAATGATGGTTTCGAGGATCAGAATTGGTGGCAAGCTTGCTGGTGTTTTCTTTGCTGGTGGAGCTAGAGCTGTTCTTGTGTGGTGGGCTCACTGTAAGTATGTCATCGAATGGCCGCGATGAGCCGGCTCGTGCGCGACCAAGAGCTGCAGCAAATCTCGCCGAAACACGGCTTGCATATTGAAAAAGTCAAAATTTTCAACGTGGTACAGGGTGAGAATCTGGCCATATCATTATGCACCTTGAGATCGTACGCCTGCCAAAGGGTGTAATAGAGGTGTGCTGACATCGGTGAAAGACGACATCTACGCATACTCAACACAGCAAGAGTCATTCATGTAAAGCCGATGCAGATAAAGTCACCACCAATCTATACCTAGTGTACCTAGGTAGATACTCAATATCCCAGCTGGTGCTTGGGGTGCGTGTGGGCTACCGGTTTAATTATTTGCAGTGCTGCCCTTGTGAGAAGAAGCTTTGGTAGCTAGCAATTAGCGTACTACCTGTACAGCACTATTAAAAATGGCGAGAAAAAATTAACAAGGAAAGTCGGCCAAAAAAAAAAAAAATTGCCGAACCTGGAGGGGTTCCTCTCTCCAAACCCCCCGACTTGCTCTTCACATTGGCCTCAGCAGACCAGTCACTATTGCCTGTCTTCTTCCTCCTCCTTCCCCCTTCTCTTCTTTGCTTTGCCGTTGTGCTGTGACATCCAAGGCGCGCATATTTCGTTTTTTTTCTTTTCGCATGTTTGCCGCGTCGTTTCCTCCCGCCTGGACTTACTTTGCCAAATGCTGCCGTCTTGCGTCGCCGCCGCTGCCGTTCCGTCTTCTTCTCGATCCCGCGCACCTCTTCGCCGCCAACACGTCTCCTGCGCGAATACACGACTATGGGCAGCCCGAATTTCCAAATTCTAACGTTCAGATAGCATGATTCGACAACATCGCTGACCAGTCCACCCTCTTTCCTCCACTCCACACCGCGCCCTCTGGCCGGCTGTGCTTGTCGCTCCGCGAGGTACAAGTCAATATCTCGGCCGCGATACGGCTTCGTCCGTTGCATTGTCGACGACAGAGTCATGGCCTCACCCGCTGCCCAGGCGAGCCAAACATGGCAGTGAGTATTGGCCTCTACCTACCTATCAAATACCCGCGCGCCCCCTTCGCGCATATGTGTCGCGACACCGCTGTGCGGAGTGGATTGTGCGCCAATGCATGATGCCATGCCCCTCCGATTGCTAACTTTGCCATCCACCACCGCAGAAACGCCTTGAAGCTTCGGAAGCACCTTCTGAAGCAACTGGAAAAGATAAAAAACAACACTTCATCAGGTGTTGATATTTCCCAGCTCGAAGCTGCCGACGGTACACTCGAAAAGTGTGTATCCCGTTTAGTGCGCCACTTGCCCGTTTGTTAACCCTACGCCAGATTCCGCCTCGCTTGTGTGCAGACCGTCTTTATCGATTTTGAGTACGCCGCTAGTGAAAATACTGAAGAGATGTTATGGAATTTGCATACGTCCATAAACTCCGAATATCGTCGAATTCTCGGCAGGTTGAAATCTTCCTCCCAGGCCGTCGAGCGCCGCAAAACCGAAAAGCTGTACACCAACTTTTTGCGCATAGCCCAAAAGTTCTACCAGGGCTATATCCAGCGACTCTCCGCGCGCTATGATATTCCTGATCTCAAACGCGTGGCCAAGGGAATTGAGGTCGAGCAAATGACAGCCAGCGATCTCATTAGCCCCGTACCTGCCGAGCTCAATGCAAAAGTGCTCAGGTCATGCCATTCGACACTCATCCGACTTGGCGACTTGGCTCGGTATAGAGTACAGGCCAAGCACAAGAATTCAGGATACGACATGGCTTTGACCTACTATACACTTGCTCAGCATCTCTTGCCCAAGTCTGGCTTCGCTTTTCATCAGATGGGTATCGTGAGCCTCGACCAGGGCAGCCACCTTGATGGCGTCTACCACTTTTACCGCGCATGGGCAATCAAGTTCCCTCATCCAAATGCAAAAACCAATCTTGAAATGGAATTCAAGTCTCTTCAACAAACAAGCTCCAATAAGTCCAAGCATGCGTCGTCCGGCCCTCAAGATGCCTTCATCATGTGGTTTGTGCGCCTGCATGCCTTATTTTACAAGGGTGAGACCGCACCACAGTATAAAGAGCTCGAGCGTGAAGTAATTCATCGCCTTGAAATGGCTGCTGCAACTGGGTCCTGTGGCGATATTATCCTGAAAATGAGTTTCATCAACATTGCCGCGCAATACATAGCTACCGTAAAGTGCTCCGGTCAGTAACGCACACAACTACAGTTCTATCTATGAGAAGGACGCTAACGTGCAACAGAAAACAAGAATACGACCTCACTGCAATTTTACCAGTACACTTCCAACTTTAATGTCAAATTCTTTGCGACTTTCGCATCTGTGTTGGAGACAAACCTCAAGGAAAAGGTGTCCAAGGCTGACGACCTTGCTGAGGATGACAACGACAAGGTTTCGCAACTTACCGAATCACTGCTTCCCGCGCTACGAATTTACTCCATGTGGATTGCAGTATCACGTCAAGAACTCTTCGGACACGCTGCTGCGACCGCTGAAGGGTCACTGACTGGCGTCATGATGGACACTACTGCCCGAGTCTTTAGCCTCATCTGTGTGGAAACGTACAACAAGAACAACCTGGTGTCGTGCCCTTACTTGCTACCCGAGGATCTCGACATTCTCGGCTTTCAGCCACTCAACAAAAGCATTATCCCAGAGCCGTGCCGCTCGTTCTGCGGACAAAATGGCAAAGTGAAGCCTCATTTATACTCGCCTGAGCAACGACTGACTCCACAGATGGAGAAGCTGGCGCGAATTCTCGACATTTTGCGATGTGCGTATTTTCTTGCCGAAGATCTAACTGTGCCGCTGTCATGCCGCGTCGTTGAGGACTGGCTGCTCTTTGAATACCAACCTTCTCAGCACCGGCCAGAACCACCTGCGGAAGCCCCAGCATTGCGGAAAGAATTGGTTGCAACTCCAGCCACGATCAACGTGCAGAAACGACGTTCGGTACAGACGAATGCCCAAGAACGCCAGGATAGCCCCAAGCTGTCAAACGGCAAACAGCTCGAAGCTCCCACCGTACCACCAAAGCCTTCTACAGTTCCGCCAGCCCCGGCCAACAAGGATGGTGAGGTGGGCGATGCAGAGAGCACCGTCATTAATATGCTCGCGCCTTTTCTGAAACCTCCTACACCACAGCCCCAACCCGGTATTAATGAGAATGATGTCACTCCGTCGTACAGAGCCCAACACAACATTGCTAGAGACTTGCATTTCAGCACACACCAACGTCAAGTGGACCCCAGTCCGACACGGTCCATTTCCTCGGGCAAGTTTGAGCCTCTGCCATGGGAGTGGTTCAACACGCCCAGACCCGCGCGCGGCGACAACTCGCCCTTATCCGCCGCTGGCATGTCGCCCATCACACCCGGCATGCCACTCGGCAAGTTTGACGACCCCTTTTCCGTGCCGTCTGCGCCTAGTCGTGCCGACGCCAACGACGCTGGCAGCGGCAGCAGCCGCTTTCCCCGCGTTCACAGTCACAGCAACATTCGTGCCGCCGACATGGGCATCAACCTGAGCGGTGGCTCCACAGCCGAGCACGCTCACCGCGCCGCACTCCTCCATACCTTTGCCGCAGCGGGCGGCCGGCCACCGTCGACGGGAGCGCGCACCTCACCGTTTAGCCACTGGGGCGAGAGCAGAAACCCGAGCGGCGCCGGCGGCGGAGGCCGGCACAGCGGGCTCAGCGCGCCGCCTGGCCTGCGCACGCCCGATGCGGTACCGCACTCCTCGTCGGCTGGCAGCCTGTCGCAGTTTTCACATCCGAGCAGCTTGTATCACGGCACACCAGGCGCGCCGGCCGCGAATTACAGTATCGGCGGGCAATATCTCTTTCAGCAGTCGCAGCAACAGCAGCAACCTTTGCAAAGGACCTTCCAAGCGGACAATTCGACATCTTCCTATGATGAGGCTATTCTCCGCGCTGCGTACGAAGGCAGAAACTGAAACGACATGGTCTTCTGCCACGAAGATTCGCTTGCCTCGGAATATGTTACCATCATGAAGGCGAGACTGCCGCCAGTACACTTTTTCACGATTCTTCACGTGAGAAGTGACTTTTTTGCTTTACATAAAAGAGACATATTTTAAAAAAAGATGCACGTATCTTGTGTCGGATCGTGGAGGATACCGAAAAGAAATTTCCCCATGCGAAAGCGTGTGTTGTCATGGGAGTACGCTCCATGGATGCAAAACGCCGTTGTTGAAACCCGTTTCCCGCTAATTAAAGACACTTCACCTCAACGCCAAGCGCATGTTTCGCCCCCTCTTCGCCAGAGCACGCTAACGTCTATCGCGACCATATCCAAGAGTGAAGAACCAGAAAGGGGCGGTAAGTGTGTGCGCTTAGGAGGACTTGTAGGCCTGCTTGGGGAAAGGATACCTAAGGAAAGAAATGGGATCGAGTTAGCGCTCTGCAAACGAGGACAACCGGTATCGGGCGAATATGATAAGACGCATGGATGACGTATTATGACTTGAAATGAAGATGAAAGCGAATGACATCAAACCGTGTGCATCTCAAAATGTAAAGCGAGAACTGAAGATTAACTTACGAAGGTCCAAGCTCCTGAATGCTCAGGCGGGCGAGCCACTGGCCCATGTCGATAGACTCCTCCAGAGTCTTGCCCTCGACGATACCGGCGAGAAGACCACCGGCGAAGGCGTCACCGGCACCGTTGGTGTCGGTGATCTTGGCAGACTCAATGGCGTGGACAGGGAACTCCTTGACGCCCTCCTCGCCCTGAATGGCAACGAGGGTGGGTTCGGTGCCCTGGGTGACAATGGCGACACGCTTACGCTTGCCGTTCTCCTTGGGGAGGTTGGCGAGGTGCTTGACGACGTCCTTGGGCTCCTTGGAGGCGAGACCGTGGGACTCGGCATAAGCGGCGGCCTCGGTCTCGTTGCCGATGACGTAGTCCCAGTAGGGGGCGCTGGCATCGACGGGGTCCTTGAAGAACTGGGGAATGAAGGGAGCAGAGAGGGACAGGACGAAGATCTTGTTCTTCTCAGCCGCGTTCTTAGCCAGCTCCATAATGGCAGGAGGGCAGACTAAGCACGCTCGGTCAGTATGGCACAGTTACTTCATTGAGGCGTGATGGGAAGACAATCGGGGCATCATCGTACCGGTGAAGTGGAAGCCGCCAATGTAGTAGACATCGGCATTTTCGGCAAGAGCCCAGATCTCAGGCTTCTTCAAGTGGTCGAGGTCGTAGTGGTTGGCGGCGCCGAGGTCAGTGCAGAGGGAGCGGTTGAGTCCGGTGATGATGGCGCCGCAGCGGCCTGTGGGCTGTTTGGGGTCGACACGGTACTCGACGCGAAGGCCGGCGGCCTTGACGGCATCGTGGAGGGTGGCGGCGTATTTGTCGTCGCCAACGCCGCCAAGGTAGACAACGCTGTTGGAGGGCAGGATGTACTGAGCGCCGCGGGCGCTGTTCTGAGCGGCGCCGCCAGCAATCAGTTTGGCCTCATAGTTGTTGAGGAGGTCCTCGTAGAGAGGGATGTGTTTCTCCTCAGCGAGGATGGCGTCGTTGGCCTTAAGCCCGTACTTGTCGAGCAGCTCCTGATCACCGAAAGCCTGGATGTCTGCAGAGATGTATATTAGAAATCAGAGGCATTGCAAAAAGAAAAGTCGTTGTGCCTGGGAAAGCTTCATTATTGCAACGACATGTGAGTACCCCGCGGGCGGGCTTTTCTTGCAACGGGGGGGATTGGAAGCACTTGCGCTGTGAGAAGCGAAAATGCGGACAAAAATTGATTCACATACCGAGGAGAGGGTTCTCCAGGCAGAGAAGAGAGTATTCCTTGACGGGAGCCATTTTTTCTTTGATCAATTCCGTGAAATTGGGTTTCGGGTGCGGGAGGTTCAAGATTCAAGGAGGGGCAGAGGGGAGATTTTCTGAAAAGCCATGGCGGGGTCGTAAGCTGGTGGCAGGTATCTGGCTGGCAACATTTTCCGGATCCATCAGTAGGAAGGTAGGTAGCTTTTATTGGCTTACTGGAAGTTTTCTCCTTTTCTCTGCGCCGTTGAGTGTATGGCCGCGGCTGATTATTCTGCCCTCGCTGCAATACAAAAGTTAAGTCAAATGTATGAACACTGTCAGCTGCTAAGGAATAACTTGATGCAGTAATATTGAGTGCACAAGTAGGTTTTGTGAACTAAGTAGAACCGCTTTGCTCAATGCTACTACTTCTTTCTGCACGCCTGAGAGTCCAACAATCTCATTCAACTCGTATTTAAGCTCTTATATGCGCTGCAAATGTAGAGCGTGCCGCATCGGTCGTACCAGCTGTCTCTTTCGCCCCAAGATTCAGTGTCCCGTCGCAGCACCATTGGAGGTGGGTAGAACAAAGTAAATAATTTTTGGAAGTGCGCTAAAATGTCATCCATTGTACTTGCTTTTGTTTCTATCATACTACTTCCTTCAGCAGTACCATCCATAGATGTAAGCACGCCACTATAACACCATCCCAATGAGACCATGAAATCCAGACATCGCCCTGCCTTACTCCTTCGTCTTCTGGGTACCGCGCAGCAGACCTGTTCTGCGGGCGGCAATAAGACCAGCCTTTTGACCCTGGGCGGCGTATCGGGAGATGGTAGAAGCCTTACCAATATGTTGGTGGTTACCCTGTTTTGATTGTCAGCATCATACTTCACGCATCCGCAGCTTTCGATTATACGTACACCACCGTGAGGATGGTCGACGGGGTTCATGGCAACACCACGAGTCTTGGGCCAGCTGTTGCGCTTAACGGCGAACTTGTGCTTGGCGCGCGAAGCCTTGAGGAGGGGCTTGTCGGTACGGCCACCACCAGCGACGATACCAATCATGCCACGGGAGCTGGAGTGGACGACCTTCTTGGCACCGGAGGGCAGCTTGATGCGGGTCTTGCCCTCGTCGGGGTTGTGGCCAACAACGGTGATGTAGCCACCGGACGTGCGACCGAGAGTACCACGGTCACCAATCTTCTCCTCGACGTTGGAGACGACGGTACCCTCAGGCATCTCGCCGAGAGGAAGAACGTTGCCGACGGTAAGGGCGGCCTTCTTGCCGGCGTAGATGAACTGGCCAGTGTACATGCCCTCATTGGCGATGAAAGTCTCGGCGACCTGCTTGTACTTGTACGGGTGACGGAAGACGACCTTGGCGAGGGGAGCACCGCGACCTGAACCAAACCTGTGTCAGCTTCCTTGTTTCCCAATCGCATTCCAATTCGTTCCCGGTCGCGCGAGTAGAGGTGTCTCATTCGTCCTGAATTGTGAAGAGTTTCCAGGTTTTACTAACCAGCATCGTGGATGATGTCGCGAACTACACCGCGGACGTAGCCGTGGCGCTCAGCATAGTCGAGAGTGCGGAACTTGGCGGGGTTCTTGTTCAGGCGCGTGTTGGCCGCTATTCCAAAGGGTCAGTAAATGTCCAACGCAGAGTCTGTCGATCGTCGACTTGTTCGAGGCCGTCGTCGAAGTTTCGGCTGTCGGGGGAGAGGACTGACTGAAGATGGAGCCACGGCCCTTGCGCTGGTTGCGAATAACTCTACCCATGGCGACTCGTTTTTACTCGAAGAGTATCTGTCCGAGTAATTGGTGTCAGTGCCGAGTCGTCGAGATGCGTGGGTTTGGGAGGCCAATTACCTATCTCTTGCCGCTTGGTTGTTTAACGGGAAGCCCTGGCATTCGCTTGGGGCGACATAATTTTTGTGTGCGGGCCCTGTCCACCGTAGAGAAAGCAGCCCTGAGCACGTGATCTCAGCGTTTGGTATGTTTTTGCGTCCAACTAGCTCTGCCTGTGGGTCAACCATGATGTGGCTCGTTGCAGTCGAGATTGTGGCTAGTGCTTCTCAGTTCGTCACGTGCAAGCTAAAAACATCCATCACGTTTCTGGGAGAACGCGTAAAGTGATTTGAAAGTCTAACTTGTTGGCAAGCCCAGACTGATGTCAATATCTAGTCAAGAGACGAATCTGGCTTGAAAGTTTGCCACATCGATCGGCCAATTGCTCTTTCTTCTCCAATTATAGCGATCATTGGAAGCCTGAAGCCTTTCCGAGACCCGGGCGCTTTTCGATATTCCCCGTTGCCACTCAATGAAGCGACTCCGTTGCTGAAAGCTGTTCTCCAGGTTGATCTTGCTGACCTCAGAGATTGCACTTGATGCGCAACAGCAACATGCATAGTGCTCGGACGCAGAATGAAATAAACTGCTACGCGTCGATCTAGTCCCCGCGAACTTTGCTCTTTGCGACAATTTGTAGGTCTTTCAAGCTCCCCAAAGTGAACCAAGATGAATGAGAGCTTGTTGAGCCGTGTGACGAAAATGTTTTTGCAATTTAGTGGCTGCTCCCGTGAAAATTCTTGTAGTGTACCACCGCAGCAGTGTCGGCTCTTTGAAAGGTGACCAGGCAGATTGACCTATGAGCGCTGGCGCGTTAGATTTCGCGGGTCCCTCGACGCGGTTACTTTTAGTCGCATGCCACGCCTCACATCTGGAACTCTACACTCCTTGCCTCCTGCAACACCAAACACATATAAGGAGGGCACCCAAGCTTGCAAAATGACCTCTGACAACGACTCATCAGACCTTTCATCACTCTCGTCACTTTCGCCGGTCCCATCTGATGACGAGCTTGATGCCGGCCCCGACAGCGGAGCGCCCAAGAAGGGTGGCATTCTGAAGTTCTTCTCCAAGGTGTCGGAGCAATCGCCTAAATCACCGTCACCTCCCCCGAGAAAAAGATCGCCGTCTCCCCCTCACGAACATGTCCTTGCCGACAATCCTGATATTGCCGTATGTACTGCTGCTATTCGAGCTGTTGCGGCCTGCTTGCGCTCGCCCGCTGCTTGGGCCGCAACACGCTTACGTGAACTGGATCATTGCGACCACCACGAGCCTAGGCTAACCGGCACAGTTTATTACTATGTTCAGAAGCCGATTCACCGATGCGCTGCCGAAAGCACTTGCGAATTTTGGTCCTCAGGAGCTGGAGCGTGATGTGGTCGAGCCCATCCCGGGAGATCGCGTTGAGCATTTTCTGTGCGCGCTGCTAGGACTTCTGTTGAATCGTAAGCAGGACGTCAAGTATGACCAAAAGCGACCCTCACCCACTCGATTAAGACGCTAATCGTTGATCACAGGCCTGGGCACTACAACAGAGCGCTGGAAGATGCCATTGCGTCGCACAAGGGTCAGTGGCCCGCGTCATGGGAGGACAAGAACCCCTTGTCTGGTGGCGGTGGATTCAACACTATGAACCCTACAGAAAGAGTATGCCGAAAGTGAAGACAAATAAACTTATGCGTGCTGACATTGTCACCTTTCCAGTTAACACTTCTCCGAACGCTGATACTATGGACCATGTCCTCCTCTGACAGCGTCAAGGCCATCATCAACCAGGCCTACAAGCAAAACCGACACGAAGACGATCTAAATCAGCCCCGAGCAGTTCAGCCTTGGGGGTCTGATGGTGATAAGAGGAGATATTTTCTAGTGGAGGGCCAAGATGATACTGCCTTCCGCGTGTATAGGGAAAGCAATCCTGCTGGCACGAACCGTACATGGTGGAGTGTCGCTGGCTCGATTGAGGAACTGAGGGCTTTGGCGGAGAAGCTCAACACAAAAGACGGTGGTCCCAAGGCTAAGAAACTAAGCCATAAAATGATGCAGGCAATTCCTCGATTCGAGGCAGGCGAAGAGGTGCGTATTGCAATGGGAGTATTGATACAAGCAAGGCTTTACTGACTAGTTTGCCAATGTAGAAGCGAAGGCGCCGTGATTACCGTCAAATGCGCAAAGAACAGTTCAAGAGACCAGAACCGGGCTTTTCCATGTACGAAGGGCGGACCCGTGGCAAGCGCGTCAAGTACACATATTCCGACGACGAAGATGCATTCTATTCCGACTCGACCAATCGCCGTTCTACGCGTAATACCGGGGCGAACACACCGGCAGAGTCTGCACCTTTGACAACAGCCAGCGGACGCCAGATTCGTGCGCCTTCTCGAATGGCAGCAGGTGATGACAGCGCAGCTGCAAGCGTCCAAGGAGATTACTCAGAAGCTGATCGAGAGGGCTCACTGGGAGCTACCAGTAGACCGCGGCGATCAGCGGCGACTGGTCCGGCAAACGGAAACGGTTGGGGCGAGGTCAATGGCCGTGGCCGCAGCCGCCAACGCTCCATGGATTCAGAGGACGCTGTGAGCGAGGCTGGATTTGGAGATGATGAAGAAGACGCCGAAGCACATGTACCGCAAGAATCTGAATCTGAAGAGGACGAGTTTGACGATGACGAGGCCATGGTTGATGATGACATTGATGACAACCCAAAAAGTCTTGTGGTTAAGCTGGCAATCACGGCACCGAATCTGAGAACTGCCCTCAGCCCCGTCGAGTCAATTGCAAATGCACTCCCTACCCCCGACACGGAGGATAGAAAACCGGCCCCGGCCGAGACATCAACGAAGGCCACCGCCGACATTATCATGGAAGACTCGCCCGCACCGGCGGCCGAGGGTGAAAATGATTCAAAGTTGACTGCTGAGATCGAGCCAACAGGCAAGTCTACTTATAAGTCTGATGCCGGGATAGAGAGTGCCGTGACTGGCGCTATAGCTGCTAGCCCGGCTGCTCTCCCTTCCGCACCGTTGGCGTTCCGTGGCAGCCCGGAGAAGAAGCATGTGAAGCCAGTTGCAATGCAAGACATTATCAACGCGCCTCAATAAGCCACATTTTGAATGTCAGCATCTGTTTCGTGTTTACTTGCCATGCAGGTCGGAGTTTGGAATATATTGAGGACGTCTATATTGATTGAGAAGGGAGAGGATACACGGGTCCGGGGGGGTACATGGTGGCATATTAATGCTGAGTGTTTAGCTATGATAAAAACCGGGATCACTTCTTTGATATCTTGTAAGGTTAATGCGTTTTTATTTACTCGGCGTATGTATCATGACACTTTGAATTATAGCAGGGCTGTGCTGTGGTTGCAAAAGCAGTTTTTTCTTTCTTCCCTCTGTGGCGGGCATCATTGACGGTCATTTCTGAAAACGCACATGACCTCTCACAGATCGTAATCGTATTTTTCAGAAATGGAAGTACTCTGAGATACATACAGGTAGGTGGTGCATGAAATGAAGTGAATAAATCGACGGAGTGGTTTTGACGCTTCCGTCCAATTGTAAGGTAATATGGCATTACATGTTGTAAACAAGGCTGAGGTATAAAAAAAATCAAAAAATCTACATGTTCGTCATCCGCGGTAGTGGCGATGCTGGCCATTGCTGGGGATTATCCAGCTGTTGACGCCGTACCACCATCGGCGGACACGGGCGCCGATAGTGTTGCCATGAATTTTAGCATTGCGATTCCATTCCTGCCAGCCGCAAAGCAACAGGTTGTAGATGATTCCCTGAGCTAAAGGCATAATGACCTACAGGATCGTGTCAGTCAATACAATAATTTCTCTTGTTTGAGAGCAGGAAGAGAAAGTACCTGATCTCGTGTTGTGATGAGCGCAATCTTCCACCACGAGTCGGCCGTAGCGATGCTCTTGAGGTAGCTTTGCTCGAAGCGCAGGTCAGGCAAAGGCGGCAGCGCCTGGCGCTGGCGACGCGGACGCTTGAGGACGCTGTATGGAATGTCATCCTCGTCGTCGTCAATGTCGTCGAGCTGATGAGCAGCCTTGTGCTGCAGCGCGTCGTAATCGTACTTTTCGTCGAGTATCTCCTTGTCGTCGGCGGCGGTGCCGGGTGCCATGTCGAGGGCGGGGTCTGGGCTGCTTCTGATGTGGCCTGCTTGCAAGGTGCTGGCAATCTCGATCGGCAGCTCCGTTGAAAAAGCATCTTGTGAGGCGGAAGCCATGATGGTGGGCTGTATGAAGGAGGTGAATGGGGGAGATGTAGACTCGCGAGGCGCGCTTGTGAGGATGAGGGCGCAAGTCGTAGAATAAGCCAGTCAAATGCAAGGTCTGTGATCGAGACAATACGTGATGGCAATGGTCGGCTGAGCGCGCAATGGATGGGTTCGGCTTGTCGAGGCTATTCGGCGGGCGAAAGTTTGGAGGTGTAGTCGGCTTTGTGAGGCACGCTTGAGTGCTGGAAAGAGAGATCCACAGCGGCGAGCGCGGAGTATCAGAGTGGGCCATGATGCGCTGAGCCAATCGTTGTTCTCGGCAGGTAGGCACAGGCCTTAACCTGGCAATTTGAATGCTTGCATTACAATATATACGAAAAATTATGATAGCTAGAGTCTACTCTGTACTATGAGACACCGTAGATATGCAAACATAAATATAACGTTGCATAAACAGAGAATGTGTTGTCAAAACGTTTGTCCGCCGCCACAGCAGTGACACAGGACAGCTAAGTTACGCTACGGCGCAGATGAATAATGTGGATCGTGCTGTTCATCATGGCTCGCCCAGACATGGCCCAAACGGCACAAACAGGCGGTGATGAAGACAAGTACGAATGAGCAGTTGACACCCTCGCGACTCAGTCCGCCCCATGTAAGATCAATGGATATGACGGCCTTGGTGCACAAGTGGAGGGTATGATTGCATTTGCTTATTGTGCGCATGACGGACATTGCGAGAAACAGGCTGGATAGGTACCTTGGTGCTTGGGTACTATCTGTGACGCTACAAGTCCGCCTACAACAAGTGACGTGCAGTCCATATCTGGTAGGTAGGTAGGCTAGCAATTTACGGAGTAGGAAGGGCAAGTCAGGCAACCCACAGGGAATGGCCGCAACCTAAATACTACAGCGGCTTCCTCCCCTAAAAAATTCTGGTCCCTGGGCTATTTCGAACGAAAATCGAAAAGCCCTTCAAACTTTGAACAAAACACATCTCGAGCAGCATAGGCGTCACCACCCCCCGTGCCCGCCCTCTGCTTAATCCCCTTGTTCTTGTTCGACTGGAGAAGCGCCTGCGCATTTGTTCTTCCAAACTACCGTCAACATGAACAGCGAACAAAACGGCGAGGCCGAGAGAAACGTACGTCGTATATGCCCCTCGTCCTGTCAACCCCCGTCTCTGTGTGCGCTCCCCTCTGTGGGTGAGAAATTTCACGCGCCAGACTTTTTTTTGGCGATGCCCCTCATTGTCGTCGCGCTTGGGCTGCCCCGCGCTGCAGCGACGAGGCACACGACAATTTTTTTGCGAAAATATGGACAGAAAAATGGCTGACTTGTGCTTTTGACTGCCCTTTAGATTGAGATCTGGAAGATCAAGAAGCTCATCAAGCGTCTTGAGGCAGCTCGTGGCAATGGCACATCCATGATTTCCCTCATCATCCGTACGTCTACCCTCCGCTACGGCTCGTCGCTGCCTGGCGCCACGCAACCCCCGAAAAACGAAATCTGACTCACGCCGTCTGCAGCTCCCAAGGACCAGGTCTCTCGAATTGCCAAGATGTTGGCTGAAGAATACGTACGGCCAGCTCCTCCATTCCGCCCAACCTGGTGCTCCACCACACCAGTCAACCATCGCTAACTTGCGCCTGCAGGGCACTGCTTCCAACATCAAGTCGCGAGTCAACAGACAATCCGTCTTGTCCGCCATTACCTCCACCCAGAGCAGACTCAAGCTTTACAACAAGGTCCCCCCGAATGGCCTTGTCGTCTACTGTGGTGAAATCCTGACCCAGGAGGGCAAGGAGAAAAAGGTTAACATTGACTTTGAGCCGTTCAAGCCCATTAACACCTCTCTCTATCTCTGCGACAACAAGTTTCATACCGAGGCTCTCGCCGAGCTGCTTGATTCCGACCAAAAATTCGGTTTCATCATCATGGATGGTCACAGCACCCTCTTCGGCACTCTCAGTGGCAACACCCGCGAAGTCGTTCACAAGTTCTCTGTTGATCTCCCCAAGAAGCACGGCCGTGGTGGTCAGTCCGCCTTGCGTTTCTCTCGTCTGCGTGATGAGAAGCGTCACAACTACGTCCGAAAGGTTGCCGAAATCGCTGTCCAAAACTTCATCACCAACGACAAGGTCAACGTCGCCGGTCTTGTCCTCGCCGGTTCCGCCGACTTCAAGAACGACCTTAATGCCTCCGACATGTTCGATCCCCGTCTGCAGACCAAGGTCATCAAGGTCGTGGACGTTTCCTATGGTGGCGACAACGGCTTCAATCAGGCCATCGAGCTGTCCTCTGAAACCCTTGGCAACGTCAAGTTCGTTCAGGAGAAGAAGTTGATCGGAAAGTACTTTGATGAAATTAGCCAGGACACCGGCAAAGTTTGCTACGGTATCGAGGACACTCTTAAGGCCCTCGAGCTTGGTGCCGTTGAAGTTCTCATTGTCTTCGAGAACCTCGAGATCAACAGATGGGTGCTCAAGGACAGCGAGGGCAAGGAGCGCGTCCTCAACTTTACCAAGCAGCAGGAGGCTCTCAACAAGGACAAGTTCCTCGACACGGCCACTGGACAGGAGATGGACGTCGTTTCCCAGGGCTCCTTCCTCGAATGGATCGCTGAGCACTATAAAGACTTTGGCGCCACTCTTGAGTTCGTCTCCGACCGTTCCACCGAAGGTAACCAATTCGTCAAGGGTTTTGGTGGCATTGGCGGTATCCTCCGCTACAAGGTCAACTTTGAACAGCTGGCTGACGATTCTGACGATGATGACTACTATGACGGTTAGTCACCTCTCGGATGTCCTCTTTATACTCTACCACTCTGCTGACATGCATTAGATTGACCTGTGGATACCCTCGTTGATAACGAGGGCGGTTCTCAAGTTCAAGCGTCTACAGATGACAACACCAACGACTGGCGTCATGAGGCCCCCCGGTCCAGCGCCGCTTCGCCGTCTGTTGCCCAGAGGCGACTTACGGCGTTCAGCGGCGCCCGGCCCGCTCACCAAAGCCACCAGGCGTCTCGACCCAGCCCACTGCGAGCAATGATGTCGACGAATTGAATTTGACCAAAACCAGTTTGAAGGTACGATTGCCTACCTAAGGCTCTGCCTCTTGGGCTCGAGTGCTCACGCAGCTTCTCAGATAACCAGCCTCTTTGCCACATGATGAATGAATGAAGAAAATAAATGGCATCGGGACTACAAAAGTTAGCATTTGCAAGTGAAACCCTTGCATCCTCAAGATAGAGCACAATACATTATTACTTTGGTTTCATTGTATGGATGCTGGAGACAATATTGTTCGACCTGCATGGCAGGCGATATCCGTCGGTAGTGATTCGATGCGCTGTCTTTACTGTTGTATTTGCTGATCTCGTTGCTCTTCTGTGCTATTCTACAGACTAAAATACAATTTCATAATTGCATGAGCAACTTATTCACAAGAGATAAATAAGGTGGCGTTGGGCAAGTTGGTGGATGTTGATGTGGCGCTTATTGAGGGCGGAGCCAGGGGCGCGGCGCCACGGAAGCTCTGCAATGACGACGGCGTTTCTCAACTTCGGTAGCTCTACCAAATCATATTATCCTGCTGGCTCAACAACACCGCCATCAGGAGAACCCCAAGATTCAATCAGCCATGGGAAAGCCAATTTGAAACTATCACATTGCAAGCAAACTTGCAGCTATCATGGATCCTGCCAGCTTATCGCGACAGCCGAAGCGTGCCATTCCTGTCGGCCTACTCGAGGCTGCGCTCGACTCTCCGACATTTCGGTCGACCGCCCTGCACTTTGGTGACCAGATCGAGGCCATCGAGAAATGGCTTAGCAACTATGTGAATTCGACATCGAAACTCCTCCACGACTTTCTGGCCCTTGAGGATACCATCAACTCATATCTCGCCAAGACGACAGCCCCGGTCGGCGACACCCTGCTCGACAATGACTATACTTTGCTGGCGCTCAAAAGGGTTGGAGAGGGGTCGCGCGAATGGCTTACGCAGATGCAAAGTGGCATGAAGCGCATGGAGTCCACTGTTGTCGAACCTATCCGGGCCTTTATGAATGGCGATCTGCGCAACTTCAAAGATACGCGGCGAGCTCTCGAGGCAGCGCAACGAACCTACGACTCGACCCTAGCGCGGTATGTCGGGCAGCACAAGACGAAAGAACCATCAGCTTTGAGAGAGGATGCATTTTCTGTATTTGAGAGTCGGAAAATCTATCTGCAGGCATCGATTGAATTTTGCCAGGTCGTCCCCCAGCTTCGATCGGCCATCGATAGACTCCTCGTTACCGTGTGCAGCGATATTTGGAAGGAGATTAAAGGCTCGCGCGATGCAACTGCCAATGCCATGCGCTGGAGCCGTGAGATGGAGCGTATCAGCGGCTGGTCCAAGGAGATGGAGGCGGCAGATGCTGTCTTCCGCCGTGAGCTCCAGGCAGCTAAGAAGAACATATACGACTTGGCCATTGAGACCATCAAGCCTTCCCGAGAACTCGAAGATTATAATGTGTCCACAATCCCATTCTTGAGCTCACGCGGCCCCGTCAATCTACAGCCGAAGAATGACTCTGCCGTCACTTCGGTCAAGCAAGGTTGGCTTTTCTTGCGTGTGCTGTCCAACAAACCCACCAGATATACCTGGATTCGAAGGTGGCATTATTGCAGAGATGGAGTCTTCGGTTGGCTGATCCCAGGTACACAGGGTGTTCTTCAGGGTGACGAGATTGGAGTTTTGCTCTGCAATGCCAGACCAGCTGTCGGCGAGGAGAGGCGATTCTGCTTCGAGATCAAGACCAAGGATCAGTCTCTGGTTCTTCAGGCAGAAAACCAGAAAGAACTGACAGAGTGGCTTGAAGTGTTTCAAGTAGCAAAGAAGGAGGCTTTCGACACGAGCCGTGGAAGAAGCGCGAGCTCCATGTCTCGCCACGACCCTGCATTCTCTATCAATCCTCCAAGCGCACCCGAATTCTCTGCGAACAATGCTGATACGCAAGTCAACCTTTGTGACGACCTTGCAGTGGGGCTTGAGCGAGCCGCAACTATGCTCATGCCATCTGAGGCTCAAACCATGTCCCGCCAGAGTGTTGACGTGAATCCCGCCGGCACTGTGCCGCGCAGGTCTTTCACAGCTCTTGGCAAGGAACTTAGCAAGGACTTGGTTACTCGTGAAGATGGCGAGTCTGGCAGAGAGCATGCTGCGCGCATCATCCAAAAATTGGATCTTCATCGAAAATCAACCTTTGGCAGTAATGAGGGTCTCGCGGCCAGCTCCAACTTACCAGCTTCCGGCAATGGTATTGCCAGCTTGATATCGGCGAGCCATAATATGTTACCAGGTTACCCCCATCCGCTGCTCTCTCCAAGTGTTGCGAAGAGAGGCAGTCCTCTCCCAAAGATTGACAGCCGATTAGGCTCCCTAGCACCGTCCACGTTGGAGAAGCCGCCGGTGATCACTACCCTGAGCCGAGCAGCGGCTGCTCATGCAGCTGATAAAGCTGCGCTAGGAGGATCGCGAAAGAATATATCTGCTTCCATTGTTGCCAATTTCTGGGGTACAAATATTTGGGCTGCGTCGGATAATCCCAGCCAACCTATACTGCCCAGAAGAGAAGCTGACGACCCTATTGGTGTGGTGCTCCCCGAAGGCATGCAGACCACACTCAGCACGCCCTCGAAAGAGAAAGCACCGAGTGATTTGTTCCTGACCAACTACCCAACAGAGCTTCGACTACAGACTGCGCAGTTCAAGCTGCTCTTCCCCGATGTGCAGGGGGACGAAAAGCTCGTGCTCGTTTTTCGAGCGTCTTGGTCGTTCAAGCCGGTCAAAAACTCGTCTCAAGACTCCTTTGCAGGCGACGGCAGAGTATACGTCACGCCAGACTACATGTATTTCTATAGTCAGCGCATGGGGCTCATTACGACCTTTTCGATCAGCCTGGATATCATTACGGAGGTAACTGCTTACTCTGGCCGAGACTCGGACTCTATCACATTGCGCTTAGGCGAAGATCTGGGCGAGGCTGTCTGGGAAGAAGTTAATCTGAAGGTGTACTTGGATGACCTTCACCTACTGCACAGTCGCCTCAATCTCATAGTCGACAACCTCCAGGCTGAAGATCCCGCCAATACTGAGAACTTGATCTTTGCTCTAATTAACCTTGAAAGGGCAGAGGAAAGACCCAGTCCAAGTATCGACGGATGGGATGACTCTTCGGTATATACCCCCATAGAGGCTGGCAGTTCCAGCAGAAGTCTTGGACGTTCGCCTATTGAGTCCAACTCGCGCCTGCGACACTCGCAGTCTCGTCATAAACTACTTCCGAAGATGCATCTGCCAAGTCACCCTATCGAGTACGAGCCAGAGAACATGACTGCAATGGCTGCTGAACGCCATTTCGAAATCAGTGCTAAAGCTTGCTTTCATGTTTTATTTGGTGACAGGAGTTTCGTGTTTCCGAAATTATACTTTGAACATCGTGCTCAGCAAATTGCCCAAGGACCATGGGTTTTGGTAGACCAAGGCCGGATGCGCCGCGAGTTTCAGTTCAAAGTCAACTACACGGATATGCTCGGGCGCGATAGAAGTGCTGATGTGAAGGATGAGCAAACCATTGATCTCTTCAGTGACCATGTCACGTACGTGGTTACGCACACCAAAACCGCGTGGCACCTGCCTCACTCTGGCTCGTTCAAGCTCATCTCCAAGATTGTCATTACACACGTGGCAAAATCCAAATGCAAACTCGCCATCTGGGTCAAGATTGACTGGTCGAGAACACCTGCATTGTCAAAGAATTTGGTAGAGCGGCAAGCTTTACGCGACATCAAGAGACAAGCAGAGGAGCTCGCAGAACTTGCGACGGACCAGGTGCGTAAGCTGGGATCGCGCTCCAGGACAAACAAGGCTATCCATGTTTATGGCCAAGTCGGCAATCAAACGCAGGTTGTTGTCTTCTCACCGGGCTCTACAGACTCTACAAAGAAGCAGGCAGTCACACCTCGCACTCTCACGTCAATGGTTTTTGATACTGTGCGGTCTTTTGCAGAGAGTTGCATCACGTCTGTCATAATGTGGACCTTTGCTGTCATAAAGCGACTTTTTGATATCGTTACAGCGCATCGCCTCATAATTGCCCTACTTTTGCTCAGCGGCCTTTTAAATGTACTGCTGGCATCCTCGGGTACTTCGTCATGGTGGCAAGAACGCAGCGCAGCGCGATTTATGCGCCGTATTGGCGTGACGCCACATCCCATTATGAGCAAAGCAATCTACTTTTCTGACCTTGCCGAGGCTACCGGCGCTGGAGGTTCTCCGCCAACCCTCGGAAGCGAGAACAGCACCTGCTACGACACGTTTGCCGACTTGATGCAGGCGGCCGACTTGGATGCACCATGGGAGGAGTCTGGCAGCGGATTGGCGCCGTCGAGCCGCTCTACCGCGCGTCGAGTTCGCCGCACGCGGCAGCGTCTGGGCACATATCGCCACGATTTGCTTGTGGCTATACGAGTGGTCAACAGCATTGAGCGCGAGATGATGCAGTCAGAGTGGGAGAATTGGCTGATCAATGAAAACTCGCTCTGCGACGAGCTGGGCCACATGCTCGGCATTAAGGAGGAACAGGGCGAGTACAAGGCAATCTTTGGCAAGTCGCCCGAGAGACAAAAGGCGCTGAAGCCGATCCCAGACCAGCACATAAAGGAGCTGAAGCAGTGGCAAGAGTCGCACTGCAGCAGTTGTCGAGCAGATTACAAGATTGTGCTGAAGAGTAGGGCTGGCCAGTTTGAGGATCAAAAGCGGTAAAGTGCAACAACATTGGAGTGCCTCCTACATCGGTTCAAGCGAAGCGACACGCTCTTTAGTCTTTTGTATATATATATACGCAGTCGGAAAGTTCGAGGGAAGGAACTTTGTAAAAGCCCGAGGACCGTTGGGCACCTGTTTTCTTTGCAGCAATCCATGAGTCTATGTACTCTTGGCATTTCCATAAACATTAGAGCATGCATAGTTATATACGCCTTTTTTTTTTTTTTGGTAATGACCCGCTTACTTGAGATTAGCGAAGCCCATGGTTTTCCCAGAACCATTGTGGTCGATGTAGCGACCTTGGAAAAAGGCCTGACCAACGAGCCACATGCTGCCAAAGTCTTGGGTGCCCATGAGGCTAGCGGTGCAATTGTCGCCCTCCTTCTTAAAGGCAAGCGCCTTGGGGTCAATATTGAAGTTCTTGCCGCCGAGGTTGAAGCCAATCGTAGGGGAGTTGCTGCAGCTGTAGTGTCCTTCGATGCCGTTTGCTGTCGAGACCTCGGTGATGCCGGCGGACTTGTAGACTTCTCTGACCACGCTCGTTGGGCCAAAGATGACAGTCGTACCCGAATCAGTGGCCAGATTGAGATTGTCGGCAATGACCTTGCCGTTGACGGTGACGCCGCCGTTGATGGACCAGTAGCCGGTCAGGTCGACGGTGGTGAGCTCGCCGTCAAACTCCTCCTTTACGACAGTGCCGTAGTGCAGCTGGCCAGTGCCGTCGGTGCGGAGGGCGAGGCCGAATCGGCACTCGGTGAGGGCGTTGGACGCGCAGAGGGAGAAGAAGAAGGAGCTCTCGCGCAGGGCAGCGCCGCCTTTGCCGGCGTAGCCAATGAGGCCATCACGGGGAAACGTGGCTGGCGTTTTGGGGTCGTCTATGGCACCAATGGCTTGCTGCGGGACGACAAGGTTGGCACCGAGCTGGGTGATGACGTCGCGATAAACTTGACCGAAGGCCTAGGAAGAGGACTGTTAGAGAAGCAAGATACGCACGTTTCGTTGTAGCATTCAATTTGGAGCACTCACGGATAGGGTTCCCGTGCCATCGGGGTTCGTCGTCGCATATGAAATGCTGAATCGACGTTTTAGGTCCTCAGAGGTAGAGCTGGGCTTGTAGACACCAGGGTTCAGCATGGCATCGGACGAGCCAGTGTCAATCAGGAGTTCGAGGTTTTCGCTGGCGCCAACGGTGAAGTGGGAGAACCAGAATCCCTGAAGTTGTATAGACTTAGCAACCGTTCAATTGGTCGAAGCCTGAAATGAGCCCAAGCAACTCAACTTACCTGCTCATTCACAAGCGCTCCATCGCGTCCCGACGCATGGTTTCTAACGGCAGCAACGCTTTTGGCAGTTTCTGCATCTACCTTTTTATAATGCATCGGGTGCGACGAGTCTGCGGCGACGGCTAGAGCCGCGGCTAGGCAGGCGACGATGTTTCTGAGCGACATGATGACGAGACCTTGTGGTGACAATGCGGGAAACGAGGAATCGCTGTCTGATAGAGTTTGGAGGGGAGAGAGTTGGGGATATATAGTTGACTATACATGAACACATGCATGAAACCGCTTCCTTGTGTAGCGTCGCCGGCGTTGCATTGATTGTGGACGATGCCGTGTTGACCTTCTCGATGCAGCACAAGATCGACTCGCACTGTAGATGACAATCGATGACTGACGCTGAATTGTTTTTTTTTTTTTTTTTTTTCAGATGGCAACCCGCGACATCAGAAAAAAGTTTTTCAGGAGATATGCTACAACCAGGGAGGGTGAGAGATTGCTTTTGTGGCGAGGATTTGTGCTTGGAGTGAGACATTGTCCATCGAGTTGACCCTCTATAAAGTTTGACAACGTGTCGGCCGGCAAACCTAAAAGCGGCCCGCGCGCAAGACGGCAATGTGAGCAGTGCTGCATGCCAACGAGAGAGACACACAAGTTATAGCCTGATGGCGGATCACACAAATGTATACTGGCGGAGAGCCCAAGCTCTAGACCAGATGACGGGCTCTTCTGTAAGCCGCGCTGTACCGGGGGAGGAGAGCCGGTTCGCGTAACCAAGAGGGAGGCAGGAAAATTCCATGCACTAGTTGAACTAGTTTTGTAAGTCTGCCCGACCTTCCACATCTGGCAGGTTGACTGTTGCCGACGTCCGAGGAGTGGCGTTACCGTGTGCTGCGCTAAAAAATGATGCGGGAGGCAAGACCCGAAGGGAAGGCTGGGAGAGTCTTTGACCGACTTATTAGTCCCAATGTGTTTCACACCTTGCGTTGATCCAAGATTTTTTTCGACATTTGGTTTTTCAAAGAAATAACCAGAACAAACAAAAAGGAGAAAGCTAGCCCCTGGAGGTGAACAAGTAAGTTGATGTTCTTTAGGATGAAGTTGCAAAGTGAGCATGCCCCTCCTCCATCGGGGGACACTGAAGCTGCGCAAACGATTGAGGACACCAACCAGACGGCTCTGCAAAGAACCATGAAGAAAAAAAGAGAAAAAAAAAAAAAAAGAAAGAAAAAGAAGAAGCCATGATACATGCCACAACACGTTCCTACTCTTTAGGGCAGAACTCTCCGCTGCATGCCAAACTTGACCCGAAACTTGCCGCTAACGTGATCGACTAGATGAAAACAGCCGCTCATTAGCAAATTGGTTTCTATTGCTAAGGGGGTGGGTTGTCATGGTTATTGCACCGATACTTGGGGGTGAGTTTTGGGATTAGATCCGTCTTCGCAGTCGTCAACTCACAGCAATGAGGGCAGGCAAATGGTGCACGCAGCGTTCATGTTGAGGATGGCGGTGCTGCCGCCGCAACGAGACCCAACTGTCAGAGCTGGGATGGCTCATGATATCAAAGTAACCGCGGTAGACGACCGAGCATGGTCATTGTATATTCGACGTGCCTTCCGCCAGTTCCAGTAAAGGAAAAAGGTACTCGTGCATTTTGCCTTGAGCGCCCTTGGGGATCTCGGCGAAGCCAATCATGTTGGTGTCGAGGACAGAGAATCTTGTATTACTGTTAGAGTTGACGCCCCCCCCCCACCCCCCCCCCTTAAGATACGTCCCCCGCTCTGCTCTGCTCTGCTCTGCTCAGCTCTGCTCAGAGACGGGCTCCAGAGAGGAACAAGGACGTACTGGTAGCCCTGATCAAACTCCATGTTGAGGGTGAAGCTTGCAATCTCTGCGCCAATGCACTGCCTGGGTGCCAGGATCAGTCTGCACTTCATAGGTCGAAAAGGTGGCATCGACCTGGACGTCGGCGGTGCCGGCAGGGCAACCACTTCCGAGGACGCTGACGCCTTTGATCTTGACGTTGGAAGGGGCCGGTCCAGTGGCGGTAGCGGTAGAGGTAATGTAGAGGATGGTAGCAACGGTGCCGAGAAGTGTCATCTTCAGAGATGACTCTTGGAGGAAATAACGGGGGATAAATGAAAGAGTGTGTACTAGAGATCCAAGAAAGACAGAGTCGTGTCTTGGTATGCTGTCACTCTTCAAAAGGCAAGACATGTGCCATCTTTTAATATGTTTGCATCTGCTACACGAATTTGTTGTTCTTTGTTCAAAACGCCACTTGCACTGAGAAGCTCAACCACGTCGAGGCTCTGGACGGTACGTGTGCAGTCGGAAGAGCACAAGACAAGACATGTTGGCCACGTTCCAATACGGACCGTGGCTGCTGTTGGTGAAACATGGTAGACGCGGCCAACTGTGCGTAGACAAGAGGGCAGCGAAGGCCATTAATAATAGAGCTTCATAACGGTTGCGTAGAGTATGCACGCCATTCGGGAAACATCTGCTTTGGGGGTAGCACAGACAAGCCGAGCTGCACAAGGCACCCCGTCTATTGCCAATTAAAATCTGGCCACCGAAGCTATTTTTAGTGTCGTATATGCCATTCATGTTGTGCGTCTGCGTCAGAGTATTATCATAATTATTACATGCCATGACGAGTCTACTGGCTGAGAGAATAGAAAGCCGGGTTCATATGGGCGGCTGCAATTGGCTCATGATTTCGATACGCGGCTTGACTGACTTGGACGCTGAATTTCGAGCAAACTCCCTATTGCAATGATGTTGCTGACTGCCGAAAGTCTCAAGCGCGAGCCTGTCACAGGCATTACGCCGCCGGCAGACGCATGCTTGCTGCTCTCTTCTTTTTTTTTTTTTTTTTTTTTTCTCAGATCTTTTGCGCCATAACTGTGTCAACATTATGGATTTATCTGAGAAAGACATAGATAAATAAACAAGCTCAGTGTATTAAAGGTCGCAAGGGCTCATTCTATGATATCTTGATAAGCATCGTCAACTCGGAGGTGGCGTGGGGATGCCACTTGTCTTGCTGTTTTCACGGTCCTTTCGATACCTGCAACGCTTTCCAAAGAGCCATTTTTGACATATCAAACAGAGCCTAAATGAAGACTCCGCCGTCGAGGTTGTTTGAGGAGGGATCGGAAAGGCGTCTACTTCCGGTGGCGGGGCCTTTGTAAACCGGCAAGATTGCCCCGTTGCCGCATTCCGATATAGCAGCGGATTGCGTCATGACAAAAGAGCCGCAAGGATCGAGTCGCACGTCAAACCCGGACAATTGTGTATTGTAGGCGGTGCTTGCTTCCATAGCCATCAGCGCCCCATCGATTTGTGAGACCATGCTGTCGAGGTCACAAGCATCGACAAAGGGCGTCTGGCCGGGAAATTCAGAGAAATTCTGGCTCAAAGAGAGACCATCATCGCTGCTGCTAGAATCTGTTGCTCTCTGTATCGTCTTCTCAGTTGTCAAGGCCGGCGGCGGTGGCCATGTCACGCATTGGTCCTCCATGACTGCGGGCACATGGACATGCTGAGTGCTTGCTGGAACGGCGGCATTTGTTTCAAAGTCTGTGCTTTTGGATTTGGGTTTGGGCTTGGTGTAAATACAAACAATACCCCGCAGTATACAGCGGCGGCAACGCTGCTTCCCCTCGCATCTAACTTTGGACGCTCGGCAGGCTTGGCAAGCAGTCGTGGGCCGGCGGACGGCCTTTGTCTCGCGAATCTTGCCGATCTGCCATTTGGCCATGTAGTCGTTTGGTATCAGGGCGGTGTGTGACATTGTTGCTGTAGTCCGATATTGAGAAGATGTTGTAGGTCCAGAATCCGGAGAGTGTTGTTTGATATTATGAAAGCGGTAACTGGCGGAAGATTGAATGAAGGTGATGAAAGAGTATTAATGATTCGAGATAGAACGAGCTAAATGAGAGTGCCAACAGACTACTGTTCAACAATATGTTTGTTCCCGAAAAAGCAAAAAGGAAAAAAAAAAGAAGAAAAAAGAAGAGGGAAAAAAAAGCATATATAAAGTATAGGACATGTAATAAATGCGTCGTCCATTCAGCAGATGTACACCGCAATATCTCTTGACATGTACCTCGCCTGCGGCATACACGACGTCTGCCTGCATCTTTAAGGGCGCTGTAAGCAGGGGTCAACGGGACAATTTACTGCAAGTTTTTTGTCATTCAGCCAGCCACATGCGGTCTGTATGTCAATTGTGCAGTGAGAAGCGACAAGAGCGGTGACAAGCAAAGACACGGTTCGAGCAGGCAAGAAGCAAGTTCATTCTGAATCAAAGACCATGTACGATATTTAGCGGATCCTGCATACCGCTTTTTAATCTCTCTTTCCGCTGCCATTTGTAAGTGTGGCTAATTGACTAAGGCTGTGCTGCTAAAGTATTCACAGTGGCCTTTTTTTTGTCAGATGCGTCATCAATATCCAAGCATAGCATACGAGGAATAATCAATTCATCTTTAAATTGCACAAATGGCAGAATCTTCCGAGGCAGAATCGGGATCATGTTTCTTTAATTTTTCTCATCGTGTCTACGAGTATGCAATGGCCGATGATAAGGGATGAAAATATGACAAGCGAGCGGAAAAAAGAGCAGCTGAAGCCCCGGAAATAACACAAATGCGACTTGAGCTGATCTGCAACTAGAAATCCACCGTCTGCCGGCCGAGGCATTTCTTTCACCTGACCAGATTCTCTAAATAGTCGACATTATGACAGTCACTTTGTCAGCAGGTATTAATGACGATCTGCGGTTGGAGCAACAAAGGAGATTGCGTGTAGCCAATCATATCCCAATGGCAGTGTCTGGTTTTCGTTGGCCTTGCTTGGATTATAGCTCAAATACCACTGACACGCACGGATTGTAGCGCGAGCTAGCACGCCCCGGTTCGCATCAATAGGCTAACAAGCTGATAGTGTTGTGCGATAACCCAGCCGGCCGTTCATTGCTATTGCCTGCAACGTTACAATGGGGGGAAGTTATGTCGAAAAAGGTATCCAAGTGCCCCCATTACTACCCCAATCAATATAATCGGCAATGTTGTCGAGTACAGACACATCACTCCCCGCACCTTCCCCGCCTCCATCTTTTGACTCGAGGGTACGAACGTATAGATTAGATGCATTGCCGACCACTTGCTAAGAGTTGAACCATTCGATTAGTGCACTTATCTTTGGACAGGGGAAAAAAAATCAAAGAGTATTTCCACAATCGCTGCAACAATGCAGCACCCGATTTCGGGGAACTTTTGGAGTGACGTCGTATTAACCCGTCGGCAAAACTAACATTGTCCAGGTATTTGGAGTCCCAGAATCGTCGACAAACACGTATAGATACCCTGCTGGACGCCATCCTCTCTGCGCATTGTGATTTTTAACATTTCAACTCTCGTCATGGTACATCTACAACGCGTCACAGCCCTCTGGGCCTCTTTTGCCGCTCTTTCGTGGCCGGTCGCTGCCAACCCGGTAATCAACAACAATGTTGATGCTGCGCAGCTTGATTTAAAGAGCGCCTCCGACCAGAAAAGCAACCTACCCGCCGTCTGGCCCCCTCCTCAACAGATTTCCGCCTCGAGTGCTTCGACTGTGCGTCTCAACAGCCATGTCACTATTGTTACCGGCAACGCCACCGATGCGCCTACAATCTGGTTCTCGATGACAAGGACAACCTGGATGAAGTCAACCGTGAGCCCGGCACCAACAAGTGCGGCATGGTTGGTTGGATCATCCGCGCTCGCACTCCCGAGTACCCCAGCGGCCGTCGCTTCATTGTTGTCGCCAACGACATTACCTTCCAGATTGGTTCATTGTGAATGAGATGCAGTTACCCGTCTTGGGCTGGTGGGCAGCAAGAGCAGGCTGGCTTAAGGCTGTCCAGGCCATCGTCGCTGATGCTGGCGGAAAAGCCACAGTCTCGAGCCAGGCCTCTGGCAAAGGCACGCAGATTTACATTGGTACCGTTACTCAGAACGAAGCCGCTGCCGCCGCGGCCAAGGCGCTCACTGGCGACTCGGCCGAGGGACTCACTGCTGAGGGCTACGTCCTGGGCTCTGGCACGTACAACGGCCAGCCTACTGTTGTTCTGAACGGTGTTGACATCCGCGGCACCTTTTATGCCGCACAAACTCTTCGCCAGCTTGTTAATGACACGCCCAGTGTCCCGGGCGTCAAGGTCCGTGACTGGCCGCTGATGCCCATTCGCGGATCAATTGAAGGCTTCTACGGCATTCCGTGGTCGCATCAAGCCCGAAAGGACCAATACGTGTTTTATGGTCAGCACAAGATGAACACGTACGTCTACACTCCAAAGGGCGATCCTTATCTACGTGCTACATGGCGCGAGCTCTATGGTGGAGAGGATCTTGATCAGCTCAAGGATCTCATTGAGACTGCCAATGCGAATCACGTTGACTTTACCTACGCACTCTCGCCGGGTTTGGATCTCTGCTACACCTCCGACGCCGACTTCAACGCTACCGTCTCCAAGTTTGAGCAACTACGCAAGCTGGGTGTCTCCAGCTTCTACATTGCGCTAGATGATATTCCTCTCAAGTTCCACTGCGACTCGGACAAGAAGAAGTTTCCTGACAATGGCGACTGGCACTGGATCGCCGACGCTCAGACGTACTACCTCAACCGCGTACAAAAGGAATACATCAAGACTCACCACGGTCTGACTGACCTAGAGACTGTTCCCACAAACTATGCGGGCAGTGCTCCCGACCCTTACAAGGGCGAGTTTGGAAAGCAGCTAGACAAAGATATCAGAGTGCAGTGGACTGGCGAGGGTGTCTTTTCCGACAAGATTACTGTGGAGAGCGTCGTTCGTGCGGATTCCACCTATGTCACTGACAAGCTGTTCATCTGGGACAACTTCCCCGTCAACGATGGCAAGCCCTTCCGCTTGTTCTTGAACCCGCTGACTGGGCGCGCTCCCGATCTATATAAGCACATGATTGGCTTCACCTCCAACCCCATGGTTCAGTCATATGCTTCCATGATTGCCCTAGGCAATTACGGTGACTACTCGTGGAACAGCCCTGCCTATGATGCCAAGAAATCTTGGGCCGCTGTCGTCCAAGCGCTTGCCGGCAAGAATGAGAGCGTTCACGCGGCCCTCGCTGCCTTTGTAGATGTTAACCAAAACTGGCCTTACCGCAACAGCACCGAGAGCGCTCCTCAGCTCAGCAAGGACATTGATGATTTCTGGGCCGCGCGAGAGTCTGACAAGAACCAGAGCAGCAGCGCTCTGGCGGATCGCCTCAAGCTCATTGCGAGCATCCCTGACGTCCTGCCCGGCATGGCCATGAAGCCCTTTCCCACAGAGGTCGCTCCTTGGTCAACTGTGGCCATGCAGTGGGCCAAGGCCAGCCAGCACATGACTTTTATGCTGGCTGCCATTGATGTTGGCGATGAGAGCAAGGCCGACGATGAGTACAAGGCGGCTCAAGGGTGGGTTGAAAGGACCAAGGCCAAGACTGTCGACAGTCTCAGCGACGCCGGCAAAGTTGTTCCCAACTCCATTACCCCAACCACCGGCGATGGAGTATTTGACGCCTTCATTGCCAACGCGACGGCTATTTACAAGGGTCAGTAGATGTCCGCATTTCGTAATTAGATGGTAAATAACAATACCGTCATTGTCTCCATTATCATTGCACGTTTGCATTGCACTTGGACATTGTCCACGAACATTGTAGAGTCGACGCTCTGCGCGGTACTGCGTTAGGGCAGAACACAGTTGAATCAAAAGACGTGTACTGTGACAGTTGTCAAGGTACGTACAATCAAACAATGAATAGAATCTAATCACAGGAAAACCCTGAAATTTTTCAGAACGTACCTCATTTCACCGCCCTAGTTTCTTTCCAACTGCTGATGGCTATTTCAAAGGCCCCTTTTTCGCACGTGGTGGTGGCGCGATTGCCGTTTCCAATCTGGCGCCACAGTGATGCCGTCATAGTTACATACAGAGCAAAAGACACGGGGCACTGAAGTGACCTCACTATGATAGCTACCCAAAATTTGAGGCTCAAGATATTCATAGTGTCATCCTGACATCAGGACACTTGCTAACTTGTTACTTTCAGTCCCTGATACGTACTGATAAGGTAACTAAAGCTCAACAATTGTGGATGCTCTCATTGGTATGGATAATATATATCCGAAGTTCGAACGGAACTTGCATCTCTTCTTTCATTTGCATTTCCAATCTTTTTTCTACACCAAACTTTTTTGACAAGAAAAAAAAAATCCGAAAAAATGTCCGAAGGCAGACAGTCCCCTTCACCGCAGCGCCAAACGGGTGCCCAGGTCAACGATCCTCCCGGTTCCGGGGTACACTCAAAAAACAAGACTTCGGAGCAAGTACAAGACGCATCCAAGTCACAATTAGGAGTACGCATCATCGGGTGATTTTTTTACCGCCCCTGAATGAACGCTAACGATTGCTTTTTGTGAATTAAGAATTTGTCTTCGAACCCGCGCGGACCGATGGAAGATTCACTCGAGAGCAAGTTTTCAAAGGGCACAGGAAATAATACAAGTTAGATTGATAAGCAAAATGCTTTATAATAAAAAATGGTTTGAAATCATAGCCACAATAGACCCAGATTGAATTAATTCTCCATGTTTTTATTTTTTTCTTGCATCGACATCCCCACCAAGTAGCGGATCTGGACTTGTGCGGCAGTTAGCGGCATCGCATGCAACGCGTCCGGAAAGAAGCCAACGCATGCATCTCTTGGTTTAGCAGTCGAGAGTGCGTGATGTTGAAACATTCATTTGCGTGATGAGGGAACATTAGCATTTCCCGATTCACGAAGCCACTCCAGGAGAATCATCACGTTCCTTCCCGTTTCAGTAGTAGCAGAATTCAGGTCCATACATGGTTCCAATACTAATTGTTTCATACAGGTCATTTATTCTCTTCATTGGTGTGCGGGTCTCATTGACGTCAAAAGTCTGGGCATGGACCTCGGCCGAGATCCGACTACCAAGACAAATATTAAAAATACAGTTTGGCTTCAAGCTTCAAGCTTCAAACTTTGCTCACTATAAAGGCAATACACCCCTCTTCAATAAACATGTATTTCAGTATTTCAACATCAAGACATTCGACATTGTACATTGTACATCTCACCCATACATCATGACTGCTCAGATTCCCGCCACCACCAAGCAATGGACAGTTAGCTCTATAGATGGCAGCGAAGGCCTCGGTGCCCTCAAGCTCAACAAAGTGGCCGTTACTCCACCGGGCGACAGTCAAGTGTTGGTAAAATGTATGTTTCTCATCTCCTGCGACTGAAACTCGAAAAAAAAAAAAGAATACCATAGTATGCTAACAAGACAATTGTAGTGGAGGCTGCATCTCTCAATGTGAGCTTCTTCCTTTGCCGACAAATATACCTGGGTCACCTTTGAAAATTCAAAAAGCTAACTCGTAACCTCGGACAGTTTCGTGATCTCATCATCCCTCTTGGCAAGTATCCCTTTGCCGCCAAGAAGAACGTCATTCCGGGCTCCGACGGCGCCGGCACCGTCATCGCCGTCGGCAAGCGGGTGACTCGCTTCAAGCCGGGCGACAAGGTCATCACGCTCTTCAACCAGGAGCACATTGGCGGGCCCGTCGACTCGGTCAACGTGCTCAGCGGTCTCGGCGGCGCCATTGACGGCGTGTTCCGCGCCGTTGGCGCCTTCAACGAGCAAGGGCTCGTGCACCGTCCCAGCAGCCTCTCGGCCGTCGAGGCCGCCACGCTGCCCTGCTCGGCGCTGACGGCCTGGAACGCCCTCTACGGGCAGACCGACGCCCAAATCACCGCGGGCCAGTGGGTGCTCACGCAAGGGACCGGCGGCGTGAGCATCTCGGCGCTGCAGTTTGCCAAGGCCGCCGGCGCCCGCGTCATTGCCACGACGGGCTCCCGGGATAAGGAGGCGACCCTGAAGAAGCTCGGCGCCGACCACGTCATCAACTACAAGGAGACGCCCGACTGGGGCGCCAAGGCGCGCGAGATTACCGGCGGCGTCGGCGTCGACCACGTCATCGAGGTGGCCGGCCCGTCGTCCATGCGCCAGAGCATCAAGGCCATCAAGATTGCGGGCGTCATTACCATTATCGGCTTCGTGGGCGGCGCAGAGGGCGAAAAGGAGCCGGGCTTCCTCGAGTGTCTCAACAACCTGTTTACCGCTCGCGGCGTGCTCGTCGGCAACAGAGTGCAGCTCGAGGACATGTGCCGTGCCATTGACGCCAACGCCGACCGTCTGCGGCCTGTAGTCGACTCCAAGGTTTTTGGTCTGGAACAGCTCAAAGAGGCATACGAGTATCTCCAGTCTGGCAAGCACTTTGGCAAGGTGTGCATCAAGATTGATTAGTTGTACCAAGAGCATGAACGTTGAAACTGTATCAAATTTGATAAAAGTTGTACTGATAAGAGGAGGGAGTTTGAATCAAATTTTATTAAAATGAGAATTCTGCTATTACATCTAGACAAACACTTTACATGCCAGCACTAAGCGTGTAGCCACCATCGACCACGACTCTCTGTCCGTTCAAATACTGGTTCACAGCAGTGAATAGCACAGTGTGAGCCATGTCTTCGTCACGGCCAGGTCTCTGAGCGGGAATTTGCGCCAACTTGTCCTTGGGCAGAGAGCTCTTTTGTTTATCATCGCTTTCCTTGGCCGTCATCTCGCTGGGAAACACACCCGGCGCAATGCTGTTGACGCGAATCTTGAGACCGGCCGCCGCAATCTCCGCCGCCAGCATGCGCGTCAAGTGCTCCGCGGCCGCCTTGGACGCATTGTACGCGAAATGGTGCTGGGCCGTCTTGACGAGCCCGGAAATGGACGTAATGTTGATGACGGCGGCGGACCAGCCGGCGTGCTTCTCGGTCGACTTTTGCAGCAGCGGCAAAAAGGCGGCCGTGGTGAAGAACATGGACGTGACGTTTGTGCGGTAGACGCTCTCCCACTCGTCGAATTTGGAGTCGCCCGAGTCAAAGAGGGCCTCGCGCAGCTCCTGCGCCGACTTGGCCTCGGCCACGTCGCCAGAGGTGCTGCTGATGCCTGCATTGTTCACCAGCAGGCAGACGCAGTCTTCCCGGCGCTGAATCTCGTCGACGAGGGCGTTGATGCCCACCTTGGAGCTAATGTCGGCGGTAATGGGGATAATTTGGCCGGGCGCCTGACCTTCGTGGGCGTCGGATGCCTTCTGGAGCTTCTCGGCGGTGCGTCCGCAAATGTAGACCTTGGCGCCGTTTGCGGCCAGGGCTTGAGCGGCCATGAGGCCGATGCCTGACCCTCCGCCTATTGCGGTGTGTTAGTGGTGTTGATCGTCAAGGGAGAGGCTTGGCGACTCACCCGTAACCACAGCCACTCGATCTTTGAGATCAAAAAGGTTCGATCGCTTAAGAGCTTCTGTAGGTGCCATTGTGCTGGAAATATGCTGTGAAATGTGATGTGATATGAGATTTTTAACAAGGTACGTGGACGAGTTGCTCGCTCTTTGAAGTTATCTGTCAGAGATACGAATCGAGCAATTTCATGGTTTATATAGAGAGCAAATAGCTCTAGAAATCAACGTATGTGCGTTTTCATAATCGAGCTCTAATGATGATGGAGGTGATTCGATGTGATGGTGTTGATTGACGGCAAAGTGACGTCAACTGACAGATTCCATGACGCGGATCTCAACGGTCTTGGCGGGTATGGGTGGGCGATTGCAAGATATATCAAAGCCCAAGTTGCACCCTGTCTCTCTTTTTTCGATGCATATTTCTTATGCATACACAGTCATATTGATCAATACTGCCTACCAAATCGTCTCAATTGTGCAAATCGTGCAGTTGCTATTGTAAGTGGCAGCACAGAGGTTCCATGCACCCCATCATCCGGAGTCATCGGTCCCCGCTCTGATGCTAGAAAAAAAAAGACTAAAAACTAATCTGCTCAAAAGTTCACTCAAACATCAACACTTTTACCATGTGTCAAGCAACCTTTTGCGGCTGGCCACATTGGCTTCCCTTCAACTAGTTACGCAGCAGAAACCTGAATCTGCAAATTGTCAGATTGGCTGGCAGGACTTCTCTATTCAATCATGTCAATGTAGGAATTTTAAATGTAAAATAAAATTATATGCTTTTGCCCAACTTTTCCTCAAGCCTGTATTGCAAGAACTCAAGCCTGTATTGCAAGAACTCAAGCCTGTATTGCAAGAACTCAAGCCTGTATTGCAAGAACTCAAGCCTGTATTGCAAGAACTCAAAGGCCAACTTGGGGAGGAGATTCCGGCATCTCCACTCGGACTCCCCCGCCTTGGCCCGCCAAAGAAGCGCCTTGATCAGTGAGAGAGAGCTCTTGTGAGCTGTCCGTCTGTCCACCTCACACCATTTCTAATTCTTGAATAATTCACTTGTCTGATGTCACCACCATACCCAATCTCGGTGCCAGCCCTGCAGCCTTGATTCGTGGCTGAAAGTCTTGTACGACAACCTTGTGGCGACCATATCTTTTCAAAGCCGTCCACGATCCTCCCACGTCGCCTCCATCCATCCATCATTGCCTTTTTCTGCGTCGCATCGTGGCCGTTTGCCTCGCCATCCCGTCCGGCTCTACACGTCCCCAGCAACCTCGGCGGCGCTATTGACGGCGTGTTTCGTGCCATTGGCATCGGCAATCTTTCTCAGAAATCTCTCTCTTTTTTTTTTCCCTCCTTGAGCGCCTCGTGCGCTGGAGAAGACCATCACCATGACCAATTCCCATGAGCCCCTGCAGGCTCTCGCCCCAGCCGACTGGAACGACCTCCCGCAGGATGACCTAGCCGCCTACATGAACCACATTTTCGCCCAGTCCATGATTGTCGTCGAGTCGATCCCATCCCCTTCTTCTGCAGCCACATCAGCAAGTTCAGGACGGGCACGCGCCAAGACCGAGTCCGCCGCCGTTTTGCGCAATGACGCCCAGCGGTTCCGGGCGCTGCGTCAGCCCGCGGCTTCCTTGGAGGCTGCCATGGCGCTGCGCAAAGATTGGAAAGAGGTCAAAGTCAATCCCAAGGAAAATCCTCTAGGTATCAATGTCTTTAAAATGTCCAGCAAAGACGGCAAAGGTGCCTGGTTCGCCCGGCAGAGCGTCCACGAGGGCCTCTCTTTTGACGATTGGAAAGTCGGCCTGGAGCGCGAGTTTGCTGAGAGTCTCAAGGTGCAAGGCTCACCGGGTGTGGGCAACATTCGAGGAATCGGAGCCGACAGACACGTGGAAGACAAGGACATTGAAGATGCTGGCCATCTGAGTGGTATGTCAAGACCCCTTGGTTCCTCTTCGCCTATATGCTAACATGGCCAGTTTTCCAACTGTCCGCTCAATTTCCGGGTCCTACCTCACCTCGAGACTTCATCACCTTGTTGCTTACCTCTGACCTCTCCCATAAAGCAGAAAATCAAGTCGGAGGTCTACGCCAGTATATTATTGTTTCAAAACCATGCAACCACAGCGAATGTCCGCCTCGTCAGGGCATCATCCGTGGGCAGTACGAGTCTGTCGAAATTATTCGAGAGGTTCACGTTGAGCCTCCCATGGCGAAGCGGTCAATGTCCGCGGCTGACCTAGCCGTCAACGACGATCGCCGCGCAAGTTCTGATATCAAGATGAGCAACTCGGAGCGCCTGCAGGATGCTCGGCCAGTGGCGGTGGAGTGGCTTATGGTGACGCGCAGTGATCCCGGAGGCAGTGTCCCTCGGTTCCTCATTGAGAAAGGCACCCCGCCTGGCATCGTCGGCGACGCTGGTAAATTTCTCAAATGGACCACGGCTGGGTCGCGCCGGAATTGGGACGAGTCTGTCACAGCATCTACCACGCAAACACCGGCAGAAAAAATAAACGGCGCACAAGGAAGCGCGCCGGTGGCCACTACAGAGACGCACACCAACACTACTACGACGGCGAATCATCTCAGTCGCAGCGATAGCACCTTTCAGAGCCACGACGGTGACGATAACTCGGTTCCAAGCAGCAATGGCATATACGGCATCATCACCGGCATTTTCGGCATCGCATCTTCGGTCGTCGCTAATGGCCTCGGCCTCAACTACGCCAGCAGCGAGGAGAGCATATCCACGATTCCTGCCATTACCGTCCAGGAACACGAGGATGAAGGCATGGAAAGCGACAGCTCCTCCACGCGCTCTTTTCTGTCCGCCCTCGAGAAGCGCCTCAGCCAAGAGCCAAGGGCCAACAACGACGGCAGCCAATCCGAAGACTCCAAGTCCACCACCACCACAAATCCAAACGCGTCCGCCGCGTCCGCCGCTGCCGGCGCGCCCGCCCCCATCGGCCCCGCGGGCGAAAAGGAGCTGCGCAAGCTGCAGGAGCGGCGCCGCAAAATCGACGAGAAGATGGTGCTCATGCAGTCGCGGCTGCAGAGCAAGAGCCAGGGCGACCGCGCCAAGGACGAGGCGTCGCTCGCCAAGCTGCGCGAGAAGCTGGACAGGGAGGCGGCCAAGCAGGAGCAAAAGTACCAGCGCGAGCTGCAGAAGCTCGAGGAGAAGCGCGAGAGTGAGGCGAGGAAGGCGGAGCAAAAGAGGAGAAAGGCGGCCGAAAAGGAGGAAAAGTCGAGCATGGCGCTCGAGCTGGAGCGCGTGAGGGCCGAGCTCGACCTGGCCCGCCAGACCAGCCGCATCCTCGAGGGTCAGGTGCGCGAGCTGCAGGCGCAGAATACGCAGCTCGTGGCCAAGTTGGGCAAGATGGGCGGCTTGAGCAGCGCGGAGCTTCCGTTGCAGTCAAGCGGGAACGCGCCCGACACGGCTGCAGAGAAGCAGACGTAGAGAAGGTTGTCTGTCATATGCGCCCTCCTTTTATTATGCATTACATGAAGCATAATTGTTTTTTTACATTTGTCTTTTCGGCGTTTTAGCGTACTAGACCATCGGTGTTGATGTATTGGATTTGTCTTCTGGATTTTTTAACATTTAAAACAAAGAATTTGAATACGGCTTCCAATGCAGTGTCTATGTGTATCGATTTCTATGCCAGATTTATTTTCCCCTTTTCCCATCTGAATATCTGTATTTCTCTTCAATTCAGCGCATCCATGAGCAGTCGTGAAACATCATTGTCCTTTTCAAGAGCCTCTTGCTTGAGTCTTGCCACCTCTGCCACCAACTCGTCGCTCGCAGAGCCACTCTTGACCAACACCAGAAACCCATGCAAGATACGCGTCGCAATCGCAAACACCTTTGCGTCCGAAGCCCATCCCAGCGGACCATCCTCTTGTCCGCGCACCACTTGCCTCATCTTGCCGACGCCGCCTCGCACCCAGCGATCCAGCGCCGCCAGCACAACACCACCATCACCACCACCACCACCACCGCCACCATTCTCCCCGTCCCACGACACGCTCTCAAACACGGCCACCCAGCGCTTCGTCTCGCGCACCTCGTCGACAAACAGGTTCTGCTCCTCGACCGCAAACAGCGAGTCGTCAAACTGCAGCGCCGCGGCGAGCTGCTCCGCCGCTGGTGTCCACGACTCGAGAGCCGCCGCCGCCGTCGCCGCCGCCGCAGCGGTGAGAGAAGCGTCGCCGACGATGCGGCTCGCGAGCACGGCGCGAAACTGCGGCAGTTGGCCAAAAGTGGTGGCGAGCCACTGCAGAAGCCGGCTCGCGGCTTCAATGGGCACGAGCGCGACGCCCGCGACGTGCTGAAAGGCGGCAGAGCCCAGATCGCGGACTTCTTCGTCGTCGTCGTTGAGCGTGTCATATAGCGCAAGGAGGACGGGGAGAAAGGCCGCGGCTGTGCATTGCCCGCCGATGACGGTAAAGAAGGAGCAAAACGACTCTGCAGCGGCAAATCGTGCGTCAAAAGTCTACACCGGAAACAGTTAGCACGAAAACAAAACTTTCAGGAGCATATATAATCAGATAATGCGTTACCTTGTCATCGAGGCCGGCATCAGCCATCAGCAGCGCCCAGCTGTCCAGGCCCTCCGGCGTAAGCTTGCCTGCAACGTGCAGCGCTGCAATGATGCCGCCGCCTGCGCGAATCACTGCATTAGAGAGCGCCGGGCTCATGGGTCCAAGCGGCAGACAAGCCCAAAGGCTGGCCAGCTCATCAATTGGCAGTTTGCGTGTTTTGCCACCCTTTGAGAGCGCGTTGAGCACATCAGCCAGATTCTCGACCGCTGCGGTCTGCGCTTCCAGATACGTTGTGCGGAGCGCCACGTCCGTGTATAGTGAGCAGAGGGATAGCAGCGTCTGCTCTGTTGCATTTGCAAGATTCCATAGTTTCGGTATTGTCTCCAGGGCGGTGACAAGAGTGTTGACACCAGTGTGAGGGTTGAACACGATGTCGCGGAGGGCGTCGATAGAATCGGTAGCTTGGCATGCTAAAAAGATATCATGAATGACCTTTTGCGACTTGAAGAGGGCCAGGCTTGGCTGTTCTGACAGCTGAGGCGTTTTCGGTTGTAGTGGGAGGCCCTCCGCAAGTTGCAGGGCCCATGTTTGGTTGAGAACCTCGAGATAAGCAGCGGCCACGTCAGGACAGTTGACGTAGTCGTTTGCAACATTGCAGTGTGATAGAAAGTCGACTAGCTCCGGTAGATCGGCTGCGCATGATTAGCGAGGAGTTTCTCCCATTTCTTGAGATTTGGCGGCTATGCCTACCTTTGAGTTGGTCCAGAGATACCTCATTTAGTCTCTCAATCACAAACTTGAGAGTCAACAAGACGCCATGGGTATAATTCAGGCGCGCGCCCCCAGTGGTGCGCTGTGACTCCCCATATATCTGCTTGATCGTCCTCAGCCACTTGTCATGGAGCAAGCACGAGCACAGCGTCCTGGCCGCCATCTCCCGCACGTGCCAGACGCTGCTGGAGAGATAGTGCGCGACGTCGCTCTGAATCTCGTCGCGAAGTAGCTCCGGCGGTCCCGCTCTGCGGATAATGTCCAGCGCGGGAAACACCGACTCCGCCGCCGCCGCCGACAGCGTCGACGTGACGGCCATGACCCCGTGGCCCGACTTGAGCAAATCGCGGAGCACTTTGGGCAGTTTCGAATATCGGTGATACGGGATGCGGTTCGCCTTGCCGTCCCAGCCGGCCTCAATCATGTGCTTGCTCTCGTGCGAGCCAAACAGGCAGTCGATGAGGCTCCGGAGGAAGATGAGGCCGCAGTTGCGGATGGCCCAGACTTCGGAGCGCAAGCCGCTGGCAGCGAGCTCCAGGCACTGCGGCAGGTAGGCCTCGGATTTATTGCCGAGAGATGTGAGCAGAGAGTTTTTGAAAATATCTTTGAGGCAGTTGTAGGCGTGCACTTGAGGCAGTTGCGTATCATCGATTTCCGTCACTTGGGCTTCAGTGCTAGCGATCCTCATGAGCGTGTCCATGACGGTTTCAAATGACGGGTTGGTCGTGTTGGCGGAGAGGATGCCTGTGATGAGGGAGGGAATACCAGCAGAGCGACGAGTTGTTGATACTTGGGAGTTGATGGCGTTCATGGCGCCGTTGTACCAAGTCAGCAGAATATCCTCGTCGCCTTGCGCTTGCTCCAAGTGCCGGCTCTGCTGGCAGCAGGCACTGAATGTAGCAGAGACATTGGTGAAAGCGCCGCGGTGTCTGAGGCTGGACAGCTGCTCAAACGTCAGCCTTCCAATACCAAGATATACATCTTTACTAGGTGTCACGGCGCCCTTGCGTGATTTGTTTCGCATCGCCAGAATCATGATGCGCATCAAGTTGCTCGATTCATGAATAGAGCGAAAACTGTAGCTGATGAGGCTCTTGGTATCGAGTCCCTCAAGCTCTTCCAGCTCCGACGGCAAATGTCCCTCGGGCGAGTCGTCGCACAGGATATACTTGACAGATGCCCACGCGCGCTGGCAGCATCCTACAAGCTGCATTTGCAATTTCCCTACTGCTTGTAGGTCCTCGTCCGCGAGCGGGAGCTCCGCGACGACCTGCCACATGCTGCACAGCGAAGCAAAGTCACCGTGCACCGGCGCCTCGAGGACCGCGCGGCCGAGGTCCGCCTCCGCTTGGGCAATCTTACTTTCAAGCTCGCCAATCATGCCCGACAGCAGGGCGATGCGCTCGGCCGGCGTGGTGAGGAACCGGTAGAGGAGCTGATTTACGCGCGCGACGCCGTCTGCGTGGTCCGCGCGGGCGGTCCTACGCGCAAGATCATTGGCACGGCGAGACAGCTCTCGAAGCTCTTTCGCAGGGTTTTGCGCCTCGCTGTCCGCATGCAGCGAGAACTTGCGATATCGCTGATCGGCAAAGATCGATGTAAGCACGGTAGAGGCGACGTCGCGGACGTCTTCAAACGGATCCATGAGGAGGTCAAACAGCGCGCGAGCCCATTTGTCGTCAAATGCATCAAAGAATAGTGTCTGGTCGTCTGCAGTCTCCCACGCCTTGCTCTTCTCGCCCTCCATACGAAGAATATGGCCAAGTGCCTTGAGCGACGCAATGTGGCGTTGGTATGATGCTGTTGGGACCAACTCCTCACACAAAAATCTAAGATACCACCTGAGAAATTCTTCATGATACTCCAAGCACTGCAACAAGCTTTCTTCGGGCAGCGCAATCAGATTCGTCTTGTACAGGGCCGGCGTGTCGCTCTCTGATTTCTTCGCTTTGGCGGCTTTGGCGCGTACGCGTGGGATGCTGCGTTTCAGCACGGATATGGCCCCTCGAATGCGCTTAAACATGTCCCTGGCGCGTGCCGAAACGTCGACGCGAAATTTGGCGTCGGGGTCGGCAAAGAAGGCGCCCAGGTGCTTCTGAAGAAGCTGAAGCGCCCTCAGCGAGTAAGGCTTTGTGGTAGACGGCGAGGCTATGAGAATGGAAAAGGCGAGCGAGCGAACTTCGTGCGACGGGTGACCGAGGACACTTTCTAGAACCTCTTCTTGCAAAACGATGGAGTTGCCTCCGCTTTCGGCCGCGCCGTCCGAGTCGAGGTCCGGCTCCTCGACGAGACCAACTCTTTTCCCCGTCTCAAGAGCTGCAAGCTGGATCAGAGCCGGAATATCCACGTGTAGCTTTGCTGATGCCGACACGGGCTGGTCATTATTCATCTTTTGCAGGAATAGCAAGGCTTCTTTCCTATCAATCTTGAACAGCGGCAGAAATACATAGTTCTTGATGCGCTCAACGAGAGAAGGCTCCTTTGTAACAAACACAAGCAGCCACGAGTGCCACAGATCAATAGTCGGGATCTGATCCGAGCCAGCGCGTCCTTGACGTAGCATCCTGTAAAGAGTCACGACCAACTTGCCCGCCGCAGGGCACACAAAGTGCAGGCACATCCAGCCGAAAAGATCCTCGATAAGCATACCCCAGACCTGGATCGGCTCACGGCCCTGGAAATCGCTTCTGTAGATTTCATAGCTCACGCGAATCTCGTCCAGTGTGAATACGTACTTGCCGAGGAAGTGGTCCAACGTCTTAATGGCAGATTTTGCCACGGGCTTCATCGAGCGGCCCGAGACAATGGAGATGAGATCACCCAGGAGAGCATTTTTGGTGCTCGCTGCGGCGTGCTGGTCTGGGTTCTTGCGGAGCAGCACAGCAATGAGATCGAGCACAAGACGCATGGACCGGTGGTGGTCGTACTCGTTCCAGTCAATGTAAAAATTGAAGAGCTTGAGCACGACATCGTAGGAGAATGCCCAGTCGCGCAGAACCCGCGATTCAGATTTGGATGACTGCTCGACAAGCCCGCAGAGCCTCACGCAGGCGTTGCCTGAGACAGACTTCGGTTGCGCAGCCTCGGAGTAAAGGCGTTCAAACGCAACGACCGCAAGACTATTGAACCTTTGTCAGAGAAGATTGTTCAAAAAATAATTTGTATAATAAGTTTGTTCAAAGCGAACGCGTACTCATTCTGCGACTGCTGGGGTTGGCCTTCCAGCCATTTGATCAATTGGCCTGCATTCCCCAATAGCTCTTGGTCCAGCAAATCTTGCTGAGTAGCCATCGCTACAGGCGTTCTGCCTCGACGGCTGGCCGATTGACTCACCGAAGCTTAAAAATAAACTTCACCAATTATTTTTGCGCTGACTATGACTCAAAGGATTCGGTATTAGAGTTAACCAGTCATTTTTAATAACTATATGTCTGTTTCTCCGCATATCGTCTTTACCGTCGCTCATAATATGGCACTCATACAGTGAAGTTGTCGACTCTGCGCGGGTGCACGTGACAAGCCACGTGAGAAAATTTTGCCCTGCCACAAGTTCTAGAACCCCACCAAGCGCACCAAGCAGGCGCAAATTGTCCCACAGCGAAGACCCAAAATCTTTTAAATCTCGTGGCTCCGCTCAATCTTTTTCTTGAACCAACCAACTCCGTCCTGACCACCAATTGTATATCTCTTGGGAGACTGCCACCATGTCTAAGATTACAGTCGGTACGTGATTCCGATGCGTTGTCGTCTCTCTGTCTCTGCAGCGTCTCGTCTTGTGCGTTTCGCTCGCTGTTGATGGAATCGGCGGCCGAGAAGTGGGAAAGGAATAAGAACACTATACTAACGCACGTCTTTTTACAGCTAATGTCCGGACGCAAGTCCAGGAGCTCCTTGAGTACTCCAATGAGACCAAGAAGCGCAACTTCCTCGAGACCGTTGAGCTCCAGATCGGCCTCAAGAACTACGACCCCCAGCGCGACAAGCGTTTCTCCGGCACCATCAAGCTGCCCGCCGTCCCGCGTCCCAACATGGCCATCTGCATCCTCGGTGACCAGCACGATCTCGATCGTGCCAAGCACGGCGGTGTCGACGCCATGTCGGCCGACGACTTGAAGAAGCTCAACAAGAACAAGAAGCTCATCAAGAAGCTTGCCCGCAAGTACGACGCCTTCATCGCCTCCGAGGCCCTGATCAAGCAGATCCCCCGTCTCCTCGGTCCCGGTCTCTCCAAGGCCGGCAAGTTCCCCACGCCCGTCTCTCACGCCGACGACCTCTCCGCCAAGATCACCGAGGTCAAGTCCACCATCAAGTTCCAGCTGAAGAAGGTTCTCTGCATGGGTGTCGCCGTCGGCAACGTCGAGATGGAGACGGAGCAGCTCCTCGGCAACATCATGCTTGCCATCAACTACCTCGTCTCTCTTCTCAAGAAGGGCTGGCAGAACGTCGGCAGCCTGACCATCAAGGCCTCCATGTCTCCCCCCAAGCGTCTCTACTAAGCATTTTCTGCCTGGCCGAAGTTGCCTAATTGGTCAACTGCGAAGAGACGGAAAGCATGGGCTTTACTGGTATGAGGGAATATTATGTGTTACGAGTTCTTGAATGAATCATACGTAGATGTATTTCAATATACCCGGTCAAGCTGAAACTATTCGTCTCTGGTGTGCATGGCTAGCTCATTATAAGCAACGTAACGAGGCAAGACTTTGCTCTGACGCTCGGTCAGCCAGTAACACTGCACTTAGAGATCATTTCTAAGTTTTGATTAGTCTCAAAGTCACTTGTGAGTAACTCGCCGTCTTAGAGAGTGGAGCTCTCAGCGGTGCCACCCCATGGCTTGACGCTCGGCAAGACCCTGCGGGTAGTCGATGCAACATGTGTATTTTTTTTAGTATTTTTGATCGCATTATATACATTCGAAGTCTATAGAAATTAGGTAACAGAAATCACTATAGGTCACTGTGCTCTTCTAACGCACTTAGCAGCTTTTCGTGACGCGCCAAGCAACCAGGCCTCTGCGGCCAACAACTCTGGTCAGCGTATTCCAAAGGCCATCATCACCAATATCCAAGTCGTCGAGATTTAGGTGCTGGCGGTAACGCCACACCTCGCGAAACCGTAGCCCCTGCAGACCCTTGTTTGGCAAATAGGGGTCAAGCCATGTGGCAGAGGCCGGGGCAATGAGATAGGTACCATTCTTTTCCTTCAAGTACTCTTGGTTACGGCGATCGGCTGGTATGTCACATGTAGCGAGCGACGTCAGCTGCTGGAGTAGATCGTCGCCTTTCATGCCCATAACATCTTTGGTCTGCAAAACTGCATTCTTCCCATTGAGCAGCCAAATAGGTGGCGAATATGTTTTCCACCAGATGGCATAAGTAGCATCAGGCTGACCAGCCATGAACACTTGGCCAGGAACGATGCCTCCTTGGTGGTATATGCCCATAAGCACACCGAGAAATAGGTTGAAGATGATCCAGGCGGCGGTCCAGACACGTAATAAGGCCTTGTTCGTAGGAATTTGAACAGACGACAGGATGAGTGGAACCGTCGGTAGAAGGAAGCGCGCTTCCTGGTGTCGGAACATGGATAGGACTGCCAGACCAGAAATGGCCGAGTAGAGACGGATGGAAAATTGAGGTTTCGTCACAAACAACACGGCAGCGGGTCCTAGCAATAGCGGTAGGTTTGCAAGCGAGTGCTGGTACCATGGGTGAAGGCCATGCCGAGCGAGATTGGCCGTGTCTGAGTTGTAGTTGAAGTTGTTGAGGGGGGTGATTACTGGTCTGAAAATTAGGTCGGCCCACGTAACAGAATCTGTATTGTAGAATGCGGTATCCAGCGCAATCGCGATTAGAGAAGTAACAAGCGCAGCCGAGACCAGGACTGCGAAAGAAAGAGGCCTGTAAACCGGTCAGTGACGGAGGCTTGTACAGTGGGAGTTCGTTGCGCGCAAGCTTACCTATTCAGGAAATGGGGTATCAAACGGAAGCCGGGAATTAAGAGAAACGCTGGAAATGTAATGCGATTGAAAATGCCAAAGACGGCGACAATCCCGAGACCGAAGGAGGATAGGAGGGTAGATTGTTGCTGAAAGGCAGAGTTAGCCAAGACGGTCTGGCGGGAAGATAGTGTCGCGTCGCAAAGTCAAAGGCCAGCTTACCTTGGAATCAGTGATGCGCTGTATCAGTACCAAGCTCCACGCAACCACTAGCGTCTCTATGGAGTTTGAAAAGGTGTGTGTCTGGTAGGTCCAGGTCACGTAGGAAGAGGCAACGAGCAGGACTGCGATGCGGCGATGACGCGGGGAAGGAATCAGCTCGTGCAGGGCCCAGTCCTCGAGTACGAAGCTGATGAGGAACATGAGTACCCTGAGCGTCCAGAAGACGACGATGGGCGCAATTTCCCCGTCGTTGCCGTTTCCAATCCACAGCCATCGCAGCAGGAGCATGGGTAGGCCGTAGACGGGCCATAATGGGAATACGCTTCGGATAGGATTGTTGTTTGTGAATTCCCAGGTTCGTCGCACGGGATAGCTAAAGATTTCGCCTGCAAAAGTCAGTCAGCGATGTCGACTCACACAACACGACGGAGCTGCGACAGGCTCTGCACATGCGATGCGCCAGCTTGCAGACTGAATCTGTACGCGCGAATGCGCATTGCTCAGTGCAATTTATGCGCGAGGATCAAACACACCTGCTATCACTTCTGGGCCTTGAAAGTTTTCGTCGGGATGGAGGTAACTAGGCGAAAGGGCGAACCACAGTCGGATAGCGACGAGGAGTAGATAGGAGCGCCTCCACATTGTTCTCCTGGTCGGGCGAAACGCCTCTCAGGGCTGATGCGATGGCGGCTTGTCGGAGGCTGCGAGCAAAGCAACGACATGAGGTGGCTCGAAGCCGGGCGGCGCGCGCGCGCCAAGTAAATGGATGCGCCAGCTGCTGACACCAAAAAGAGAAGCAGAGTAGAGCGCGCGCGTTGCTATCTAGTCGAGAGGGTGAGAGAGGAGAGGATGGCCGAGAAGATCGGATTCCACCGCGAAAAAAAGAGTATTAAAATAAGGACTTAAAGACAAGAGGAGTGGGAAGGTTTTGGGAAAGAAAATGACCCAAGGAGATGGAATAGAAAAGAAACAAAAATGGTGGTGGTGCGAGCCTGGAAGAGACAGAAGCAAAACCTGAAGCGTGGCAAGTTCTATTATTACAGTACTTCGTACAGAGGGCGAGCTGACAGCGGGAGGCCCGCATATCCTTCTCCGAATGTCTGATTTCAGGGCAAGGTACCTGGCGGGAAGTGCCTTGGTGGGCATCACGGCATGTACTACCTATCAGTACAGGTCACTGCTTGCGGGCGCTCTGGAATCTCAGCGGCCAGCCACTGAGTGCACGGTACCTGCAAACGGACAAGGGGCTTTTGGGGCCAACAGGGAGGATTAAAAGCCATAACAAGAATTTGGGGGCAAAAGCTCTTAAATTGCGGGTAGCTTAAGAAAAAATTTGAATATGATCTTGACAAATGTAGGCCGCCAAGGCTGCCTGGCTGCTTACTTGTCTGAACGCTTGCATGTCTCTGCAAGGGCAGCATGACCTCATCACTGGTTGTTGTCTTGGCCATTTTCGAGGGATAAGCGCGTTGTGATTGGACGTGGCTGTCATGACCAAAAGACTCACGCCATCATCAGCGTGACCAAGTGACGTGATCGCGAAGATAATTAAATGCATCTCCCACGACACTGACTGTGCTGAAGAAAAGGGGTCGTGAGTGGCATGACAAGAGTTCAGGGGGTTCCTGGTATGAACTGGGTCCACCGGCTGCTGGTTTGCTGCAGCGTCTCGCTAGAAATTCGCTAACCAACAAATCGCTAAGCCCTGGGACCGGGCCGTCCGCAACTCAGCATCCACTGCATCTCCACCTCTGCCTACTAATTATTGTTTGCGTCCAACAGTTGTCCCAGACCGACATGTTGAGAATCTCGCGGTTTGCATGACAGATCGATGATATGATGATAGTGATTTTTCGCTTTCGCTGTGCATTACTTGAACGCTTGGCCCCCCGTCAGCCCCCGTCACGGCCTCACCATCGTCTTCTGTGGCTGCTATGGCTATTAGCTGGAACGTGATGGACCCAGCAGGGCACCATATTTGCCATCAAACAACACCATCACTGAGGTGTCAACTTCGACAATTTCGGCCTAAGTTCTCGAAGAAACTGTCAAGCCGCCAGCCGTTCTACCTGTGCTTCGTGGTGTCTCGGGAGATGAATGGCGTCGGTCAACATGCTCGTGTAAAAACCCTGCAGAAAATTGGAGGTAAAAGGTAGTTGGTTGCTAGAAAAACATCATCAATGGAAAGAGGAAGAAAGAAAAACAGAGTTAGAACATGTCACCATTTCTTTGACAACCGAAATAGCGACAGAATCTTTCAACCTAGCTGTGCCTTTGCCGTCGTGTAATAAAAAAGAGGATTTCTCACACGCAACAACCGGGAGAGATGATCACAAACTGAAACCGATACAGAAAGCCGTAACGAAAGACTCGATAAGCTACCGAGCATTTAAAACGGCAGATAAACTTCCCGTCAACTTCTCAGCACCAACAGCCACAGTACAGGTGACACCTCGCGTTTCATCCCCTCCGTCGAATCAATACCTTGCTTTTGCCGCTACGGTAATTCGCGATGCACCCGTCGACATACTTGCCCGAGTCTAGATGGCGATACTGATTATGTAATGTCAAGGAGTTAGAAAGCATGCAGACTGCACGTTGGCCGACTCTTCTATAAGCTTTTGCTAGGTGTGTTGGCTCTTGTATACGGCGACAACAACACAAGCCGTATATCGACCTACGCAAGGTAATAATGCTCCTAGAGTGCCTTTTGATGACACAAGATGTCAATAACAATATGACGTACGGCGTAGAGGTCCAGGTTCCGTGGGTATAGAAATGGGCGCACGTTACTTTGCTGTCGTTTCGACGAGGCGGCTTGTAAGCCGAATTCACGCTGCTTGGTGTTTTTATCATCCCAGCAATCAAGCCGGGAAATGCTACCCTCCTTCATGTCAGGCGATGTACGGAATGAGCTAGCATCTCCAACAAAGGTTCGTTGGATGTCTTGGGAAAAATGTGGCTAGAAGTTTGACGCAGAATCTTAACGCCGCTTTCACAGACCAACGAACGGCAAACTTTGGGAATCGAGCAGGCACCTATGAAGATGACCCCGACTCCCAAGGACAAACTTACAATGGGGCCTGTGAATAAAGGAGACGGGAGCACACCGCGACCACAAGTAGTATACGACCGTTGCCTTCGCCATGTCCTACCGAACAGGGCCGTTTGATTTTTCATCGTATTTTAGTTTGAAGTTACACAAGAAGGAACGAAATACTTTCTTGCACTGACCGGCCTAGCGAGCATAAAGTCTTGTGGCTGCAAAAAGAGTGCAACAAGCGGCGCCACGAAAGAGTCACGAGTCGCGACACCAACAGCCTGGCTTCTGTTGCGGGTGAGAGCGGGCCTAGTAATAGGCAGCACAGGGCTCACGGCGGGTGGGCGGCACGAACAAAGGCTCCCTTCGGGTCGCTCCAGGCGCTGTGCCAGGCGCTGTGTTAGCACACCTAGGTACCTCCAGGCATCAGCGCGTTAATAAATCACGGTGCCGTGTGTTACTTCGCCATAATTTGTTGGCATCAGCCATAATTGGCAAATTCGAAAGGTTTATAACTAGCCACTCAACACTGACAAATGCAAATATTATCGTTGTCCATCATAAATACCCGCCTCCCTTTCATCTCTTCCTCTGTCGCGTAACCATCAACTTTACCACCTTTCACACACACAAAGTAAGTCCAACACTGCCGCGACCCTGCCAGTCACCACCCTGAGACCCCGCAGGTGCTTCTGCCCGCTTCTTCCACTCACCTGCCTGCTTGCCACCTTGCCTGCTTTCTTTCGCAAACTGCCACCTCAACCGTGAAACAATCACATAGCATCACATTCAGCAACGACTAACAAATTAAACGCCACAAGATCCTACACTTCTTTTCTCCCATATCACCACCTCGTCACACAGCAAAAATGGCCGACACCAACGCCAAGATGTCAAAGATTTGGCTCGTCTCCAATGACAATGCCACTATGGAAGTCGGTACGTGCTCGCTGCCCGTCTTCGCCTCCAGCTATGTCGATGCCCTGTTTTTGCTGACACTTTGCCTCACGATTCAGACCGCGCTGTCTGCGAGCGCTCCATGCTCATCAAGAACATGCTCGAGGATGTCGGCGATGGCAACATCCGCCAGGACAACCCCATTCCCATCCCTAACGTAAGTCTCGCCACCTTTGCCTCGTGGTCGCCGTCAAGCTGCCCTCCTCCCTCCCATCCGACCATGACGCAGACATGGCAGAACTAACGCATGCTCTATACCTAGGTCAACGAGGCCGTCCTGCGCAAGGTCATCGAGTGGTGCACATACCACCGCAACGATCCCGTCCAAGCTGCGGATGACGAATCGGATGTTCGCAAGAAGACCACCGACATTGACGAGTGGGATCAAAAGTTCATGCAAGTTGACCAGGAGATGCTGTTTGAGATCATACTCGTACGTCTACTTAACCCCCCCCCTCTCGACTAGCCTGCAATGCTCATCTGTACCCCCTAGGCCTCCAATTATCTTGATATCAAGCCCCTTCTCGACGTTGGCTGCAAGACCGTTGCCAATATGATCAAGGGCAAGTCGCCCGAGGAGATCCGAAAGACATTCAATATTACCAACGACTTCACACCCGAGGAGGAGGAGCAGATCCGCCGCGAGAACGAGTGGGCCGAGGACCGATAAGCGCAATCCGCCTAACACCGCTCACGGGGTAGATGTGATGCATTTTTGTTTATGCTTGCTACTTTTATAACGGTTACCCTTTTTTTTTCTCTGTGATTGATGGTGAGTCTCATAGCTACAAGTTACTTTGAGCCCGCCAATCATCACACTATACACTACAGGCGTTTTATTTGGGCTGGAATGGACATGGTTGGTGGCAATGATAAGTCATTGTAGTTTTGGGGGATAAGTAGTATTGCGCTAGGCGCATGCCACTCGGACTTACACAAAAAACTGATCATTCATGATATGCCGACCGACGAGGAAACGTGAAATCATGCCAATATTGCCCGCCGCTGACACACGAGCGTCATGAAGTCAGTAGTAACGGGGGTGGGCGACACAGAACGATGCTGAGACGTCCTTCATATGCGTAGCGACCAACTACCGTAGATAAGGTAAGCATCATTCGCTTTGTACCAGACGAGCTAGCCAACAGCGCAGCCTTGCTGCCATGGAACAGTCAGCTGCTCTGCAATGACTACAACTTGTCCAGCAGCGGCCGCAGTATCACTCGTCCCCCAACCTCATCTACATCAAAGAAGTCCTGGTTTGAAATTTTTTTGGATTTTCTTTCCCTGATATCATGTTTCGCCATGGTTTGCAAGGATCACTAGGAGCTTTTGCTGTAAAAACAACAGAAATTTGACAAAAACAACCCCGATTCTTTTTCATCACTTTCATGCAACCTCTTCTATTTCGTCGTCTGAAAGCGTTCCATCAATCTTTGCATGTGCCCGAAAACTGACAGCCGTCGTCGTCAATGACCAAAGTAGAGGGAGAGTCTTTTATTCCATCCTGGTCAATGATGCCGATCAAAGATGCCGAAAGGCGCTGTCAAGGGTTTCGGAGTTGGAAAGAAACGGCGAAGGGAAAGGGGCGGAAGAGCAGAAGCCCGGGCATTTAGATGCCGAGCTTCGTCTTTCTCCAATGTCTGCGCTTAGCGTTGTAGCTGTGGGGGATCATGTTAGCCAAAGGATGGTTCCATCATTTCGTGAGGTCGAGTCAATACTCCCAAGGGAGGGAGGGAGGCGAGCGTACCGGACGGAGTTGTTGGTGCGGAGACGAATCCATTGGGGCACGGGACGGTTCTGCTTCTGCGACTTGGCAAGCTTCTGCTTGGTACGGAAAGACTTGAGGCTCTGTAAGGCAAGATGAGTTAGCAAAGGAGGAAGCGTGTCGTCACTCGAGGTTCGTTTCGTTGGTCTGGAGATGGCGAAAAAGAGGTCCCGATAGGTTTCGTCCTGTCGCATTCTATACAATCATCATTCAAGCCAGGCAACACGAGTAGACGCAGCGCATTCCCATGTCGAATTCTTCTTCGTGGTCGTTTGCGCGCGCCCGCTGGCTATCCATCAACGGCTTGTGATCGGGCGAAGGTTTGAAAGCGCTTGATGTGAATGCCGACGAAAACTATCGAAACTAATGGGACCTCTTTTCGAATCTCTTCGACTCGAAAGGACGAGAGGGGATCGGGGCGTTCATACGGGCATCTTGACGGTCGGTTGCTCGATTGTCGATGATGGGGGGGCTTTTTCGTTGTTTCGGTTGGCGTGGAGTTGCAAAAGGATTTTTGCCTTGGGGCGGGACAGCGGGCTCGCTCGACGCCACTCGAGGGCGTAAAAGCCCTAGTAGCGAGAAATGCAAAAATAGGGTGCTGTGGGTGTGGCTGGTGCGCTCGTGTGGCGCGTGTGATGCCTGAGGCGTCAATGACGGAGAAAAGACGGAAAGGGTGTGGTGGGGCAAATCGAAAGTCGGCCGAATGTAGAAAGGTGGAGTAAGGGAGGGTGATGGATATCTGTCACTCGTGTCACTGTGTGGTGATTGTCATGCAAAGTCACCACAAGGAGCATGAACGAGGGGCCTTGACATGGCAATCTGTTACGGATATAAGGGTCGTTTCTGCTCTGACTGATGTTAGTTGTTGGGTACTTTGACGAGTGACTTGTCGTTGTAGGTGGGACGGTAAGATGCCGCGGCCAGTTAGGATTTCCACAAACGCTCGAAAAGAGGGCATGGCAAATACAAGCGGCGATTAGTAATAAGTAAAAGCCAGTCATTCCACAGCCTGGGCCATGTGAGAATGAGGTTGCCATCAGAGGCTTGAACCGAGGCCAAGTCGGGGACGAACGACTCTGCTACAGGCTTCTTTACTGCAGTTGGTAGGGTTGAGCCGTTCAAGAGCTCAAGAATCGAGAATTTCCCCCAAATAGGCCAAACGTATCGGCACTGTCGTACAAACATTCATGACTGGTCCCAACAACCACCACCCTCGTACTCGCCGATGCCTGCCTAGGTACCTTGGTCGCATCGGTAGCGAGCCAAGGGCGGACACCGCTGCGGGTCTCGCCTAGCTGGGGCCGCCGTAACTAGGCCTCTCACCGTCCCGCGATGCACCTGGCAGCCCAGCCCCCAGCCCAGCCCAGCAAGCTCTCTGTGCCCAGCTTGTTGCCCCCAAGGCAGTCTAGAATAAGGGGACAGTGCTGCCGGATTTCTAATGAAGCTCGCCGCCCCTCTCAACTCCCGCGTCTCCCGCCTGCCTGACTACTTCTAACAACAGAAAACCCTGGCTGCAAGAAGAAACATTACCGATTTTCTTTCTTGTAAACTTCTTGACTGAATACTTTTGACGGAGTTTCTTCTTTTTCTGGGGGGACAGTCTCGGGAATACGACAACAAACCCCTGGGACCTTTATTTTTTCTATACTTCTTTTCTAATACGCATACGATACCCATTCTCTCTTCTTCTCCCTAGGTGGCGACATTATCCCGACGCGCGCGCGCCGCCCTAGCTACTCCTCTCCGATAATCACTATACTTTCAAACGATATAAACGCGACAAGCAAAGATGGGCGCAAGCGTTTCGTGGCTGTCCAACATTCTCTGGGCCAAAAAGGAGATTCGCATCCTGATTCTTGGTCTCGTACGGCAACACCACCCCTCTCCTTCAGGTCTCCCCCCGCCCGGCAACGTTCTGGGGAAGATTTGCAAGCTGCGCGCATAATTCTTTGGGGGGCATGATTGGGTGCTGACAGTTGGGCTCGCCTTCTCCACGGCGATTTAGGACAATGCGGGCAAGACGACTCTCTTGTACAGATTAAAGGTGTGTTCGCATGGGAGCGGTCCGGGAGCTGACCGGGAGAATTCGCCATGGTGCTGACAATGTGACTAGATTGGCGAAGTTGTCACAACGATACCCACGATAGGATTCAATGTTGAATCCGTCACTTACAAGAATCTGAACTTCAACGTCTGGGTACGCATCTCCCCCCTATACCTCTCAACAGTCACGCGCAACCCATTTTCCCCCAGCACCAGCTGCTAAAACATGACCCGCGCATTATCCAGGACCTCGGCGGCCAAACCTCGATTCGCCCCTATTGGCGCTGCTACTACGCCAACACGGCCGCCGTCATCTTCGTCGTCGACTCGACCGACATTGACCGTCTGCAGACGGCTGCCGACGAGCTCGCCGCCATGCTCAACGAGGAGGAGCTCAAGGACGCGGCGCTGCTTGTCTTCGCCAACAAGCAGGACCAGCCCGGCGCCAAGGGCGCGGGCGAAATCTCCGAGGCTCTGCGCCTCGGCGAACTGCGCGACCGCAACTGGAGCATCATGGCGTGCTCGGCCGTCGACGGCAGCGGCGTCAACGAGGGCATGGACTGGCTCGTGGTAAGGCTCCATCTGTTTTCTCATTCCTTGCGTTGGCGGGGTTGCTTTACTGATGTACTGATTTTTTTCGCTTTCCGCAGCAAACCGTCTCGCAAGAATAATGCAACGCGCGAAACATGCCACCCGTTGTAGGGTGACACTTTGCGGGTTTCAACGAATACGTGTACAATAAAGGAAACACGAAAAAAATAGGCATTTAAAGTGAATTAGTAGTTACGTCGCATCTGGGTAGACGGCGCAATATCTTTCGGAGGAAGGGGTCGATGAGAAGAATAGTATGCTTCTTATGAAAGTTTGGTTGCTTGAGCAGGCAACAGTCGAGTAAAAGTGGCATGCTGCCATCTTGCAACATGTTTTCTCGAAGCAGAAGCATAGAAGATGAATGAGATTATGGTAGAAGACAGGCGTGGTCTCTTCTATCAGAACAAGACTGTGCAAGACGAAAGAGAAGGGGGGCCTTGTACTGACTGTCCTGAACGTGAGGTGGAAAGGGCAGTAAGTGGTGGCCTGGCACTTGGATTTTTAAACACGAATGAAGCCACAACAAGCTCCTTTTCTTTTCCCTTTGCAGCCTTGATGTGCCGAGTTCGCTCACAAAGTCAGTTCATGCTTCGCAAGCATGTTCAGCGCAAGAAAACTGCTTTCTTTCGTGATCTGCTTCTTGGTGTAGGGTACGTGTTACAGAGTCTGGAGATGCGCGACCCTGGATTAGCGATGTCGTCTTATTTATATCCTTGCCTGTCATGTGTTGACTGCCTTGAGAACCACATCTTCTGGCCGTTATTTCTCAACTTGGACATCCGAATGGACAACGTGTTGGAGACGGCTTCTGCTCCAGCATCACGGGCCGCATGAGAAACGCCTTCTCGTGGGGAAGAGACGTGCGTAACTGACTCTTCCCCCCAAAAACGAATCCTTCTGGAAGAGAAAAACAATTCACCTGCAAAGTCCGGCAGCAGTGGCGAAACTTGGTTTCGTATTGATCAACTATTTAAAGGGCTAGCCAAGGAGAGGTTTACATAGGTATCCAAAAAAAGAAGAAGAAAAGGGCGGCATCCCAAAAGGTAACAAAAAAAAAAGACTACAAGTCCAACAGGGATCCCTGAAAACACTCGTTAAGTCAGGCTGCCTTCCTTTTCCTTGATTCTTTCTTTTTTTTCTCTTTGGTGCGGGTGGTAAAGAACCCGGCACTGCACTACAGTGGCCACTATCCCGTTCGCCTCACCACCGGGGTTGAAGCTACTAGCCAAGAACAGCGGCTTGCTTGTGCAGACATCCTGATGAGCGCGTGATCTAGGACGATACACCGCTGCCACCCGCTTTTGTGATTATAGTATATCCAGCATCTCACATTTTATGAATTGCGAGTATCCCTGCGACAGAGGCACCAGACTGGGTCAAGTCTGGCCCAGGGAGGTGCGGTGCAAGGTGCATAGCAGCTTGCCACCACACTGTAACCACCTCTGTTGCCAATCCACCTGGATCATGATGCGACCGGGCCGCAACACATCCATCTGTAGGGAGATGTCCCACAGTTGCCTCGTGCACCATCACTAAAGCGCCTAAGGGCAGCCAAAGCTGATACAAGAGACTGTGAGAGCAACAGTACTAAGCTCTGCGCAGCATAGCTCAGATACTGTTGCTTACACTTGCACAAACTCATACATCCTGATGATGAGGGTGCGTGATTCCGTCGACATCCAGTGCCTTTATGCGCGGAGATGCTCCAGTCATCTCGGCGTGATTACGGATCATGGCTTCAGCGACGGCCAGATTGTTGAGTGGGGGCGAGAACCAGTCTCTCCAACCCAAGCAACAGCGTTGAATCGATATGTCGTTGGTCAACTTCCAAATGCAATGGTTTTGATGCAGCATTCGTCAAAGTTGTTGCGTATTCGATTCGTAACTTCGTGGTCGTCATAATTCGTGAATAAACAGGTGAAGCAAGAGACGGTTGGTGGCTAGCACGCGGGGTATCGTTGACGTCTCAAGCCCATCCTGTGATGCAGGAAAGGAATGATCCGTGACGGAAATAAAAAAGAAAAGAAGTAGAAGAAGTGAAGAAGAGTTCGTCTCGGGCCTAGCCGAAATCTGCGCATTGCTGCATATCCCTCTTATCTTTAACCCAAAAATGTCGTAACAAAAGAATGGAGAATGATGAACAGAAAGAGAAAAGGAAAAAGGAGAAGCCGTTGGAGATAGCCCTGTCACCTTGTAGGAGCATCCTATGCCCGTCCGGAGCCAGCCATTGCGTGAATGAAGAAATACACGGCCGATCTAGCGGCGCAAAGTATCCGAATGGTTGCCCCGATTAATATAAAAACAGTTGCGCCAGCCCTTGAAACAAGACAGGAAACAAACGCTCGCTATTGCGTATGAAATGGAAAGCCGATAGAGCTTGTAGCCGATTAAAGGAGCCGCCGATTGGCCAAAGTGGATATTGGGAAACTCCAAGCCCGATGCAGAGAGGAATGAGTAGAAAACGCCAGGGTATGAGTAATGCCAGTCTATGTCGCTGAGCAGTCTTGCAGTGCGGAGATTTTTGTGACTTCTCTCCAGGAGAAGACGAGAACGCGAAAGGGGCAAGAATTAGGACGGCCCTGCGGGAGCCAGAGTGCCTACGTGTGACTGAGGGGGTTGAGGTAGTCACATAATGGGAGTGCTGAAGTCCTGGAAGCGTTGCCAGTCAAACACATTTCCCATGTAGACATTCATGCCGCACTGGTTGGGCGCGTACATGCTGGGCAGCGGCACAGTAGACATGGGGGCAGTCAACTGAGGCCCGCCGAAGAAGTAGGCGTTGGTGACCTGGGGTTGGCTAAAGTCCACGGGAGGAGAGGGAACTTGAGGTTGACTGAAGTCCATGGGAGGAGAAGGTGCATGGACTTGTTGCTGCATGTGCATGTTGTGCCAGACTGGGGTGGTGGCTTCAACAGACGAGGCGACACTGGGACTCGAAGGAAAGACACCCCAGGCATCGACAGGAGGAGGCATGGAAACGGCTGAGGCCCAAATGTGGTTCATGGGAGAGCTGGGTAGAAGAGGAGGCTGGCGAACCATTTCGACGAGGCGGGGAGGGGGAGGAATAAGAGGCTTCATGAGGTTCATGAGATTATTCCTGACCTCTTCGCTCTTGCCGCAGAGAAGCTCGCCGGCGCCATCTTCTTCGAGACCCTCGAGGGCAGTGACGTGGGTGCGAAAGACGAATTTGTTGATGGCTTGGACGAAGTCGTCGTGCAGTTTCTTGCACTGCAGCTCCTTTGCAGACCAGTCGGACGAGTTTGCCTTGGCATCGACACAGTGAATCTCCTTGTGGAACTCGACGAGGGCGTCGATGGTGTCAGTGGTGAGCTTGTAGGCGACCTCATTGCGAAGGACCATGTCGACGTGGACAATGTAGGCCTCGATGTGGATGAGCTGGTGGCTGAAGAGGTTCTCGGCGTAGTCGGTGGGCATGTCGGCTTCGGGAAGCTTGGGGAGCATGACAGAGGCCAGAGTCCAGATGGCGTTTTTGTTGGCGAGGGTCTCGGCGAGGCATCTCTGGTGCTGGGCGACCGAGTTGAGAGGGCGCTTAACACGGTTGATGCGCTTGAGTGTCAGGGTGAGCCAGGGCTCGACCTTGGAACCCAAGACGACGTTGACGGAGGCTGCTCTGGGGGCAAATGCGGCGGCGGAGGCTGGTAGTAATTGGACGGGCATGTTGACGGCTGTGAGGTCTGTCTGGTGAGGCGGGGGTGAGGTATATTGGCGGGGGGTATTGGACGGGAGGGGCGAGGAGGCACAGGGTGTTACGGCTGGTCGTCGGGAGGGCGGAATAGAAGAATATATTAAAAACGGGATGGGAAAAAAGATAAAAAAAAGAAGGATGAAGCGACAAATGATGCTTAGCAGGGAATAAGGATTGGCGAGGATGGATCGCCTGCTGAGCTTGCCGCAAACCGCGAGGGGAAGAGACGGTTTAAGAAAGAAGTGAACGTCGGACGAGGCGAGAGTCGTGAAGAGCAAAGAAGAAAGGGAAAAGTGGCGGAGGGCAGTGGTGGGGAGATATACTTGCAGGTGTCCTCACTGTCCTTACTGGGTAGGAAGCTAACGAAGTACCTAAGTTGCTAAGGTAGTGGACAAAGTGGGCGTGGGCGTGAGCGTGGGCAGTGGCAGTGGCTGATGACGGTACGGGTCGCGGCCGACGGTACAGTGGGTTCAGGCTCTGTAGAGCGGAGGGTATGGAAGCTGCAGCAAAGAGGATAGCACAACAGGAATACAAAAATAAAAAAAGGTTGATGCATTGCGGACCCTACCTAGGCCTTGGTATCCTCTGGAGTGGGCACTTTTATTTCCTCCCTCTTTCTTTGCTGGCATTTTTTCCTCGTTTCCCTGGTCTTTACTGCAGACCGCGCCACACACCACCCACGAGATAGCCTGCAGGTGACTGCGCATTAAGGTGAATACCTACCTAGGTAGGTACCTAGTAAGTATTACTGGTCCACTAACTAGCCCAGAAAGGCGCAGGAGAGGGGGGTCGGTCTATTTGGCCTCGGGGTTGGCAGCATGAGCGGGCGGCACTGATGCCAAGGTACGGACACTTTTCTGCTAGATTGCCATTCATCCGCCGAAATGTCCGCCAATTTTCGCACCTCACGACTCATCAATAACCCGCTTTCTGGATTGTCTGCTTGCCTGCTTGTCCGTCGGCCGTGCCCGTTACAGTGAGTGGCCCACGGGGTGTGTGGAACGCCACAGGGTGTGAGCGCCCGCCACACCGAGTACATTTACAGTTAACCCGAGTTACTATTCGTGCTATTGCCAACACAAGGCAGCCAGCAGGTCTGAAACGAACGATGATATAGACAACTACAAGTTTGTGGGAAAAAATTATCGTGTTTGCTCCATAATTAGTGAGTCTGATATTCGTGATCCTAATCTCTAAATCATCAAGAGGCGGCGGCGCCTTTAGTCTAGTGCCCCGCCTTGTCAGCTTCGCCTGCACCTTGACACCTACCGTGCATGTACCTCTAGCCAGCCCTTTATGCATGCTCTGCTGGGTTGGGCTAGTTGATTTGTGAGGTAGCCAAGCAAGCATTCAGACAAGCGAAAAAACGGCCCTTCTTTTTTTTATTTTGATTTCCCCCCGACGGCGCCGTCCGTAACTACCCGCTAGCTTTGTTGCTATTACTAGAAATAGCAAGCTGCATGTACAATAGGATCTGCCTCGCTCAGCGGGCCAGTTTGCCTTGCTGTGGCCGCAAGTCCGCAGGCCCTACCTAGGTAGTTCCCTACCTACCTAAGTAGGTGCCTGCGTATCAGTACCTAGTGCCTGCTGTTGTTAGTGCTTGGCGCACTTTTGCAGGTATCTGCGCCGCTGGTTACATGGCTGCCTTTGTGCTTGACTTGGTGATACGGCAAAGTCCCGATGCACAGAGACGTATTCACCGCGCAAACTGGGTGCCTATCTTGTAGCAGGAACCGGCTCGCCACGCATGCTCAGGCACAAAGTGCTCTGTCAGCAGAATTATGTATGCTTGCTGCCAGCTTCCCACCACCAGGTACGGGCAACTGACACCAGATAGCCTGCGGAGCTGAAGCCTCCACCCCACGGCCCCATCCATCCGCCTCCCTGGTACCGAGCTGCGAGTCCATCCTTCAGCGTCCTCACTCTCGCCTCCTTGGTCTCGGCTTGCCTTGCGCCTGCCTTGTACAGTTACTTGCACCTTCCTGCGATGCTCTTCTAGACCGGCTTTTTAGCTGGCAAACCTAGTCGCCCCGGCCAACAGGCATCACCCACGTTTCTGCCAAACGGCATACGACTGACGATCTCTCTCCATCTACGGAGTTACCAGGCAGAGAATTCCAGGCAGAGAATACCAGGCAGAGAATACCATGCAATAGGAGCAGCTCAATGCTTTGATTGCTCGTCGGGGCTGAAAATTGATGCCCTGCCGACTTGTTGCTTGCGTCGCCAAGTCTTGCTCTCGCAGGCACCCATTATCTTGCCACTTGATGGGCCCATCATCTCATAATCAACATTCCCGTTCCGCTCTGATGCTCTCCCTGCATTCTGGCAACTGACACCTGGCATCAGGGTGGTGACCTTGGTCTGCAGCCCGGTTACAGCAGCCGCTTGCCCATGTGCCTTGCCTGGGCCTCGATGACGGGCCACCACACCACTTGACACCCCACCACTCCACGTCCGGAGCAACAGCACATGCTCGAATATGCCCGGCAGTAGTCAAGCAGCAGAAAACGACAGCTTATTACCATCGATTTATTGATCAACGGCGCTTCATCAAACACGCTACCACCCTTACCACCCGTATATCCTGTTGAGAGCGGCCGCATGGCTTTCGACTCCTTCCGGCTGCAAGTGAAACTGGGTCGCGGATGTCGGAATCATACCGCATATTCAGAATAATGCTACTAACTCGACCTTTTCCCACCATCTACACATTTGCCGACATGCAGACGGACTGCGGATGTCTCGGTAGACATTGCTTCTACACACGCTGTGCAACCCGTCGATGTAAGGGACATTTTACGCCCTGTGACGAATAAGATGAGATATGAGAAGCGAGAATTACTTTTGGAGATGAGCGTGTTTTTTGTCATGCGTGGCGTTTGCAAAGTCCAAGCGGGCGGGCGCGATCCCGAGCTGGAGAAGCTCGGTTGCCAAAGCAGAACCCGAACGAGATGAGCCAAAGTTGGGACGCTTATTATGCAGGCAGGAAACTAGGAACCCCTTGCCGTGATTGGCATTTTGTATGTTCAAGGCGACGAATCGGCGTCTAATATCGCATCTTGCCCCACCAAGGGACCAGCCGTTGTGCTTCTCCTCCATGAGCTTTCACTCGACTGCATTTGAGAGCTTTTTGGTGGTCTGCAGGCGTGTATACGGAGTAGGCTCGCACATGACGGCCTCAGGTTAATTGCGACGCTGACAATTGTCACGTGCCACCTGAGGAGGAGGATCGCGATCTAGAAGCAAGCCTACATATTTGCCCTTGCCACTGTGCCAAGGACCCTCGCAGGACATTGGTATGCATGCCACCCTCCACGCTTATGACAAGTCACGGTCTGAAGCTACGGAATGCGCCGCAGCGCCTGATGCAACAGTTGCTGTGGATACAAGTCGTCGGAACTGTTCTGCAACAACAAGACCTTTACAATGTCTTCACCTGGTTCGGATTTTTACCGAAGCCTGAAGGCTATTTCTCCTGACAATATACAAGAATCGTTGCCATGACTCTGTGTGCCAGTCTGCCAGAGAGCAACCAATATTCCTGACAAAGTAAGCCGTTGAGCTATGACAAGTTTCAATCTTGAGGTCGAGTAACCCCTGTTTTACTCTTTGCGCTCACAGGCCTGGGAGGGTAGACGTAGCGAGGATGTGCGAGCCTGCAGGACGGGAACCTTTCCCAAATTGATGGGTGTTGCCGAAGCTGCCGTGGGGATTCATTTGGCCGCTCGGGACGAGACCAGGCGGGCAATAGCAAGAGTCGCAAGCGGCGGGAAGGAGGCGGGCACTACTGTTATACGGCGGATACCATCTACAGATACAGAGTCTTCGGTTGGTAGATTTGAAGATGCAAGGGCCCTGCCTGTTACAGTCCATCTTACAGCCTGTTTAAGGAAAGGGATTCAAGAAAGGGGAGGCTCTCGCCACCTCAAAAGGGGAGGGTGTATGGACTGCAGGTCATATTAGTCGACTGGTCGTCTTGGTTTGAAGTTGGCGTTGCTGTTAAAACGCACTTACGGCTTCTGATTGGTCAGCGGGTCAAAGAGTTGGTGGAAACCTGGGGGTAACAATGGCCTTTGATTGGGCAAGAGCCTGCCAATCATATGCACAAGGCGAGTCAAGTCGGAATGGCATGAGGGTGTGCGTGTAAATGGGACGATGAAGCACGCGGATGAAGAAAAGGCTATTCAGACGTGGAGACGTGACTTTTTTCATCTTTAATGAAATGAGGAGAAAGGGGTAATGTTGACGAGGTGAGAGGTCTCGGTGTTGCGAAATGATGCCCTATCGAGCAACGCTGCGTCCGCTTAAAGCGGTCGAGCGCAGACCGACTGGGCGGTATGCGAGATGAGGACGGACGCATTGAAACGAGGCAAGAAACGAGACGGAGAGGCCGGAATTTTGACGTCTGCTAGTTGGGGTGTAGATGTATACCGCACCGGCGAGTATGCGTGTGTGTCAATATGTGTAAGCAGAGACGTGTTGCAAAGATATTGCCCGCCTCATGCATACATGGCCTGCTTCTATGGGAAGAGGAGGAAATTCCGGATCTAGTGCTCTTTTCTTCTCTTTTCAAAAAAAAAAAAAAAAAAATTGACACATTGTCGAGAGGGGTGTGGTCGACAAAGGAGCCCATCGCACATACGGACTTCGTCACATGAGCTGGCCAAGAGGGTCATGTGAGTCCACCGAAGCATTCCCTGACGGGGCTGAGTTATTCTTTTCCTTTGTTTGAAAAAAAAAAAAAACATCAGAGTATTCTTCTCCGCAACGTTGTTACTCGATCTTAGACATTTTGTGTGTGTGGAGAGAGATGGAGGACGCGGGAGGCTAAGAAGGGAAAAAAGCGCTGATGTCTAAGCCATATGTTGTTGAAGGTTGGAGGGTTGTGGCCAAACTGACGTGTGCAAAAAAGTATCGGTACATGCATGATTTCCAAGGCCCACATGTCCATTATTTTAGTCTTTGATTCAATTGTCGTCAAATTTTATATCCCTAGATTGTGGTAACAGTTGGCATGTTTTGCTGTCATCGGGCGTGACTAGCGGAGACGATATGTCATCAAACTGGGCAAACACGTTTTTGCAAAGAAAACAAACTACTAAATCCTCCTCTTTTGGTATTCTCCCACTACTTACTTACAAGGGCGTGTGAATACTTTTCGAAAAAGAAAGAGAAATAAGAATAAACATAAATTAATTAAAATGCATGGCTTTTGTTCCTTGCTCCCTGATAAAGAGACGTAAAAACCCGACGATAGAAGCTTGTCCGACGTAAATGCACAAATGGGCCATGCATGCATGCACAGCCACACACTATTGCGTCTCCCGATCACCAGCTGACCTCGTCACACGCATCGCATGAGGCTCTTTTTCTTTAATGCTTGCATTTTTTTTGAGACCTGCGTGCATGTGTCGCCAGACAAGGGTCTTGCCGATCCGTACAATGACGTAGGTTTTTCTTTTTCTCTATTTTTCTCTATACTGGTTTTCTTTACCCACCGCCACTTAGTTGTGCTCGAATGAGCGTATCCTGTGGGGGGGGTTGAGCAAAAGTGTAGTTTAACATACGGTGCGACAAGATAAAGTAGCACAAATAAATAGAACTGAATAGTTATTGAAAAATAAAAAAAAACCCAGCAAACTCCTTGCGCCACAATCTTACAGAACACCCCCGCAAGTTGACGACAGTTGTCATTCTCTGCCTCCAAGGTCCCATATTTACCTTTGTTGTTCCTCTCTTTATCTTTAGAAAAGAAATAAATGCCCAAGCATCTTCAATTCTCGGCATCGCCGCTGTCGATGCCAGCAGTTGTCGTCACCACACAGCACGACCAGGTAAGGGCTGCTGGGGTTGTTGGGTGAGGCTGTGTACTTTTTGTGGCTCGGGCTGCCTCCCCACTCGCAGATTTTGCCTTTTTTTTTAGCCGCGATGCCGTTTCTTTTACCAGGGTTACTCGCCGCCTTTTTTCTTTTACATGTCAAACCCGAGAAAAATAGGCGACGTGTCTATTTTTAAAAAAACTACTCGATTTTGTCCTGGGTGATATTTCTCCGATTGACGCGGCGTGGCGGTCTGCCACAATTTCATTGTTTCTATTCTGGGAAACATGCTAGCTCCACACTTTTTCAAGATCGTTACGATTGAGATGGCCATCCTTGGCGTGAGTCTTTTTTTGATTTTACTCCCATATCAGCTGCCGATATGGTGATTCAACCGAACCACGCAAGTGAATTCAGGAGACCATTTTCCATGACTTGAGACATCGGTGATTCGTCAACATGCTCACTCATACAACTGTCCACATGGCATCAAACGTTTCAAAGCTATCACGTACTCAAATACAATATACAAAATCGCCACTCCGCTGCAAATGCACGCCTTTTTCTTCCCCCAAGACTCACGTCACTCCTATGACATTGTACACTCGACATCTGGTTACCCCACCCCCAACCCTCTGTTATTACGCCGACAGCTCGTCCGCCAGCTGTCGCGAAATGTAGTCTGAGATCGCCAAAATCGTGACCATCGGATTCACGCCGCTCGCGCTGGGAAGCACACTCCCATCCGCGACATACAGATTCTCGCAGCCCCAAACCTTGCCCTTGGGGTCCACGACACCGCCGCTCTTCTTGGCGCTCATGCGGCACGAGCCCATCTGGTGCGCCGACAGGTAGCTAACCTCGCCGCCGGCCTTGCTGCCCACGTCGCGCAGATGCTTGAGCCACTTTGCAAACGTAGGATCCGTGAACTCCGGGTCCGTGCCGTCCTGGTAGTTCTTTTGTGCGACCGCGTCGCCGTCGCGAGCCACGACAAATGGTCGCACGTTGGGAATGGTCGGGTACAATGCCGTCGCGCCCATGACGTACATGAGCTTGGCAATAGCCTCGACGCCGTCTAGGCTGTGCTCGGCATCAAACGACGACACGTCGTAGTCAATGACGGGCACGCCTGTGACGGGATCGGCGATGATTCGCCCCGGGTCGCGGTCGCGTGTAATGGAGATGACGGTGTGCAGTTGCTTCATGCGCGCGACGCAGAGCTTAGAGTCGAAGCCATCCTCGAACGGCTGGATGGCAAAGAGAACATATGGCTATCACAATGTTAGCCCGGGCTATTCGTCCATGCGCGTGAGAGTACGTACCAACATAGCCATGGTCTCAAGCTTGACGCCGTGGCCTTTTTTGTCCAGATTTTGGAACTCCCCATTGTAAGCTGTGATGATGCCGCCCTCCCACTGGGGCTCAAGCTCGTTGAAGTGACCAACGAGGAAGGCAGCAGGGTGCAGGTACAAGTTGCGCCCAACTTGGGGGTTCTACAGCGGGTTAGCATAGTACTACTGGAGACTGAGAAAAAGGAATGAGACTGACCTTGACGCCGCTCTTTTGCAATAGCGTCGGACTCCAGAGCGAGCCGGCCGATAGGAGCACCTTCTTTGCCTTGATCAAAACCTTGCGCTGGCGACGCGTCTCTGGCAAACTGTGCACCGTGCCGTCATCGCTGCGGGCCGTCCACACACCCTCGACACCCGTGGCCGTCACGCCGTCGGCGGCAAAGACGACACGGTCCACCCGGAAGCCTTCAATGAACTCCGCGCCCGCATCGGCCGCGTCAGGGAGGTAGGCGACCGCGGGGCCTCTCTTCTCATTGGCGCTGCAGCCGAGATGACATCGGCCGCAGTAGTGCTCGGCGCCACCCGTATTTTGATCACAGACGTTGCTGTGCCAGCCGAGCTTCTTGGAGCCATGGAGGACGACTTCATTTTGGTGGTTGTGGCGAATGGCAGTCTGGTTGGCCCCGAGGGAAGTCCACACGCGGTCGATGCAGTCATCAAATTCGGACGAGCCAAACAGCGGCAGGCCGGCATTGACCCATTCCTTGCGAACATAGTCCTGCGGCTTCAAGCACACGCTCCAGTTGACGGTACCGCCGCCACCCCACGTCTCGCCAGCGGCGACGGAAATGGCGGAGCTCTTGGAGATGACGAGGCCGTTGTTCTCGTAGATATGCTTGTTGCTGACCTGACTGAGGGGAAAGCTTTCAGGCGCAAAGTGATAGCCCTTATCCGCAACGAGCACGCGATGGCCGGCCTCGGCCAAGTTCTTGGCTGAGACGGCGCCACCGCAGCCGGAGCCGACAATGATAACGTCAGTTTCAATGGTGTGCGTGCTTGTACCATCCGGCACCTGGATAAACTTGAAATCGAAGCCGTCTTTGCGCTCCCAATTTTTGGGCAACGCTTCGAATCCTCCCAAGTCGTTGATGTAGCGGCTCGATGCGCCGAGAGACTTGCGCGTCAGCGCATTCATGGACTTTAGAACGATGCGCAGCGGTAAGAGCCGCGATGATCGCCAGTTTATGAGAATCTGCTGGCGAACGGCAAGAGGTTGCCTTACAAAGGGTGTCCAGCGGCCGGTGAGTAGCAGACTGCCGTAGCGGGTGCTGCGAGGAAGAAAGATTAGCTCAACGTTTGGATGCTAGGTGAGGTCGGGGACACGGGGACTGACTTGAGCAGGCTCATAAACTTGGCGAGCTCCATGCGTAGAGCAGCCGAGGCGATGGAGTGCTGCATCTCGCGGCGAAAGGCGGGCTCGTCGACGACGCGAAAGGCGAGCCACTCGAGAAGCTTTTGCTGGGGCGGCGGGTTGGTCAGGCCAGCGAGGGTCTCGTCGACGGTGGCGTAAAACTTCTTGTCCGGGATGCCGAGCTGGCGCATGGGGTCCTGGACCTTTGTCTGGGGCACGACGGCCGGGACAATGGCCTCGCTTATGGAGAAGAAGGTGGCCCATTCCGCGTCGGTCATGAAGGAGATATCGGGCAGGTCCTTGTCGAGGACGGGCTTGTAACCGTCGGCGTAGACCATGTTGTCGATGGCGGCGGCGGCGGGTGTGTAAATGGTAGAGTCCTCGAGCAGGACTGATTCCGCCATGATTGGGGCTTGTTCGAGAAGAGAGATGGCAGTGTCAGGACGTGGGAGAAGTTGTTGACGTTGAGAATGTGAGAGAAGACGGATGCGGAAAGCCAAGACGGCAAGTAGCCAACAACCAGGCTAAATCGGTGATACACGGGAGACTTTCGTGTTACTTAGACGCACAGGACTGCATCAATTTAAAGCCTGTGGTAGTAGAGCAGAACAGCAAGAACAACCTCGCAATTGAGAATCTGTATCATGAAATAGGAAGAGAGATTTAGGTGAGATCAATGAAAGGAGAGTCTCGAGCAACTCAAAAAGTTGGGGAAGGCGGACGGGACCAAGCAGCCTTGGGCCCTTGGCTTTTGTGGGGGATGGACGGGCCCCATTTGGCGACTTGCGCAACGCTATTTTGCACACCGGAAAGCCTGGGCGGGCCGACCGGTTGCACCTGCTGCCAGAGAGGCCCGTTTGCTGGACGGACCGGCGGGCCAACTCTGCCTTGATAGATTGGAGCGAGCAAACGGCCAGCAAACGCAAGTATCATATAATACAAGCATCAAGTAGTAATAATCTATAATAAAAGGTTCCAATCATTTCACTCTTTTTTATTTTCTTCTCTTTCTTCACTTGTTTCTTTCAGTGTACTTTTTCCGTTCGCGTTCTCAAATTGCATCACATGTCCTTCTGCACAACCACAACCGACAGCCATCCCGCACCTCCAACACACAACTAACTCACATGCGCCGAGGAAGACAAAATGAACTAATTATCCAGACTAGGTTCTCAAAATCAATGAGTGCAAACCATCAGCTCATCTTTGAAAATTCCCAACAGAAAAAGAAGACGTTCGCCACCGCAGTCCCTTTCGATTCTGCACTGAACATGGCCTGAGGAGACCCTGGCCCGCCCTCGGCAACGACGTCAACTTTAACCGCCACAACGAACGGACATGGCGGCGCAACTCGCGGTTTGACACCACACCACACTGCACCACACCGCACACTTCCTGCGGCTCAATGCCGGACATGATTTACACATGATTTACACATGATTTTTCATCATTCCCTGAATCCCATCACGTCCACGTTGGTGGTTAACTTAGTTGTAGAAGCGATCATAGCGAAGAGCAGGGGTTCCCCTCCATCTGTGGCGTATCATCGTTAGCTCGTATCGTCGTGTTTGCAAGTCGTCCTAAGCCGCTCTTTCCCACTAATAAATACATGCATGAAAACAAGTGGCTACTGGAATACTGGGTACAGCTGCAGCTACATGGTTGCTATAACAGATTACCACGATGCAAGACCCAGATATGTAGTGCCCATGTAACTTGACTAACCCTTAGCTACGATTCCTTCTACCCCGCGTTGCCACCGAGAGCCAGGCAGGGTCGTTGACTGAGAGGGGCAAGGGTCTGTGCCATGCCATTCTTCTGCACGGCCACACGCTCGCAAAGTTACAATCATCGAAAAACTAACTTGGTCTTGGTTGCATGAAGAAAGCATCACAGACGGCAACCGAAACTAGTAAAAAAGAAATGAAATGAGAAATGACAAAAAGGTCTGCCGCAGCGAGGACTCGAACCTCGGTTTCCAGTGGTTCGCGGTGTTGTAAACTCCACAAACTAGTGTCCTGACCCCTAGACGACTGTGGCCATTTTTTTGAAGTGGCTACTATTAGACTATATGTAGCCCAGGCAATCTGAGTGTCATCAAGGCTAGTGAATGTTTGCCCGCGATTGTGTATTAGGAGTAGGCTATGCCTGTCTGTTTGTTCCGTCTCGAATTCTTTCTGACTGGTAATATGCCGATGAAAGATTTGTAATTTCAAGCATGACAGTTTGTGATGACACGGGTTGCTATCGACCCTCAATGTGCAGCTGTCGTACATGTACCACCAAACCGAACATGCAGCATCACACGCAAACACTGACACAATACAGAAAGTCTCGTCTTCCTTACAGCCGCCTTACCAGACAGCCATATTTGATTTTAAACCTGCCAGGCTATATACCTCCACAATCGATCAGTCTACAGGTAAAGATCAACAGGCAACGCATATACATGTCGAGTTGTATTTCACTACCAACGCTCTATCCCTACCCCAGCCATGCATTTCTCCTCCTCCTCGATTCATGCGCGTCGTCCTTCACCGACTTGCTTGTGCCATTGCCCTGAGAGCCTCGCACAAAACGCCAAAAGCCAAGACAGTTAAAAAAAAATAAGCAAGTATCCGTAATGCCTCCGTTCCAACAGCAACCGCCACCGAGCAACGCGCTTCGTGCGCACACCATTTGCTCGGTGATGGGCAAATCTGTATAAAATATATATATGTAAAAGAGAAAAAAGAATTCATCCCACTTCCTTGAATGCATTGTTACATCCGTGTGCGGTCGTGTGCATCGCGCAAACAGGACTGGAACCTTGCGCTGGACACGACTGCCCGATCACATTAATCCATCTGGTATCATTTTGGCCGGCGATAATGTACAGATGCGCGTCTTGGCGCGCTCAAACCATCTCCAAATGGCTAGTTGATTTGCCATGGCGAGTGCAATGCTCCAGCATCGCGGGCCATGGTGACGAAGTAATAATGAAACCTGCGCGACAAGGCTAGCTCAGCCGCGAGGCGTTCCTCAGCTCGTGGCGTCGGCAGCAGGCAAGGGGGGACTCGAAGGGTTGGATCCCTTGTTCCTTCTAAAGAAAGGAAAATCCTTCATCCTGAATCTGCTAGTCCTTTTGCGAAGAGACTTGCCTTCTGCCCTACCAATGCTTCCTGAATTAGAAATTGACTCGCTCATGTCTTGCTCTGGCGGGCCATCCCTGCTCTGTGGAGGGTCGCTTTGTGGGCCCGGCGGCGTAACGTTGAACGAGGGCAACCCGACGGTGTGGTCCATTGAGTCGTTGCTAACGATGCTTGTTCCTTGTGTGCTGGGCGACAGGTTGGCCTTTCCTGTAGCGCTGGTGGCTTGAGATGCCCAGTCGCCGGTCAAAGCTCCGGAAACACTGCCATCGGTGGTCTCGCTGCAGCGCTGTCTCGTAGCCAGACTCGTTTTGCCGTCAGCACCGCTGTCATCTCTTGGCCGTACGTGAAAAGGATCGCTATCAGCAAAGTCACGCACAGCATCAAAAGCCGACGAGGTGCCGTTCAAGTGTCTGTAGACATCATCTTCCGATTGAGCGGGGTTGTAGAAATTTCGCACCGTGTTGTGCATGTTTTGCGCAGCGGCTGTAGCATCGGCGCTGCTTTCCTCTGCCGGCTCAAGCTGCTCACTGCTAGAGAGCTCGGCAGCATGAGTCACAGTTGAATCGGAGCCCTCGGTCCGTTGCGACGTTGCGACGACACCTTGTGCGTTCTCGTCACTATCTGCGACAACCCAGCTTCTCGTCTTCGGCGAAAAAGTTCCTTCACGCAGCAATTTTCGTCGCTCAATTTCGTCATTGGCCTGCCTCAACTTTTCATCGTGGACCTTCTGTTCGAAAATTTTCCTGTTGGTTTCCAACTCGTCCACGGCATATATGAGGGAAGGCATGATGTCAGCAACGCCTTGAAACAGAGGGATGGCAAACATGTTCATGAAACCGAGCTGGGCATTCGATAGCGACAGCAAGTCTCTCTTAGGCTCGGCGATGAGCGAAGACTTGATACCGAGCTCACCCTCCATAGATGCTTGCCGCGAAAACTCTTCAACCAAGATGTGCATCCATTTGACAGCGGCATCGTGATGCCTGGCTACGTTGCTGATATCGGCGCACTTGATGATGAGCGAGCAAGCCAAGGCCTTGTGCTCTTCCAGCTGACGGCCGTTCCAACCTTCGGAGCTATTGTTGTCGTGAAGCTTTTCCTGCAAATCACCAAGCTTCTTCATGTAGTCGAAATGAAGGCCCATGTCGGTGGCCAGAATAGAGCTAATCATGAGGGCACGCATGCCTCTATCCTCAAAGGCAGCGGGCCAGTATCTGCGGAGAATTTGTGCATAGGCTGCGCAGTGGAATGATTCAAGCACGGAGCGATCATTGTAGAGCTGGGCGAGTGGGGCATTCAAAGTAGCGAGGAAACCGTTGTTTACGCCGGGATGGCCGACGTCATGGCCAATAGCGGTGATGAGTAAGGTCAAGGCATCAAACGGGGTCAAAAGTGACGCAATGGGTGATTTTGGAACAGGCGTCGTAGGAGCTCGAGGAGGGTAGCTTGCCAAAGCACCCACATTGACAAGAAAGTGAAAGGTTGCTTGGAGTACATCAACGACGTGGCGGAAGTTGTGATATGGTACAAAACTGTTGTAAGCGGTACGACATGCGACAAGAAACTTGACGAGTTGGTCTAATCATTTGGTTAGTTTGTCATTGCCCCTCATTCTGAAACGGCTCAGACGCCTCGACCGTAAGGCTTAGTCCAAGAAAAGCCGTGATGGAAAACTTACCAGCGGGAAGGCACCAACGTTCGAGTTCGGGCATGGAGAGTGCGTGCTGAAACATGAACATGGCGGCAACGAGCAATTCATCGTCAGTAAATGAGTTGGCGCAGAAATGCCACTTGGCGACGGCGGAAGCAATGTCAGCTTGTCGTTGAGTAGAGACGGAGACATAGGCGGGGGCAGTGTTGTCGTCGTCGGGGGCCATGCGACAGATGCCCTTCATGAGGTTGGAGACCATAGCCTCACGCAGGTAGGCAAAAGGCTGCTGATCGGTGACACCGACCCAGGAGCGTTTACGGCCATGAGTAATTTCGAGAAGTTGCTGTTGCTCGCGAGCAGCGTCCCGATGCGCCTTGTAAGCGCAAATCTCGAGTGTAGTGATGCACTTTGAGCTGAGAGGGCTGATGATGACATCAACGGCGCCAAGATCGAGGCACTTTCCGATGAGCGAACGATGAGCCGCGAGAGTATTGAGAGGAACCGGGGAGAGAATGTCGGTGGCACCGTCCGTCATTTGCTCGCGTGTCTGATGCGAAGTTTGCTCGGGGTAGGAGATGACGGGGATGGGAATGACGCGCTTGGCCATGCAACGCAAGTGCGATTCGGTGATGATTTGCTGGAGAAGTTTAAGACCGTAGACTTCCTCATCCGGTGCGCGAACTTGAGAGGACTGAGCGGGCTCGGTTGTGGTAGCTAGAGAAGGCCAGATGGGCGAAGAAGGACGTATTTGCTCATTGTGAGGCGTGTCTATTAATACAATGGTGGGAGGCATGGAACAGACGCTGTCCTCTTTTTGAAGGGTGAGAAGATGTTGAAGACAGGCAGAACCTGTAGAGCACACGTATACTGCCAAGAGGGGTTAGCAAGAAAGCGTTGCGAAAAATGCAATGAGACGGGTAAGGGAGAAAAGGGCAAATCGAGCCGTACCATGGTCAAAAGCATCTAGAAGAGGATTTATGTCGCGCCGAACATGATCGGGAAATTCGTCGTCGGAGTCGTCTCGAGATTGATCGTCGGAAGGAGCGGGAACAGAGCGATTGCAAGCGACGGAGCGATTGACGTAAATGACATGGCAGGCGGTGCTATCCATGGTGGCAACGGGAGGCTACCAGTCTCGCGACCGGAGCACGTCAACCGTTTGGAGGGGGGCGAGGATGCGAATGCGTAGAGACCCCCCTTTGCGGCGCGGTATTGGCAGAGAGCCAGTCGAAGTCGGAGAGAAGAGAGGGTGGAGAGAAGAAGAAATTGTCGAAGGACGTCAATCAGCGAGACAAATCGAGGCAATGCGCGGTCGCGGGTGGAAAACGAGGGCGATGGTGGGCGCGGCGGAAAAATCGCGGAACAGGGGGTGTGATGCGAGAGAAGAGAGCGTGAACGAGGGCAAGAAGCCCGGATTTTCAGTAGCGGGGGTGGAAGTGAACAGTAGGCGACTGAAGCGGGAGATGATGCGAGCGAGCGTGTGCGTGAACGGTAGACGAGTTGGTTGGTCAAGGCTGAGTTTGCTTTTCGACAAGGGCAACGACTCGGCTTGGGGTGGCTTGGTTTGGTTTGGATGGGGACTGTACCGGCAGCGTGGTAGATGTTGGCGACAAGGCTGTGCGATGGAAAGCCAAGGGCGAAACCCGAGAGGCAGACGGGTAATTTTCTTTTCTGTCCCTCTATTCCAGTTCCTACTTTTGATTCTGCGACGCGGCAACTGTGGCGTGCTTCCTGGGGTGGGAAGAAGCTGGATCGACGAGGCAGGGCACGGCGACACGAAAAGAGCGAGAGAGGAGCCGTTGAGAAAAACGATTTGGCGTCTCAGCGCAAAAGGGCGTGAAAAGGTGGAGAAGGAGCGCAAAGGCGAGAGCCATAAAGTGGATTTTGGGGGGCGATAGAAAAAAAGAAAAGGGCAGAGAAGCCGGGAGCGGTCGAGTCAGATATGAGGGTTTCCTGTGGTGTGGAAAGTCTAAGCAGGCACGGCAGGGTCGGGGACGCCGCGCGGACTGGTTAGCGCATTGGGTGGACGATGGGAGCGGCGAGGACGAGGCGCGAAATGTGGTGGTGCAGTAGTGGTGGCGGTGGTGATTGTGGTGGTGGTGGTAAGGTGGTTGAGGGTGGCGATTAGTTAGACGTGGCGAATTATCATCGGTATTGGCAGCTGGGGAAGGAGGTGGTGAGCTTATGGGTCAGGATCGTATCATAGCGACGATGATGGACAAACAAAGAGAAATGATGAGATGGAGAGAGAGACAGATGATTGTGATGATGGTGATGATGGCAAACGGCGGGCAGCCGGCCTGGCTGGGGAGGAGGGAGGGCGGGGGTGGGCTAGGCTAGGTACGAGGAAGACTTTATCGTACGGCAGTGATTAGGTAGTTAGGTATAGGGTTAATTTAGGTAGCGGTTGCAACCTCTATTTACATTTGTTGTTTGGATATTAGATATTAATTGATGTGTTAAGTGATGTGCAGGTTGTTGGGCGCAACATCTGCCATGAGGGCCATGAGGCCTGTGCAGGCGGGAGCTGCGAGCATGTGGCCAGGTGGCCAGGTGGCTGATTGCCAAAGTGGGCAGGCAACCTAGACACAAGACAGAAACGAAGCATGCCAAAAGAGCGACAAGAGTGCATGAAAAGACCGAGAAGAAGAAGAACCTAGGGAAAGGGAAAAGGGAACAAAAACCCCAGGCCAAAAGGGTTGCAGGTGCATGCAGGTGGCTTACAGGGAAGGGCAAGGAGAAGGGGGGCAAATGGCAATGAGCCCACTGAGCCAAGAGTGTACAGAACGAGGTACAGAAGGATTGGAAGGTTGGAAGCTCACACGGAAGCGTTACAGAAGCATCAGAAGCCCAGGAGCGTTCTTTTTTGGTGGGCTGACGCTGGAATTCGGCGTCCAATCAGTGGGCAGCCCCAAGGGGGGGGGGGGAGCGCCACAGGTAAAGGGAGAGAGGGGGGGAGGGGCTGAAGGGGGGCTTGATCTGCTTCTCGACTCAAATGATGCGGGCATTGCCACTCGATAAAGCATCGATGCATTCATGTCGCTAAAGATTGACAAAAAAAGATTAGGAGAGAAAATTTGAGAAGAAGACCCCTTTTGCCGGACGGGATATCTATTGTCAACATCAAAATCAATACACAAAAGGAAATCTGGAACAGTGGCGGGATATTGAAGCAAACAATCCGTTTAAGTGTGGCGCTGTCATTGGGAGCGTCATTAATCAGCGGTGGTTGAGGCCCAGCGACCAGCGAGCCCCGAACAGTGACACAAGAGATCCACCCAATTCACTAAAAAGCAACCTGCCAACTGCCAGTTGCTTAATAACTGCTCAAGCGGGGAAAAGAAACACGGCTCGACGGCCAACGACCACACCCTACTGGTACGCAAATACCACAACAACCACACCTGACGCATCACGCATCACGCATCAGAGCGGAGAATCAAATGACAATGGACACCGAATGGAAGCCTTCTCCAGTTCTTCTTTTTCTTCCATCGGGCTATCGCCTGCCTGCATGAAAAAAAAAAACACAAGCGCCCCCTACCTAACTAGTCCTACCTTAGTCTTTTACCACGCCCGTGTACCAAATGTTCTAGCCTTTTTCCCCCCCCGCCGGCAGAACCAAAACCCTGAGACGCCCATCGCTTTTTTTAGCGCCCGTCCCCCTCCCCCCTGTCCTCTCCTATTCAGGGATCAGAACCCGGGCACTTGGCTCGCAGTTATCCCTTAGCACCCTATCCAGACGAGGGAAAGATGAGCATTCGAAAAAAAAAAAAGTGATCTATCATGACGGGAACAAGAAATAAAAACGGACAAAATTGTCTCTAAGAATGGCATGGGACACAAACCTCATGCACTGCTACATGCACGCAGCACAGTGCATTATCCGAGCACACAACTCCTGCGACATGCAGCTGCCGATTTACATGTTGCATTTCTCGAAAACGTACCGTACCATGTGCCGTCCGCAGAATAGTTAGAGGTACTCATGTAACACAAGGAAAATCAGGCAAAAAAAAAAAGAAAACAAGATCAGGCTGATCAGTCTCACAACGCATCATCACCACACACAATTCGTATTGCATTGCTTTCCGTGACAGCTCGCCTAATGCTCCCCTCTCAAGGCCTGGTTTGGCCTTGACCTCCGCAAGGTTGCAGTCGCTTCCCGATCCGTACCTAAAACCACGAATTCCAAAAACCACAAAAGCGCCCCCCCGTCCTACATGGGAGCCCGACTGCCCGGGTCGAGGGCGCCCACCCGCTCCGATGGCATGTTGTGCGAAAACTCAACCCGTCTCGGGTAGGATGGATGTCCCAGTAATCTGCCACAACATGCCCTTGGCAGTATTTAAATCGGGTTGACCGATATAGTTAGATGCACACACATCTTCACATCTTTTTTTCGATCTGTTTAACCTTTCTTTTTTAATGTATAATGTCTAGCCTAACCACTCGAAAACCAGCAATATGCCGACAACCCCCCCCCCCCCCCGGTCTCCTCGGCATTTTGCCATTCCATCACCCCATAGGTATCCTTGTCTAGAAGCCTTCTAGAAACCGCACTAAGAGACTAACAGAGGGGCCCGTGACCCTGAACATTGGGTAAACTGGGTAATATGTTTTGTATTCTAGCAAGTAGCTGTCAGGGTTACAGCCTGATGACTAGGGTTGATTAGTAACCGAAATGCTTTGTATCAATCTGCATAAATGATCTTTAATAGTGAGGTTACATGATACTTGTTTTATAGCTATACTATCTTGTGGTATTAAGAACCTACAAACAGTTCTTTTATATTGTTGTATTCCTAGTGGGTGCCTTTTCTGAGCCAGGGCTATTAGCGTCAAGAATGACCCAGCAGGGAGAATACTTTCGCGCTTTTGACTGTGTTATTAGTTATTAGGTGGAGAGTTTCATTATCAGCTACCTCCGAACCAAACCATCCCGACCCATTGTCAAAGATACCTTTCCTGGAAATCCATGCCAAGAAAGACGCTACAGTATATCAGTTCTTTCCCGAGCTAACATGAAAGAGGGAGGGGAAACGGAGAACTGCATTCGGCAAACGCGCATAACTGCCATCTGCCGATCCCTTCTATCGTTTCTTTCCATCACACATTCCAACCAAGTTCCGGCCTCTTCGGCTCAATCTGCCACCAGATCTTTCGTCCTTGTCCTTTTCAAACTTCGCGCGCGCCTTCAGTGGATACGAAATCGTCACCATTAAGATCAGCACTCGTTTCACCCGTGCAGCCAGCTACATAATCAACTTGCCAGTTCAATTCCAGTCAACACTCCATTGCGCCCCAACAACCACAGAGCATCTGCATTCAAGTCACGCCACTTGTTGATAGTTCATTTGTGTGTAATCTATTTCTTTCTGCTTTTGCTTCGCATTATTGCGAAGCTGTAAAAAAAGCGTCCCTTGTACCCTCCAGTATCCATGCTATAAATAAATGTCTTGTGTAGATAAAAAAAAACGACCACTGCTGGTTCCGTCGGGAAACGGCTGACATGCCGATGCAGTCGTCTGGCATAATTCTCGTTTGCATCATAACGAGCCTCGTTTCAGAACTCATCTCCTCTCCATCTACTCCGTCTTGGGATTCTCTACATGAATCTCCGTCACCTCATCCTCTCCGCTGCTCTCCCTTTCTCCCTCGACAATCGCCACCGCGTCCCCTCCTGCACCACCCATCACAATGTCTGCTGCGTGGATGCCTTGTGCGTTGCCATCATCTTCCGACGAGTCAAACTGGGCCACGTCGCTGGCCGCGCCCGTTGACTGCTCGGCTTCGGCATCAAGGTCCCCAAAGCTCCAGGTCTGTGCAAGAAGTGATTCGCCGCGGACTGTGCTCAACTTGCTGGGCCCCGATTCAGGCTCTGTGCTTGCCCGTCTGCCCCCCAGCGTGCGACCTCCGTACGCCGGCAGCTCTTCGTCTGCCTGGCCGCTGGTGTCGTCATCACCTCCGCTTTCCTCTTCCGTCGTGTCCTTTTCGTACTTGTCCAAAATGGATGCGAATCTAGGCCCACCCAGGTGGCTAGACGCACGACGCTTGTAAAAGAGCAAATACGCGGCGCTGGTAATAATAGACTGGGTGTTCGACACAACGCTGACGGAAGAGTCATTGTAGTTGTACCACTTGCCGTCCACAAAGTTTTTGGCGTATGCAGTGTAGTGACCGCCACCAAGTCCACCGTAATGGTTATCAACCGCGATTAAGTCGTACACTTCCGACTTGCCATCTTCCTTCTCAACGACGCGAGCCGTCAAATCGAGCTCCTCAATCGGAAAGTCAACAAGCACATCCAACTTATCTCGTCGCCACCCACTGCTGCTAAATCGCTTCAGGTGAGTGACGAGGTAGTTTGGTGTCTTCCACAGATCAAACTTTTTACTAGCGCGCCGATGTTCTTTGCAACGTGGGCAGTACCACATGTCATGCTCCGAGAGAATCTCGGCTCGCTCAAATTCGTCTAGACATTCGTCCAGAGTGATACCCTTCGACTTGCGGTTTTGACGGCGGCGCTGGTTGGCCTTGATGACGGGATCCTGGACCGTTTCCAGGTTTAGAAAAGTTCGAGTGCCGTCGGCCGCATTTCCTCTGCCGTTTCCACCAAACACCATTTCCCAAGCGTCGTCGTTCCAATCGACCGCGATACCCTCGTGCAGGCGGATAAGTGGCCCCCCATCGGCAACGGTCGGGGGTATTGGCTGGGGGTTCACCTGCGGGAGACCATTCGCCTTACTGGTTCGAATCTGCTTGTCTCGTCGCTTGCTGCCGCGTTTGCCAGAGAATTTAGAACCTCTGAACTTCTTTCGGCCGCCAGTTCTCGAATTGCGGCCGCTACGGTCGAAGCGACGAGGGAGATCTTCCTCGCTCGACTCTTCGGCCATACGGGTCCTGATAGACTCTTCCTTGGATTCTTCTTCGTGGCTACTTGCGTCTTTCTCCTCTTCGTTTTCATTCTCATTCTCATTATCGTTCTCAGAGCCGTCAGCATTCGAACTCTCGGGGGTGGTGCTTTCCTCATCCTTGTCTGATGTTTGTGGTATGCGGTCTGCGAGACTAGGCAGTGTTCTGTTATTATCAGTAGATTGCCAACCTGTGGGAATGGCGCCATCACTGGAACTGGCGAAATATTTCAGCTCGAACAGGTTCTGCAGTGAAGGGCTGAGCCGTGTCGAGGCATCCATGAATTTGGGTCGCGTCTTATTGAAACGCTTGAGTAGAGTTGGTTGCCCTGTCGGCACAGCGCCAGCGTTCTTCATTGTAACATCAACCATGTCGTCTTCGCCCTCGACTGACTTTGCAGCCACCTTGCCCTCGCCAGAAGAATCGGCGTCTGACGTGGCCACCATGTCCGTGTCAGCGCCATCAACTTCGTCATTGTTGGTCAGTTTGCTCCATGTGGAATATGTAGCAATCTTTTCAAGAATTTTGCGTTGAATAATGTCATAGCTAGATGCCTCCTCCCTGGTCACAGAGATGAAGTGAGGGGGCGAAATTCCTTCTGGACGACCATAAATGCTGGGCCGACGATGTATAACGGTAACAACCAACCTCTCCGTGAGGGAATCGTCAAGATCTTCGGGTTGCGAATTAATGTCCAACAGTGAGCGATATTTCTGCGGCTGGGCCTTTAATGGCCAATTGGTGGGCACGAACTCTAGCTCGTGGAATGTCGACACGTCGGACTGCGTAATCTCCTCAGAGACGTCGTGGGTGTTATCGTAAATTTTAAAGAACCTATCCTTGAACTCCTCTGCACCCATCATTCGTTCAACCGGTACGCCAGTGCGGATGGAAAGATATGCCTTCAACGCTTCGATGGAGCTATGCTTAGGCAGCTCGACGTCAATATTAACGGGCACATCGTTCAAAGGGAAGAACTTGACAGTCGTGCTCCACACAGTCTCTAACGGAAGAGGAAGCGGCAAGGTGTTGAAAGGATCAAACGTGATGCTGATCTTGTCACACTCGGGACACTTGAGCGTCGATTTGTACATTCCGGTGAACAGGTCGGCAATGACCGAATCGTCTCTTTGTCTCGTGATATCCCAGACCTTGGCAGCCAATTCGCGAATCGCTTCAGGGTCGTTTATCATCTCGTCGGTAGAATCAGGCTTTTCGATATAAGGCTTGTTCCCGACCCGACTCAGATCCTCCTGAAGAGCATCTAGCAAGAATCCAAGGAATTCTTGCGAGTCTTGTTGGCCCCAACCAGAGAAGGTGCTTCGGCACCTGCCGACAGTGCTCTTGAAGTCTCGTGGACTAACAGAGCCACGGCCTTCTCGGTAAATGTCGTGTAGGAGACCGCCATAGGCCATGGCCATTTTACCGTTGTAACCTAGTAGGTTGGTCTTGTTAATCTCGTCCAAATACGCGTCAGTGATGAAGAATTTGGTCAATTCTTCGACACTCCGAAAACACTGCAGCGCCGAATTCATGTAGCAAGTGTTGCCTAGGTTCTGCAGACCAACAACGCCAACACTACGGCCAAGCTTCTTCTTCCTGCCTGCCCGGCCTCTGGTCATGATGCCCTCTGGACCCGGGCTACTTCTAGCGCTGTTCGGTTTCGACGACAGTGCAGAGCGATTAGGCACACCCTTCTGGAACTTTGTCTGCTGGCCTTTGTATGTGCTCACTGACAACTTATTGTCAATCAATTCGTCCAATACCAACGTCGCATCTGTGACAAGGTTCCTCATATGTAGTTGAACGGTACTGTTGTATTTGCCGTCTGTTTGATCACGTATCTGGGATAACTGCTCCCGGTAGTTACGAGACTCTGCAAAAGTGGGCAAGTCAATCAGCAAATTTGGCCAAAAACCATCGGAATTGTACGTTTCGCGACCGGGAGAATCTGGCGGTGTCAATGCCGATCCCATTTCCTGAGTAGCTGGGATAGCGGTAGGAGCGGGGTGCCGGACTTGATGAAGGAGAACCTTGCGGTCAAGAGGAATGCCAGCCCAGGTTTTGATATCTTTCAAAAATGCCTGAAGATTTGCACCTCGACTTCTGGGGGCGACAATTGCGGGAGGGTTATTGGCCTTGAGAGCCTGCTCAATGGGCAATGGGCTGAGCTCAGACCAGAGGCGGTGAACGCGGAAAATCGGGGGGTGAAATTCGTAAAGAATGTTGTCCTCGGGACCGTCAGCCGAGTTTATAGCAGAGCGAAGAATGGGCTCTTGTCCTTCCGCGAGGCCATACCACTCCACGACGAGTTTCCAGGCATCCTCTGGGAAGAGAACAAAAGTTTCCTGGTCGGCACCGGGTTTAAGGCGGGTAAAAGAAGCCCCTGAAGGGTCCTTGATGACTTGGTCGATGATATCCGAGTTGTCGACTGGGCCGAGCTTCATATTCTCGTGCTCCTTCTTGGCCTTGGTTGGTCCTTGCAACGAGCGTGCTTGATCGACCCATGCTCTAGAGACAAGATAGGCCTTGTTGCCTTCTTGAATGGGTGCATCCTCAAAAGCTTTGAGGAGTGTCTCAATAATTTTAACCTGCTCAGCAAGAGGAGGAAGGTCTTTTTGCAATCGAGGTTAGCCAAAATGTACTGCACCCGGGTCACGCCACACAATGTGGTTTGCAAGCTTACTCTGTGCTGGGCCATCAACACCGTCTTGGGGGTCGACGCTCATGGCCCGCGGGGCATCCGTCGAGTCAGCCGCGGTGGCGGATAACGAAGCATCCATGTTAACGTCTTCGCCATTGCAGGAGGCGGCGGCGTCGTTTTCGGGATCCATGCTGGAGGCACGACGCTTGAGCGGGGAGGAGGAGCGGTGGGGCAACTCAGCGTCACCATTCATGATAGCCCTTCTGGACACTCGAAAGGGGGACTGGCTTCTGGGCAGCGAGGGCACCCGCGCAGAACCAGTCTCGTCAATCGCCCGTTCGCCGTCGAGGGACAGGTCAGCATAGGCCGACGCACAGGTGGACGAGGCAGCCGAGGAGGCGTACTCGGGGAGCGACGTCGGAGCACGGCCGTTGTTGTTGGTAGCGCCGCCGTTGTTGGTGCTGCTGTTGGTGGCGGCGGCGACAACGGGCAGGAGGCGGCCAGGAAGGCTCGAGGCCGGCTGTAGCGAGTCAGATCGCAGATAGACGGGGTTACTCCCGCGGTGGACGCTACGGTCGTCGTCTATCGACGTGGCGGTGGTGAAGGAGTAGGCGACGTCGTCGTGGTGTTCGTCGGCAGGCTCGCAGGAGGGTATGGCGATGTCGGGGGAAGGCGAGCAGTCGGGCTGCTGCGGCCGAGTCGAGGACGGTCTGGCGGCGAGCTTTCTCTTCTTTGAGGAAGACGTTTTGAAGGTGAGCTGCGTGATGGGCAGCTCGGGTTATTAATCAACAAGTGGCAGTGGTGTTGCGTTGACGACGGCGGTGATGCAGAGTGCAGGAACGAGGCAACAAGCGTGCATGAAGAAGAGCCTAGTGTCGTGACGTAGGTTTTCTTCTTAATTTTGCTCCAAAACCCCGAAAACGATGATGACCCTCTTCTTGATTATTGTCAATTTTTTTCTGCCAAAAAAAAAAAAAGAGAGAACTCTGACCAGGGCTTCAAATATCGGGGCCAGTGGAGGGAGACGAAGCACCTGGAGTGGGTCTTATAAAGGGCTCCTCGGAAAGGCTGTGGTGGGGAGGCTGCCAGGGGGGGACACCTGCACTTACTTATTCACCATAATACCTAGATTAGGGGAAGACGGAAAGAGCTGGCCCGCGAGAGTTCCCTAGTAACACGCATCATCTCTCCATCATGGATACTGAGTGTTTCTTTCCCCCGTCTTTGTCCATTCTTTAAATAGGGACTTTTGAATCACAAGTTGGCCCATAGCCGATTGGTAGAGCAGGGCGTCCCGTACTGTAATCTGATTACGCGCTGGCCTTGAAATTACCCGGTGCCACGGAATGTGTCATAATAGACAAGCTGTCCCGTCTCAGGCGGCATGCCAAACACCATTTCCCTGCCTCTTGCTATGCTCATCTATTGAACTATGTTGCCATGCACGCTGCGCAACATCTAGCCTCATCGTAGGGGAGGGGGCGCCGGCCGTTACCTGCTGGCATAATGGCATTACAGGTGGTGTCATCTACCAAGACCCTCACCAGCAACGGGCGCATCGTTTCAGCGTCGATCCTCATCGACAAAACCATGTCCAGGTTTGTATTAATGCTATATCGAGACGTCTAATCCGTAGTGCCCATCTTAATCCTACCTCAGCACTCGAAAGTAGCCCAGTTGCCCAGCACGATTATTGACACCGGTGGGCCAGCAAAGGCAGTAGTACGGATACCCTGCCTATAATCATATCGCAACCTACAAGTACCTTGCTCTTTTGAGTTTATCCCCGCCACTGCTGGCAAACAAATGCCCCATCAAATACGCCATCATCACTTGTGGCTCACATCGCAACGAAAGTGTCTCACTGCAGCAATTGCCAAAAATGCATCAATCCATCATGTCTACATACATAGTACCGACAAAGTCACAAGGAATTTCTCATTCATTTCCCTCCACAATGTCCGTGTGGAAATTCGTAATCATCAGTTCTATATGTGATCGTATCATCATGGCCGCCGCCCCACCACGATACTTCCCCTTCTAAAGGCGTCCTGTCTGTGACGTCTTTCGCTTCTCCCTCATCACCGTCATAGCTTCGAGTCAATGTCCTCGAATTCGCTTAGCTGCTTCACTGGGCGCGCGCCTGAGCTTGCCAGCAGACCCGACTTGTACAAACGAACATCCTTAATCTCTTCTGCAGTGTCGACGGCGCACTCTCTGCCATTGGCCACCGCCTCGGCATCGTCCGCGGGATGCGCCTTCTGCACCAGGCCAAGCTCTTTGATCGACGCAATGATGCTATCCAAGTCTGCATCGGACGGGTTGTGCTTGGCTCGCAAATGCGCCTTGACCAGATCTAGGCTCTTGCGGTGCTCCTCTGGCACATCCGGAAAGCCGGCTTGGTTGAGTGCATTCACAACCTTGTTATCGCGCTCAACAGCGCCCCGCGCGTGTAAGTGTACCGAGATGCGGGCACGACTTGTCGAAGAAGGGTGAAGGTGCTTGTTGTAAAACTCAATCATTTCTGCCTTGGTGACGAGCTTTACCTCTGCGGCATCTAATTGAGCTGTGCGTAGTTGATTAGCCTAAATTCCAACATGGCAACCTTCATGAACACTTACATTGCTCAAAGTCGTAGTACTCCTTTGAGATTTGACTCCAGTGCCGAGCCGACTCCTGGTCCAGGTTTCGAAGTTTCTCTAGCCTCTTGTTGATCAAACTCCTCTTGTGGCTCTCAAATTCGGAGTCGGGCATCGTATCCAAAGTCAGACCGAACTGGATCAAAAAGGCCTCTACACGGCGATCCAGATACTCCGGCTCTCTTTCTGACTGAATTAAAAAACGTAACCCACAAGTCGTCGCAAAACTGCGCATGCCAGCAAACACGATATATCCAAGCTGCTCCTTGGTACGTAACTGATCGAAGGCAGGTTCGTGCATCAGTTGGTCGGCGAGCAACACTCTTGCGCGAGTCCTGCGATCAGCACGGTCCCCAATGGAGAAAGTAGTCTCGATACAGTGGTTGACATTAGCCGGGTCCTTCAACGTCTTGTTGTAGACGAGATTGGAGCCAGGTGGGATGATGAGTGATCGAATAATGGGCCACTGGTTGGGTGGCAGTATTCTTGATCTGAAAGAAGACGTCAAAAGATCAGTTGCTTTGATCGCATCCCCTCGGTACATGTTGCCATGAACATAAACCTCAATGTACATTTGAGCAAGCATCTGCCGCTGGAAGCTACGCACGTCATCAATGGTGATGTCCGGGAGTTCGGCAGCTAGCTCTTCAACGACGTAGTCACTCTCGGCGTGAAGCCAAGTCATATAGTCACCTACTTGCTGGTAGGATGATAGGAGTTGCCAATTGTCGTAACCGCGGGTTAGCCGCTCCTTTACGATATCAAAGCGATCCGCCTTGATCTCAATGTCTCGCATTGTTACCGCAGCCTGCTCCAGCAACACAGGAAGCTTATCATTATAACCCGAGACATCGAGGAATAGCCCACGCGAATCGAGTGATACATTGTACTGCAGGCCCGCAAGCTCAGCATCGTAAGAGTACTCTTCCAGGGCGTCACGGACCAGCTCTGCAAACAGCCGAGCTTTGACGCTATTTTCGGCCGTGGCGTGTATAATGGGGTTCTTCAGGCTGACAATGACACTGGCTTTGGGCACCCAGAAGGTGTCATCCTTTTTCCACCAAGTACGGGCCAGCTGGTCGTTGCGCAAAAGTCTGGGTGAGGTAGCCGGTTCTGCCACTTCCTTCTTTTCCACTTCAAGCTTATTAGGTATGAACTGGTTTTTGTGTGGCAGGTGAAGGGCCGATAGTCTTTCGGCCGCCGAAACCGAGGCGGCCTTGGTTAGCTCGGCCATGAGGTCATCGGGTATCCTGCTAGAAGTATATTCTGTGCCGTACCACTTCTCCTTCTTGTCCCATTTACCCGGGAATTTGCGAGAAACAATATTCATGCGTAGAGTTTCGGGACGGAGTAGCTCCAGGCATTTCGAAATTAATGTCGCGTCAAAGCGCCGTAAACGGCTGTGGCCGCTCAGCAACCATTCGCGAGGTAGAGGTTTTTGCATGACGGAGCTAATTTTGCTTGTGAAGCGACTGGCCGGTGTTTTCTGTTTGAATTTGAAGTCGACATCGGCCATCCCTTTTTGTTCTTGGAATATCCACTCTTGCGGCGGTGACTGACGCAGCAACGACACGTATTGGAAGAATATCTTGGCAATTTCGGGGTAATTTTTGAGACCCTGTGAGAAAGTAAGCAGCTGATTTTTCAAAAATAGCGAAAGCCAATTGCAAATCATATATACCTCTTCAGTTAGTCTTATTTGAACATCAAAGATACCTGGCGTGCCGGGGCAGACGGAGTATGCGCCTGCTGACAGACCATTGGCCCAGCCTTTGCTCTTGATGTAAGACATGATGCTGCCGGGCCCTTCATGTCCGATGAGGTGGGAAATATATTTGCTCGGCTGTGACTCGTACAGTTCCTCCTCATCAACGAATGGAAAGGCCAGATTCAGTTCCCTTGTGTCCATAACAGGCTTGGCAAACCACTGGATACCAACGTCGTTGGGTCTGAATGGAACCTCTTCAGTCCATCTGTTTTGAGGCAAGTTCTTGTTGACAATGGCGGAGAACAGTTGAACAGACCATTTTTGCAGGACGTCGAGGGATTCGCGACCAAGGACAACGAGCTTCATGCGGTTGGCTGAGTAGTGCTTGGCGTGGAAGTCGATGAATTTGTCGCGAACATTGATACCCTGTGATTCGGGGATGGTTTTGAGAACCTCAAAATTGCCGGTGGAGAAGTGGCAGTAGGGGTGCTTGGGATTTGAGAGCGACTTGTCCAGCTGTTGGAGACGCCAGGCATCGCTCTGCAGATTTTTCTTGTTCTCCGAATCGACCGCTCTTAGCTCCCTGTCGAGAGTGCTTGAGAGGAATAGAGGCTCGATAAAGAATTGTGCAAAGCGGTCCAAAGCACCTAGAAGAGGCGAAGGATTTGATTCTGTGGGTTCTTCATCGTTGGCGGGTTTGGCGTCGACGTCGAAGTAGTAGTTTGTCGAGGTGCCTGCTGTGTAGGCGTTCGAGCTACCTCCATTGGAGGAGAGATACTGGCCATACTCGTTTTCTACTGGAAACTTCTTGGTGCCCATGAAGAGGAGCTTGTATGCGATAAAATATTAGCACAAGATCTTGGATGAGTATTGGCGAGGGCCAATTGCCCATTAGGGAACTCACATGCTCGACGGCATGGGCCATGCCAGGCATGCCGTCTTCATCAGAGAAGCTACCGACATTGACGTCGAGTGCGGCGCTAGCCTTGTCGGTATCTGGATCGTGGACGAGAAGGGCCTCGAGGCCGTTGTCAAGGCGGACGACGCGATACTGCCTATCGTCGAGCGATGGTTTTTCGAGACGGTCGGTCAATACGGTAACCGAAGCGTGGCGGCCGAGCGCGGACGCCGGGTCCGGCACGGCTGAAGGGGGCATGGTGTGATGGCAGCAATGGACGTATCTCTGGATGAAGATTGATCGTGGACGCAGAGAGAGCACAGGAAGAGGAAGAAGCAGGCGGCGTAAAGACAAGGCGGCGCTGCGGACCATTGATGGGCTGGTGATACGTCGAAAAACTGTCCCGCCGTGGGGGAATGGGATTTGTGACGACTTAATAAAGAGCGGTCCAGATTTGTTCGGGGTCTGCGAGGGCGGCTGGTGGACAACAATGGACAGTGGAGTACTCTGTACCTTAGGCTGTAGCCTGCTGAGCGTTGACTGGCTGGCTGGGTTGGCTGATCTGGGCGCTTTGGCTGGCCTGGTGGCTGCTGTGGATGGTCTGTGATGGCCTGTGATGGCCTGTGTTGACGGGTCGGCACCCAGAAACTGCCCATTTTGTTACAAACTTCAGTACCTTGGTTTTATCAGTGAATCAGACCTGGTCCTGATCACTGCAGTTTATTCTCTCGAGTCCTGCCTAGCCATGTTACAGTTGAAGAAGGAAAGGGTTACGGCGGGCGGGTCTACAGCCAGTGGACCACTGCATGATTTACCTTGTACTTGTACCTACCTATTTACCGGTCTACTGGGGTACATGAAGGCTGGAACCAAACAGGTACAAACACAGGTGCCTCCAGTACATGTTACGTACAACGTCCCGACGGCTGTTCAAGGCTGCGGCGGCTAAACAAATCTCGACACATGCAAACGCATGATACTCGGATTAACAACCGACCTCGTCCTCGTGTTCCTCACTCCCATAACAGGGCCTCACTCGCGTGATTCGCCCCCCCATCACCGTCCTTTCCTCCTCTATCACAGTCAGTCAATCTCCGTACCCATCCGTCCATGCCCGCACACCTTTTTGCCTGGCCCGCCCCGATGCTGCAGAGTCTGCGTCTGTGTGGCAGATCCGTCTCCCACCGTAGTGGAGTTCTATTCGCTCGGTATTGGCCTAGTCGACAATGGCAGTTGACCGTCCTCGACCGACGACAGGCTAGATCTGGCGCCCTTACTAGGCCCGACCCTGTCTGCCGGGAACCCCCTTGCTTGGCCTGTTGGGCTGAAGTGCATGAGACGGCGCGTGCAGTTGACGACTTATTCGTACCAAGTGCCTGGCACTGTTGATGCCGGCGCAGGAAGGGGGGACCCAAGGAATGTAACGCAAGCCCTTGGCCGGCCGCCACCGGATAGCGCTGGCTGATTCCCCAGCTGACTGCGGCCACCCACCGTCACAACCGCTGCCAAAAAATTATGCAAAAGGAAAAAAAGTATCCGTAAAGACAAAAAACTCCGCCACATGTCCCTGTGGAATCAGAGTTGACTCGTGCAGCGCGGCGCCCTTGCATCCCGCGTCTTCCAAAGCTCCCAGGGCGGCCCCGTTCCCATCTGCATCCGCTGGTCAAGCTCTTCATCCGTTATCTGCACCCTCCTCGCCCGCTTGTCAGCACAGCTTTGGCTTCCGTCTTTGTCTGGAACCTATCGCGGCCTACGCTACGTTACTTGGTCGCACCGCCGAAGCGCCGCGCTCAACTGCTTACAGTGACCGGCCAGTTGTCCACAAAAGACGCTAGCCCCCCCCCCCCAAAACTTCTAGCCTCCCGAGCGACTGGGTTGTCCCCCTTCGCTGCCGTGGATAGGGCATGTGCGTGCACGCAAACTACACAGGAATGGTGTAATGGCACGATACGAATAGTCACCCGTTCAGTGGTGAAGCTTCAATTTACGTATGTCTGTCTCTGGGCAATGTTCCTCACGGAGCATTTTGCAAACAGTACCCGTACAAACCGGATAGACGACGTTCGGTCCTCCGTCAAACATGTGCCACCAGCTCAAGACCGTTGTCAATATCCGTACATAGGCCCGGGACTGTCCCAGTAGGGTAATTAACTCATGCTGGCCACCTTCTTATCCCGGAGCGTGCTGGCTGCAGATGGAGGGTGCGCCCCAGACGCCACGCAGCATCTCACGGTCACAATGGCAGGTGTCAAGAAACGCCTCAGAAAAAGTCTCCATTCCCTTGTTCATTACTATAATAATCATTCAAAACTTGTACAAAAGTCATACTACTAAAAAGCATGCATCCCGACAAAATATAACGCCGTTTCTTCGCTAATCACTAATTGAGCTCATGATTGGCCTTGATCGCCTTGCTCTTCCCAGTATCCAGAATTACAGCTGGGTCGTCCTCGTCACCATCGCGGGAGACTTTGTTACCTCGTTTCGTAGTAATAGTGGCCCTATTCTGTTAGTGTCCGAATGCTTGTTACTGATCATGGCGCATACTTGTCTTCTTTAACATCAAGCACCTTGCCCTTTGGCTGCCCGTTGCCCCAGTTCCAGCTAACAGTTTCACCTGGCTTCGGTCCCTTGCCTGATTTCGAATTACTCTTCCCTTCATCTTCATCATCGTTTTCTGATTCGTTGCCAGCCTCCTTGTTGGAGGTTGCTTTCTCATCCTTGGAACCTGCCATGCATGACTGTTAGCAAAGCTCCTTTTTTTTAACCCCAACATCGTGTCACTGACCTGATCGAGTTCGATGCTTCTTGGGCTCTGGAGCACCGTCCTTGTCTTGCCTCTTGCGCTTATCGCCGGCTTCATTCTCCGACTGTTCATCATCCTCTTCCTTGCCATTGTTGCTAGATTTCTTGTTCTGCGTCTCGTTCTTCTTGCTGGACTTGGCACCATTTTCCTTGTTGCCGTTGCTGGACTTGCCATTGACCTCCTCGTTTTCCTTTTTGCCGTTGCTGGACTTGCCATTGACATCCTTGTTCGTGTTTTTATCGTCGCTCTTCTTGAGTGGATCGTGCCCCCAATTCTTGAGCGAAATGTACGATTTCGTCTTCTTGGCCTCGCTTTCCGACTTGTTCTTTAAAGACTCCTCCTCCTGAGCCAAGTGGCGCTTGCAGTAAGCCACCACTTTTCTCATGTGACTAATCTGATCATCAGTATACTTTTCAGCATCTTTTGACGGATTGGATTTCAAGATTTCTGTAATCTTTCGACCGCTTTCATGGCCAACTGTCTCCCCATCATCGTCTTCCTTGGGCCAGCCAGCTTCACCAGAGTCTTTGGACTTGAGCCATGTCTCTAGCTCCGATGCTGACATGTTGACAAGCTTGTTGAAATCCTGGATGACTTCCTTGGAGTCCTTCATTGTGAATATTTTGTTTTTCGAATGTATTTATCAATTGAGTTGTTGATGATTCTCTGTCATCATCACAAAAATTTGGTCATGTTCCTCTTCGTTGCCCTTTTATACTAGAACATGGCACAAACTCTAATACGTCATCCACGCGTTATACATCGATCTACCCCGAGCAACAGGAGGCCATTGAAAACAGCGATCGAAACCCCTTGCAGAAACGATTTTGCAAATATGGGTCAAGTTTAGATATTTGAACCCAAAACGACCATTTTCAGCTCTGCTACAACTGAACGGTTTGTGGGCAGATGAGCCAGCTGCTGTGAGGTGCTTACGTGCACAGAGCGGACGTCAAAGTGACTGGTGTCGTCATACGCGCATCAAAAAAAAATCCAGCAAAGACAACGAGACTACAGATTAGTCTAAACCTGATTTAAGCCGCTCGATATTCCGGCTCCAAAAATTACGACGGCACTCACGCTGCAAAGCAGAGTCATGGCGACAGAACCAGGCCCATGTTGGTGATGCGGCATCTGAGACACTACCAACGCAATTCACCCTGCACAGTGGTAGCATATATCGGTGAGAGTGAATGCCCTGCGATGATCGGCTTCCAGACGCTCTTTCCTTCCACGGACCTTCCGTTTCTGGCTCGTCACATATCACATTAACTTACCGATGGGCGATCGACTTTTGCGTATGCCTGGCCAGCATTGGTGGCGGGCTGTCGAGCTTGCGTTGGCAGCGCAGCATGCTGCTCTTTGCCGTCACGTCTTTTTTCTGCTCCAACAAGGGCCTAGTAAAGCAGTAGTCAAGTAGAATTCCTTGATGGCATTACAAAGTTCAGAGATTGTGTGTGCTAGTTGCGGAACATGCGCGCACCGGTCGGTGTAAATTGTCGGCCGGCGGCACGATGCCAACCCTGCCAACTCTAGACGCATGACGGCCCAACCACCCCCAGAGTGGATTATAAATCGCCGACGAGGTTTTCAGAAGCGAGTAACCTGGTGTGAGGCCGTGCATTGGAGGATCCAAGGTACTCTGTACTCAGTGAACCAGGTGTACTGTTGCTTTTAACCTTGCCTCTTTACCAACTTGTCCCGCCGGCCAACCCGGCACTATGAATATAGCCTGGCAGGCGAATAAAGATGGACCGATAAGGAAGCTCTGATTGCGGGAAATGAGAATCCGAATCACGTACCAAGTCACCGACATATTCTGCCGAGGCGGTGTCCTGAGCCAACCTCATTCCTGCGTTCATCGTGGCATTTAGGAACAACGACGAGAATTGACTGCTGTCAACACCAAGTGGTAACAGCGAACCGCACGGCACGCAGTACCTGTAGCTTCACGACGATTGATTTTTTGTTCTTGCGAAATGTATTCTTCATTTGTTGGACATGTCTAATACCGTATTATTCTTCAAGCCATATAACCGATCCGGGTATTTCAAGCAGGCGATTGCGCCCTGCGCATCACTGGTGCCTGTACCTCACCCCCCGAAGCTTCCTGTTTATTTCCGTTTTTTTCCTTATTTTCCCTTCTTGACCTGGTGCGTTATCATCACCTTCATGCATGCACTCACCCTTACCAAAGTGTTCCCAACGCCTGTACGCGACCCGAGCTTGCAGCCTCGGGTCAGCCGTACCAAATCAAAATTCCGTGTTTGCATATGATGTAGCCAGCGCATGTAACATGTAAACCTCGCAAAAATTCCTCAAGTATATACCAACCCCCTCATGAATGTTCTTCACAGCACCAACTAGGGCTGCTGGCTCGCTCCCTCCGCCAGCCTCTCTGCTTCCATGTCCTCCATCATCAGCCGCTCGGTAAAGCTTCGCGGCGTGCCGCTGAAGCCATCTCGCATAAAACTGGCTCTGTAGCTGCTCAGGTCGGCAGCGTCCATTCCGCTGGTGCCGTCGAGGCCGCCGACAAACGAGTTGAAGTTGCCAATGGCGGCAGCCTTGGCGTGTATCTCGGGGCTCTTGACGACGGGCATCATAATGGAGCGGCCCTTATAGGAGCCGACCGAGCCGACGTGGAAGCGCGGCGTGGTCGGCGTGGTTGGCTCCGCAGCAGCCTCGGGCTTGGGGGCTGGTACAGGGGCGGGAGCAACGGTAGTAGGCGAGCGCAAAGCGTCGAGCCCCTTGCTAGAGACGAATGTGGCGGCTGCAATTTCGTCGTCGCTCTGTTCGTCTGCATCTCCAGGCACCAGTGACCGTTGTGACAACGGTGTTGTACCGCCCTCATCTTCGAACTGGAACATGTCGTCGTCATCATCGCGAATCTCAGTGTCATTGACAGGCGCCTTGTTCTTTGGTGGCTCTTTGCTGAAAATGGTGGGTGAGTTGCCAAGGAGAGTCGTAGCTTTCGCCGTCTTCATGTCCAGTACGTCATCATCCACTACCTTTTCATCGTTGCTGAGCTCCTGCCGATGCTGCTGCATACCGAGTTCGAAGGTTGCTGGTTGTTTGTCCAAGTCTACTTGTCGCATTTTATTCGTGACGAGATCCGAGTCGGGATTGACCACAGTCCATACCGTGTCCTCCTCCAATGGCTCTCTTGATAGAGCCCTAAGAGCATCCGATGAAGAGATCTTTTTGGGCGGCGGCCCCAAGTCATCGGCATCCTGTCCCAGGACCGAGTCGGCTGTGACGTTTTCGCTCTCCCACAGTGGTGATGCTGACTGCGGCATCATGGTATCGCTGGGTTGCGGAGACGCAGTGGGCAAGAATTCAGCACCCATAAACTCAAACCGGACACGTCTAGGGCTCTGCGGCGTTTTATTTATGCTGGAAGATCTTCGCAAGGCACTGCGGGGAGCTTTGTTGTCGCTCTTGTCAGATGATGCTGACGAGTTTGCTTCTTCGGCCGTCACAGCATCACCCGGCTCACTTTCACTCGGCCGATGCCGAGGTGGTGTCGTTAACCGACCGGGGAACCGGTCCTCGTCGGCAGATTGGCCCATGCTGGTTATTGTCGCGCTGTCGCGGGTGCTGCTCATGGTAACAGGCAACCACTCGGTGTCGGCGGTGTTTGGGCCACCGGCCGCGACAGAGGACTCGTGAGAATTAAGGGCAGGATTCTTCGTTGTAGGCGAGAGTGGTGTGTCGTCCGTAGGTATGTGAGAAGCTGCCAGTAGCGGGAGGTAGCTTGGCGTAAAAAGACCCTGTAGCTCGTGATCACGGTCGCGTGGGCTGCCTGGAGCATCTGGATAGCCGGAGTCGGCAGATTTCGGCGCTAGCGATAGAGTTTGGAACGTGGTCGTCGTCTCGGGGTTATTGTCGCTGAATGGCGGCCGAGGTGACTCAGCTGGCACAGCGGCGGGCTCAGGCGCTGCTGGTGCTGGTGCTGGCGCTGGCGGCGGCGACGCGGGCGGATGCGGAGGAAGGCTCGGACGCAGCACTTTATAATCATCAAGAGTAGCTCCGAGCTTATCTCGCATGCTTGCAACGGCGGATGGGGCAGCCATGCGCGTCAATTCAAGGTAGTGCCGGTGGAATTCGCCTAATAAATTCTGGCGGTGCGTCTCGAGCCTGGCTTCAAGATTGTCGAGTTTGCTGCGGAGACAGTCGTGCAAGCTGGCCGCGTCCATTGCTGCTAATAGGCTGCACTGGACGGATGAATGGCTGTGCTCGTTTCCAGCGGGGGCATGACGCAGGAATGTGCCAAGCAGATTCAGTCAGAAGACTGGGCAGGACCGTCTTATTTTTGGATGAGTCCGAGGCGGACAATGTCATGCAAGTGATTCCGCAGTGTCATAGATATTACTGTGGTGGCTTTTGCTTCCATTTACCGCCATTTGCCCAGTGCTGTCCATCCCACCTTGTCACGTGGGTCGCCACAGGTGCTGCCAGGATTCATGCTTGCATTTTTACATCATTCAGGTCTTTACTTTTCTGGGGTAATGATTGCCTTTCTTTATTGGCTGCCGATTGGTATCTCAATTGCTGATCGGCCAAGGTTGCGCTGCCTTGCGCCTCACCATCATTTGTCTCACGTTCACCGGGAGAACCCTAGCAGTGGGTTAACAAACAACGACGCTACCAGATTGTATTGCCATTGTCTGAGCGGACTGATAATATGTTGTTTTGATTTTTTTATCTCCTTCTGTCTTGCTGCTATATTCTTCGTTTTCATCCTCTTTTCAGGTTTTCTTTTATCTATTTTGGCTACTCTTGATACTATATCCTTTCCACCTTGTTAGGTTCCTGACAGCCACAGTAGGACACATTCTGTGTCACACCCCGCCATTTTGTTAATGACAGAGCTACATAAACCTAGTATTTCCATAATTATTCGAAAGCTACATATTTTCAACGTTGTCGTACTCAATTCTCGAAGAAAGGACTTTGGTAACCATCGCCACACATGGCTGCGTGCTAAAACACATGGCCGAAAAGTATTATAGCATAGCATACTACAACGGCAGAAATTACTTTCATATTCTTAAATTTAGCAAACCAATCTCAAGCATAAATATTAAACCTCAATGCTTTGCCACCATCCTCTTTCATCGCGGAATTGACGTGTTGCGCTTATACTGTTAGTCGCACGGGTCGTTACCCAGTGACCCACCGCTTACCGCTTTGGGATCAGAGCTTGCGCCGGTGCTTTGCTGTCCAGCCGCTGCAACTTTCTTGTGCGTCCAACAGCAAGCACCATCCTTTGACAGCTGCAGCTCGGAAGCTTTTTGGAAGAAGCTGCGTCAGATTTGCCAGTTCATTCTTTCCAATTCACCACCCATCTGTCAATCATGTCAACAATACCGGCTGGCAGCATCCAGTCGGGCAACCCGCCCATCCTTCCCCTCGATTTCAACGCAAACCAGCCGCCCAAGGTCCGGGTCTATCCCTTCTCCAACTACACCTTTGGCGTCAAGGAGACACAGCCCGAGGAGGACCCTTCCGTCATTGCGAGGTTAAAGCGCCTCGAGGAGCACTTCGCCGAGCATGGCATGCGCCGCACGTGCGAGGGCATTCTCGTCTGCCACGAGCATAACCAGCCACACATTCTTATGCTGCAAATCGCAAACGCCTTCTTTAAGCTACCCGGCGATTATCTGCGGCCAGAGGATGGGGAGATTCAGGGGTTCAAGACGCGTCTCGACGAGCGCCTAGCACCCGTCGGCCGCCTCGGCGAGGACGAAAAAGACGGCGAGTGGGAGATTGGCGAGTGTCTGTCGCAATGGTGGCGGCCCAACTTTGAGACCTTTATGTACCCTTTTGTGCCTGCTCACGTCACACGGCCTAAGGAGTGCAAAAAGATCTACCTCATTCACCTGCCCAAGAATAGTATGAACCCACCTCCGCAGCTGTCGTCTTCTCCAACCTACGTTTGCTAACATTTTGCGCAGAGGTGCTTAGCGTGCCCAAGAATATGAAACTGCTCGCTGTACCTTTATTCGAGCTCTACGAGAACAGCGGCCGATACGGACCCCAGCTTTCTGCGATCCCCCACATTCTGAGCCGCTACAATTTTGAATTTGTCGACGAGGATGGCAAGGTTGTCAAGGTCACACCCGGAGACGGTCCCAAGGCCGGAGACCAGCCGCCTAAGACTAAGGTCCTTGTTGGCGACGACACAGACATGAAAGAGGAAAATGGGACAAATTAATGCGGTCAAATTCATTGGCGACGGTGTTGGGCGTATGTATGATTCATTTTGGTCATTTTCCAAGCAAGCCGGTCTGCATGTGACTTGGGCATATCGCCTTTTGATATAGGCATTGCTAGATGAGGTGGAAATCTAAACCTTTTTTTTACCGTTTATAAGCGCCATGGATGATCACTCTTGAAACTGAAGCGTAGGTCGATTGCAAGACTAGCTCAGGCTAATTAACCCTCTCGCTGCGACTGGTAGCAACGACATGATTTATTAACTAACGACTTCTATCAGTCAAAGCATTCAATACCCGAATACACCATTTGGCCAAGTATAATCGAATTTTGACTGAAGAGCGGTCTTACGCGCTGTCTGTAATGTACTGCTCAAATAACGCCATGACCACAGCGTTGCATCAACGCGGCGGCCTCGCCACATCTTAACGAGGGCGAGCGGAAGAGGCAATGGACTGAAGCTGTCACACGTATCCTACGCTTCAGCACTCTTGACTTTCTTTGACAAAACCTGAAACCAGAAGAACGCAAATCCAGAATAACATTTATAATCCAGGGGTCTCTGTCGATGAATAGCCATCTAAGGGGCCGGTGGGAAAGCATGCGTGCACAGCCTCAGTATGAGCGATCACTATCACAAGGCGTGTTGATTGCAGGTTGCGGGACCATGAGCAAAGATGTCCACTTTTATAATGCTGCCTGTCGTTTGTGATTATTTCGAAATCGCAGAGTCAAGATATCCTAAAAGTTTGATTATAACGCATGTCATCATGACAGCTGAGGTTTTGATCAAGCGCGCTCTTACACTAGTGACGTGATCGTTGTACGAATAATGAGACTGAAAACGGGCTTCGTAATGTTCCCGTATTCTTGCTGCAGTACTGGATGTCTGATCAGTACGTCGTTTCAAAACTGCCTATCAGACAGTACTGATGATAGTCACAGCCTCGCGTTCTTAGGCCCGACGAATTGAGTATATACAATATAATATTTTCGGTCTTGGTGAATTAGCTGGTACAAAACTCTCCAGCAAAACATTGACTGCCTTGCCAATACATATACTCTCCGCTCCTTTCACAAAAAAAAAACAGATTCTAAGTTATGACAAAGGATAGGACGTTGCTGGGAGCGATTCGAGGTGCTTGCGGTGGTGCTCGTTGGCCTACTCATCGTTAGCTCACAGAAAGCGACGTATTTGAAGAAGTATCACGCACGAAAGGTGTGCCGCAGTAGTTGCAGGTAGCGATCTCGGCCTTGTCGGTATTGATGTAGATTTTAGGGTGACCGTGATTGACGCTACCGCCACCGTCGCAAACAACCACTCGGTCGTGAGTCCATCTAACTGGCTGCTTGTGGACCATTTCCATCGCAGAGAGAGGTTGAGGCTACATCCGAATTAGTCTCCAGTAGACAATCCTTGCTAACCGATTGTCCCTTCGACATCAAAGAGAAACCGCCGAATCCGTACCTGAAGCTCGAAGTCTGTCTGCTCGAATCGGGGGCCAGTCATGGCAGTGGCTCGGGGTTTTTGGTTTCGGGACCAGACCTCCACGCGGTTGGGAGCCTGGCCAATCTCGACGGCTACGGAGTCGCCGGTCTTAGTAGGAGTCTTGAACTCGTCCCGTGTCGTCGGCACTGTTGATTCGAGCTGACGGGCGGAAACGCTAAAGGCGCGACGGGAGACGCGCATGCTGCGCGCGAGGCCGCCGAGTATTCTCAATTGCGGTGCGGCCATGATTGCGGGAATCGTATGTCAAGCGGGGAAATGTTTAAGTCCAATTGCAGGATCGCCAGCCCGGAGTCGTCTCGAGATTCCACTTGGTGAGAGCAGGTTGACGAACTAGAGTGAGTGGATTAGAGATCGCGGAAAAAGCTATTTTCCGTCGCGCGCCTCCGGTCCATAGAGCTCCAGAAAAAAAGTTATGGACGCCTGGAAATTGGCGACTAATTTTCCACTGACACGCAAGAAATCGGGCATTGCGAAACCGCTTTTCGACGAAATTACCGATTAAAGTTCTCACCGTCTATTTTTTAGGAACTTGTCTTCTGTGCAACTCGAGCTGCTAAAGCTCTTTCCCTCCATCATGGCGCCCGACACACCGAAGGGAGTCTCTTCGAGGCTGCTGACAATGAAATTCATGCAGAGGGCTATCGCATCAAACTCTACACCAGCGTCTCCAGATTCAGAAGCGAGCTCGGCGAAAAAGAGAAAATTAGACCATGGATCGCCTGCAGGTAGACTCAGCATGGACTTTGACCAAGCGTCTGTAGATGCTGCTATGCAGGCCCAAGAAGCGAAGCGCAAAGCGGCGCTTGAACAGCACGCGACTGGCGACACGCACTGGGTTCTGAACACAAAATTCGAGAAGTCGCTCACTGGGAAGCCTTCTAAAGTACCGCGCAAGATTGTCTACGTTGGCTATGGCGACATAGACTCTGAGAACGAGAGTGGCGACGGGGAAGACGTTGCCGCGAATGGGCGCACATCAACACACAAGCCTAAGCCAAAGAATGAGGTATGCTGTGACATTCAACCTGATCATCTCGCCATGTCAATCTAACGAAATGAGCAGAGCGCGCAAAACCCAAGCGACGACGAGTCTGGCGATGAATCTGGACAAGACTCGGACGACAGCGAGGAGTCGAAGCCCAGAAAACGCAAAGATACCGGCCCGCAGCGAGAGCAAAGTAGATCACGGTCCAAGTCGCGCACACGCCCAACCGCTGCAGAAGTGAAAGCCAAAGAACTGCGCGATAAGCGTAGGAAAAAAGAGGTGCGGCTGAACAAGATTACGTCAATTTCGGGAGCAGGCGACAGCCCGGCAAGCAACAAATCCATGACTTGCTATAACTGTCATCAACCTGGACACAGGGCTACTGACTGCTCACGACGCAAGTCTGGTGTACGTAGCAAATAATGGTATCGCAAGAGTGCCTTGTGATTGTCCATTTGTAAATGATACATCTACGGACAGAGCTTGTAGAGCGTCAGTAGCGCGCATAGTGAGCCTGACTGGTGCTCACACTGGATTTGCATGCAGGGACCCAGGGCAGCTGGACTGCCTTACGAATTATGACATAGAAATCGACCCTACACCGGGGAAAGATCAGTCTTTGAATTGGATTAATACAATTGCTCAAAAGGTCTTAGAAAGAGAATTATTATATTTAATATAGCATTTGATATACCTGAGAATGTATTGGTAGGCGTAGAATAGCAAGAATAACTTACTTGCTACATGTGTGGATCCGCGTACAATGTGCTAGGCCGGCCGGCTGGCTCTTGATTTTAGTGGCGTGAGAAGGATGGCTGCGACCTTTGCTCGACACCATTCCGGCGCAACAATATCGCCACACCCACGAGAACCCAGCTTCACTTGGAAAATCCTCGTACTATCATACTACAAAATGGCCGGTCTCAACTTGGAGGTGTTCAAGGTAGGAACAAAGCTCTTGCGCGGCCCTCGCGGCCCCTTGTTCCATCAGCGCTGACCTGGACGAATGCATCAGTTCGGCATATATGTCATGTTCCCCATTGGCATCATGTACTACTTTGGCACGAATCTCGACAACCGTTTCTCCGTACCCGACTTTTGGCCGCGGCCCGAAGAATGCAACAAGCTGCCGCGCGACCGCGACGAGCTCAAGATTGAGTACGAGCGCATGCTCGCCCGGCAGCGCTTCAAGCAAGCACGTTTCGAGGAGCGCGCCAAGGTTGAGGGGACCGCTGGCGCTGGAAATGACTCTTGATCTGGGATTGACTATGGGGGTGGTCTGCAAGTGTCGGAGGGCCATGGTTCCGGCTGCGCGGACAATGTAAGAATGTGTATGTATGATGGAACAGATGGAGATTGTTAAGATTTCCCATCTAGGACGGTGCATTGGGCGGCGTTTTTCAAATCAGGATGCAAATGACCCAAAGATTAGTATTAAAATTAAACCCGGAAATACTACAATAGTGTACAATAGTTGATTAGCGCTCTGCACGATATCAAACATCCAGATGCCTCTCTACAGCCTCCCATGCGTCTTCTGTGGCACGTCCTTGCTTGGCATTTGCGAAGATGGCCTTGACTTCCGAGTGCTCCCTTAACGTGGCAAGAAGAGAAGTCAGCGTAGCCGCAGCCTCGTCAGAATCCAGCTTCACCATGGTGTCCTCGTTGGGCGCCCAGACAATATCGGCGGCGAGCAGCTCGAGGTCAAACTTGGAGGCAAAGTCTTTGGCGATGGCCATGAGCATCGAGGGCTCCGTCCACAGCACGTAGCCGCCCTCGGCATTCTCCTCGACGTCTTGCGCGCCGTCGTGCTCGATGGCCTCGTCCAGCAGATCCGAAAGCGCAGCAGCGTCGTCCTTTGGTTTGAACACGGCCCGGCCGCGGCGGGTAAAATTGAACGCTGTCGAGCCGCTGACGCCCCCGGCCTTCTTCACGGCGAGCTTCAAATCTTGAAGCGTGCGCTGCTTGCTGTCCGTCTCAATGTCGACAATGAGGGCAATATCGGGCGGCAAGAGAAATTCCATGGTCATGGGCTCCAGCTTGGCGCCGGATGCCGATTTGCCCTGGCCGCTGGCGATGGCGCCTTCGATGAGTGCCTTTGGGATGCTGGCTGGTAATTAGGTCAGAGAGATTCAAGAACACTCCTTTCAGATGGTACCTTTATTTGCAGCCGCGATCGCATTGGCGAGCGCCGGATTATACTGAACATCGTCACCATACACTACTTAGTATTAGTACCAGTTGTAAGCCGGTAGTAGCAAGTGGCCACATACTTCTCGAGTACATTGTTATCAACTTTGTAAAAGCAGTTCGCTCAAGCATCTTCTTTTTATCTGTCACTGCCTTTATATGTTTCGTCTTGGACCATTTATTATGCCCTGCCTGTCTGGGCTGCGTCGTGGTCAAGTTTTGTCTGCACGCAGGGCAGATGCCGAGACGAGGGGCAGCAGTTGGGCGAGCTACAAGCTGTGCCAGCGGGCCAGCAAAACGTCTGGGGAACGTCATGGCGGCGATTCAAGGCCAAACGGGGCTGGTAAGCTAATTGAGCCTCTTCTGAGTAATGTATAAATGATGCAACATGTGAAATCCGTGATGGACAAATCCACGAACGGGTTAATGATCTTCCCCTAAGCCTTGAGGTCGCCCCGCCAGCTACTTGGTACAAAGTGCCCTCCAAAAAGGACTCCAAAAAAGGGAGCGAATCCACCAAAGCTCGTCACTGGTAGTGGCTGTCGCTGCCCCTGTGGTCCGCAGCATTTCGTCTGGACTTTTTGCTATCGACACACGACGACCTTTGACGCCACCTTGGGCAACTATATAGCCTTGTGCAGACTGCATTACTCTGCTCAACGGTTGAATGGCAGCGTCAGACCATGTCATCTAACGAGGAGCCCGAGGCTCTGCCCCCGGCCGCTGAGTCGCAACCCACGCCACCACTTGCTCCAACGCCCGCCGCCGAGGACAAGAAGAGCGACAACCCCGAGCTCGACCTTCACAAGCTCCAGTCTCTACCCGCGGAGCAGCAAGAGCTGTTTCTTCTCACATTCGTCACCGATTTAACGAAATATGTCCGCCAGCTCGACGCCGACGACTGCTCAGCGCAGCAGTTCTACCTCAAGAAGGAAATATTCCGCATCATCAACCTCGCTGCCCCTCAACCGTCGAGAGTAATACGCAACAACCTAGGACAGTGTCTCGCCCACGTCTTCACCCATGGCGACCGAAAGCTTCTTTTCGAGACAATCAACGACTTGGCGAGCGTCATCTCTGGCGCCAAGTCGAAATCCGACACGGAAACCCGCGCAAAGCATGCGGCCGTCGTCTGTCTGGGCGATGTGTATGCTGCTGCCGGAGACAGTGCAATCGGGCTGCACCAGCTCTGCTGCACGGCACTTGTCAAGCTCCTTAAATCTTCTTCCAATAACGCAGGTCTTCGTGCTGCCATCTTCACCGCTCTGGTCAAGATGACAGGCATCGTCGAGGGCTCCATGGACGAGAGCATTGCGCGTGACATTTGGAAGCAGGGCAGAAACCACGCCTCTAGCGACAAGGGCCCCCTGGTTGTTGTTGCAGCTTCACAGTGCCTTAAAGCCCTCTTGAAGCACACCACGTACTTTCGAAATTCATCCGACTTCGACAGGCTAGAAACGGCCATGTTTAAAGCTTTCGATTCATCCAGTTCCCAGGTTCGTCACGCTGCCGCCAGCTGTCTTGCTGAAGCGTATGCACATGGCTACTCCGAGTCGGCATCCAGCAAACCTACCAAGAATAAAAAGACGAATCCCAAGTTGAAACGCCAGTCCACACTCCCTGGTATGGTCGGCGACGATGACGAGATTCCTTCACGTACAGCCAGTCCTGCTCCAGGAGCGAAGCGTAAAGAGGATCTCGCCCTCTCACTTGGTGAAATACTGCGACAGCTGGCTGCTCAGTACGTGAAACCTACGACACCCAATCGCGCCCGAGCCGCCATAGGCGTGTGCTTCGGCAAGCTATTTCGCCGACTCGGCGAAAGTGTCGTTGAGCCAAACTATCTACTCATTGTCGATACGTTGACGACGGATATTCTGGGTAATACAAGCATTGCCAATAATCGCTATCGTCTCTTGATATCCCGCAGAATTATTGATACACTTCTTCACGACGTTATTGGCAACAAAATTCTAGGAGAATCGGGTCAAATCAAGATCGCCGAGGTTTTGATCGACAGTATACTGAAAAACTATTCTGCTGCCTTGCCCGAACGCTCTGAACCATCAAAGCAGACTCTCATCACTGCACTTCGCGCGGTGGCAGCTTTGATTCAGTCTCTGGGCTCCGCCACAAATAAGTTTGCCGAGTCGTGCCGCGATGGCTTGCTGCAAGTATTTCAGCACCCGAGTTACTCGGTTCAGGTGTTTGCCTCACAGTGTATGAAGGTTTTCACGGTAGCATGCCCTCAACAATTGTTACCCTGCCTCTCTGTCTGCATGAACAGCCTGACTAGGGAGCTTTCGCTTCTCGCCGGTGGGCGAAATTCCCAAAGGCGATGCATCGGCTTAGCGCATGGGTTGGCGGCAACTCTCAGCTCAAGCCCGTTGCGACCTCTTCACGGTTCACTGGATATTAATAGCCGTGTCCTGTCCATGGCGACCAATCTGCTCAAATCCTCGGGCCAATCCGAACTTCGAGTCTCGAGTACCCAGATTCAGGTAGCATGGATCTTGATCGGTGGCCTCATGTCTCTGGGGCCCAACTTTGTCAAGATTCATCTATCACAGCTTTTGCTGCTCTGGAAGAACGCACTGCCGAAGCCGCTAGCCAAGGATAATACTACATCGAGAAGTTTGCTCGAAGCTTCTTTCCTCACTCATGTGCGGGAGTGCGCTCTAGGCTCGATATTGGCGTTCCTCGAGTTTAACAACCGCTTGCTGACTGTGGATGTGTCTAAACGCATTGCCACTATGCTGCAAAGTACGACAGCCTTCCTAAAAACTCTCCCAAGCAAGAAAACCACCGAAGATATTTTGCAACGCTTAACACCTGCAATTCAACTACAAGATCTCGAGAAGATGGTTCAGCGTCGAGTGCTCCAATGCTACGTCAAACTGGTTAATCAAAGTCCTGCGGGCGGTAGTGAAGCTCTGCTGCAATCTAACCTGCTTACCCTTGCCATTTCTCTCTTCGCAGATCCGGACAACTACTCTGCGAACTCACTAAGCGCTTCTATTGCCAATGCCGCCGCCACCTACGAATCCATCTGGGATGTGGGCGACAATGATGGCTTTGGCCTGACTGGTCTTGTCTATGGGTTCAATGTCCGCAGCTTGCCCGGCCAACATGAATCCACTATTCAGGACGCATCCAAACCTGATTCACCCGAGGAAGTCATCGACAGCATCTTGCTATCACCCATTTGCGGCAGCTTGGAGCACGATGCGTCTGTGCTCTACATTGGTAGCCTGGACCTGAATGAAGCCAGGCCTGATCCCCCAGCCACGGAGGTCATCAATATGGCAATCCAACTATTTGCTTTTGCCTTTCCTCTCACACCGGGCAAGGTGCAAGAGAGTATTCTAGAACAGATTCGAACTTTCGGGTCCTCTGGTTCTCTTCAGCGCGATCTTGCAAGAAACGCAGCGATCAGCGTCAACGTTGCCACCGCAATCTTGGGCACCATGCGCGTGGCAACAAAAGAGACAAGTTCACCAGCTGGCAATGTCACCAATCCCGCCGTGGAAAAGCTACTGCAGGATATTGTTCGCGACTTCGTCATTGACCAAGATCAGTACCTGCGGAGTCTTGGATACGCTGCTACAGCCAGACTCTGCAACGTATATGGTAACGCATTCACAAATCATGAAATCAAGTACTTGGTAGACACCATTGTCAGTAACCGCGAACCTAGTGCACGGGCGGGCTGTGCCATGGCTCTTGGATCTATCCAGACCAAAGTGGGTGGTATGGCCGCTGGTTATCATCTGAAGACTATTTTGGGGATCCTCATGTCGCTCTGCAATGACCCTCACCCGATCGTTCACTATTGGGCTTTAGAGGCTTTATCTCTCGCCGCGGATGCCGCAGGCCTGAGCTTCTCCGGCTACGTTCCAGGTACTCTGGGAATGCTAGCTCAGTTGTTCGTCTCTGAAACGCATCACCCGGAGATTCCGTCTGCGATTACGATGGCCCTTGAAACAGAACTTTCAACGCCAGCAGCGATTGCACGATGCATTGATTCTCTGATCAATGTGCTGGGCCCTGACTTACAGGACTCAAAGAAATCAAGAGAACTTATTTTCACCTTGGTCCGCCAGTTCCAGGAATCCGACGACAAGCAGGTCGAGAATGCTGCCTTGATTTGCCTAGAGCACCTATCTCTATATGCGCCGGGGGAAATGCATTACTCAGACTACGTGCGGTTGCTTCAACGATACTTATCGTCTGAGCATGGCGAGCTACGTGACGCTGCTGTTGATGGCATTTATAATATGATGAAGCGTAATCCGCGCGATGTCTTGCGAGATGTTGAGACTGGGTTCGAGGAGAAACTGTGGCTACTGCTCGATACCACGCCCGAACACGACGGCATTAAGAACATTATTAGGAACTGGCTTCAACAGACGTGTCTACTTGAAACGAATGAGTGGTTGGATCGATTCCAGAGGGTTCTTCGACTGACACGTGTCAAAGAAAAGTATGAGGTGGCCGTGGCCAAGTCATCCGGGGGCGGGGTTGACTTGAACGACGAGGAGGTTGCCGGCTTCGCCGCCGCTGCTACAGAAACAACAAAAGATGGCAAGGATGCGAACTCTTCGACTGATGCCGAGCCTTTGCGCTGGCAAGTGACTACTTTTGCAATCTCTTGCATCGGAGACATGTTTGTCATGGTCGCCAAGGATGTGGCCTCGAACGGCGAATCGCCAGCTCAGACAGCACTCCAAAGCAAGATTGCCGAAGTTGTTCGCATGGCATTCTCCGCATCAACGTCTGGCGTGCTAGAGCTCCGCATTTGGGGATTAAAGATTATCGGGGCTGTGTTGAAAATGTTTGGCAAGACACCTGATCCCGATTTCGAAGAAGCGATGTTGCTTGAGCAATACCAAGCACAAATCAGTTCCGCCCTAACGCCAGCTTTTGCTGCCGACTCGTCTCCGGAGCTCGCTTCGGAAGCGGTCAATGTCTGCGCTAGCTTTATTTCCATCGGCATCGTTACCGATGTTGAGCGCATGGGCCGCATCTTGAAGACTCTCGTCAGCGCCTTGGAGAACTTTTCTTCTGACGATGAGAATGCGGGTATTGGCGATCTCAAGGGCTTGTCCTCTAATGCGCAAACCATGGTCAAAATTGCCGTATTTTCCGCGTGGGCTGAGCTTCAAGTCGCGAGCAGCGAGCAGAAATACCTGTTGGACGTTTTGAAACCACATATTGGCACGCTGACGCCGCTGTGGCTGGAGTCACTGCGCGAGTTTGCCCGGCTGCGGTTCGAGCCCGACATCTCCATGACTCTGGGACCCCCATCGCTGTCTGGGAGCCTGGACTCCATTTATGCTGCCCTTAATCGAGAGACGCTCCTAAAGTTCTATCAAGATGCGTGGCTGAAGCTTGTCGACGCCATTGCCTCTTTGATTGAACAGGACAGCGAGTTTGTTTTTGATGCTCTCGATGGCAAGGAATCAAGCGAAACCGCTATAAATGGTCAACGCAAATCTGGCATTAATTATCGCGACGAGCCGGTGGCGTTCTTCTTTGTCCTGTTTGGCTTGGCGTTTGAATCGCTCGCCATACGGCCTGGCCAATCCGACTCGCTGGCTACGCGCGACCAGACCCTGGCCATCTTGCAGGCTCTCAAGCGCATTCTGCACCCCAGCGTCTCTGGCCACGCCATCTACCGCCCTGACGTATTTGCCGAGACCATGGATCTGCTTGATCGTCTCGTATTGACGGAAGACATTGATGTGCAGACAGTCATCGTCGATATTGCGCGCGCCATGTGTGTCACGCACCCGTCTGCCCTTCGCCACGGGTCCGAAGAGGGTGATTTGTCAGAGGATATTGACCAGCTCTTCGAGCTGACTAGAATCATTGTCCTTGTCTTGTCGGGCCTGCTGCCCAATTTGGCTGAAGGCAACCAGCCAGTGAGGCACCAAATCAATGAGGAGACTCTCGTCCTTATTCGCACGTCTCTGGATGCTCTTGTCGATGCCGCTGAGGTATTCCCAGCCATCATCAAGTCAGACTTGCATGCTTGCATCATTCACATATTTGCAACCATACTCGCCACGCCAAGCTGCCAGGAGCTGATTGTTCCCCAATCGCTCGCCACCTTGAAACGCTTCATTGGCAGCATGAGCGCCTCGCGGAAGATTGCGCCCGATGGGTCGTCTGCGACTGACGTGCAGCTGCAGGGCTGCTTGCGCCGCTTCCTCTCCATATACCTTAACGCCCAAAAGCGCGAAGAATCAACCTCGCTTATCTGCGTCAGAAACTGCCTGCTCGCAACGACCATTCTCTTTACCGGCGGGAACAATCACCTCCCGGCCTCTGAACCGCTGGTCGTTCGATATCTCGACGAGCTCCTGGACTGTCTCACCGACCGCATGGTAAGTTGACCATGCACAACTGAAACCTAATCGCTGCTAAAAACCGTCACAGACTTCAAAGATTGCCGCCAACTGCATCCGGTCTCTGCTCCTGCAAAGCTCGCCCTCGTCGTCCGACGTCACTATTGCGCGGTACCTCGTTCCGCGGCTCATCGCCTTTGTTATCAACGTCGAGCCCGAGGACCCCGAGCAGGCGCGCTCGCTCGCCGCGCACAGCCTGTGCCTGTACGTTGGCGCCGTCGACGCGGAGCGCACCCACGCCGCCATGTCCCTCGTCGTGCCCATGCTCATGGCCCGCGCGACGGCCGAGGGCGAGGCGCGCTATGCGGAGACGAGCGCGCGACTGCTCGAGGTGGCGGCCGTCAATCAGGACGTCTTCCGGGGTATCGTCGGCGCCATGAGCACCGCCCAAAGGAGCCTGCTGGAGGAGGTGGTGCGCTCGGCGCGGCAGGTATCGAGTAGCGCGAACCAGAATAGCACTGACGCGGCGGGCCAGCCGACTATTCAGCTCAAGATGAATTTTGGCGGCTGAAAGCTGATGAATGGAAACGAGACATGTCTTTTTTTTTTTTTTTGCTTGTACGAAACTCATGCATACGGAGATGGGGGAAGCATTAAACAGGGGAGGTTAAAACAAAAGGCATATATATCACAAACAACAGTTTTAAAGAATCTTTTCCTAACGTTTTCTGGTAATTTGCTTTTGTCCTGCACGTCCTGCACCCGACTACGTCTTTATTGAAACCAACAACCTATCCTCGCATCGAATGGGGGGTTCTTTTTTTGTCAGCTTTCCACAGATCATGGCAACTGTAGGAAGAAAGGGAAAGGAATTGAAGCAGTGCAACGCAGCGCTTTGGAGCTCGCTGTTGGCAGTTGTGATGGATGCCCGTATCTGGCAAAACAGAGGCGAACCCTTTGTTATTATACACAAAAGGTTTACTGTAATCAGAGCCTGAATCGCGCTCTCGTGTGAACTTTTGCAAAGACTATAGCTATACTACTGTTCTCTGTGGCAAGCGCCGTCTTCACGTCTTTCGAAATGAAAATGTGTCCTCTACCGCTGTGCCGTCATCGACGGACACGTCAGATACATCCGGGTCAAACGCTCTGCTCCTCCTCGTCCTCCTCCTTCCTTTCGGCAGCTCATCATCATCCCACTTTGACGCTCCGTGCCACGTCTCCGGGACCTGGTCTCCCTCGCCCAGCGACAGGATGCGGTACTGCTGCGCCGTAGTCAGCAGCGCCAGCGGATACTCCATGTCCGTGTTGATCCATGAGATCTGTGCTCTGACCGGTGCGCCACCACCGCCGCCGGCGCCGGCCGCGCTGCTGCTGCTGCTGCTGCTTCTCGCCGCGATGAACTCTTCGGGCACCACCGGCGTCGGTCCCGGCAGCAACGGATCCCATAGATACGCCAAGCCGCTACTACTTTTGCCGTTGTCTTGTTGGGAGGAGGAGGAGGAGTGGATGAGTAGTAGCTCCCGCGTCTTCTTGTGCCACGTAAAGGTGACGACGGAGTGGAAGACGAGGACGGCGCGTAGCTCGGCGGCGGCAACGTCCCAGATCCAGACGGTGCAGGGTGCGTCGTCGAGCCGAGTGGCGAGGAGGGCGGATGAGGCGTCAAAGGCGAGGACGGAACATCCGGGCTTCGCTTCCGTCGTTGGTCTGCCGTCGGATGGCATGCTGGGTGGGGAGATTGGCTGCGTCGCGCGCTGAAAGGTGTGCACTGTCTGGCCGTCTCTAGATGTCTCTAGCTGTTCCTGCCATATCTGTAGCAATGATTAGTGACTATAGTTCTAGCGGCGGTTCCAAGTTTCTTTCTCTCTTAAAAAAAATCGAGAAAGAAAAAGAAAGAAAGAAAAAAAGAAAGAAAACGTACATGCAGCGTATCTCGAGGCACAATAGTCACAGGATGTGTTAATACTGCCCTCCTCCTCCAAGAGTCTGTTTGCAATATCGCAATACTGCGACTATGATCGGCGACAGCGCAAAGGTCCGAGTTGGGACTCGGTTGGCAAGTCTTTATGCCCAGTTCCAGCGAAGCATCCGGGCCATCTGATAAATGCGCGCCACTCATTGTCCTAAAGTGCTGCCCATCCGCCGTGTACAGAATCAGCTGGTGGCCCTGCGCCGCCGACTCCCACAGCAGCAGCCACTTTCCATCCGGCGTCCAGCAGACGGCCTGCGCGTCTTCCACCATGTCCACCGCCCACGACTTTTGCACCAGTCTGGACAATGGGTGGTGTATGCTCACGAAATCTTTACCATTGGTCCGCGTCAGAATGGCCAGGTGCTGGGTGCCGGGACGCACCGAGTAGCTCCGGCCCACCGACGACGGCTGGTGGAATTTCGGGTTGGCCACCTCGACCGCCGCCGTCGGCGTACACGAGGAGGAGGAGGAGGAGGAGGAGGAGGAAGAAGAGGAGGAGGAGAGGCTAAAGATGGCGAGCTTGAGGCCCGACGGTGAGCAAACGAGGACCTCGCCGTCGTGGGCGCCAAAGCGCGCAATGCTGGCCTTTTCGCCAGGGAGCAGCGGGCTAGTAATGGTGGCGTGAAAGGACGACGACGACGAGTCGATGCTGGCGGAAAAGACGTGCACGCTCTCGCCGGCGGCGCAGACGAGCAGCCGCGTGGACGAGGGCGACCATTGGAGAAAAGTCACGGGACCGAGGTTCGGCGGTAGTTGGATTGTGTTTTCCACCTGCAGAGTCTCGACGGAGCGCACAGAGATGATTTGCGCATTCAGCGTGGCGACGAGGCTGCCATCTGGGCTTGCTTTGCACAGTGGCGAGGCTGTCGGAGGTTGTGGTGAGCCAGAGGTCCGCAGAGACGTTGGGGGCGCATTTCTGCAAGTGTTGGACATACAAGGAAACACGGGAGACGCATACATGACGGTGTATCGTCTCTCGCACGCACGCGAATGATGAAGGTCGTTGAGTTGATCTAGAGTCAGTCGCTGGATGTTTACGGCATTGCCGAATTGGGGTTAGGGCGGGGCAACGCTTCGCTGAGAGAATGCAGCCAACAGTCAATGAAGTGGTCAAGATTGAAGAGGTCAATATGGATGAATTATATCAGTAAATAATACATTGACGCATCTCATTAAATGCTCTCCTTCCCGCAGCCCCATCTCCGCCCAATTGTTATACAAGAGCAGGAGAAAAATGCAAAAGAAGCGATTCGCGTTACCATACATGACCGAGCCAACATGCCCTCCAACAATGCCGCTATTAAATATATTGAATTTCCTCTTTCTTTTTTTTTTTTTTGCCAAGTTTCCTACTTTGCCTCTACCGCCTTTTCCCACGCACTCTCGAATCCATCTTGATTCTCCACCATGACGAGGCTCTGCTCGCCTTGCGTGGTCGTCTCCGCCGCGGCCGCCTTCTTCTGCGCCTGTCTCTCTGTCGTGGCCGTCGCAGCAGCATCCGCAGTCTTCGCATTTCCCGCGCTCTCCACCAGGCCGTCGCCGCGCACCTCGCTCTCCCAGTTGCTCGAATAGACGACCGCCGCAAAGGCCTCGAGCCCGCGTACGGCCTCCATATCCTGGAGGTACTCGTTGGGAACGCCATTACCAATGGCGTGCGCCTGGCGTGTTAGCACAGATAGAATCTTAGGCAGCAGGACGACTTTGGTCTGCTTGGACTCGGTAATCAAATTGGCCATGAAGCCGCTCTCGTCGTTGGGCAGCTCAAACGCCTCCGTGGCCAGCTTCTTATCCACCAGCGTCGAGAAGCCGGCGTCGAGGAGCAGCGTCAGCACGTGGCAGAACGCGGGCGACTCGATCAGGTCGGCCGTCTCGTCGAGCAGCCGGCGCAGGGACTCGGGCGAAGGCTGCGCGGGGAGGCCTTGCTGGGCGGCATTGTCTTCGAGGATGCCCGATTGCCGAATTACTTCATCTTCCTGATCCTGCGGCGGGAGCAGGTACTTGAGCCAGTTGGCGCTGCGTCGCTCCTCGGGGGTAGAGCCCTCAACCTGTCTGCGGACTTCAATGACAAGATCGGACAAGCGGTCAAAGCTGATGAGATCGCGGGGGTTGAGCGTGCCAAAGACGGAGCGGACAGCGCTGTCCACCGTCTTCATAATGTCGACCCAGCCCTTGTTGAGAAGCCACCAGCTAAAGGTGAGGTACTTGCGGTTCGTGTCAAAGTCACTGCCGTAGGCCTGGTCGGTGTTGTCGTCGTCGTTGTTCTCGAGGCTGATCGTGGCAGACTGGGTGCCGGTGGCCAAGGCCACGACACTGGAGAGATAACTCCGGCGGCCGAGTAGGTTGAGCTGCACGCGGGTGAGCATTGTGAGCAGGGCGAGGGTATAGATGAGCGTAAAGGCCCGCGTAACAGCTGCAGATTGTTAGCAGATGAGTGAGGGGGGCGGCAGGGTCAGGCATGTTGCACATACAGCTGATGATTAAATCATCCCACAGCTGTCGCTTGGAGCGACGAGACCTGGCTGGGGAGCCTTCCTGCACGGTGCCCTCGGGCACAGAAGTCAGGGGAGGGAGAGACGCCTGGCTGGCGTGCACGCCGCTCTCGCTCACGATAGAGCTCTTGCTGTCGTCCTCGGTCAGAGTGGTGTCGGCGATGCTGGGCGGGGCAGGCGCAGCATCCGTCGGATTAGCTTTGACGACCTTGGCCGTCTTGGCCTGCTGGATCTCGTAGGTGATTTGCTCCGTGTTCATCTCGGCGAGGACGTTTGTGGTGGCGGTCGGGAGGAGGGCTAGGACGGTAAAGGTGCAATCTTCTTGATTTTGCTCAAAGCGTCGACGCAAGCTATGCAAAGTGTTAGAATGGCAAATAAGATGGGATCTATGGCATTTGAAGGAGATGCGTACTTTTCTTTGGAGATGCGCTCGCTAGACATGCGCTCGCGCGCGTCGGTGATTTTGGACATGACATATTGGCTGACGATGTAGCCAGCACCGACGAGGCCGACGCCAATGGCGACTGGCGTTCGGTTCCGGCGGAACCATCCCCGTACAGACGAAATCATGACTTTTGCAGTCTGTGTTGAGCGGCGATGGATTTGCGGAGGAGCTCAGATGGATCGAATCGTGCCAATCGCCGTCATGGGAGGAAGTTGGGCGTCGATGCGCTCGGCGAGCTTTTTGGCAGGGAAATTGAATTGCACGCTTGTTGAGCAGAGGGGTCTTGCGCGAAAAGAAACCCCCTTTTTGCGAGACAAGATGGGAATGGAGATGACAATGTTTTGTAGCTGCACGTGTGAGGGCGTCAAAGCTATCGTCATCTGAAGTCTACCTAGGTAGGTAGGTAGGTAGTAGGTCAGGTAGGTAGGTGATCCACGGCGCGCACAGTGCTGGAACCAAAAGCTATCTTCCTGGGGCTGGCTGGCTGGCTTGGCTGGCTGGCAGGCAGTTGGCGCGAGGGCGAGCCGAGGTCTCGGCCCCCGAAAGCGACCAGAGCAAGCCAAAGCTGGCCAAGACAGCCGAGCTTATGAACGGGATACATGGGTTTTGCGGTACTTTTGTGCGAATTTACATGTACCTTGCTTGTGCCCTCCCAGGCTGTGCCAGGTCTTGCGCCACATGCCCCCAGATCTGGAGCTCTACAGGCTAGCCCAATTCAGCCATGATGTTGATGAGGACTCGACTGGACAGCCTGTGCTGTCTTACAAGAGGAGGGTTTCACAGATTGTAACGAGTAGGATTCAATGAATTCAGCATAACGTAAAGAAAGAGGGTGACTTGTTTGGCGAGCGAGTCACGTATAAAAACTCGTCACGTCTTGAACCGAGTTTGGTTGCTAGACATCACATCTCCGAGTAAATCTGTGTTGGTTAATAGGTAGCCTCCGAGGCGTTGCTTAAAAGTAGTCAGGCTATTATTTAGCCGATTTGTACATGTTAGCCCTTTGTACGCGCATGACCTTCGGCAGCTCTTCCAACAAGTCATAAAGGCCTCTAGCGAAATCCAACGAGTAGTCCAGAGAGTAGCATTCCGCCAGAAAAGTGAAACATGAAAAGGCCAGCGAGTTGACTCGAGCTCTTTGTGGTGTTGAGTTGATTCTACAAATTGTTTATCCCTCGCCCTTGCCTTGCTGACAGGCTGTGCTGGCGTTCGTCATCTTCTTTTGCAGTAAACGTCAAGATCGTTGCAGAGCCAAGACTATAGTTCCGTGCACTGATTAAAATGATCTCCTAGAAGAATACAACGGAGAGGTCTTGTATACACCCGTTCCCGCGTCCATCTTCGCCCCTTCAAGTATCCCGTTTATACCTGCCTCCCTCAGCCAGCTATCCGGTCATCAGTCACCACACCAAAACTCCGTACAACCATAAACTCCCTGACCTTGTGGATTAGCCAACGATTAATTTTCAACCTTTTCATGTCATATGAAATTTTTTTAAAACAAAAATTGGTTCTTCTTTTTCCGTTTATAGCGTTTTGGCCCGTTGCGCAGCCCATCTCGATAAGCTCTTCCCCCTGCGCACCAATCAGCGGCGCGCCAAAGCCAAGCCAATCTGACCAAAAAAATCCGTTTCTCTGCGTACCTAGGTAAAACCAGTGGGCTGATGAGCTGAGAAAGCTTCCCCCACCACCCATTTTCCCCCGCAGTGACGTCCTAGTTAGAGCAGCTGACTGTCATCATCTGCACCTCATTCCCATTTTCCCTCTCAAGCCTTGACCTCTTCAACGTCATCCTCTCCTCTCTCTCTCTCTTCCTCTCTCCCCTTTCTCCCCCATTCTTCCTACCCTCCACTCTCTGTCATATACCATCAATTGCTTTCACACCACTCACCCACCATTTTATCCCTTTTGCACGATAATCCCAGCCCGCCGCTCCGATTGCGCACCGCGCCGCCCACACCCATTTCCCAAACGGCGCGCGCGCGCGTTTTCCGCCCCTCCCCCGCCCGTTTTCTTTTTTCTCTCCCCCTTCACCTGTCGGGCCCCCTCCTACCCTCCTCCCCCCCCCCCCCCTCTCCGTCGCTCACCAAAAAACCACCACACAACCATGGACACCACCACCGCCGCCGCCACCAACGCCCCTCCAGAGTTCATCCTCGACGTCTTTGCCGACCCCCGCTCCGTTCGGGATATTGTCCGCGCCATCCTGCACACCATCTTCTTCACGCGCTTCTTCCCCGCCGTCCATCCTTCGACCCGCAACGTCCTCGACCTCGTCACCTTGCCCTACGTCGACGACGATGAGCTAGCCACCATGATTGAGCAGCGCGCCGCCGCTCTTGAGCGCCAGCTCGACGCCGAGCGCTCCTCCTCTCATCAAACTACCGCGGCGGCGGCCGCCGCCGCCGCGCGACAGCAGTACTCGTCGTCTGGGACAACAGCCGCCGCTGCCGCTGCCGTCACAACGAGCTCCTCGGCAAGCGGCGCCCGAGGTCAGGTTTCCGTTCGCTTCTTTGAAAAGAGACGTCGCAAGGCGTGGCTGTCGCGCGGCGATGAAGAGGTATGCTGGGAGTGCTGGACGGTCAAGGTGACCGTTGCCGAGCCGAGGACGGAGTCTGGTATGTCCCCTCCCCCCTCCCCTAATGTATCAGCCCATACCACCCATCTCTCTTTCCCTTCCAAGTACACTGGCGGCAACTAACAGCCTATAGAGCGCAGCAAGGTTCGCAGAGCCATGGAGCAGACTCTCCTCACCACCGCCATGAAAATCGTCACCTTTGCCAACACCCACAAGGACCATATCCCTCCCATCACCACACAGGGCGGCAACCCTTTTCCATGCAAGATTAGCATTGAGCAAAAGGAGAGCACGGGCTGGGCGTCGCGGATGCGCATCTACTAGTAAGCCCCCTCTTGTGGTCGAACCTTTTGTTCTTTTTTTCTTCCTTTGTGATTAGATTCTTCCGCATACTTTGGCGTTTGGAGTGCATATAGACCATGTTACTAGATACCCTTTTAATATAGACCAACGAATCAATTCACACTACGACGAGTCAGCAAAGTATACAGCCTGTAATGATCGATTCAACAATAAGATATATATCATTCTTGGCCCTGAGCAGGCTTATAATCAAACTAACCATAATCCGATTCCCTTGGGTTTCCCATGTGATCCGTACAATACTCAAAACAAAGAGCCTCCCGAAAGCAAAAAAGATGTACTCCAGAGACCAGAAACAGCATTAGCTAACCAAGAACAAACAGCCAAAAATCATCAAGGGCAAAGCAAAACAACGCCAATGAGCCAGCGCCCCCTCGAATAACTTGTCATGATGAAAGCAAATCTCCCCCTAGCAAACGGTACCTTTTTCAATCAAAAATATCATAGCATGCCATCGCCAATACTAAAGCAAGAAAAAGCAAAGCGCGGCCGTGAAGCCAATAAGTAGGTTGCCAGAATCGCCTGGATCCTCTGCTCTATTTTGTACCAGCCGTCACTGCAAAGCTGCAGGGCGTATCATTAATCATCAGCATCGTTACAAGATCCTCAAGCCTCCCATCATCAAAATGCCGTCGAGTAACTGCGCCCCAGAGCGGGTTTGGTAGGGCGCGCAGGCTTGGACTGTTGAGAGCCAGAGCCTATCTTTTGGAAGCCCTGAAGGATATCAAGACCGCCAAATTCCGTATTCTCATTGGCCGAGGCGAATTCGCTCGGGTCCATGACCAACGACGGCCACGTGTCATCGGCCGATATTTCCAGCATGGCAGCAGAAAACTTGCTCGGCGAGGCTCGCGTTGGAGACTGCTGCAGCATCTTGGAAGGAGAGCTAAGGCCTTCAAAGACTTTGCTCGGAGTGTCCAGGAAGCGTAGCGGTGAGTGCTCGGGAACGCGTAGCAGAGGAGCAGAGGTAATCGTCTTCTTGACCGAGCCCGTAAGCTGGTCAAGGCCTGACGAAGAAACAGATCGGTCCAGGCGAGCGCGCTTGGCTGAGCGTTTCACGGGAGAGCCCGAGTCCGCGGAACCAATGACGGGAAAGGTGTTTTCGTCCAAGCCAGCAATATCTTGAAAGATGTCAAAGTCATTGACATTGCTTGAAATGTCATCAAAGGCGTACAGAGTCTCGTCAAGGTTAAAAGCCGGGCTCCAGGGCAGAGCTTCCTCACTGACGCCGATGACGCGGCGGAGAGGCGACTGGAGCATGTGACGGACCTTGTCGCGGTGGATCCGAAGGTTGGTGTTGGGAGAGACCGAGGGAGGAGGACGGGCAGGAGGCTTCATCTTGACGATGGGGGTCAGAGGCAGTAGAGCGTGGCCTTCCGAGGCGTGTCTCAATGGAGAGGAAGAGATGGGGCCGTAGACGGACAGGGAGCGAGACTTGGTCGGGCTAAACGGGGAAGAGTGGCGCAGGCGGGCAATTTCCTCCTCAGCGCGGCCGCGCTTGATGCGAGGACGATCAGCTTCCGAAGTAAGAAGCATGGCTTTTTGGTTGGGGCGCATGACGGAAGACTCAAGGGAGGAGATATAGCCGCTGTCGTCCATAGAGGCAAACTTGCGCTTGTGGGAGCGCGTGATGGAAGAGGCAGGCTGGCCAGTCCTGGGAGGCGGAGTGCCGCTTCGCTCTCCCTGTCGAGGCACAGGCGGTGACGAGTGCATGGTGGCGGGCAGAGGCGAATACATGGCATCATGAGGCAGCTCGTTGTCGTGGCGGTCAGCCCCGTCTTCGGGAGCGGCTGAGTCTGAGATGGGGATGGTGGCGTCGGAGGAGATCTCGGCGGGCATGGACAGGGTGGCCTGTGAGGTAGGCAGAGGCGGCAGAGCAGACTGGCGACGAGAACCTTGGGGAGGGAGAGTGGGCTCCAAGAGACTCATGTTGGGTGCAGAGCGCATCGAGGGCTCAAGACGCGTCGACATGACGGGAAGGTTCTCTGCAGAGGGAGCCGACTTGCGCGGAGGCTTCTCCTTGAGAAACTGTTGCTCGGTGCCAGGCTCAATGCCCCAATAGTTACCCTTGCCGGGGTCGTCCTTGGGTCGTTCAATCTTGATAAAGTTCTTGTGCAGACTCAGGTTGTGACGGATGCTATTTTGCCAGCCGGCATCATCAGGGTTGTAAAAGGAGTAGTTGTCGCTGATCCACTTGTAAATCTGAGCGAGGGTGAGTCGACGCATGGGGGATCGGAGAATGGCCATGCCAATGAGCTGAGCGTAGCTGTGGGGAGGCTTTGTGCCGTCGTCGGAAATGGGAGGGAAGGAGTCGTGAGGTGGCAGTCCGTTGTCGTCCACTTTTGGCTTCTTAGCACGGGGATCTCGGATGGGAGCGGCCTCCATGAGGCCACGCTTGCCGTTGGGGTTTGGTTTCTGCTGGTAGTAATTTTCCATGGAGATGTTGATTGTCGGAGGAGCTGGAAAGATGTGTGGGTGGACATTTTCCTTGCCGAAATTGACTTCAAATGTTGGTTTTTGGGGGCCCGTCTTGAATTTGGAAAGCTGAGGTCTTTTTTGGAGGTTGTCGGTGGTGTGACGCTTGGCCATGGGAGGAGCCATGGAGACCATGTTGAGTCTGGAGCCCTGGGAGGACTTGAGAGGTGAGCGAGGCGAGGCAGATTTCGTCTTGTAAGGCGAGTAGCCGGAAAAGCTCATAGAAGGCGGATCGAGAACGACATTGGAGCTGGAAGCACTCAAGGGGCGACGGGGCGGGCGAGTGACGGAAGGCATGGGAGCGTGGCTCGTCATGGGACGAGAATTGTCAAACATGTCGTCCTGGAAGATTTGAAGGTTTTCGTCCTGGGCGAAATAACGCGTCGACTTGGCCATGGCGGCCAGGTCAATGAAGCGAAAAGTCGTGAGCGTGTAGCGCAGAAGCAAACGCGGCGTGGTTTAGCTATACGGAGCGGAGGAGTTGGAGGTTAGCGGTCAAACGCGGATGTGGGCAGTCACGATAAGGCGGTCGTGACGCGAAGCAAGAACGACGATGGACAGAAAAGAGGAAAAGAGCAAAAAGGATTGGCTGAGGTGTGCTTACCCGAGGGTGAGGTTGTATGGTAGTGGGGCGCGTGTAGTAGAACTCTGGGCACGGGGAAGAGTGCCGACGTGTAGTTTAAAGTCGTGGTGTATGTCGGCAGCGATGATGGAGGATTTACGTGTCAGGGGCGTGATGCGTCAGCGTTGAGGGCGGGCGTCGCAAGGATGCAAACGGCAAGATGATTTGGGTCGTCGAGATGGCGAAGAGAAACGTGTTGAGCAAAATCGAGAATATGGCGGGAAAAAAAATTGTCGAGGCAAAAATGGTAAAACGAGAGAGCAGTCGTGAAGAAGAAGAGAAGGATGTAGGAGGGGAGAGAGGGCCGGGTGTAGGTGGTCGAGAAGGGAGAGATGGGGAGGTACATGGGTGATAGGTAGGTAGCAGGGTGGGGATGGGTGGGAGGGTGTGTACAGGAAGAGGAGGAGCGGGCAGGAATAGATTGATCTACAGGTGACCTTGCTAAAGGTAAAGTGGTCGTTGCAGTGCGACAGTGCATCGTTGCAGCGCTTCATTACTTGCTTCGGCATACAATTTATCACTCAACACTGCGGATAGCGGGCGGCCTAGTGGAGGGCCAAAAGGTAAGGTACCTAAAGAAACCGACCAAGGCAGCAGCACCAGGCACTAGAGCATCAATGGAGCCATGCATGCACCGACCTGGGCTGGCCCCAGCGAGGTGCGGGTGGGGAATACCTGCCTACCTAGCTAGGTAGGCACTAGGGTACAAAGCAGACGCTTCAAACTCACCAGAGGAGTTGACGCTGTTTGGGTGCTGTCTGTCACCTTTTGAACTGCGAAGGGAGGCATGGAGCGAGGGAGACCAGTGGGCCGGCCTAGCTCTTTTTTTTAAATTTTCGAAGACTATTCATTTTCGACATGCAAGCACTTGGCCGCAGTAGGCAGTAATGCACCACGCTCGACGAGGCGTCTGTGGGTTCGAGTGCCAACGAGTCTAGCCTGTGCCCGGCTCATCATACCATCATGTCAGTTATTGGGAGGTGTCAGAACATCCATCCACTAAGCACTCTATGCCCCCCCATTATCCAGCCTAGCAGGGGCTATAAGCCGCTGGCCACGACTAGACATGGCACCAAAAATCCAACGACGACGTCAAGACGTCTCGCGGCCTCTAGAAGCGGGGTTCCTCGGAATGCACAGGAATACATACGCGCCTACTCCGTACTATATTGCCTACCACTTCTATCTCGTGTTTGGACGCCCAAATCTATCTCTTACTTGCTTGGTTTTTGCAGCGACAGAATCCAAACCAGCTAGGCCGGCAGTCTATGAACGGACCAGGCAGCCTAGGTCTCAAAAGAACTGCTCTCCTCGCGTCTCGTGATGCACCACCACCTTTCAAAGACGTCTGAAAAAAGAGTAGAAAGAAAAGAAAAAGAAACCATGTGCACCATGTGGAGCGCCCAGCTATGGATTCGCGATCTCGATATGAAGCCACTTTTAAAAGAAAAAAAAATTATAAACCTGGTTTCGGATTCCGTCGTTGGCAGCCAATGATTGTACTTGGATGAGCCGGCCTGGCAACTAGCTTCGTGGCTGCAGTGCTACAGCCTACTGCGGCCAAGGGTTTGGGAACTTGTGCTGGGATGGGGGGGCCTCCTCGTACAACGACTCGGTAGGACACGGATTTTGTGTCATTTTTCCCATCTATGTCCAGTTCTTGCGTGCGTGCAACCTGTTCCTCGGCTATGCTGCGAGTCTTACAACCGTTGTGGCCGGGGGCACGGTGGTGCAAATCTGCCCTTGCACAGGGAAATCTTGTGTCGACGACATCTCTGCGGCCTCTTCCTCGTCCTATCGAGGTTCAAACATCTGAAGAAGAAGAGCAAGAGGGGGGAAAAAGGCTTTTGCTACACTAGATGTAGTTTGGCCGAGGAGGCACTTGTACTGATGGTGTGGAGGGGCCATTTTCACTCACACACACACACACACAACTCGAGTGAAAGTGAATGATGAGCAGGACATTTTTTGGTGAGACTTGCAACGAATGGGATGAGATGAGGCTGCGCCTCTTGGCCATCCAGCATGAAACTTCTACCAAAAAAAAAAA